TAACTGTGACTGTGACTGTGACTGTGACTGTGGCTGCTGTTGTAGACTGTTGTCCATGTCACTTATTATCTTGCTGACTTCATCCATTACAATCATGTCAATGCTTTGCGAGCGCTGACGTTGATGTTGGTTCGGCACCTTGAGGTGTTTGACTCTTTCCATGATAGTTCGTTCAATCGATTCGAATGGATGGATGGGGGAGGAGGGTGTTTGTTGGACGCAAAGCGAGTCGCTGGGCCAAAGGGTTGTCTACGACTGTTTGATTGATTGGCACGTGTGGTTGGTAGGTTGATCGATTGATTGGCTAGTGTGAAGCGAGTGTGAGAGGCTGTTTATGCAAACTCTTGAACAAGTGTGTTTGCAACTTGCAAGTTGTGTTGTGTTGTGTTGTGTGTGTAGTGTCAGATGTTGGATATATGATCAAACTAACATCGCCAATGCCTTATTGTGTGTTTGTGATTGTGTTTGTGTGTTTGTAGGTGTGTATAAATACAACAATGGATATCGATGTGATTGTTTTCAATCATATAACAGAGATGTAAAGACTAGGGACTAGATACAGCAATGATTGTCGGTGTTATCCTATCATCACTCACTCTCGATCACTCACACACTCACTAATTCAATCATTAATCCACTAACTCTGAGCTGTTGGACTTCGTCAGTAAGACACCCCCCAGATCAGTCCATCGAAATCAGGCCCAATCACATCGCAAGTCACATCTCTGATTGTTTTAGTGGTTGTTGCGTTTCTGGTGAGATCGATCTCACTTGTAACAGGTCTACCAATCAAACTGATCTTTTTTTTCAGGTTTTGCGCGCTCACATATTTTTACAACTGACAAATCAATCAATCACAAAAATGTCTGTGCTGATGTACAGTTGTTTGGGTCAGTGATGAGACAAGAGGTAAGTGTCAGGACACCTCCTCCAATCATTGTAATACATTCTAAAAACAACAAAGTAATTGACAAAGAATACTTTGGTGATAGCATTGGTGATTGTCTTGGTAATCAAATGGCAGATAAGTTTGGACTACATTAATGTAATGTCAAAGTCAACTTGTAATCGAACGAAACTACAAGAGAGAGATGGAGAATGAATCATGATGGTGAAATGCTTGTAGAAACATTGACCTCAAATAATTCAGTCATACCTAACAACATTCAATGTAGACATTATGATGCTAGTAAGATCAAATCATCTATCATCATGACTATTAGTCCATCGATTCATAAGGAATCAACTACTACTCTACTATCCACTCATGACTTATTCACTCATTGGTATAAGGACGAATGGAATGGGCATGTAGAGTAATGGGGGAAGGGAAGTGAACTAATGTGGAAACATTCACCACACACTTCTAGAAGATTCGAAAGTCTTTGAACTTGGTCTATGACTTTTGAAAATTGATTGGTGGTGGGATGACCGCAACTCTTCACTTGGATCGGTCATTCTGATAGAATGGAACTTGAACAAAGTATTTAATGAATCCAATATTGGTCATTAATTAACATCACAAACAAACAAATACAAATCAAATACAAACCATCAATCTATCAAGCAATCAATCAATATCACTCTTATAATATATAATATTTTATGATATCATCAGTCCTTCGTACAATGTCTACTTCATCACTTAAGCCAATCACTCTTTATTCAAAGAATACACCAAATGTTGCCAAGGTTTATATATTCTTGGAGTTGTTAGGTCTGCCTTATGAGAAGGTCGATATGGACTTGGCCAATGGTGATCAGTTCAAGGAGGAATTCGTAAAGATCAATCCAAACAGCAAGATCCCCGCTATCAAGGACCCCAATGTACCAGAGGGTAAGAGTCCCATTGTCCTATTCGAGAGTGGTAACATCCTCATCTACCTTGCCAAGACCTACGGCAAGGGCAAGTATCTCCCCAACGAGGTCACTCACACTCAAGAGCACTACGATGTCCTCGGATGGGTATTCTTCCAAAGTATGTACTACATTGATTGATTTAGTGAATGATTGAATGAGTGAGCGAATGACTAATATCATCGATCAATCAGTGTCATCACTCGGACCAAACATGGGACAGTATGGACATTACACAAGATATGCTGAGGAGAGACATGAGTACCCAATCAAGAGACATTATAATGAGGTTCGCAGATTGTTCCATGTGATTGAGCGTCAGCTTGAGAAGCATGCTTATGTTGCTGGCGATGAGTTGTCGATCGCTGATCTGGCCATCTATCCATGGAGCAAGAACATCATATTGTTGCAAGAGGTCACTGAGAAGGACTATCCAAAGTTATTCGACTATCACAACAGAATGGCTCAGTTGGATGCCGTCAAGGCCTACAAGGTCTACGATGATGAGCAGAACCTCAAGAGACCAACATCATACACCGCTGAGCAGCGTAAGACATTGTTTGGTCGTGATCGTTAATGTGTATATACTTATATAATATAATAAATCATTCCATTCCAATCAAACTGGAATCATTCCCATCAATCAATCAATCTGATCTTTAATTGAGTCAACACTGATGATCATTTGGACATTTGCTGCTGAGTCGTCGTCGTCGTCGTCGTCTTCTTGTTCTTCTTGTTGCTGCTGGTGTTGTTCTTGGCGATGATGGCTCCGCTGGCCACGCCACGCTCCATCTCCTCCAGTCTCAGCTTGCTCTTCTTGAGCTTCTTGAAGTAGAGATAGAGGAAGGTCTGTGGCACGTGAATATTGGTCATCTTGAGCTTGTCGGCGAAGCTCATCACCTCGCGTCTACTCTGACCCTTGATCTGGATAAAGTATTTCTCCAACTCCTTGATATACTCCTTTGTGATGATGATACCATTGCGCTCGTACCAAACCTCGATCGTTCTATTCAGTATGGCGCCAATCTGATAACCAAGTGACAACAGTCCTCCAATCGTCTTTACCGATATCTCGAAATTAAGTGATGGTCTAGTATTGATGTTGGCGTCCATTATCTATGTTTTGAATGATTGAATGATTGAGTGAGTGATAGATTGAGTTGGGATGTTTCCAAGTTGGACGTACCTCTCTGTAGAAGTATATATTGAATTGACCGCGATCGGTACGTCGGATTCGGATCCAGTTGGTCTTGTCGGCTTGGGAGATGCCGTCAGAGCCGTACTTGGGCGGGTAGAGGTACATGTCCGAGAAGATCTTCTTGACAGGCTTGACATTGAGTGATGAGAGGAATTGATCAAAGTGCTCCTTCTGTGGTTCGTACTTGGCCTTGCAGACATATGTTGGCTCGACCACCTGACTCATCGGGTTATACGACGAATGTATCTTGATCTTGGCATTATCCAAGTCTGGCTCAACGAATGCCTTGAACATTGGAAATACTACATTGGTAATTTGTAACAGTACATCCTGGAAAATGATTGATTGATTGAGTGATAGTGAGGGCGAGGGCGAGGGCGAGGGCGAGGGTAGGGTTAGGGTGAGGGTTGGCAGAACATGGGAGACAAGACCAGGGTATCATACCTTTGATGAACTTTTGTTGACGACGATATCCCTCATGATTCTTTTGATTAGGTCGAGATGGACACCGCCAGTGATGGCAATGCTGATGTCTAGGATGGGCCTGATTTTTGCGCTGAGTGCATAGCTACCTTCAAGTATGAGTACCTTTGATTGGTTCAATGATACCTTATGTTGTTCCACCTTGATAATATTGCCAGTCTCCTTATGTCTAATGATCTTTGGTATCTCCACAACTTCATTCATCCTCAATCTCTTCATTGTGTCCTGTGTGTATGATGATGATTGTTAGGAATGAATGAATGAGTGATGGACTAGGACACTCTCCACTAACTTACAACAACACGATCAAAGTCTATCAGCACTGGATCATCATAGTTGTTGTCCTTGACCATGTCGATACGGATAAAGTCTTGAAGGTCGAATACTATGGCGTTGACGAGGGATGATATTTTGTGCGCCAGAGTTGTCTTGCCTGCGCCAACTGGACCAGCAATGCCAATGACCACCACTCGTTGCTTGTCATGCTCAGTCAGCAACTCAATCGCTCTGATCGCATGGAAGAATCCCTGATCGAATGACAAAGTATTTGGAACTGGCTTCATCTCATAAGTGTTTGTACCTGTATTCAACTCCACTGTTAAGTCCAACTCCTCCTCATTGAGCTTCTCCCTTGCGATCCTGTACATTGTTTGATTGATTGAATGAGTGCATGAGTGAGTGATTGATTGATTGTTGTGAGTGATGAATGAAGGACAAGACGTACGATCCATCAGACTCTATATTATCATCATGAGGCTTTGATATCTTTGGCTTTGGTTTGATAGCAATGGCAGACTCTGTTGTTGCAGATGATGTTGTGGAAGAGGTGATCTCAGCAGAAGTACCGCACACATCCAAATGTTGTGAGAGCTTTGCTAATCTATCGTTTGCTCTACTCAACATTATCTATCTATCTATCTATCTATCTTTATATCTTTATATATCTTTAAAGTTATGTATAATAAAGAATGAACAACTTTAACACTTCATGCTGCATCCCATCTCATGCACAGAGTACCACCTTGGACAACAAACGACAAAAAAACAACACTTTTCCAATCTTTTGATCTTGACGATCAGAATCTTGACTTGATTTGCAACTCCGTGACCAGTCACATGTATGTTATTACAACATACTATTACCTTTGTTAATAGACTGCTGTTCAAACATGCATCATCTTCGTTGGTTTCAATCAATCAATCAATCAAGATGAATCTAAATGACTACATATATATATATAAATATAGAATTCTTAACAAATATATTTATATACTTATATATTTTTAATGGAAACTCGATTGATTGATTGTGATCGATGAGATATTGAATGTATAGTAATTCAATGAGAGTGAAGTGACTATGAGGGAACGTCGATTCATTGAATCATTGGCTTTCACGATGGGTGTCATTCACACCCTATCTGATCACCCACACCCTCAGTTTTTGATCACCACCTCGTGATGATATTAGGAGGGAGTGAAAGATCATTCATTCAAGCAAGCACAGTTCACTTATTTTGTTTTAAAAAAGATAATTACATTATACTATAAATATATATATAATATAAAATACATATACAATGGCATCATTACCAACATGTTACAGTTGTAAACAACCAATAGTTGATGTTTGCCTTTCAGTTTTTGGTCTGCAATGGCATCCCTATCACATCGGATGTAATATATGTGGAAAGGTACAGACATAGATATAGAGATAGATATAGAGATAGAGTTAGAGATTGATATTGAGGTGTGAGGATTGATTGGAGAGTGTAATACATCAATATACTTACTCATTCGATCACTCACTTACTCAATCAAACGATCAAACGATCAAACGATCAATCAAACGATCAATCAAATGATTGAATAGGACTTTGCAGATGGATCTAGATGTGAAGAGGGACCAGATGGCTTTGCTTATTGCTCAAAGGACTTTTTGGACAAGTTTGCACCAAAGTGCTTCAAGTGTCAACAGGCTATATTGGGAAAGGTGACCAATGCATTGGGTCGATCATACCATCCAGAGCACTTTGCCTGCAACACCTGTCAGATGCAGCTGCAAGGCAACTTCTTCCACACCGATGACAACACACCATATTGCGAGCGACACTACTACGACACCATAGGCTTCCTCTGTGGACACTGTGAGAAGCCCATCCTCTCTGGCAAGTGCATCGTCATGGGCACCAAACGATACCATCCAGAGCACTTCTTCTGTTCATTCTGCAAGACTGCCCTTTCGGGTGTTGGGTAGGTATCTCAGTCATTCGATAATGTACATTCATCACTACTAACTCATTCGATCAATCAATCAATCAATCAAACATAGATATAAAAGACAAGGTGATAAACCATACTGCCAAGGTTGCCATTTGAAGCTTTATGGTTGAGCACATTGATGCAGCCAGCACATTGAACGTGTAATGTGGACAACGACGGATGACGACGATCGACAGAGAGAGATACATATAGGAGTTCATACCGAATGGATGGATGAAGGCCTTGTTACAATACAACCACACGATAGATAGATAGATATCAATAAAGGGTCGCGAGAAGATTGGAGTTGACTGGCAATGTCACAGGAACAACGACATCATCAAAGCATCACAAATTTCATTGTGGCCATTGTCCCCAAAGCCTCAGGGGTCCATCCAGATATTTTGATATATGATCAAAACAAGACCAGCATGCTCACGAGCAAGATCAAGATTGATGTTTGGCCGTGCTGGTGCCTGCGGAAGTTGAATGAGTGAGCAAGACCGTGCTGTTTTGAATGATTGGGTCATCCAGCTGGAAGATCATTCATTGATCAATCACTCCAACTAATACGTAACTCAAACAAACATATAAATATATTTAATGATGATGAAGGGGATGGAGAGAGACACAAGTTGCATCAACAATGTGTTCCACAATCACTTGTTGGTCACTACCATCTTTGGACATGTGAGTAGCATGCACAATAGATGGATGAGTCTGCCAAAGCCATCAACCAGATCATCAGAGTATGACAATAACAACACAACAACGACGACGTACCACTGATCAAATCAACGATCAAAGGTAGCCAACTTTATAATATGAGTCTGGTTGACATGTTGCGTTTCAATGCAACACAAATGTTCATCAAGGCATTCGACAGCGTTGCCTCGGACTACCCCGTCGATAACATCACCCTGTTGACATTGGCAATCGACTACAACAACGCAACAGTATTCAACCATCTCATCAACAGACAGCTGATTCGCATCAAACTTGATTGGAGATTGTTCCTTCATGGCAACATTGACCTACTTCGATCCTACCTCGCAGCCACCGGCCACCGAGGGCTGCCCAACCATATGGTGGCCAACCTACCATTTGCTGTTGACTCGGGCAACGTCGAGTTTGTTCGTTTAGTGTTCCAACACCTTAAAATTGACGACAACACTAACTTCCCTAGGTGTTTCGGAGACGAGGAGTCCGAGTTGAAATGCTCCGAGTGCTGCACGAGCTCCACTGTCTGTTTGAGCTTGTTGGCATCTGGGAGCCCGCACTTCAACGTTCTGCCAAGTCCAATATGATGGACAGTGTTCAATACATACTAGACAACAAGCCGCCTCCACTGAGTCTCTCACACACACTCCTCGGTGTTTGTCTTCAACAATGTGCCAAGCATGGCAATGTCGACATGTTCCAAGCATTCATCAGGACATCCGATGGCAATGAGTACCTCAACAATCGTGATATCACACCAATCATTAGGAAGGCGGCCACACGTGGTCAACAATCATTCATCAAGTATCTCTTGAAGCATCATGTTGGCAAAGACCACATCACCAAGGATTGTGAGACACAGATCCACATCTTGTGTCAGATGCCCACCACAACAGGTATATCAATCCACATGGCAATGGGATCATTCGACATGGTCCAGCTTCACAGCGAACAATTGGCGGGGTACATTCGAAACGATGACATAGAAGCAGTAGACGTGCTCCTCTCCTCCTCCGACATTACTGTCAACTTGACTTTAAAGATGTGTCAAATGATGTCCAAGTCGATGGCAACACTCATATTTAGTCGTCAAAGGACCAACAAGTTACGATTTGGTTCAAAAACGTTGGGCAACATTGTGAGTGCCGGCGCACTACCGGGCAGCAACATCACAGTGAAACTCATCCTCGATACAATTGACACTCGATTATATGTGGAGGACAATCTCCGACATGTTATGGAGTCCGCAAGCTGCTACTCTGCTGCACTGATGCAGCGCCTCCACTCCATCCACAGCGTTGATTACCATAATAGTGACTGCCTGGCAAAAGCGTTGGAGAATAGATGCCACGAGGCCATGTCGTTGATTTTCAAGCGACAGTGCATTGGCGAAAAGATTTTTTATGACCATCGTGAGGCCAGGACACAGGCATTCTGTATTGTGTCCAAAGCACCATTGTCCGAGGTGACATTCATTTTGGAACACATGAGCAACATCAGACGCAATGTCGAGGTGTGTGCGTGGGCCGCTAGCAATCCGCATCCAGATGTGCTTGAACATGTCATTGGCCTATTCACTGGCGAGCAACTCAGTGATGGCGAGTTGGTCGCCCGAATACTCAACGAGGCACTCACGAGTAACAGTATAGAAAATGTACGCATCCTACAACGACACTTTGAACAACCTCAGCTTCACCAAACCGAACCACTGGTCAAGCCAAAGTTGAGTGTACTTCACTCAATGGCCAGACAGAATTGCTATCTCACACTGGAGCACTACCTCAGCTCGACAACATTCACTAGCCAACCTTCGCTACACCAACTGCGAACACTCCACTCAATCCTCAATGTTGGTTATGAACACTCCACTCACCGAGTGATCAAGTTGTGCTCTGATCTGATCCAGTCACTCACACTCAATCAATCATTGTAAGTTACATTAGACAACCTTGCGCTCTTCACTCGCTCACTCAGTTAATCATTCAGGACCGAGTCCACAATGAATGTACCATGTAATGTACATCATGCAACATCATTGATGGAGACAGCATTCCACTCGGTGTTCAATGATCCAAAACTTGGTAACATGGTCATGGAACAGATTGGACGTGTTCACAAGTCTCTCGGCATCGATAGTGAATATCTAATCAAAGGTGCACAGTTGATTGACAAACATTGTTTGATGGATTACCTCAAATATGGTGCCACTGAATGGTTCCTCAAGTCATTCTCTCCATCCAATGTTGTCTACGACTCTCCATTGCTAGATGAAGCACTGGTCAGGTGTGACACTCGAGCTGTCGATGTGCTTATGGCCAATCCCAAGCTTGAGCTCATCCATGACTTGAGATACTTTGTCAGGTATGTGGCATGCACACATCCACACTTGGAGAGGATCTTTGATCAATATGTCACGATCGCCAGTCAGACTGAACCATTCTCCACTTTGGATTTCAACGAAACGGTCATGTCAGAAATCAAACATCCATCATTCCTTCGTAAGCTCATTCAGTCTGGCTTTAAACCATCAGCCATTGACAGTGCCATGAATTTCGCCAAAATCGCTCGATCTGATGATGGCTGGCTCACCAAGCCATGGGCGGTGGAAATGCTCGAGTTGTTGACCCAGCATGAGCTACTCTCAAACAAGCTCCATACCCAGCTACTTTACAAGTCAATAGAGCTCAAACAGTCCCAGATACTCCAATTCTATATACAATCAAATCAGATGCCCTTGTCAAAGTTGGAATTGGAAAAGGGAAACATGTTCATTACGATGTGTTGTACATATGGAGTTGAGATTGATCATTTGGAGGCTGCACTCAAAGGCCTTCCATTCAAACAACTGGCACGACTCTGGGATCAATACATAAATTACGCAGCTGAGAATGGACATCTGGCAATACTTCAAAAAATACTCTCATATGGCTCTTGGTGCGATCGTCTTGCATCAGACAAGCTCTTTGGATTACTCCCAAAGGTGTTGCAAAATGGATATTTGGATGTAGCCAACTTCATTCTCAGTTTCCCGCAATCCAAGATATCAGTGGCAATTAATAGCATCCATCACTCAATCATATCCATCGACTTGATTGATCGCCTGCTGACACACCCCAATGTCAACTGTAGATTCAATCGTGTGTTGGGAAGTGCAGTCGAGGCTGGCAATAAGGAGGTCATCAATAAGTTGTTGGGCCCACTCCCAGCCAACAGCCCCATCAAAACGTTCTATCGATATGCTTTGCAACAAGCTGCACTTGTCGGTGATCTGGACAGCATCAGGAGGATAATGGTCATTGGAGGAGTGAAGCTATCGGTCGATGACCTTGGTGCCCTGGTTGATCGAGTTGGACAGCCCAACAGCCTGGTGACAGAGGATGTGATCATTGAGCTGGCCAAGTCCAATTCAGTCGAGCCTCAAGTCGAAAGGTTTTCCACTTTGTTGACCAAGGTTGCCTCCAGCTCACTCGCATTGGTCAAGTTGGTCACTGAGGGATTGTCGAAAGACATGATCCTTACTGCTGATGTCAACGCTGCAATTGAGGCTTGTATCAATCGTGGTGACAATGAATCATTGGAGATAATGATCCAACTATCTAAAACAGTATGCCTCAAGGGGAGACCAACAGAGAGGAGAGTCTTCAGTGCCTTCAAGTTGGAGTCATTCAACTCATCTGCACTCAATCATCTGTTTGATCATGGACATATCAGTGTGGATGATGCCAAGTCTGAGGCTCTGACAGAGTTGGTGGACTGGGCTTGCGAGGAGGGAAAGTTGGACATCTTGCATGTAATCCATCGTCGATGCACCACACCAACACAACTTCAGAGTCATCTTCCATCAATGAAGGCCATTCATTGTGCATCCAACAATAATCATCACAAACTTCTCAGTTACCTTTTCGAAGGCGATGATAATGATGGAACAGTAAGATGTCCAGGATCAAAATCAGCATTCCAACGATCTGAGATCAAGTTGTCTACAATGTCCAACTTGCTCAAAGTAGTTCGACATTGTTCATGTTCGAGAGGACATATCCGTATCATCAACATGTGTGATCGACTATTGGAACAACAACCAGTCAATCAATAAAACCCAATCAAGTCAGACAGCAGTTGACTCTAATAAAATCTATTTGTTGGCGGATCACTCAATCAATCAGTGGAACTATTCCAATCGCTCAATTAATCAATCAATCACCCTCACTACATGTTCAATTCATATGGAGGATAGGGGTTGTCCCACTTTATGGAGACTCGGACAGTGGCCCAAGTGTCTTTGGATAGAGATGTGGATGCTCGACAATGAAGTTGCGATAGTAGAGCAGGACGATCAGAGGCTGACCCAAGACGATGCTGAACCAGAAGATGATGTTGCCAATGTTCTTGCCACTCATGGCGTTCTTGGTCAGGGCGATCAGCACCATCTGACTCATGATGCCAAGGAAGCCCCACATCTTGAGCGAGTGGAACGGTATGCTGATGACCAGCTCGTGGAAGATGGCCGACACAAAGAAGCACATGAAGTAGCCCCAGTTGCGCGACCAGCCTCTGCGACGCATTGGTGTGTAGATCAGCACCACCATCCAGTGATGCACGGGCATGTTCCATGTCCTCCAGAAGTAGTCCAGTCCAGTGCTATTCCACCAGTCTCTGTAGAACTCCCTGTCTCCAAAGCGAGTGATCTCTGCGCAAATGTTCAAATAGAGGTGGAAGAACACGTAGAAGCCTAGCAGCCATACGTAGAGGTTTGGAAGCTAATTGATTGAGTGATTGAGGATTAAGTATGTCAGTAAGTGAGTAAGCTGATTGATTGAGTGGAGCGAGTGGATGTGAGAGATACATACGGACAACTTCATGATCCTCTCGATGATCCTGACCAAGTCATTCTGCTCCATTGGTCTAACACTGTTCTCGACTAATGGTACCATGTATTGCTCAACCATCCAGAATATCAACGCGGACAGGAATACCTTAAGTGATGGAGTGGCTTGTTAGTACATGTGTCAAGATGACCCAACTATGTATACATACAGCCTCGGTCATTCTCCTGAGAAGGAATGACTTTCTAATCCTTGGAGATCTTGGATAGCTCAGCTGATAAACCAATGTTGGTACCAACATGAACCAGTAAACGCCTGCGATGATGTGATTGATTGATTGAATGAGTGAGTGATTGATGGATTCGGATGATTGAAAGATTGATTGAGACATACCACCGAATGATAGATTGTTTGGATAGACAGACTTGTCGGCCTTGTCATCAAACTTTAGACTGCCAAGATGCATGTGACGTTGTTTGTTGTTCTCATAGTGATAGGAGATGAGCTTCATGCTCACACAGCATACCAGTATCATGACGATGATGCCAGATGCTGGATTGGGTGAGAATTCAATGATCGACCAACTTGGTATCACTACAACACCAGTGCAGTTCATGATCCTCAGGTAGTAGCATATCGATGTTGGTAGTACGTTCTTGGCCGCGGCCAACTCAATGAAGAGGGCCATCACAATGAAGAAGTTGAGACCTGATCGATGTGAGGTATGTATGAGTCAGTGTTGATCGATCAAGCTTGATGTGATGTAGTTGGGACACACTTACCCAAGGTGATCATTGCGCCTGGCCATCTGTGCCACTCAGACACAGCGAGCAGACCAAGGTCAATGCGTATACCATAGGTGAGATGATTGAGGATGACCAGACGGAATGAGGCAAGGATCATCAAGAGTACGAGCAGGTTGAGGAAGCCTCGGTAGCTGGCACCGGTGGACTCACTGCTCAGCAGTGATGGACGAAGTGCATACAGACCTGCCTCCCTAGGCAGGTTAGATGTTGTTGCCCATCCCTCCAATGTTGCAGATGTCACTACTGTCTTTGTTGTTGGTGTTGTTGTTGTTGTAGTTGTGGTCTCATCCTTGCCTGACTGTTGTTGTTGTGGTACTGGTGCGACCTTGACTGGAACAGACATATTGTTATTGATTGGTCTTGTACCATTGTTGGCAAGGTTGGCAGCTCTGTTGGCTTGGAGTTGTTGTTGCTGATGATGATGGTGATGCTGATGATGATGATGTGGCTGCTTCAAAAAGTGCTCCGAGTCTGACTCTGACTCTGTATCAGACGTAGACCTCTGTGGAGCATTGATCCTCGATTGATTCCTATCCATCTTCTTGACCTCATGATTGATGAATCTATTTCTAACTCTCTGTATCTCAAACTCTCTATCATTTACAACTCCATTAATCTTCTTTTGTTGTTGTTTGGGTTGTTGTTGTTGTTGTTGTTGAGGTGGCAACACCTGCTGAGTCGTCGTCGACTGTTGAGGTGGTTGTATTGGTTGACTCATTGTATCTCTATCTATCTATCTTTATACTTAAATATAAGTAGAGAGTTGAGTTGAGTTGAGTTTGTGAAATGAATGAAGTGACTTGTTCAAGATCTCAGGGGTGAGGGGTCACGGCTTCTTAAAGACTCACCAAGTCATTCACACAGACAAGTTGTCACATCTTACCAAAATTATAAATGATGATGATGGCTACAGATTCGAGATCATTATGTTCCATATTTGGATACTGATCAATTAACACGCGATCTGGTTGAAATAAAAATTAGATTGGGTTATAGACTCTGGTCTGGCATATGATCACAACCCATTACTATATCCGACGTTTGTATGTGTGTCGGGTTTACCCAATGATCAGGTCATCATTAAATTGAATTGAATTGAATTGAATTGAATTGAATTGAATTGAATTGATTGATAGACGAATTGAACACAGTATGTAGAGGACTTTAAGGCCTTTGTCCAAGTTAAGGTTTGTTTAGCCCCCCAGGGAAGATAGACAAAGTAGTTTGAGCCGATTAGTAGTGTGTGTGTGTGTGATTGAACTGGTCAATGGTCTACATACACACAGCCCTCCCTTCATTCGTGTGAAGGAGATGGATGGGATGAACAAGCAAGCAAAGCTAGCTACACTTATGTTTTAAATGAATATTGTGTGTGTGAGTGTATCAGTGTGTTAGTAATACATCCTAATAAGTACATTAGTGTTGCCATCTCTCTTGTGATTACTGATGAGTTTGAAGTGGAGTGAGCTCACACCTAGTCTTAGACAAACAGGACAATGTCATTATCCTAAATTTCAAACAGATAAAGATACAAATATTATTATTATTATTATATACATACATATATTATACATTTATTATTATTAATATTTAGTTGACTTACTTGACTGACTTGACAGACTTGACTGAGTCCAACGATCAATCCATCACAATACATAAAGACAAAGAAAAAGGGAAATGGATTCAAAGAACTTCTTGCCAACTATAGATGTCAATCTATTATTCAATCTCCGTTATGATGCACTGAAGGACAATATGAATGTATGATCACTTTGATTGATTGATTGATTGATTGAATGAACGAATGATTAACCCTTGCCCTACCAGAATGCACAAGATCTTCATAATGCGATGAATGAAGCGAATATCAAATATCATCATATGTTTGATGTTCATTCGACAGAGCATAAGAGGTTGACGAATGAGACGGTGAAGGCAGTGTGCAAGTTGAATAGGTTTAGAGTGGAGGACGTAAAGGATGATCCAAAGAAGTTCTTGGGATTCTTGTTCACGTTGTTCACGCACGTGGACTTCTCCACCGTGGCCAAGATGGTGATCCACTTCCAACTGTTTGGTGGCACGATCATGGAGGTGGGCACAGAGTATCATCACAAGAAGTACTTTGACGACATCAACAAGTTCAACATTGTCGGTGGCTTTGCCATGACTGAGATGGGGCATGGATCCAACGTCCGTCAAATCGAGACCTCCACCTCCTACGACGGTCTCACAAAGGAGTTGGTAATCAACTCCCCATCATTATCCAGTACAAAGTTTTGGATTGGAAATGTATCCAGTATGTATAACTTAGATTGATTGATTGATTGATTGATTGGATCACTAACATATATCAATAATCAATCTTTTAGTGTTTGGAACTCATGTTGTATTGTTCACAAAGTTGATCTACAAGGGTGAAGACAAGGGTGTTCATGTCGTTGTCGTTCCAATTCGTGATCCAAAGACCATGGAACTATATCCTGGTATTCAACTTGGTGATTGTGGTCACAAGATTGGTTGGAATGGTATTGATAATGCTTGGATCAGGTTCAAGAACTGCAGGGTACCAGTGGAGAACTTGTTGAACAGGTTCGCAACTATCACTCCCGATGGAGAGTACCTTACCAAGATTGCCTCACCTGGCAAACTATTCCAAATTACCATTTCCCAACTTGTCTTTGGCAGACTACTATATATCTGTGGTCCACTATTCGTTATGAATGCTGGACTCAAGACTGCCATCAGATATGCCTTTAGTCGACGTCAGTTTGGAGACAAGGGCAAGGAAGAGAGTTGTAAGTTATCACTTTCATTCATTCACATTCAATCAAATACTAACATATTCATTAAATCAAAGTGATCATTGATTATGCAACTCATCATAGAGTGTTGCTACCAATGCTGGCCACAAACATTGCCTTTGAGTTTAGCAGGAATTGGGTCATTGAGAATCTGTTGGAATCACGCCAGTCTGAGGAGAAGACAGAGGAGTATCATGCTGTGGTCAGTGGAGTCAAGGCAATGGTAACAGAGACTTGCTCAACCGGCCTGTCCAAGCTCCGTGTGCTCTGTGGTGGCAATGGTATATCCTCGTACAACTACTTTGGCTACTTCCGTGGCGAGCTGGACGTGTTCCAGACGGCAGAGGGCGATGGCAATGTGCTCTACCAGCAGCTGGCCAAGTTCCTGTTGAAGGAGTACAAGAACTGGTACAAGAACCACGGCATGAAGGTTACATCATGAAGGAGGTACAGAGCTTCCTGGCCACGTCCAACCCCATCCACACCCACTACCGTTCTATGCCCTACCTGCTCTCCAACGACTTCCATCATCAAGCCTTCATCTACAGGTTCGAGAGGATGAGATCAGTGGTCATCGATCATCTCAACATCTGCAAGGGCAAGGGCATGACCTTCATGGAGAGTTGGAACGCAAGCTGTAAGTAGTCTTTGGAGTCCCATCCTGTCGCCAAGGAATGATGCACTAACATAATCATATAATCAAACATAGTGACACACATTGTTGACATGTCCAAGAGCTATATACATCTCCACATGATTGAGATCAGTCACAGGATGATCCAGAAGTGCTCTGATCCAATCACCAAGCATGTACTCAATGATCTGATCAAGTTGTACGCCATGTCCAACATCGAGCAGGACTTTGGCTTCTTTAGAAACTGGAACTATCTCTCGGGTGGCAAGGCATTGGCACTGAGCGAGGCCATCTCCGAGCTCTGTAACACACTGAAGCCTTACGCACTGTCCATTGTGGAGTCGTCCAAGGTCTATGACGAAGGATTTGACATCCCAATCGCCAAGAAGGACCTGGACTATGTGCGCCACATGGCAGATCGCGTCGGCATTCCACACAGCAATCTCTAAGGTCTGCTGTGTTCCCCATTTGGGACAATATCATATGCACAACAATGTTGTTGAACAGATCAAGGCAAGGCAGGCAAGGAATAGAAGGATGGAAGCAAGAAGAACGAACAAAAGGATGTACATACATTGAATGAATGGAATGAATAGAGAGTACCAACAAACAGATATAATAATATAATATAATACAAGACAGATACTAGATACAGATACATATATATACATTCATTATATCTTCAACTTTTTGGATACATCAATTAATAATGGACCATTGGTTGGCGCGGATGTACGTGTCCATCCATCACGAAGCACCTTTTGGAGCTGGGCTGGCAGGGGATCGGGCGACAGGTCATCGGGCTCGAAGCTCTCCAACAGCTTCTTGATCTGGAGCAGGTTGAGCTTCTGGAAGATGGGCTTGATAGCCTCAACATCAACAAATATCGACTTGTCCAGGACGAATAGGTTGGCAGCTTCCAATGATGAGTCCAACTGATCACTGATTGACTTGTAGTTGGTGGTGGAACACCATTCCTTTAGTCGCGACACTCCCATCTTCACCTTGAATCCCATCGTAGCACGGCACACATGTGGATTCTGTAAGAAGTTGTTTGTTATCTGTGCATTGATAAAGTAGAATACTTGGCTGTTGTTTGTTGTTGTTGTGTGTAAGTCAATCATGGTCATGGTGCCAAGGCTTTGGAATAATGTAACATACTTTAACAGTTGACTTGCGATCTTTGAACAGACTCTGCCTTCCTCAAGGAAACAGATGATAGAGTCCAAGAATGCCAACAACTTGTTGATTGAGTGAGTGGGCTTTGATGTTGATGGCGATAACTTTGAAGCAGCCTTCTGGCTTTCAAGTATAATACTATCTGGAACAAAGATTGATGGTAACAATAACTTCTCCAGTTTCTTTGGACATTGGATATAAGGTTAGGGTCAGGAATTGATTGAGTGATTGAATCGGGATACTTACAGACTCAATGATGGATATTAGTTTGCTGTATATATTGAGATTGAGTGATTGTAGATCACGGACGAATGATCCACCAGACTCTTGAGATGGTGTTACAAACATTGTTACAAAGATCTCAATGCCAGATATAGTCGGATCAGCTGATTGTGGTATCAGTGCCTAATTTGGAAATGATAAGAGAGTTAGTGTCAATCCATACACATGGATTATGGTGAATAAAGTTATATCATACACTCTGTTGTAGCTTCTGTAACAAATGGACAATGGTTGAGAACCAGTAACATATTACTTTACAATCAACACCTGATCTCTGTTGTGTGGAGAGTTTGTTAGTCATCACTGGAACTATTCCAATCACTCAATCAATCACTAAACTTTTGGACACATACCACAAATGACTTCTCCAGGGCGTTTGTGATCTTGGACAGTATCCTCTTGTTGTCTGGCTTGGATACACCTCCAATGGAATCGATCAACTGCCAAACACTGATTCCGCTGTGTGGAGCATCATTACGGTCAAAGTCGAGCTCGGGCCAGTAGATACTTCGTTCGATGTTCTGAAGATCCTCCAACTCAATGCGTGAGTTGTCCTCTTTGTACTTGATCAACTCTGTCTTGGCCTGTTGCAACTGCTGTTTGACATGATCAGAGTCCTTGGTTGCATTGTTGAGTCGCACCTCCATTGCACGAATACCCTCGTTCAGCTCATCAATGGTGGCCTGTTGCACTTGTACCTGGCCATTGAGTCGATCCATTTCTTCATTGTTTTGGTGGTTGTTGTTGTTGTTGTTGTTTTTGTTGTCATCGTTGTTGGTAATAGTGGTGGATTGTTCAGTGAGGCTTTGGACTGAGTCTTCATACTTGATCTTGTTCTCGATGAGTTCTTCCTCCTTCTCCTCTAGCTCCTGCTTCAGATCCTTGATCTTTCCCTTGTACTTCTCTATCCTTTCCTTAAGCTCATCAATATCCTCTTCATCGCTGTCACTGTTGTTGTTGCTGCTGCCTTGTTGCTCTTGCTGTTGTTTGGCCTCATCAAGCTCGGTCTCGAGTGATACCACTCGCTCATTAGCATCGCTTAGCTCCTTCTTCATACCCTTGAGTTGGCCACTCAACTCATTCATCCTCTGTCTTGCATGCATTGCTTCATCTTGATGATCTCCAATCGTCCTCTTGTATCTTTCGACTTGATCATTGAGTGATTGGGCCTCGCTCCTATCCTCCTCTGCTTGGTCCCTGAGTGATTGCACAATTTCTTGTAGATTGGTCCTCTCCTTCTTCTCCTTGTCCACTTGGTCCTTGAGTGATTGGATCAGTGTGCTGGCTGATGCGCTTGCTTGTTGGACATTAGAGTCTGATTGTTCCTTGAGTGATTGGATCTCTGCTTGCAGGTTTCCAATGGTGCTCTGGTGCTCGCTTGCTTGATCCTTGAGTGATTGGATCTCTGATTGAAGACTTCCAATGGTGTCCTGGTACTCACTTGCTTGATCATTGAGTTGTTTGATCTCTGATTGAAGGTTGTCAACGGAGTCCCGGTATTCTCTTGATTGATTTTCCAGGAACTTGACATCTGATTGAAGGTTATCATTGTCTTTCTTGTCCTCCACTGCTTGGTCCTTGATTGATTGTAACTCAGACTTTAGAGATTGGTTGACTTGTCGTAGTTCCATCAAATTGCTCTCCATTGCGTGTATGATTGTGGCTTGCTCATCGACTGTATGACCAGTACCTCGCAGTTCATCAATCTGTTGATTCAACAACTTGATCTGTGATTCCAACTGCTCTTTGACCTTCTCCAGCTCATCATTCTTTGTGGTGGCATCCGCGGCTTGTTCTGTGAGCGCACTGATCTTGTCCTGGTTGTCCATGTCCAGCTGCATCAATGAGTTGACCTGTGATCGGACACGATCAATCTCCGTATTGAGACCACTGACTTGGCTGACCACGGATTGTTCATTCGCTGCCAAATCCGTCAAAGCCTTTTTGTGGCCCTCCTCAGCCTCGGCAAACTTGGCCCTCATTGCTGCCAACTCTTCCTCGTGCTGCGTCTTGGCTCTCTCTGCCTCCTTGCGGGCCTCACTCTGTTGCAGCAGGTTCTTCTCGTTGGCGGCATTCAAACTTTGTTCGAGTTGCGCGATGATCTGTTTGAGTGCTGCGGTGGCGTCCGGCTGCTGGACCACGGCGGGCTGTTTCCGCGAGTCCTCCTTCATCTCGTTGATGAGCAATCCCTCCAACTCCTTGATGCGCTCCTCCAGCTTCCTCTTCTCCGAGTTGATTGTGATCATCTGACTCTGCATCGTGGCAATGTCGTTCATCTCTTTGGAGTTCTGCTTCTTCTGGATGCGCAGCTGCTCGATCAGCTCCTTGTTGTCCGATTGCAATGTGGTCACCTGTGCAGTCAATGTGTCGATCTTTGTTGTGTACTCTCCAATGACGTTGTCGCCAATCGACTTTGATCGCTCCCTGATACGCTCCATGTCGTTGAGCATGCGCTTGACCTCCTCCATCTTCTCGTCGCGGTCCTTGGTCAGACGCGACACTGACACATTTGTCTTCTCCAGGTCGCTCTTGAGCGTCTTGACCTTCTTCTTGTACTTCCTCAGCTTGGTCTCTGGTGTCTCATCCTTTGGCTCCTTGCTGGCGACACGTGGTGTCGTCGAGATGCTTGTGGCGGCAGTGCTGCTCGTGGACTCTGGCTTGGCATGGTCCTTGTGCAGAGGACTCGAGTCGGCTTGTTTGAGTGATGACACTGATGATGCAGAGGCGGCATCGTCCTCAAAGCTGGCGACCTCATCCTCCTCATCGCCTTCGCCCTCCGAGTCATGGTCGCTTGTCAGATTGAAGTCGGTTGCTTCTGGATCACTCATATCTGGCTCTGTCTTTAAGAAATACTCGCTGCCATCAACTTGTATCGCCTGTTTTCCCAGTCCCGCCAATATCTCCTTCTGTAGAGGGTCCTCAGTCTTGATCAAACTCTTTCCATTCACTTTAAGTAATGATGATTGGAATGATACCTGTGGTTGATTGATTGATTGATTGAGTGAGTGGGATGGTTCCATGGGGTTTAGGGGGGAGTGATGTGATCAAACATACAGATAGGTTTGCGGTGGCCTTTGACTTGTCATTGATTGGGAATGTCCTTGATCGCTCAGTCTTGCTCTCGGCATATTGAGAAAGGTCCACCTCGACGGTGCCTAGTAATGAGCTGGTCTTCTTGCCCTTGTCTTTATCTTTGGGATCCTTCTCCTTGTCCTCTGTGATTGAGAACTTTATCTTCTTGGGCTGGTACAGTCCCTTCTTATCTTTGAGCAACGAGGCATTGATAGTGAATGGATGATCGATGATGGCCGTACCATCTTTAGCCACACAATGCTTTGATTCGCCATGATTGTCTGGCTTCTTGCCACGTTTCCATGATACCCAAACAGTACTCTTTGATGTCCTTGGTAGACCTTCAATCCTATTAATCCTTATATTATATTGTATCTTTACAGTATCCTTTGAACTCGATCCCTTTGATCCAAAGAATGATGATCCAGTCGTTGCCGAAGTCGATGACTTTTGCATTCTTCTCTTGTCTGTATGTATGTCTGTGTAGGTGGGTATGTATAAGTGTAGTGTATCTGTTGTATTATTATCTATATCTATATGTATGAAAAACTGAATAAATGATGGATGAATGAATGTAAAGACGATGTTTTTGATTGATCAATCAAACAACCCCTACTTGGTTGATTGCCCCCAGGCCTGTCAAAAGTGATCAGATGACCACCCCCACCATCCACATACATACCGACGAATGAGTTTCAAGGTATGACATCACGACATGTCGTGACCATGATCGGTCCATCAAGTAGTGGAATGTGATTCGTTTGCAGTCCTGTAGGAGGTTCACACAACAAAAGCATGCTTTATTCGTTTAGCCTTACATTCCATTGTCAGTGACTTCGTCATTGACTGTGGTCTTGGTGATGGTCTGGTCTTGAGTGCCTTGCATTGCTGTCTTCGTTGTTGCATCGGTGGCATCTTCATCATCTTCTTTATGATTTACTATATTTACAGTTGTCGTTGTACTTGTTGTTGTCGTTGATGGTTTTGATGTTGTTTCCAGTGGATCATTGTTGTTGTTTGTATCCTGTCCTGGTTGTTGATCATTGTTTGATGATGATGAAGTAGATGATGTTGATATTGTTGTTGTTGGTTCTGCTGCTGCTGTTGGAGTGGCACTGTCAATGTCTTGATCATCTTGATCCTGATCCTGCTCCTTTTGTTGAGCAACAAATGTATCCAAGTCCAAAGCAATATCATCCCTTGGAGAGAGTGCACCACTGTCTGGAGTATCCATGCCCTGCTTGCCCAGTTCCTTGCCATTGGAGGTCTTGGACATCTTGCTACCAACAACCAGATCGCCTGCCTGTGTGTAGATCGGCTCGCTGCTGCTTGGATCCTCGACCAAGGCGCGAAGATGTGAGTTCAGACATCTCTGCAGGGAATTACCCTTCTCAATACCATAGCCTCCCTCGAGCACCGAGATGACACGTCCACGTGAGTGCTTGGCCGCCACAGCCTTGATCATGTTGGTCACTGTGTAGTAGTCCTCCTCGCCAAGCTTCAGTCCGTTGGTTGGGTCGTCCTTGTGGCCGTCAAATCCAGCACTGATAAAGATCAGCTGTGGCCTGTAGGCCTCGAGACGCGGGATGATCTTCTTGGTGAATGCCTGCAGGAATGTCGCTGAGCCACTGTTGATCTTGAGGCCAACGTTGAGCACGTTGCCATCGTAGGTGCCGTCGTCGCGGAGGTCACCAACATCTCTGCCCGTACCCGGGTAGAAGTAGCGCTTCTCGTCGCACACGTGGATCGATATGAATAGGAAGTTGTCGTCACCGCTCAGAATCTCTTGTGTGCCGTTGCCGTGATGCACGTCAAAGTCGACGACGGCAATACGGGAGTAGCCCGACGTCAGTGAGGCATACTTGGCGCCAATGGCCACGTTGTTGATCAGGCAGTAGCCTTGGGAGGGAGCGTCGCTTGTGCGGCCAAAGCGGCCGGCATGATGGCCGGGAGGACGGATTGCGCAGAATGTGTGGTGGTAGCCGAGCTTGGTGACGGCGTCGACTGCAGCGCACACGGCACCCGATGCGCGGAGGGCGGCCTTCATTGAGCGGTGACTGAGGAAAGTGTCGTAGATCTCTCCTTCGTCGTCCTGCTTCTGAGAGACGGCGATCATCGCGCCCGTCTGGTCCGACTCGAGATGTGTCTCGTAGGTGGAGTTCTCGGACGGCAGCTGGGTCTCGAGCTTCTTGATGTAGTGTGCGTCGTGCACGGCCATCACATAACGCATGTCGACCTCGGGTGGTGTGCTGTAGATCTCGACCACCTCTGGATACCTGTTCTTAAAGTCGGTGATCGTGTCGATGGCAACTCGAATGCGGTCCGGCTTCTCAAGATGGAAGCCCGGAACAATGTGCTCCATGCACGAAGTATGATATATGAACAGTGTCTTATATGATGCTGTTGCTGGTTGTGGTGGTTTGTCCAGAGTTGTCGTCGTTGTTGTTGTTGTAGTCGAGACAGTGTTGTTGTTGTTGTTGTTGTTCTCAATCTCGCCACCATGTAACAGAGATGCGGGGGCGTCCAAGGCAAAGGCCAGTGGGATATCGTTGTTGTGGAGGTCGATGCGCTGATTGACTTCAAGCAGTTTGTCGCTGATCCTCTTCTCGCACTCGCCAATCTCTGTCGAGTAGAAGTACTCGTGGCCCCAGTAGACGCCCTCGATCAACGAGATCATGGCGTTGAATGCGCCAATCTCGCTCTCGATTGAGCTCTGTCGACTGTTGATGTCCATCGTGCGCTCGGCCACTGTGTTCTTGGAGAGCAGCGCCTCGATACGCAGGTCGTTGCTGCGCTTGGTGATGGAGTCGCGCACCGCGTCAAAGTTGGAGAGCGCGCTGCGCACCTTGGAGATCTCCTCGACCAGCTGGTCCTCTTGCTGCTTGAGTTGCTGCAGCTCGCCGGCTGTCTTCTTGAGCTTGTCATCCATCGCGTTCAGCTCGTGCGACACGATCACCTCGTTGTGCTTGTCGCGCTCGACGTCCACCTCAAAGTTGTGGTGTATCTCCTCAATGGTCTTGTGCGCCGTGTCGATGGCGATGACCAGCACGTTGCGTGCGGCCGTGCAGAGCTTCTCGATCATTGTCGACATTTGATGGTGCTCAAAGACCTGCTCGATGGCGCGCTGTATTGGAACGTTGCGTGTGTCGTCGTTGGAGGGCGCAACGATGGCATTGTCGTCCATGCGCTTGAGCTCCTGCTGCATCTGTAGGAGAGTCTGAGCAGAGGCCAGGTTGCGCTTGAACATCAGGCCCAGCTCCTCGATCTCACGCCACACCATGGAGTAGTCGTTCGACCAACGGATAGTGCGCAGACGGCTGATCGTCGCCACGAGGCCATTGAACTGCTCGGCTGTCTCTGCGCTTGGGTTGGTGATCAGTGAGTTGAAGAACTTGATCGAGCTGAAGCTCTGGTCGATGAAGAAGTCCACAGAGGTCTCTGGGTCGCGCTCAGGTGACAGGATCGAGTGGTACTGGAAAGCGTCCTGTGAGTCTGAGTCGCCGCCCGATGTGGCCGAGTCGCCAGCCTGTCCACGCTTGCGTCCACTGCGCAGCACCATCTGTTCCGAGTCGCCGCCAGTCTGTTTCTTCTTTCTCTTGCCCGGGCCGTACATAGCGGGGTCCTCGACCATCGGGGCCTGTGTGCCTTGCAACTGTAACTGCTGTTGTTGCAGCATCTGAGAGACGGTCTGTGTGGGTGCCATGGCCGAATGGCTGGCCTTGGGTCCGCGCGTCTTGCGTGGCGGCAGCGACTCCATTGGCTGGGCGATCATCTCTTGGACCCATCTCGTGCGCTCACGAAGCTTGCCACGGTTCTTGGACGACAGGCATACCCAGCACACCCACTTTGGCTGTCCTGGCTTGTTGCCATACTTCTGAACCAACAGTTCTGTGCAGCTATCACAGAAGCCAAAGGCACAATCTTCATTGGCGCAATGATTCAATGACTTGGCCTCACCACAGATGCCACATACAGTGTCCTTGTTGCCCTTCTCCTCGATGAAGAACTAAAGGGTGTGAGAAAGAGAGTTAGATGGTTGTTAGCTCGACATGTATGGATCGATGGGGATGGATGGATTGAACTTACTCCTTTACCAAGTGCTTCGTATAGCTTGCTCTCGGACCGGATGGCATGGGTCTTGCATGTTGGGAAGAGTAGTGGACGCAGGAGCTTGAGGGAGCGATCGGCCTTGGTGCAACCGGCGTACCAACATGGCCTGACCTCCAGGCTGTATGACAGACTCTTCTTGAACAACTTGTTCTCTTTATCCTCGGACTGCTCAGTCATCTCTTCATCCTCATTTCCTCCAATTATTGGTTGTTCCGTGGTCGTGGTTGTGGACTCTGCCGCTGCTGTTGTTGCTGGTGCTGTCGACGTCGTAGTCGTCGTCGTTGTCGTTGTAGTGGATGTGGTGGCGGGTGTCTGATCCCCTTCTTCCTCTTGTTGCTGTTGTTGTTGCGCAGCCTGTTGTGCTTGAGCCTCTTGGGCAGCCTTCTTTCGACTGGCCATCTTTGGATGTCTGGGCTCGCCTATATCACCATCCTCGTCCATATACTTTCTTGGCTTCTTAGGCTGTCTCTTGAGTTGTGGCGACTCCAAATCATGTGGAACTTGATCCTGCTCCTGCTCCTTTCTCTCCTCGGCACCTATTTGTTCTACTGTCTCCATCGACTCTGATGCCTCTGCATTCTGCTCGGTATTATCCTCCTTTGTCTGCTCCACCTGTTCAGTTGTCTCTGTATTGTTATCCTTCTTCTTCTGCTGTGGAGGTGGAGGAGGCTTCTGTCTTCCACGTCTCTGTAGTGTGGATGCGTGTGTTAGTCTCGTGGACTGCGCGTGCATATCTGGTACCTTGTACTTGTACTTACTCCTGCTCTTCCTCCACGTTTGGCATCCGCTGCCGCCTGTCTTGGACTGAGCTGCTCGTCTAACTGTTGGTCGCCGGTGGTCGTAGCCGAGGCGGTGTCTGGCTCGATCGTCGAGTCTCCGCTGACATTGTTGTCCTCCTCAGATTGTTGTGAACCAATCGCTCCTGTATCTCCATCGCTCTCTGATGGCTGTTGCTGCTCTGACAACTTCACACCCCTGCGATTCCTCTTGTTTGTATTGGTAGTATTTGTGGTCGCGGTCGTAGTAGTTGTAGCGTTGGCATGTGTGTTGTCGGTGTCCATCTCAACATCAACGGTGTTGTCTACTGATGGAGTTGCAGCAGTTGCCACGAAATTGGTGGCATTTGGAGAAGTATGTGTGGATGTTGTTGTTGAGGCAGCAGCTGGTGGCGAGGGTGACTCTGTCACGCCAGCCTTCTTCTTATTATTAAGGCGAACTGAACGTGAGCGTGTGTCCATCTCGAATATATCTTCTTCTTCTTCTTATACTTCTACTTCCTCTACTTCTTCTTTTCTTTCTTTGATTGAGTCGTGTCCGTGTATCCAAGGTACCAAGGCAACTAACTCTTTGGATGGATGGATGGATGAATGATTAATGTTAGTTGGGTGTTGTAACAAATTATAATTTGTTAAGAGTCATGGAACAAGTCGTGAGATGACACGTGTGGAAGTATGGTGGAAGTTGGTTGGCAACAGGTTGGCAACAGGTGGAAGTTGTGGAAGTTGCAATGGAAGTTGTAGTGGAAGTATGTTACGGCACATGATCACCAGACACAAACATTTCCATATTCGTCGTTGCAGATGCGCATTGGTGAATGTTGGTGAGTGTGAGTGTGGTGGATGAATGAATGAATGAATGGAATCCAAAAATGGTATGGATAAACAATTACCAAAGATATAGAGAGATACAGAGATCCAGAGAGTTATGTATGTATATATATATCTATCTCTGTTCTACATAAACAGGATGACCTTCAAACAATTGCTACGAACGGGGCAGGTCAGACCCCCTTATATGCGTTTCCGTCCATCACGTTCAAGTTTGTTTGGTTTGATGCGTGTTTGGCTGGTGGGTGTGACTCTGTGGGTGTGTGTCTGTTTTAGGCGTGTTTTTTGGGGAGTATGGTGTGTGAAAAATCAAAAAATTCAACAAGAAGTTCCAAGGCTCGCGCACATTCAGCTGACTTGACTCACGTCCATCTCTCGTGTGTCAAGTGATCGTTCGGGGAAAGACACTATGTATGACATGACATGATGTGTTGTCGACTAGACACTTCCTTCCACGGTGATGCAGCCGACACCTCTTTGGGATGCCATGTGCCAGAAGACAACAATAAACACTCCAGGAAACATGATTGATTGAATGAATGAATGGTTGATTGAAGTTGGATGATGGACAAGACTCGACCATTCATTCATACAATACTTGTGATAGCAATGCAATGTGTTCCATCCATGGTATGTGCGTGGGTGGGTTGTGGTTGATGGCCAGACAGCCATGATCATGTGTGGAACGACGTCAAGAGGAACTAGACACAACAAACGAATGATCGACAAAGTTTCCATCTCCACTCACTCGTCGAAGTTGTGTTCCACAAGTATTGTTGTAGTGATGGTACATACCAAGATGTCAATGGGGTGGTAGGTAGGCACAGTGGATGGACTCCTACGCAATAATATAAGTATAAGTATAAGTATAAGTTATATATATATGTAGAAGTTGGTGAGTTATAAAGATTTAAAGATGATGAGCGTGTGTGTGTGGGTCATTGTTTCAAAGATGTGAAAAGATTGGGTCCACTTGATCGAGTCTCCTTTTTGGTGTACCTGACTGATGTCAATCAATCATTAATGAATGATCGATGATTAATCTATTACAACGCACTTTATCATCTGAAGTACCTGCAATCAGAGAGGGCCAGAATGCCAATGGGCTGGTGTCCTGGCGCTGGCTCCATGAAGGAATAGTCGAGGTGACGCCCAAACAACACTGTCATGAGGATCAATCTGTCGTGTTGTCCGCTGGTATCCATGGAAATGAGACCGCACCCATCGAACTCCTCGATCGTCTGGTCAACGATATCATGAATGGCCAAATACCACTCGCAGTTAGGATGTTGGCCATCATTGGTAACCCGATGGCCGTGCGATCAGACCAAAGATACATCAAAGCAGACATGAACCGAATGTTTGGCGGACGCCATTCCAAGTTTGAACCTAGTGAAGAGACCGCCCGTGCCCAGCTCCTAGAGTCAGTGGTCCGCGACTTTATCAACACTAGCACTACGTGTATCCATCTTGACATGCACACAGCCATCCGTCAATCGCTTCTTCCTCAGTTTGGTGTCCTGCCTTTCAATGTACCTGGTACCCCTCCCAACCCCAAGCTGCTGGATCTGCTCGACGCCTCAGGTCTGGATGCACTAGTCTTACATACCGAGCCTGGTGGCGCATTCACTCACTACACCGGCGAGCTCACAAATGCTTCAAGCTGCACACTGGAGCTGGGCAAAGCCTTGCCACTGGGGCACAACAACTTGGATCAATTCACATCATACGATCAAGTTATGCGATCCCTCGTCAGCGGTGGATGTACATCACCAGCCATGGCCAGTAGAAGTGCACGATCACCGATCAGAGTGTTCCGTGTTCTTCGCTCAGTCATCAATCCAGTTGAATGGATACTGTTTCCAAACACCAACGTAGCACTTGGACTTCGTGCCGGTATTGTCCTGACCGAGGTACCAAGAAGTACATTATTCCAATCATGATGATCATAATAATAATAATATCTGTGATTGATCGATCGATTGATTGATTCAAAAAGGGTATCAGACGTTTATATCACTCTTGTAAACAATTTGTAGTTGTAGTGTTGCATGTTGTTATGATTGCTTGATGAGATGCGAGAGTGGCCCATCATCCGTCACTCAACAGCGCAGCCATTAGACTACTTTAGTTCAACTTGGAGCAGACGGCATTGGTGAAATCGGCAGTGCCGGACTTGCCACCCAAATCCTTGGTGATGTGCTATATGATTGATTGGATCATGATGGATCATGATTGGATTGAGTTAGTGATCATGTGATCATGATTGATTGAATGATTGATCAAACATACCTTTYCCTTCACTGATGGTTGTTAGTACAGCCTTCTCAATCTTGGAGGCGTGGTCAGCGAGACCAAGGTGACGAAGCATCATGATTCCAGAGAGGAGCAAGGCGGTTGGGTTGGCCTTTCCTTGACCAGCAATATCTGGGGCGGTACCGTGGACGGCCTCAAAGATGGCAGTGCCATTCTCGCCGATGTTTCCAGATGGGGTGAGACCCAATCCTCCAATCAGACCTGCGCACAGATCACTGACAATGTCACCATAAAGGTTTGGCAAGACCATGACGTCCATCTTGGATGGGTTGAGGACCAACTATATATTGTGTGTGAGGGAAGGTCAATCATTGTGATCCATGTAATCCATGATCGATCATCGATCACATCCATTATGATCATACCTGCATGCAGTTGTTATCAACGGTCATCTCTTCGTATTTGATTGATGGGTAACGAGTGGAGACCTCTCTGCAGGTCTTGACAAAGAGACCGTCGGACTGCTTCATGATGTTGGCCTTGTGGATGCATGTGACCTTGCTTCTGCCCTGGGCAATGGCGTATTGGAAGGCGTAGTTGGCGACGCGAGCCGAAGCCTCCTGTGTGATGACCTTGATGCTCTGGGCAACGCCCTTGACTGGCATGTTCTCAATTCCCGAGTACTCACCCTCGGTGTTCTCTCTGATGACGACGGTGTCGACGTCGTCGTAGCGGGTCTTGAAGCCTGGGATCGATAGACATGGACGGACGTTGGCGTACAGGTTGAAAGTCTTGCGCAGTGCCAGGTTGAGCGACTGATGGCCAGTGCCGATGGGTGTGGCCAGTGGGCCCTTCAGACCGACCTTGTTGCGACGGATCGACTCGATCACATCTGTTGACACTCCAGTCTGAGCGTTGACATTGACTGTCTCCCACTCGATTGGTGCCTTTGCAGCGGCAAAGATAGTCTTGACAGCGTCTGAAATCTCTGGTCCAATACCATCACCAGGGATCAATGTTGGACCTTGATGTTCTATAATATATGTGTTGTGATGATGTGATGATGTGTGTGAGACACTCCATTCCTGTGATTGACTGATTCCCTGTCGTTTGATCGATTGATTGATCTGTATATATATCTTGATATAGAGATATATAATATAAGAGATACTTACGGCTGTAGAGTAGTATCTGATTGAGGTTCTGGCAACCGATTGCAAGGCAGAGTACTTGAACATTGTGTTTTGTATTTAGATGTGTATAAATATTGTCTGTCTGTGTGTGTAATGTTATGAGTAGTAGTGTATGAATCTAAACTATGAAGCATCACTTGGTGCACAAGCATTCGGGTTTCCCAGGTCATAATCATCTGTGTGTGTAGTTTTGCTGTTGTCATGATGAGAGTACACGAACGACAAACGAAAAAAAAAATAGGTGTTGTGTGTTGTTGCCGACTCCGAGATGGTAATGATGGTACTCTAACCAACCTCTAATCATCATTATCTCAATATAGTGCAGACACATATTTAATTATCTGTTTGAAATTTTTATAAGTTGATTAGTTATATTCATGTTGATGGTGTTAATTAATAGATTAATTTATCAAGTTTTGATCAAAAAGAAATGGAACCAAATGATAATATATATAATTATAGTTATTAAAATTGTTATTAATATTATTAAGGCTTTTGGAAATATTGTAGTCTGTTATTAATGAATGACATAATTATTCTTTGAGACAAGTCCATTCAAATGATACCTCAATGATGAAGTTCCAAGTGGTGTGTTGAATGATGTAGTAAAAGTTCAATCTTGACTGTTGACCCACCAATGTTTGGCTCCTTTTCACTTGATACTTGATACTTATTACATACTTACTTGTACAAGATAGATAGATAGATAGTTTGATTGATATATATATTTAGAGATAAAGAATGAGCGCACAAGATATTAGCCATCAATTCCTTGCCCACTACTATGACAAGCTCTCAACTGATAGAAACCAGTTGGCTTTCCTCTATGTATGTGTTTGATTGATCGATGATTGGTAGTTGTAACACTTGTCCTTGAATGAGTAGTTGTGTATCTGATGAACTAACCTCTGTGTTGCGTACATATATAGACCCCAACATCGACATTGACATGGGAGACAAAGAAGGCCCAAGGAGTAGAGCAAATCATGGCCATCCACAACGTAAGTACACTTGTTTGATTGATTGATTGATGGATTGAACAACATACCTAACAAACACAACTCAAACACATAGTCCAACCCAGCAAATGTCCAACGTCAACTGACGAGCATTGATGCTCAACCAACTCCAGGTGATGGAATCTTGATCCTTGCCACTGGCAATCTCTCTGTATGTATATTGATTGATTGATTGATTGATTGATTGAGCACATGCAGACAAACAGACAGATAGACAAGACAGGCAGGCAGTAGTAGACTGACACACACAAACACAATGACATCTACAACTTTGACAATGAACAATAGATTGATGGAGACAAGGCACTCAAGTTTACACAGGTCTTCTTTTTGGTCCGCACTGGTGGCAGCTTCTCGATATCCAACGAGTTCATGCGTTTGAACCTTGAATAAACTAACTGCACAGTGTCAATGATGTCGACGTAATCAATTGATTGATTACGTTGTCATTCTTCAAAAAGTAAGCAACAGATAGATAGTTTGATGTACGGACAAGACATTCAGACAGGTATGCAGGGCAAGGTATAAGGTTGGATGACAAGAATCGATTCCAGAAAGACTAGAATAGAATAGGTACTAGTATCTATCTAACTTGTGTGTTGTCGGCACAAGACACGTAAATAGCCAAAGGCTTAATGGTCCAGTCATTCACTCTTTGTGAAACGACACAATTATGATGAGTCAATGTATTGATTATGTGTTGTTGTTATTGATCAATGACCCTTGGTCGATAGTGATGGCGAGGCAGGCGAGGGTCACAACAATCACGGAATCACCACGTGGACCGCCTCTGACTCGAATGTGTGTGGGTCCAGTCGTGACTCTTCAGCGGAAATCCAACTTTGAAGCCACAAAGACATAAATAGACGTGGCCCACCACGTTCATTCACTTCATTCGTTCAATCATATATACATATACATACTTATCAAATCAAATAATAAGATGAGTGTCGATACTGAAGAGAAGGAGACACAGGTGTTGATAGTTGGAGGTGGTATTGTAGGATTGACCTCTGCATTGTTACTTCAGCAACAGGGTATAGATTGTGTGTTGGTCGAGAAACATCCTTCAACATGTATACATCCACGTGCACGTGGCTTCAATAGTCGTTCAATGGAGATTATGCGTAGTATTGGATTGGAGGATGCAATATTTGAAGCTGGATCGGACCTGGCCCCATCCAAGGGCATCTACTCGGGCACGACATTGGTCCAAGTGATGGCATCGCACACACTCAAGCTCAGAGCCATCGCGATTGGTGTCACCCTGGTCACATTGTTCTATGCACTGTATCGTCTTCTGCCCGGTCTGTGGTTCTCTGCGACAATGGGCTTGATCACATACGCGCTGGTGCGTCGCTTTGCTCCACTCTTTGTTCTGATGAAGCGTGGCAGTCCTTCATCATTCGTTCGATGTACACAAGATATAGTCGAGCCCCTATTACTGGCAACGGCAACCAAGCGAAGCGATCACTTTACACAACACTTCTTGACCGAGTGCACTGCCATCAAACAGGACGATGCAGGCGTCACTGCCACCCTGGTCAGCACAGTCGATGGCGCCACACGTCACATTCGCGCACAATACGTTTTGGCCTGCGATGGCGCTCGCAGTCCCATCCGCGGCATGCTTGGAATCGAACGAACCAACTCTGTGTGTGCATCATCAATGCACATGAACCTATACTTCCGCGCACCGGCCATCGCGCCCTATGTCAAGGGCCGCGAGTTTAGTCTGTGTCATGTAGAGAACCAACACGTGCGCGGCCTATTCGCCTCGATCAACAACAAAGACCTTTGGGTGCTGCATGTGGCCATGAAGCCTGGCGAGACTTCAGCGTCCTACTCCAGCCACCGATGCATCAACCTAATCAAAGCGGCAGTTGGCATCGATTCATTGAACGTGGAGTTGAAGGGTGCACTACCATGGGAATCAGTCGCGCGCGTGGCAGAGACATACAGACGCGGACGTGTCTTTTTGGCCGGTGACTCTGCACATGTCATGCCACCATGGGGCGGATTCGGTGCCAACTCTGGCATTGCAGACTCTCACAATATTGTTTGGAAGTTGTCGGCTGTGCTGCGAGGCGAAGCTGGCGATGCGCTGTTGGACACTTATCAAGCTGAGCGACGACCACTAGCCGTCAAACTGTCCACACTGGCCGCGAGTATGAACGACCCCAAGGGTCTGTTTGACATTAGCTACAGAATGTACATTACAATCATCTTTAGAGTGCTGCCATACATCTGTTTGGGCTATGGATACAATTCAAAGTCAATCACACATGATCAAGACGCTACCGAGCTGCCCGACGTCAACTCTTTGGACCTGGTCGGTCGACCTGGAACGCGATTCCCTCATAGGAACGTCGTTGTCACAACACAAGACAATCAAGAAGAAGAAGGCGAACCCAAGTCAACATTGGATCTTCTGGACAACACAAAGAGCACATTGTTTGTTGTTGGAGACAGTCGATGGGAGATCGTGGCACGCGAACTATTGGCAGAGAATGAACAACTTCCACTACAAATCATATCGACCAACCATTTGGAGAGTCTTGCCAAACCAATCGTTTATAGAAAAGACTTTGGTGTTGGCACATCTGGCGCACTACTCATTCGACCTGATGGATTCGTTGCATGGCGCTCAATAGATGACTCTCAAGCATCCAAGCTCCAACTCACAAAGCATATCAATACATTATATTGTAGTGGTAGTAACCAATGATCATTGGCGCAACGAGTCAGATGATGGACCAACTTTGCGATGCGACCCATAATCAATCAAAGAGGTGAATGAATAAAAAAGTGGAAATGGCCATTTTTGAACAATTTGAAATGAACCATCTCTTATCGTGCCGTAAAAAAGCATGGTAATAAATGGAATTAGTGACTACTTGGTTGGAGGGCATCACGCCAATCCATTGACGAGATAAACTAAGAGATAAACAAAACACTTTACGAGTGACTGTTAATACTTATTTAACTCTGCACTTACCTTGTGTGTTGACATCCCTTTTCATAACATACTACTATAACTTAAACTCTAAAAACAAACAAACAATCAAACAAATCAGACGAATGATTGATGGAACACTAACCAAATGAATGAACATCGAATGAACATTGAATGGAAGGGTTGTAAACAACTTCCATGATCACTTTGCACTATGTTCTACGGAGTTGTTCAACATCCTTGGTCGTCGTCGTCGTCATCGTCTTAGTCATCGTCGTCGTTATTGTCGTCGTCAATGATGATGTCAATCCATCATGTTTGGATAAGTACTAATGATCATTCGTGGTACACTTTGTGATCATTATCATCATCATTGGGTAGGGCAGCATGCAACAAGTATCTGTTATAAATGTGTTTGTCATCTCCTCTAAAGACGACGTGACGTATATTCAGAACAGTGTTCCATGGAACAGACCGATCGATTGGGATTAGGGGTTGGGGCTGCGAGACCCACTTGGGACCTGCAAAGGTCAAACAACACCCCAACTTAAATGGAAATTTCTGAATCAATCTGTTGAACAAACACATTAAAGTCAAACTTACATCCTCTACTTTGGCATTGACACAACTCTTCTACTTATACATACATATAACAACAAACAAATAATGACAACAACACAAGAGATCCAGAAAAAGTGGGATAGGTTCAGCTCAACCTTCCAGTACAACTTTGAGCCTCAGACTCTGCCAACCGCTCATGTGTTGGTGGCCAACTTGCGTTTGAACATCCGTAACTTGCCTGTGCCTCGCGCAGTCCTCGAGGTTGCATGTGGCGCTGGCTCTGGCACCAAGTTCTGCCTCGACTCTAAGCACCCCAACACCCATCTGACCGCCATCGACCTGTCCCACGACATGCTCTCCCTGGCCAAGGCGCGTCTCAACGTGCCACAAGAGACGGGCGAGGACACCCAGCGCCACATCAAGCTGCTGCAGGCCAACGCCGAGGAGTTGCCATTCGCCGACGGCGCATTCGATCGCTACTTTAGCAACTACTGTCTGCATCTGGTGCTCAACCCCAACGTGATGCTGAGCGAGTGCTACCGTGTTCTTGAGAAGGGTGGCATTGCCACGTTCAGTGTCTGGGGTCGTCCACAGAACTCCAACACTTTTACCATCATCAAGAAGGTCCTCGACGAGTTGGGCTTTTGCCAACCATCACAACCATCCGACGCACCAGCGCCCCGCACTCCATTCCATCTCAATGACATTGAGTTGTTAAAGTCAATGGCCAAGGAGGCTGGTTTCTCAAAGTATTATGCTGCCTACACTGTAAGTTAGATGTATCTCTTACTCCAACATGGCACCCTCAATCACTGACTCACTCACCTCGCAACGATCATATAGTACTTCAACACTCTGGTACTTAGTGGACAAGAGTACGTTGATATGTTCTTTGCTGGACCAGACACTACTGACACCATTGCCCGTTTGGGTCAAGAGAAGGGTGACTTGTGGAAGCAAAAGGTATGATCACACAAGCTTGGTAATGAGTATGTCATGCATCATCTTACTCATACACTTCCATTCATTCCCGCAACAACATCATATAGGTTGCAGAGTATGTTGACGCTTTGCTTGCAAAGGGCGAGCTCATTGGATTGGAGTCTGCCTATCTCATTTGTGTGAAGTAAAGTAAAGTAATGCTACAACATTGCACATGTTGTTCACAACTGCGATATCATCGCAGTACCATTCGAATGGATATTATATGACGTGCGCAGGTCTCCACATTCTGTGTCCAACGCGTCCAATTTTCATCATCTTGAGTGTCACTGGCATTAGATGGATATGCTCGAGCATGTTTGATACTTTGATTATTTGTACCAATCCATCTGCGACTAGCAGATGCACTCATTCGAATGGTCGAACAGCAAGACATGGCTGTTGGTGGGTTGGGTGGTTCTATAATTATTATTTATTATTATTCCAGTTTTCAATAGAGTTAGTCTAACACATCAAATCCTATTTGTACAGATAGAATAATTAATAATAATGTTGTCAACTAAAGTCTTTACATCACAGTAATACCTCTCCCAAATAGTGCAGCAGGTATACTATCATGGGTCAATCAAACTGGTCACTGCACAAGTCAACACCAGAATCCACCCTCTGATCAGATGCCGTTTGTTGGAAGACAGGAAACAATGAGATCATTCCTAGAGTTGACAGATAGAAGGTTTCAGGCAAGGCACAAGACAGACAAACAATACCACCCAGTACCCTTCTGTGCTGGCTGTCCTGGCATTGGAAAGACCAGATTTATGCAAGAAGCCGCTAAAGCATTGGGTCACCAACTGTACCAAGATCATTACCTTATCACTATCCTCACAACATTTGGCAATGGGTGTGGCATCATTGGTTGGGAGCAGGACTTCACGGGCGATACAGCATTGGCACTCCGTATGATCAAGACATACTTCTTTCCTGGACCATTTTGGTCAACTTTTCTTTCTTTGGTAGGAGCTCAGCAACAGGTCAGCATTATGGGAGCACTTGGGGCAGTCAAGCTTCACTCTGGCAAAGAACGAGTTACGATATTCCTCGGTATTGATGAGTGCAACCGTGCCATTGAGCATCAATCCACAAAACCTCGTTACTTCCAGAACATGGTCAATTCCTTGTGCGATTGCTGTCTTGCCTATCCCTCCAACAATATATTCCTGGTTCCCTTGTTATGTGGCACGCTCCATCTCTCAATCAATGATTGTTTACTCAAGTCTTCCTACCCACCTCATACCTTGCCCATTGGATTGCTATCAGACGACGAAATTGTGGAGATGATTGACAGTCTCAAATTGGACAACTGGCGAAACTCAAGACCGTTCCGACTGTTACTCTCTGATATGGGTGGTCTTCCCCGTGCAGTCGAGCTACTCCTCAAAGTCATCAACGAAACCATCACCGAAGCGCGCAAAAAGAATTATGAACAATCAACATTGGAGACAATAGACTACTCTCAAGTGTTCTCGTTGGTTTAGGAAAGAATAGGCGAGCAGTATGGTGGACGATCCTTACCAAACGAACTACTCAATGTCATCATTCAGACCGCAGTGCTCGGCGGCCAAGTGGAAAGGACTGACAGACTTCTTCCCGGTAACCCTGATCGCAAACAGAATTGGGAGACGATAGAGTCATCTGGACAGGCTATCACCAACCATGACAACACTGTTGTGCTCCCCTATCATGTTCTGGTTCTATGTCAACAAGACCAATTTAGTCTCTAGGCTATCATCCAAGTACAACGATCAAACCTACACTGTATTATGGGAGGACTTTGAAGTGTTCAACGCAGACTATCAGCTACTTCGCCAGGAGCTCTACCGTCAGCTCAACCCAAAGGACAATGAAATCGCCTTCAACCAACCTCCATTCAACAACTCCTTTGTTGTGCATCGTGACAACTTTATCAAGTACTACGGACGCACCTTTGCAGCACGCGCAGCAATCTTCTCAATGAACGAACGAATCAATGTCAACACCGAGCCATACTCCAACTTGAGGGTGCTTCCTGGTGTCGGGGACCAGATTGCCAAAGACATCATCACACATCGACATCAAAAGGTCTTTGCCAACCTGGACGACCTGAAGTCAAGGGTTACCAGATTCCCTAAAGACTCGTATACCATGGTAGAGTTCTAACAAGTCTTCAATGTTGTTGGTACAACAGTATACACTTCTCTTTGATCAGTAGTTCTATGTGTTAATAATATTATTTGTGGAGAATGAATGAGGTCCAACACCTTTATTTTTGATTTTATTGAATTAATTAATGTTTGAGAAGACGACTAAACACCAAAAGACGAAACATGTTCATTTAGTTGAGAGTATAACAACAACAACCCAAAACTATATCAAAGTAATAATAATAACAATTAGGTCATGTCTGCGAAACTAAAGAATCAAAAGAAGAGCAGTAAGTGTTGTGTTGATAATGAGATATATGAACGAATGAATGAATATAACTTATGTTCTAACTTTACATCATCAATCAATCAATCAGAGGATACTATTCCACAAGATGTTGTAGGTGACATTGGTGACGTTCCAGAGTTGGATCAAGAGGAGAAGAAGAAGGACAAGGAGTTCATCCCATTCGCTTCAACTGATAGGTATGGATCTGATCATTCATTCATTCATTCATTCAATCTTGGCGATCATTCAATCTATCAAATGAAACTAACATACCATCGATTTGTGAACATGTAAATATATAGAACAAAGGTACAAAAGAAGAAGATGTCACCAAAGGATATGAAGAAGAAGAGCAAGGGTATTGAGAAGGCTATCATGAGGAAAGAAAAGACAGAGACATCAATTGAGAAGAAGTTGAAAAAGACATTGGTCAAGAAGAGATGGAACTCTTTGTATTGATTGTTTGGACTTAACATCAATCAATCAATCGATCATTCATTCACCAACAGCACCAAGCCCCCATCTAATTAATAGATCGACACAATCAACTCAATCAATCAATCAATCAATCAATATTTGCTGTTATACAATTGGACCGACCTAATCCTAGACTTCCAAGAAGGTGGTGTCAGAATGTCTCCGTATCCGTTCTGTCATGGTGTGTGTGAGTGACATCCAACAATGTGGACAGTCTGGAAAGGGGGTTCCATTCATACACTCACATGTGACACAAGCCTGTCCTGTCTTATGTATGTAATCCCACCAACATGTCAATTTTAAATAAACTCACATGTTATAATCTATCTCTCCTGTCTTTGTCTCTCTGTGTATTTATTCATTGCTAGCAATGCAGTGTTGTTGTTGATACTTCATTCAAAACAAGATACATACACACAACCGCAACAGATAAACACACAAACACACACCAGCTCAGATATTTGATACGAAGAATCTTCTTTTTAGTTTATTTTTCCTTCCAAGATTGGGACAATTGTGGATACTCCTACGCATAGAGCAAAGGCATTCATTCAAAAGATACGACACTACTACTTTTAACAAAGATATATATACTAATAACATTACACTTTACTTAAGAATGATGTCAATGTTTGATGATGATATCCTTTTGGGATACACAAAGAAGAATGAAGGGAGCAACAGCAACAATGTACAACAACATAACAAAGATAATAGTGTTGATATGTTCATAAACAACTTTAATAATAATAATAATAATAATAATACATTGAATAGAACAACATCTATCAATCAACAACCACAATTACATAATACAAGTAGTGGTAGTCTCAACAACTATATCAACAACAACAACAATAGCAATAACAATAGTAACAATAATAGTTACAGCTCTTTCAACAATATACCAACATCATATGGATCTTATAATAATTCACCAAGACAGACGTTGACCCAACACCAACAGCAGGGTAGTGGGTCAAACAGTCTAAACAATAGTTATGGTTATAGCAGTAGTTATGATCAACACCAACAACACCAACAACAACAACAACAATCACAACAAAAGTTGATCAACTTTGATGACGACGATGAGTTCTTTAATGCAATTAGAAGTAGCGATGGAAATAGAGCTGGCAGTAGTAGTGCAGCAGCTGCTTCTCAGTCTCCATTATCAGTGAGCACTGGCAATGTGTCATCACCATTGTCATCGTCGCCCAGATCACAATTGAAACAGAACCTATACCACAGCTTCATCGAGACCGACCCGTACAACCTAAAGAATATGGGCGAGCTGACGAGAATCAATGAGCACAACAACGAGGGCGACTCTTTCAATCATGTGGTCTCTGAGAAGGACACGCTGCAGGGCATCTCACTGCGCTACAACTGCACCGTCGAGGAGCTCAAGCAAACAAACAAGCTATTCTCCACGGCAATCCACGACAGGTCGGTGCTAGTCATACCAAAGAAGAAGAACCAAACCCCCCAACTAAAGGAGGACATTTACAACAACAAGGACATGGAGGAGACGATGAGGAAGCGAGTAATTGGTCGATTCCTAAAGATGACTGGATGTAACGATCAGGAGCAGGCCGTCTTTTACTTGGAGAAGCATTCCTTTGACTTTTACAAGGCGATGCACGAGTATCAACGAGAGGGCAACATCGAGGTGGAGGTCAAGAAGAGCACAGAGATGGCCCGACCTGGCAGTGTGGCAATGAACATTCTCTCACAACAAGCCTCTCCATTGCAAGCGGCCGCTCATGGCACATCACACAACTCCTCATCACCAGCTGAAATACTCAAGAACAGTGATATATTGATCAATCAATATCGAGACATGTATTCGAGTCCATCAAAGTTCAATCCAAGTCCAAATAATAGAAGTACAGATAGATATTATTGATGATGATCACAGTATGTAGTAGTGTAGAGCAGAACAGTGCATGTAGCACGTTTGCAATAAACGATATATATATTTAATGTTGTTGTCCAACTTTTATCAACAATTGATTGGCCAGATTCTCGCATTGTAATTGTTTGTTCTTGTCATTGTTGAACGACATGTTTCGCAACTCTTTCAACATGTGGATGGCATTGTTCAACTTGGATGCAGCATTGTTGTTGTTGAGTTGTATCGACTCCATGGCTTGAACAAGCTGTGACCACAAGTTGAGTGACTTGTCTGGATTGTTCATGGCCACTAGTCCAAGATATGGTAACAACTTGCGATTGATAATATCATCCAGTAGTAATTGTGTAAAGAGGGCATTGTCCAATTTGCCAGACCATACAGATACTGCTTTGACCAAACGAATGCATCTAGTGAACATCATCGTTGTGAACTCCTTAATATCATCACTATCCTTATCAGTGATTGGAATTGTGATGACATCAGAACTATTCTTTAACGACACATAGATCTGAGTATAGAGTGCTTGTAACTCCTCCTTGTTCTCCACATACACATGTATCTCATCGATCGTTTCTTTGAGATGTTTACTTTGTCTAGAATGGTTTGGTAATCTGGTTAGTTGATTGATTAAAGTTGGATGATTGAATGAGTTTGTTGCTACTTACTCTTGAGATAATGGATTCCAGATGTAGGTGATATAATATTCCACCTTTGGAATGATCACCTTAATCACAAGCTTTGGTATCAAGTCTGGATCAGGGTCATCTTGGTCCAATGTTAAATTCTAAAAAATGTGATTGGGTGATTGAATGAGTAAGTATGATGGATCGATCATTTGATATCTATTATGTATACTTACTGGTACAATACCATAATCCATTAGATCAGTGTACCATTGAAGAGTGTCAAAGTTGACTGATTTCAATGGATTCCAATCAATGAGTTGTAATCTTAGGAATGGTGCAAAGATGTAGGGTATAATATATCCAATGTTGATTCTCTTGTATGATCTATAGTCTTTGATCTTCCAATGTTGAAACTTGTCTCTGACCATACTGATTGTACTGTACTCTTCGTCCACATCATCAAGTACCTGTCTGATCAATGACAATGCCTTGTTTCTCTCGTTCATATAATATGATTCCTCGTCACTGTCATATAACTCTTGTTCATCATCATCTTCTGATCCATTGACTTGTTCATCCATTCTAGATTCCTTCTTTGCCATTCTCTTTTCTCTAACATGTGCCATTCGTTTCTCTCTTGATGCAGTTTCAAAGTATGATCTATCTCTACCAAACTCATCAACTTGCATGTCCTGTTGTTGTTGTTGCTGTTGTTGACCAAAGTCAATCTGACTCTCCAAATCATGTATATAATCATTGATCTGTTTCCTTAGTGCAGCGGAATGATCTCGTTCCAACTCCATCAATCTCTCCTCGTACGACTCGATAAGTGGCACCTTCTCCTCCAAACAATCAGTCATGTTCTTAATGTACGTCTCAAACTCTGTAAAGTATGATAGTTCATCATCATTGACATGTTGTCTTGACTCTAACGTTGTAGTCTGTTCTTGGGCCAACTGTAATGCATGTTCGACACGCGAGAGTTCTGAGCGATGTGAATTGTATACATCGGATAGACGATCCAGTGATAGTTCCATATCCTTGCATAATGATTCAATGAATGATACGCCACCATTGCCACCAATGTCAATGTCCTTGTTGATGATGTTTACAATTGATTGTTGTTGTTGAGGAGGTGGAGTGTTTAGGAGGTCTTGTTGATGCTTTCTAATCTGAGAGTCCAATGTAACACTCTCCTTGATTCCTCCACCTTTCTTGATCTGTTCAAATTGCCAACGTGTCAACTCCTCGTCCTCTTCTTCCTCCTCTTCATCATCATCATTGTTCATAGTGCTACGTGATCCACCAATGATAACATTCTTTGAGTATTGACTATCATCAATCTTGTTGAGTTTGTTACTATCCTTTCCAGGATCACCAAATGATATCTTGTTACTGCTGCTGTTGCTGTCTCCATTCTTTGTACTGTGAGTAGTTGTTGACGAGGATGATAGTGGAATGAATCCATTTGAGTGTTGGTCGTTGTCGTCACCATCTCTACTGCCCTCTTGTAGACGTCTTCTTTTGTCCAATGCCGCCTTGATCTGTTCTCTTGTTGGTATTATTGATCCACCACCAACACCATCTTGATCATCATCCATTCTATCAATGTCAATGATCATTGTATCATCAATATCACCATTCGTCGTTGTTGATGATGATGTTGCAGCAGCTGCTGCAGCAGATGCAGCAGTTTGCTCCTTCTTTAAAATGTTCAATCTCTCTTTGGTGTATTCACCAGATGATGGCATGTGTGTAGAGTACGTAGTTGCAGTAGATGTGATTGAGAAATCATTCCTCTTTATAGTACCAAGGGTCTTGTTCTCCAATGAGTAGACAGGTGTTGTTGTTGTTGTTGTTGTACTTGTTGTTGATGTGATATCATTGTCATCATTATCATCATGATCCTCACCAAAGCTGAGTAAAGTTGTTGTAGTTGCAACCTTCTTCTTTCCAGATGACTGCTGCTGCCTCTGTGCGACCTTTGTTCTCTGTGCTCTTTTTCTTTGTGATTCGTCGTCGTCGTCATTGTTGAGTTGTTGATTGTTGGTTGATTGAATGATTGGTTCAATAATCATTGGTTGGGTTTCGACTACATTATCAATATCATTGTTGTTGTTGTTGTTTGAGTTGACAACTTTATCATCATCATTATCAAAGGAGGAGGAGGAAGAGGATGTTGTCTTTTTTCTAATCTGCTTTGGTTTCCTTGATGCTGTGAACAATGACATGTTATCCTTTATCTATGTATTGTATAATAATAATAATAATGATAATAAAAGAACTTGACACGAGAGTTGCCCGAAACAAATGTTGTTTAGGTGAACATCTGGTTGTTGAATTTTCTTGACAAAACCCAGTTCTTTAATTTATTCAATAACTTGATTTATGTCTGGCGTCTTTGCTGAGGGACAACCAAGGAAGTGGTACAGGAAGTGTAATAATAGATAAAGTAGTTATCTTTGTCTAATTAGACTAGCTGACAAGAATATGGTGATTGTTGAACTACATTCGTTGGATGGTTTTTAAGGAAGAAAGTTTGTTTAGTTTTTTTTATTTTGTGTATTGGGTATCATTTATTGGAGCATTGTTGGTTCTTTGAGCCGAATTGGTGATTGGCAATGATCTTCAACATAAGTTGGACAATGATACCAATGAGGTGGAGGTATGGGGTGTTGGAGTTACCTTACCGAACGAGATATTGAGTGTGTTGTAGTTCCATGTATTTTTTTAAACTTTATACAAGGATAGTTTATTAATTGAAGCATTATTAAATGGTACTCATTGAAGGTACGGGCTATTTCTGTTGATTTGTGAGGGCTATCGGAGTAAACCATGTAAGGAAGAATAAGGTTGTTTTTTTTTCTACCAAATTTAATATAAAGAGATGTACTCTTAATATTATTGAACGTTCACTTGAGAGTATGACAGTTAGTAATTGAAGACCCACTGTCTATGAATGAACGAATYYATATAAACTTATTTATTTATATATATRATGATTGATTGGTGTAACAAGAGGACATACCTTGAGAGTATGACAGTTAGTAATTGAAGACCCACTGTCTATGAATGAACGAATGAAGTGATTGATGCGCGAAGCGACATCAAAACACTTTGGAAAACGAATCATTCGACTCTGTGGAGGTTTATTATATTGCAAATAAATGGGCGTCATTGAAGAGGCGGGAATGGTTAGTCCTTTACTCTGGAAGTTCCTCATGTTACACAAATCCTTGATCAAAAAGGACTTCGCCCAATGGGGGGCTCGAACCCCCGACCACGAGGTTAAAAGCCTCGCGCTCTACCGACTGAGCTAACTGGGCTGGAATTTGGAAATACTTCGTAGTCCACCTTTAGGGAGAAAAAAACGGCCTTTTTTACCCAATTCAGTAAAATTAGGATACAATTTCCAAATTCCAGCCCAGTTAGCTCAGTAAAAATAAAAATACTACTTTGTTGTTAAAATTAATATGGTGGATGGTCAAGTAAATATTGTTAATGAAAAGAATACAGTATATTTCATATGTTATGGACACCCCCTCATCGAACAGGTACTATTGTGTTATCTCATACCAATTTGGGACTATGTTCTGGTTCACTTCCAAATATAGTAGTAACCTTTTATTGCAACATTTCCATTTATAAGTATCTTTCCAAAAAAGGATTTAATTTATCCCAATCAAACAAACAGTTTTTTAGTTGAAGTAATGAACATGTCCATTATTTATGCAATGGAAATGAATGAATGTGTTCAAACATCAAACATTAAGTTGGAAGGAGATATAATATTATTTATGTAGATAACTATCAATCATGTCATTAACAGAAGCAGAGAGAGCAAGAATAGTTGCAGCCAAGACGAGAGGATATTCAAAGAATTTAATATCAAAGATGTTTGATGTTTCCCGATCAACAGTGAGCAGGACTATTCAGCGACACGGAGAGCGAGGAGACTTCAAGGACCGCGTCAAATCGGGACGCCCTTCAAAGTTTTCTCGAAGACTTAGGAGGAGGATCATTAGAGCTTTGGTCAGGAAAGAGGTAATCAGTCTGGAGGAGTTGAAAGCCAAACTTGAAGAGAGATACGAAACAAACATTTCAACGGCTCAAATATCACGTATTGCCGCAAAGGAAGGCCTCACCTATCGCAGTTTAAGCAGGAAGCACGATCTAAAGCAAGACAACTGCATATGAGTCCACAATTGAAGCATCCACTGGATTAGGTGCAAGATAAACAGCTTATTAAATCACTTATCAATACAAAGCGACACAAGTTACTGTAACTACTCTACTTGGAAAACCAAGTTTCAAGATTTATTGCTGCTTGTTCAAAGCAAGTCTTGATACTTGACACCTTTGGGCTCAAGTCTCATTGATAGTTGGTACAATCCTTCATCGGACATTGGTGGGAAGGAGTGTGGAGGACGACATGCCTGCTGACCTCCATCACTACCCTTTCTCTGTTGTCTGTTGAACAATGATGTCGATGTTGGAGAGGATGTGGAACTGGTCGTCGTTGTCGTCGTGGCCAACTGTGATACACTCGGTGATGATATCGATTGGACAAGTGGTGAGATGTTATAGTTGTTGTAGTTGTTGACACCACCTCTTAGTTGTGGTGAATCATCAATTGATGAACTCCTCCTCTGATGATCTTTGTCCTTATCCTTATCCTTGTCCTGTCTACTTGGAGACAATACACCAAAGATGTTGTTTGTACTGACACTCTTGTGTCTCTGTGTCTTCTTCTTGTTGCCAACAGTGACATGGCCATCTTCATCAAATGTGATCGGACTACTGATTTGTGGCATGTTGCTTGGTATGTCTGATAGACATTGAGCCMACCTGGAGGCGGAGTGTAGATCACATTGGACTCTACAACTATTGGTTGTTGTTGAACAGTGGACGAACGTGATGTTGTCATAGTAGCCATCGTTGTAGTAGTGGCTGTTCCAATTGACGAATCAAACTTGATAATCGAATCGAGCAGTGCATTGGTCTGTTGTTCCTGGATCGACCTGTAAATATCCAAGTTGGTCTCACTGTGGCACCTTTCTAGGTTGGGATGTGAAGCACAACCACCAAGTAGTAGTTGTGTTTGATGATGGAATGGTGCCGAGTAGTCCTTCCTTCTTTTGGTCCATGTGATATTGTCATTGACATTGGTTGGCAAGTCCTCCATTGTGAAGCTCCTAAACAATCGGTCAACTTGTGGTGTAGTTGTTGTCGTCGTGGTTGACTTGTCCTCTCCAACCTTGCTCTGTGCGCCAGTTGATCCGTCACCTTGGCCAATGCTAATGTTGTTGCTAACCTTTCGGTTACTAAAGATATTATAGTTTGGTGTCAACAACAATGCCAGTCGTGGGTCTGCGTTGAACATATAGTGATTCCTCTGATATTGTTGTAGTTGTTTGATTACACCATGTACCATCTTGAGTTTGGTATAGTTGAACGTATAGACCGCGTTGCCACCAACTGTTGTTGTCACCTCACCAGGTAGATAATCTGGATTACCCTCCTGGATAAAGATCATATCGGACAATACCAGACCAAGATATGGTATACAGGGTACAGTGATGGACCTCAACTCTGTACGATAGTTCTTAAAGTTCTCCTCATTGTCCATCAGTTTGTTCAAGTCCATCAGAGCCTTTTGATTGTGCTTGGGCAGGATCTTGTGTGTGCACTTGAGTCGCAAGATTGATGAATGTGATATGCCAGCATAGACAGCCATCATTGAGTTGTAATTGCGTAGATCATGCAAATGTTTGGCAATCTTGATCAACTTGGCTAGTACCTTGCAGCGATCCTTGAGACGCTCCTCATTGAGTACGGTTTGGATGACATTCATTGAAATGTCATTGAAGCGTGTGATCATCTTGGATATGTTGAATGCTCTCAAGTCCTTTAGGTCAGCCTTGCCACATACACCATTCATCAGCTCTTGAGGCTCGATGCACATAAAGATTGAGAAATCCACAACTGTCAGTGCCTTGGCAATCTCCTTGGATGGAGCATCCATGATTGAGAGGAAGATGTCGGGAGTGCTCCATGTCGAACTGCGTGGACGTGTTGTCTCACGACCCGGTGCAACAGGACTGGAAACACTACGGCTAATATTGTCCGCAGTCGTCACGGACAACAAGTGTGAGCCAACTCCAAGTCCAATGTCCTTTAGTTGTTTGATTGCCTCGTCCTTGGATTGTAGAGTTGGAGAGAGAGGTGGCGAGCAGGTCGAGTTGTACTGCGTAAAGATTGATGCAGTGATACTGGACTTTAGAGATGTGGAGAGGAATGCCTTGATCTTGGAGTTGGACCTCTTGGTAACATATTGTTTACAAACAATATCACCTGGATACTTGTAGGGTTGTGCCGAGGCTACAATCGTACTGCCGCCACGTTCCATAACCTTGACATTGAGTATGTTCTCTACTTGCTCACACAACTCTACAATAATGTTATGATTGTATGATTCAGTGTCGAATGAACGAGCATGAGCCATAAACTCATGGATCCTCTGGACAAAAGAGTTGTCACATAATGATGGTATTGAACAATCTGTTAGCCAATGCTTTAGAATTGTACATATTCTCATTTGACATTGTGGACTCTCTAGTTTGAACCTTTAATGTTGAGTGATGTGGAGTGACATGTTAGTGATTGGTCGGGAGCGTGACTGTCTTGGCAACAACATACACTTGAATCATTGTATCCAGTATACTTGGCGCGGTGAATACATATTCGTAGGATGTAAAGAATGACTTGAATAGGGCATCGCTAGTCTCTTCGATCAACTTGTAAAGTATCTTTTCAAGACAGTCTGTGAGTATGCCTTGGCGTAGTATCGTCTCTTGGTCCTGTACACTGATTGGAGTTGTTTGTTGAACTGCAACTATAGCAACATCAGGTTTAGGGCTTGTAGTGATGGCCAAAGTAGCAGGACGCTCCACCTGTTGTTCAATGTCCTTGGACAATACTACCACAACATTGTCCAATAGTGGTTGTTGTTGTTGTTGATGTGGTGGTGGAGACAATGATGGATTGTGTTGTGCCATCACCAGTCTTTCAAAAGGTGGCTCGGCAATGTTGATGCGCATTGATTCTTGAATGGCCATGCTACGACGATTGTGTGCGTTACGATTGGCGACGAATGGTGAATGGTCAGGTGTCGAGATTGTCGCTGACAGTGAATAGTTGGATGATGATTGTGACATTTGATTGATAAAGTTTAGCTCCAGCAATGCTGCCACTGATGAGTCCGTGTACGTGCTGTCTTTGTGAGTCGTTGTCGTCGTCATCTCTTGTTCATCATCATCAGAGTTTGAATTGGAGTTGGAAATAGAGGGTTGTTGTTGTTGTGTTAGGCTCTGGATCTGGAGAAGTAGTGTCTCCCGCTCACTCTGCCATGCTGCCTCCTTTTGGCGATAGTCAAAGAGTTGTGTGTTGGCTTGTAAGAGTTGGGAGTTGGTTTCATGGAGTTGTTGGCGTAATGACTGTTCAGTGTCTGGGCTGGATGATGAGGAGTAGGATGATGAGGTTGATGATGAGGAGTGATTGGTGACAGTGTTCATGGTTGTTGGCGCTTGATGATTGATAGTGATCTTGGACACATTCCCCATGGACCTTGAACGTGAGTGTAGTTGAGGTGATCCACTTGGTGACTCTTGGCTTGTTAGTTGCTCAACAACGCCATTGGTATCATCATCAACTGGTGGTTGATCCTTGCGACCAGATCGACTGAGTAGACGTGAGAACAGACTGTTACGCTTGTGTCTGCGCTCAGAGTCTGGAGAAGATGTTGACATGGCCACAGGATCCAGACTGGCTCTCAACTCAATATTACTTGGCGTTGTTTGGATACCTGTCAACGGTGTGGTCTGGCCCAGTTGGACATTGGACGAACGAGGTGGACTGTGATCAGTGTCCACAATGCCAAGTTCTTCATTGTTTGAATGACTTGGTCGATGGCTCTTCCTAAAGGACTTTGGTATAATACTCATTCTCTTTTCCCTCTCTTTGATGGCGGGTGATGCTACTCGGTGTCTGAGTTTGTTGATGTTAGATTGGGATGTCCAATGGACGAATTAATCAATCATGTATAATCGATCAATCAAACTTACATTGGTGGTGATTGAGGTGGCGTTGATGAAGTGGCCATGTCATGCTCGGAACTGGCGGTCGATGAGGATTGACCAGAAGAAGCGGACTTAATGTTGTGAGAAGAGTTGGAGCGGCTAGGAGACCTCGGTTGGAATATATTAAACAAGGATGGTGATGCTGTCGTTGTAGTTGGGGATGATGATGTGGGCGTAGGTGGTTGCGTTGGAGTTTGGGTTGTAGTTGTTTGAGTTGGCGTTGGAGTTGGCGTTGGATTTGGCGTTGTGAGTGAAGATGTGAGTTGTGAAAGATTTGGCATTGATGGTGAATGGAGAGATGCTACTGCCACTCCTGTTGCTGCTGTTGTTGCTGTTAATGGTGTAGATTGCATGGCCATTGGAGAGCCATGGGTGTGCGTTTGTGATGATGATAAAGTATTTCTTGGAGATGAAGGTGTACTGTTGGAACCTGTCGTCCAAGATGATCCATTGCCATCCTTTGACAAAGACGATTTGTTAAACAACTTGCTCAAAGTGTTTACCTTCTTCTTTGCTGGACTATTGGTCGTTGTTGACTCATTCATGTTTGAAATGAATGAATGAATGAACGATGATACACTTATATAAATAAACCAAGATGGAGAGATATATAGATTGATAGTTTTGTACTAGTATAGTTTAGTTATAAATAATTCCAGATGGTGATGTGATGTGCAGTTGACCTAAACAATGGCAGGCTAGATGATACCTTTAACTAAACAGCCCTCGTTGTTGTTGTTGAGTGCAATCAATCAGGTGAGAGTTGTAATAACAATAACAACAACATCAAAGAGGGCGGGCGCGCGAGTGACAGCTGGGCGCCAGTTCATCAAACATCATCATCAATATACTTTGCAAGTATAAGTAATGTTAACAGCGTAGTTAAGTTACATCTTAAGAGCCTGTATCACGTTCAAATGAATGAATGAATACGAGTTGGGGAGAGAGTGAGTGAGAGAGCTGGTGGGTGGGAGTAGGAAGGCGGCAGGGGGCAGGTGATGGATGCCTGCCTACTATAAAGAGTAGGAGGGAAACGGTGATTGATGGTGGTGAACAATAACAAGGTGGTGATGGTGGGTACTGGCGATGGATTGTGTGTGTTGGTTTGTTTGTTTGTTTGTTGTTAGTGTGACCCTAAGTGGGGGATCATGTGATTGTCGATTGGTTCATTGGCCTTGACTGTGTGTGTTTGTATGAATGATCGATTGCTTGCTATGAACGAGGGGTTTCATTGTAGTGATCTATTATCCTATAATCATGGCTAATGAAATAAATGGATTGATTGTTGTTATTACAACATTGGTCGCACAATAAGAGTGAGAAAATACAGTTGTATTAATTGGTGATCATCACCATAATAAGGTTGTTTGACGGTCCACTGATCGAGGTTCGTATTTTGGTGGGAAAATATGACTTCCGAAGACTCCAACATGCATCCAAAGGGGGCTGTATTTTGCATGTTGGGCCAACTTTGACTTCGACTACTCTTGAGTAAAGTCCCGTGAATGGTGAGAGAGCGTGTGAGCATGACGATTCGGGTTGCCCATACTCCGGAGCAGTAGTCTAACACAACTCAACCCGGCTTTATCTATCATTCATTCACTCAATGGCCCACAATTGTGAACCCCTTGGGCCAAAGACAGATATTTGGGAATTTGATTCATTTTTTGTGCAATTTATTAACGCGATCACTTGTGTTTGTGTGTGTGTGAATGTATGCATAGGATTGAATGAATGATGATGGAATGGTAGGATGTGGGTGAATGGAAGACATCCTTGCAGCACCTGAGTGTCTCACCGGATGACATCTCTACATTCATTTCATCAAACTTACTTTCATACACACAGATAATATAGATAATTACAAAGATGAGATATACATTTGTTATCCTCAGCGTTGTGCTCTTTGCTGCTTTGGCTGCTGCCACCCCACGTCCAACCGTCATCTGGCACGGTATGGGTGATACCTGTTGCTACCCATTCTCGTATGTATACCTCTATCTCTATATCAATCAATCAATCCCATACTAATATGACATTGTCATTCTTAGAATGGGATACATCAAGAAGGTTATTGAGGACCAGATCCCAGGTATCTACGTCAAGTCATTGATGATTGGCAAGGATATCCCAGATGATGAGTACAACTCATTCTTTTTGCCAGTGAACCAGCAGGTCGATGAGGTCTGCCAGCAGATCAAGAACGACCCAGAGCTCGCCAACGGTTTCAACGCCATTGGTTTCTCCCAGGGAGGCCAGTTCCACCGTGCCTACGTCCAGCGCTGCAACGACCCACCCGTCTACAACTTGGTCTCTGTCGGAGGTCAACACCAGGGTGTCTACGGAATGCCACGTTGCTCTGCCACCAACCAAACTCTCTGCAACCTCGCCCGTGAGATGCTCGAGCTCGGTGTCTACACCGATGAGGTTCAGGACCGTCTCGTCCAGGCTCAATACTGGCAAGACCCATTGGATGAGGCTGAGTACTTGGCCAAGTCCCAATTCCTTGCTGTATGTATATGTTAATCAATCAATCAATCAATCACTGTGCACTTACTAACTCACACTTATTCAATCAATCAATCTATCTTCTACCCTATCTCCTCTATCTCCAACTTGTAACTTTACAGGACATCAACAATGCCAGATCATCAAAGAATGAGACCTACAAGAAGAACTTCATCTCTTTGAACCACTTTGTCATGGTCAAGTTCCTCAACGACACTATGGTCATTCCAAGAGAGTCTGAGTGGTTCGGATGGTACGCTCCAGGCCAAGCTAGAGATCTGATCCCAATGGAGGAGACCCAGCTCTACACCGAGGACTGGATCGGTCTCCAGTACCTCAACAACGAGGGACGTGTCACCAAGATTGGTTGTGAGGGTAACCATCTCCAGTTCACCGAGCCATGGTTCATCCAGAACTTGATTCCATACTTGAACAACACTTTGTAAATTCAACAATAAACGAAGAGTTGAGGACGTATGAGTTCATATCTCATGTTGTAAATGGGAATCAAATGATCATAAATCTATTATTAATAATAATTTGTATACTGATAATAAATAATATAATATAATTATTTGTAAATATTGATAGAATCACCTGGGGGGAGGGGGATTGATCCGGATCAATCTGTCTGGATTCAATTACAAACCCCAACTGAGAATGTGAATATAAATGTAGTTGATTTGAAGTCCTAGATAATTAATTTTATTATTATTATTATCATATTAATATCAATGGCAAAACCAAAGTTTTTCTATCTAATTGGAATTATAGTTATTCTATATTGTTTTGGAAATGTTCTTGGCAATGCTGAAGGAATTGATTCAGTACAAGAAAATAACTTCCTAAGTCAAGCGTAAGATATTTCTCATTCTCACCATCGTAGAAGATTATAATACTAATTAGTAATTATTATTATAGATATGACCTCCGCGAAAAATCTCTTAATAACTATATAATAGGGTAATAGTTTTTATAATTTATTTTATTTATAAATATTAATATTAATTACTTCTTTATTTTAGATATGAAATACAAAGTGATCAATTAATAGCCAGGAGTACGATTTTTCATGATAATTGGTAGCTATTTTTAGATAGTCAAGAATAAATATATATAACAATAGGGTATCAAACTACAATATACTATTATTCATTGTTTAATTGAAATGTCCAATTGGTACCATATATTCTCTCTTTGACTTTTTATTGACCCCATTATCGGAGTTCCATCATCACTTTTAGTCACACATCACAAAGAAGTTAAATGAAAAGGAGGATGTGAACAAACAACGTACTTGATTAATGATTGAATGAATGAATGAATGAATGAAGATGATGGGAGACAACTTACAACAACATCATCATACTTCAACAACATCAATTGAGGACCAGTTTCAATCATTGGCAATCAATCCACCAACAACAACAACAACAACAAATGGAGATGTTGAACTAACATTGGACAACTCAAATGCAATGGCAGAGGCGACGGGCACATCAAAGTCATGGTTCGATACGATATATCAGTTCAGACAGACATCGTTCGATGCTATGATCATTGCATCAGACCCACAGTCACAGCTGGCGCAATACATGGGAAGTCGCAACGATCAAGTAAATGTTGCCCGCTATGAGCCAGTGCCACAGACACTCGATCAAAGTGTACTCTTCTCATCGACATCCATCCCAAACCGTCGTGAGATGTTGAATGACACTGCACTGCCGTGTGGACTGCTGTTGTCACCTTTCGATCGCCCCGTCCTCACAACCAGCTCATTCGACTACTATCCGCCACGATGTGCGCACTGCAGCGCCTACCTAAACATCTACTGTCGACTCGAGGAGCACCCTGTACACCACTGGGTGTGTGCAGTGTGTCGCCACTCCAACTCTATCGATTCAGGCACCAAGGGTGTGCGTTCAATCTGGGAGGTCAAGCACGGTCTGGGCTGGTGGGCAACCGATGCCTACCGCACTGTTCTAGCGTCAGATCTATACGATATCAAGAGACGACGAGCATCACCGCAGACATCATCAGCAGCAGGTACAGCAGTAACAGTGGACAGTCGTGGTGGCGGCATCAGCGACCCAATCTCATCATCAAACGTGCTGGCTGACGAGCAGACAACAACAACAACAACAACAACATTGACGAGCAATGCGTTGGATCAAGGTACCAACGCTATGTATATATTCATCGTGGATGAGAACCTGCCGAGATCAGAGTTGACGATCATCCAGCAAGCCCTGCGTCAGCTGCATAGCAATATCAGCGGTACCGCGCAGATCGCCCTCATCTCTTGCGCAAAGGTCGTGTCGATTTATGAGATGGCCACGTCAACAACGGGCGTGGTCACAGCCACAGCACACACATCCGCCAAACTGATCTATGGCGGCCAGTCACTTTCATCATCAGACTCCTTTGCACTCAAGCTCAAAAAGAAGCTGTTCATGGACACGGTAGCAAGTGGCGCAGAGAAGTTTATGCAGAGCTTCCAGTCAATCATATCTGCCAGCAGCCGCGGTGGCAGCGCGCCTGAAACAGCGCCAATCGCACTGGGCGTCGCAATCGAGTGCGCACTCTCATTCATCTCCACATCAGTCGATCGCTCTGGTACTGGCAGCAACAGTAATGGTGGCCGACTATTTGTATTCTTGAGTGGCGTGCCTAGCTTTGGTCCAGGCGCGCTGTCCATGTCGGCAAGAGTGGCTGCCGAGCGAAGCAATGAGTTGGATGCGCAAAACAGTGTAGCCAAGGACTACTACACACAGCTTGGCCAGCGGGCCTACCAGAAGTCTGTTGCCATCGATCTTCACCTTTGTGGTTTCCACGCCTTTGCCTCGCGCTACCTCACTCCCCTTTGCATGCCCACTGGCAATATCTTTATCACTCACGAGCTCAACGACATTGATCGATCCGACATGACATATCGTAATATGTTGAATGCAATCAACAAACGTAGGTATCGACAAGGCAACGACATCCATGGACGCACACGCTAACTCCTCTCATGCTTTCTCTAGACTGTGGAGTATACTCTAGATTGGACGTTCATTGTCCAGAGGCGATAAGTCTGACACATATTATTGGACCAACGGTCAAGGCCAGTGGGAAGCAGTTGCCAGAGCATGCACTGGATGTGGACGACAAGATTGGCAACACGGACAAGTACGCCAGTTTTGAGCTTACCAGTCATCAACAGGACATAACCTACGCTCTCTATTATGAGCTTCAAGAGGATGTACCTCAGGACTATATCCATATCCAGTTTGTTGTGCGTATCTTGGATGACAATTACAACCGTATACTACGTGTGATCACCAAGCGAATCAAGACCACCGGTAACTTTGACAAGTATCTAAACACACTGGATCTCAATGTGATGGCTGTGCTTCAGACCAAAAAGATCGTATTGGCCGCTGGCAAAGCAGAGACTACACAGACCAATGGAGAGTCATTCGATTATCAAGATGAACTGTAAGTGTCTTGAATGTTTGGAGTAGTCCAATTAATGATCATGATCACTCACGCCATATTATATCACTCCCAAGGGACAAGCAACTAAAGACCATCGCCAAGAAGTGTGCCAAAGTCCAACGTGGATGGTTCTCAAAGACAGTCACAATACCAGAGAAGATCAAGCAATATATAAGACTGTAAGGCCTCGCTCACTCACTCACTCAATCAAGCAATCCAATCACTGACACAATCAATCAATTCCCAAAGAATGTACACTGTTAGGGAAGGAGTGTTACTTGGAACCATCATACAGAATGATGATGACTTTGAAGTGATCAAGGCGTTGTATATGGGATCAAACTTTGGTGACTCTATAAGATTGATCTTGCCCAGGCTTGTACAGTCAATGGCTGGCACTGATGAATTACAAGAGTTACCAGCAACCTTGGATCAATTGGATAAAGATAGAGTGTTGATCCTAGATGCACAGACCCATGTATTCCTATTCATCGGATCACAGGTTCCAACAGACAGTTCACAAGCCCTCTACGCACGAAACTTTATCCAAAARGCAAACATTWATCAAGACTTCCAATGCCATATGTCCTAACATTCAATGTAAGTCCTACTTATCGGATATCGGATATCGGATGCTGGATGCTGGATATCATCACTGATCAATCACTAACTCACTCATTACACTTTAGGAACTGGAGCATAGTGTAAGATGGTTAAAGTGTAGACTTGGAGATAATGACAATATGTTGGAAGAGTCTTATCTGCAGAGTATAACATCAATTTGAGTAAAGGACGTCCCTTACACAGAAATACAAACGATTGATTGACTGATCAAAAAAATTGGAGAAAACATTGCGAAGAGACACCCACACAACTTTTCACAATGTTTTCTTGGCGATTGTGTTTGGCTTGGCATTCAATTCTAAGTGATTTCTCATTCAACAGTGTGGTGATGAAAGGATCTCTAAAGTTGAGAATCTCTCAACATCATGCTACCAACTTTAATTTAAGGAGTGAGGTTTAAAGAGTTGAGTTCATTCATTCATTGTTGTTCATTCAATTAATCAATTAATCAACCAACTAGATTACTCTACTTATAAACATCATACTTAAGTGTTATCGTTGTTATAAGCATTATCTATATATCAACTGGATATTCCACCTTCAACATCATCGTCAACATTAGACAACAACAACAACATCAATAACAATAACAACAAAATGGGAAAAGGACAGAATAATATTATAAAGTTGGAAGGATTCAATGTTAGAGAGGTACCAACAGTCATTGCCAATATGATTGATGTTGGTGTGTCCAAGGAAAATAATATTACATTGACAGATAGCAAGCCATTTGAACTGTCAGAGTATATTGTAATTCCAAGGAAGGTTACTGCTCTTATTGCCAAACAAACCAAGTTACAACAGATACAGAAAGTACAGCAGAGGAAACAGGGAAAGAAATCAATTGACTCCAATATTAATAATAATAATAATAACAAGTCAACAACACATATATTATCAGCTGAAGAGTTGGAGAAAATGTTTAACTTTAATCAAACAAAGGACGCACTGGATATTGCCAACAACTACACATCTTCCTCAACTACTTCAGATAACAACAACGATATGCCAACTACCGATCCTCCACCTCCATCACCTCCAAGTGAGGATATAATTACATTTGAGATGGATGATGATATTGCCACTTCCTCTTCTTCTTCCTCCCCTTCCACTTCTACCGATTCCACTTCCGATATAACTACCACCATCACTACCGTCGAGTCCGACGATTCAACTACTACTATTATTTTTGAAGAACCAGCTGAACTGGAAGATGATTGTTATGAAGAGAATGTTACATTTGCCGAGCAGAGTGATGCTGGAGACGCCTGGGAACTGGAGTTTTATGGTACCAAGTTGTTTGGTACAAGACTGCGACAGACCAACAAGTACAAGATGATGAGAATCAAGCGTTTCTTTGTAAAGTCCTACGACCAAGCCCGCGACGCCATCAGATCCAGCAACATTGCTGATCAGTGTGCCGTCGAGAAGCAGTCCAGCTCAGTCAGAAAGAGCAACCGTCCAACTTATGGTGGTCCTACCGACCCTTCCTACGAGAAGCAACTTCGCGACGCCATCTCAATGTCCGCCGCCGACTATGACCGTCAGGTCCGCACTGCCCGCAACCCACTCTCCCAGGCTCAGATCAACGACATTCTCAACCGTGAGCTTACACCAGAGGACTATGAGCTGCTCCTTCTGCTGGACACCACTGTCAAGCCCAAGACCACACCCACCTCTGTCATGTCCTCCTTCCAGACTGTCCGCTACTCTGCCTCAAAGTACGAGTTTGACACATGCATGGTGTGTCTGTCCGAGTTTGAGGAGCAAGAGTCTCTCACATTGCTGCCCAAGTGTAACCATATTTTCCACGCCAACTGTATCACTAACTGGCTATCTCAATCATCAAGAAACTGTCCAATCGATGGACTGCCTTGTTATGATTGTTGAATAAATCATATAATTAAGTGTGTACATAATTTAACTGTTTGATTTAGTGTCAAATTTGTGATAAATTTGTCAAAAAACGAACGAATGTGATTGAATGAAAGACGAAGAAACACTTCATTCATACCCATTCAATCATAGATAATACTAAACACATAAAGAGATAAGATGGCCGAAAGAGGAACATTTAGCAGAGGAAGAGGTGGAGGCGGTGGTGGAGGAAGAGGTAGAGGAGGAGCAGGTGGTGGTGGAAGAGGCAGAGGAGGAGCAGGAGGCTTTGGAAGAGGTGGCGGTGGTGGTGGAAGAGGTGGAGGTAGCTCTGGCAACTATTCAGTCGCAACAAACACCAGATGTTATAACTGTCAAGGAGAGGGTCATCTGTATGTACAATAGTTGGTTCATTTGACTCAAGTCATTCCATTAATCAATCATTCAATCTCGTCATTCGAATAACTAGTTCAAAGGATTGTACAGAGAAGAAGGTCGAGCAGAAGTGTTTCAACTGTGAGCAATATGGACATGTGTAAGTAGATCACACTTAGATGTATTAGACATTGGAAGGTGATGGTTAACATATCAATCAATCAATCAATCACATTAGTTCCAAGGACTGCGTCAATGATAAGGTGGAGCAACAATGTCATACTTGTGGAGAGTTTGGACATGTGTAGGTATCTCGTTTGGATATGAACCAGCTATCCAGACATCTAACATCATTACTAACTACAACACACTTAGAACAAAGACATGCAAGAACAAAGACAAGGATCAAGAGTGCTACGAATGCAATCAGTTTGGACATATGTAGGTCATCGGTTATTGGCAATATATAATGAACAAACTCAACATGGTCTAACACTTAACAACAACAACAAAAATATAGTTCAAGGAATTGTCCAAACAAACAAGGTGGATACACCAGCAACAGGAATGGCGGAGGACGTGACATGTCAAATGGTCGTGGTGAAGGTGGATACAATAACTATAGAGACAACAACAACAACAGGGATAACAACAAATCATGGGATAACTCTTGGGATAACTCAAAGAACAACAACAACAGGGACAACAAAAGGGATAACAACAACTCTAGATCATCAAATACAACAAGAACAAACACACCAGCCAACAACAAGCGTAAATCAGCTGATGACCTGGACGACAATGATATTACAACATTTGACGACTCTGGTGATGAGGCCACTGTAAAGGTATAATATGATTATTGATGATATATACCTGTCAAAGTCTGGATGATCCTAACATGGTGCACAATCAATCTACAACAGAAACAAAAGGTGGATCATAATGAGGATGATACACCAGTAGTTGGCAAGGAGACAGCAAATGGCGATAACTATGACAATGATGATGAGGAGAACAAGCCAAAGAAGAAGTCCAAGCAAAAGAATGCTGGTGATCTAAAGTCTGACATCAACACAACCTCTGCAGAAAGCCAGTCAATCTATCTCACCAAGAAGTATCGTCAAGAGTTGAAGGTCACTGATCTGGAAGCCAAGGTCTTCAAACGTAGGTCCGTCCTAGTCTGTCCTATTCTCTCAATCAATCACTAACTCACTCTGATACCACCATAGCCGAGTACTTTATTGAAGCTGGCGATGATATTAGTGAACTACCAGAGTTGTTGAGAAAGTTACATCCAACTTTGGATGCTCTGCCAGACAAGAGAAAGATGGAACTTAAGCCTGGCGCACCACTCGTCACCATCGTGACATGCTCCGCCACCAGAGCCATTGGTATTGGAAAGTATGTTATCGATCGACAATGTGATCTGGAACCATTCCATCTTACTAACAATCATTCTTTACAAACCCAGGGTACTGAATGACTTTAATCAAACATCAAGAGTTGGACTTTACTTTGCCAAGCATAAGAAGATCGAGGAGCATATAGAGATACTGAAGCAATATCCAGTGCGTATCATTGTTGGCACTCCAAACCGTTTGGCCAAGCTGGCAGAGGAGAATCATCTCAACTTGGAGGGACCAACATACGTCCCCAATGAGAAGCCAAAGAAGAAGCCATCGGCCAAGGACTTGGAGCAGGAATCAATGCGTTGGGTGCTGATCGACTCTTCATTCAGGACTGGCAACAACCACGACATCTTTAGAGTGTGTCCAGAGGATCTGTTCGAGTTCCTCAACACTGCTTGCTTGCCAAAGTTGGAGCAAGGTACAATGAAGTTGGCGCTGATATAGCGAGGGAGTTAGAGGAAGGAACTACATTGGTTGTTCTTCGGTCAATCAGTAAATGGTCCAAATAATCATAAAGCGCAGGTTTGAACTCCAAAGAGTTCACACGACATCAATCACCTCACTCAACTCTGGGGGTCGGGATTGACATCGCTACCCTTGTCGATCATTTATTATTATTATAGTGTCAAGTTATGTCCCATCGATTATTGGAAGGACAATATGGAAGGTCCAAACTGGGACCCAACACCAGGACACTCACAACACACTTTTACTGAACAGACCAAAGTCAATCAGTGACACGACCCATCTTCACCTCGTTCAAGGCCAAAGTGATAATCTGGACAGATTCGGAGTCCCATAGTCCAAGATTGGAGCACAAAGGTGCTATAAATCACACTTCGATAATCAATAATTATAATAGAACACACAGTTTGATCGCAGATCATCTATTTATTGGGAAGTCAATCAGTTACTCCTGCAAAGACGACAGGTATACCACACCCACCCCTCACTGGCACAAGAATAACCACCCTGGTCGTGTGGGTGGGTGGGTATGGTGTGGTTTCCCTATGAATTGATAGTTTCTCGAACCCAGAAAGGGTAAATCTTGAAAACTAAGTGTGTGGTGTGTGGGTGGGAAGGGAGGTGCAGATGACTACACTCAACCCCCACTGCCACACATACACACACTCACTGAGGTCAACCTATTCATGTCTTTCTGCAGACCTGGCACCCAGCCTGCCAGACCCCGACCCCTCACCGACGAAATAGGCAAAGTAAGTCGCGTCGGACAAGTAACGACTCCATCACGAACAAACAGTCCTCCTGTTTATGGGTAGAGGTGTATGTATGTTTGTGTGTGTGTTGGTGAGTTAGTGAAGAGAGTAAACTAAAGTTTCGCTGCACTGGCGACAAGTGAGTGAGAGGGACCCAGGCAAGTTAGGGTGGGTTGGCAAAGGATAGATAGTTATTGTTATTTGCAAGAATGTCTGTCAGACAGGACATCGATTGAAGTGACCCACTACTTTGTCTATCCCAATAATTATCTTATATACTTATATTGTTGTTTGTTGTTGTTATATATTATGTATATTGATAGGCATATTTGACTGGCTAGTCTTCAACTTTCCCCTTTACCACCATCCCTAATACTCACTACCCAATAAGTGTTTGTCCAATAGAGTAGACTGCACGATCCTGTTCAAGGTTGACAACACCTACACTATACTACACTACAACAACTATATCCTCTCCTCTATACACTTTTTTAGATATTTTATAACATATATACATTCATATATATATATATATTATTACTATCATTATAGATATATTTATAACGTGTTGCGGGTGAGGTTTAGATATTGCAAGAGCTGTCATATCTAGATTTATCGCTGGAACCGATCCAACGAAATATATGTAAGTAACATTTTTGTCAACAAATAATCCTCTATTGTATTCCTATGTTGTTCATTATTCGTAGTTTGTTGTTTTTAATTATTAATAATAATGTATTTATTATTTACTTATAAGTATGGATGAATGATTAAGAGTTTTCGTTTCGTTATTCAGAGATGCGAATGATGATTTCCGATTCATCTTGGAAATAACTCCCGATAACTTTGGTCGGTCTCCAACCCGTCCCATCAATAACCATCACCATCAACACTCAGTAGTAGCGTCCCTTCGTTTGCAACATCTCTTCACTTTCTCGTCTGCACTGTACGATCATACAACACTCACTCCACACAGATCCATCCTTCACCAACAACAACAATCATACTTCCATGTATGCCTTACCATCAATCCATTCATTCGCCATCGGCTTGCTTATTAATCACTGCACATTCACACATCACATTATTCAATGATGTCGACTGAAAGTCTGAAACTGAGTTACATAGAACGAGAGAGATGCATTCGTATTCTTTTGTTTTTACCTCTCAGTGTGTGTTTGTTTGAGAATGTCACTCAACAACAAACAACTCAACGACTCATTCACACAAGTCGTGCAGGGCTTGCAACCTCCAAACCCACGCCATCGCCAACATGACTTCCACCTATTTTTAAAACGAAGAAGCACCAAACTCCATCATCGATCACGACAAGTCTTGTTTGGTAGAGTGAGAGAGAAAGAGTGGCTGGTCCACCTCGCTACGATGACTGTCTGGCTCAATGGCTGGTGTGGATGGATGTTATCGGTGGTGTAAAGGGTTGTTGTTTGTACAGTCACTTAATGTACAATCATCCGTCTTTCAGTCATTACTGTTTTAATCATATTTCTCTTTGTCTTCCGACATTATCACAAACATCACCAACCTACTACTACTACATATATTATAACTACCTTTACACAAACTACCAATACCATTCCAAATCCACCAGTCATCATTCATTCCATTATTTATCGCCAACAACAGCAGCCACAGGACAAACAAAACTTGGAATATTAGACCAACAACAACAACATCATTCACAACAACCTTTATATCAACTTTTGGTGTTCCAACTATGATTACATCAATATATAATGATACATTCGCCTGTTAAACAAATACTTAATCAACTTTAAAACAATATATTAACTCTCTGAGGTCTCACTCATCCTTCACTCCTACTCCAGCTTTACAATCACACTATTTACCATTTCACATATTATATTATTACCCTGTTGTATTACCAACACATTGTTCCTTTAACAACAACAATTATATACCTTTCACATTCACTTCTTTGAAGTACAAGTATGTTTCCACAACTTCCAACGACAATCATGCACACAAAGCAGACACAGAGATAGACTTCCAGACAACTAACATTTAGTATATATATATTTTATAGATTTATTATAACCTTTAGTTAGGAACTCCAATGTCTGTAACAACAATGCCACCCAACAGCTGTATTGCAGGAGAGAAGAGGATTTCAATCCTCAAGGAGCTGGAAAAGCTGGAACATAGGTCAACACACGGCAAGGATTACCCCAATCGTGCTGAGGAATATACCCTAATCCAAGTCATTGGTGAGGGTACCGAGGGCACCGTTTGGAAGGCCGTGTGCAACAAGTACAAGTGTAACGTCGCCATAAAGATTGTCGACTTGGAAAAGGCTGCAGCTGACTGCGTCGAAGACTTATTGGTATGTTACAAAAAGAGATTGATCAAAGTACTTTGACACTGGAACTAACCAATTAATTATTGTAACACACTATAACAGAGAGAGGTAAAGGTAATGACTGAAAACAATCATCCAAACCTGATACAATATCATACCTCATTCTTAAATGGATCGTGCTTGTGGCTGGTACTCGATTATCTGGGTGCTGGTTCATTGGCCGACATTATCAAAGATAAATATCCAAACGGTATACCTGAGGTCCTGGCCGTCACCGTACTCAAGTACGCCTTGAGAGGACTGGAATCACTTCACACTCATCACAGAATCCACAGAGACTTCAAGTCTGACAACGTACTCATTGGCGCCGAGGGTCAAGTTGAGGTGTCAGACTTTGGCGTGTCGGCCTTCATGGAGAAGAGCCACCACGATTATAGAAAGACTGTTGTTGGAACACCATGTTGGATGGCACCTGTATGTATAGTCATTCAATCAAATGTAATAATTATACTAACATATATATTATTACATAATTTAGGAAATAATAACTGAGAAGGGATATAACCAATCAGTTGATATTTGGTCATTTGGTATTACCGCCATCGAGTTGGTAAGAGGTAAACCTCCCAACTGTGAGTTGCCACCAAACAAGGTGTTTATGTCACTATTGTTCAACTCTCCACCATCTCTCCAGGATGAGGTTGAGAAGGGAGTGATCTCTCAGAACTACAAGGACATGGTGGACAAGTGTCTGATGAAGGACACGTCCAGACGCCCCTCGGCCTCCAAGTTGCTCGAGCACAAGGTCTTCCGTCAGGCCAAGAAGTACGAATACATAGTCCAACACCTCATTAGTGATCTGCCACCATGTGAGGAACGATATAGAAAGAGCCACAGCCGTAGCACATCGCCAACGTCCTCGGCCTGCAGCACACCTCAGAACATGTCTCTGTCGGGCTCGCCAAAGAACCTGAGTCAAAGACACATGGAACTCAACCAGTTGGTCTGCAGCGCGCCAGATATCCCCAACACAATGGTGTTTGAGAGCTCAGCAATGCTGAGTAAGTCCAACTCTGCCATCGACCTAAAGAGCAAGGAGAACCCGATCGTTCGCAACGCCTCACATCCCCACGAGCTGACCAAACTCGAGAACAACAACAACTCGGCCATCAGCACACCTATCGAGCAGTCGCCCAAAGAGCTGAAAAAGTCCAAAGAGCATCGCAAGTCCCTATTTGGCCAGCTGAGCAAGAGTTCAATCATCAAGCTATTCTCGCACACTCACAAGCATGATGGCGACGAGGAGAAGCCAAAGGACAAGCATCTGCTACGAAAGAGCACCGGTACCGGTACTCCAAAGCTACATGTCTAAGTTTGTTCTCAGAGACCTTATGTATACATCCCTGTGGCCCTACCAATGAAATAAATTGCCTTGTTTCATTTCTTCTGTCGTATCCAAACTAAAGTGTATTGTAACTTATTGTTGTAGTTGTTGTTGCCACTGTTTGGTGATTGAGAATGATTGATGACGTCTATAGTCACTGTGTTATTTATATCTTTGAAACAGGGGCCGTTTAAATATTACCCTGGTATCGTGCCATGGTGTCGTTGGAAGGGTGGTCAGAAAGTGGCAACAACAAGAATAAACTAGCAGGTGACTTTAAGATTGTCCATTACCTGCTAGAAGGTTCCATTTTAAGACATATATGAGATACAATAATAAAGATATGCAATGACAATGGATTGATGCCAGTGCATTCAATGAATGAACGATGATTGTATTGGTCATATGGAGAAGAAGGCAGATGTACAGTCTTGTTGTTGTTGTAGTAGTTGATGAAACTTGTGATCACAACCTCGCGATTAGCTAACAGCCTGGACTGGCACTTGCAAGCCAACTACTTTGCTCCACCAACATGGTTCAATCACTTGCAATGGCCTTCCTTGGTTGTCAATTATCTTTGTTGAATCAAATGAGGATGCATCGATGTGGTCCACCTTGATCATTGCCAGTCCGACATTGTTGTAGCCAGAGAGGAACTTCTCTGATGATCTTGAAGGGGGAGCAGTGGATGGAGTGCTTGGATCATTGAATGGTGAAGACACTGTTGATGCATCCACAGTGATCTTGAGCTCCGAGTCCTTCTCGGGTGATTGTACATCGATCGAGTCCAACACCTTTTGTGAGAACAACAAATGATGCTCCTTTCTCGCTGGATCCAGGTTGGACTTGTTGCCATTGGCCGGTGACATGACCACGGGGAACACTCTCTTTCTAATCAGTCCGGTGTAGTGTGTCCTCGACATGAGCTCCTGGCCCAAGTAACATCCCTTGTGGAAGTCAACACCATTCAGCAGATCAAAGTTGTACTCTAGAGGAATGATCTTGTCGAATGAATAGTCCTTCAATCCTTGTGGTATACCATTCTGTGCACGATACAGTTGATATACATCCTCTGTCTCTTGATGGAATGCTGAGAGTACAGTGTTGATGGCTGTGAAAATGGAGTTGTCAGTGTCAGTAGTGTCCAAGTTTATACATATATATCATATCATCCCCATCACATACCAGAAGCCTTTGATGATGGTACTAATAATCTTAGACCCATCAATTGATGACGTGGGTCCATTAGAACTGTGCAATTCTCCTCTTTCAAATGTACAAACAACTTGTCGTCTCTAACAGACTTGTATGTCTTGTCCAACACGGTCAGGATGGAATAGTCTGACGTTGCATTCTCAATCTTGAGCTTGTTGCGCATCTTGTAGAAGTTTAAGTGCTCGATTGCACGGGTCGCCACTTCAGAGTCCACATCGATCAGTAGAGTCTCGTTTGCACTGTTGTCCACCTTGGCCACACTAGACGCCGATGATGTTATAGTTGACGCATGTTGTTCATGTAGTACAAAGGCGTCAAACAACAAACGACCACTGGCCGACAAGAAACCAGTGTACAATGATCCTGGGTTTGTATGTTGTACATCAACAAGTCTAGCAATGTTGTTTGTTGTCAATCCCTGCAGCATCTTTACAGAGTCCTGTCCAGTGACCCTAATCAATGTTCTAGAGTTTGTGATTGGTATCACACACCTCTTCAAATCTTTAATTCTATTTACAAGCATAGTTAATATTTATATATAATAGGTATAGGTATATAAGAATATAACAACAATAGAGAGATAATGAGTCAAGTGAGTGAGCGGATGTCTCTTGCTCATTCACCCAACCCCTCCATTCTCATCATAATGAGAGTAAATTAGCAAAAGGGTGATGTTCAACACCTAATGAGGGTGTGTCAATTAACTCGTTCCATCATTCCATCAAAGTATTGTTTGTGTACTCTTTACCAAAATTTAAGGCTATTATTTATGATTCTTTATTTACACGGCTAGGGATTGATTAATTTGTTGTAGGAGAACATCTCAATCAGTGAGGGATCATGTTAAACTTTAACGGACATTGGACATTCTTTAGATGTTCAACTTGTGAATACGTCTAACAGACAACCTTTGCAATTCTTCAAAGGACTTGTTTGATGATCTTTCGGCCTTGACAATGGCTTCACTTGGTGATGAAACGGATTCATCCCATGTCTTTGGTGGGACAGTGAATAACTTTCCATCTATGTTGTTGGAAGTTGGATTGGCAATGATTAGTATTGGAATGGATAAGAATAGTTTGATTAATTGTGTTTTAAATACCTTTGCCTTTCTTTTGACCCAACATCTTCATTGTTGGTCTTCCGACGCCAGTTGTGTAGAAGCGTCTAAGTGAATTGGTAATTGCAGTATTCATTGTTTTATATTAAATTGTTTGATATGGAAATATTTATATACAAATATATTTATATTGATTATTATTATATGTACAAGTAATAATGAATTATTTACAATGATTTTCAATATATATATATATGCTACTGAATAAATGAAGACAGGAACAACACTGTTGAATTAATTAATGATGCAATTGAACAACTATTGTATCGCTAATATATGATGTTGATGGGGTAGGGTACGGTAGGGCAGTTGGTTGGTTGGTTGAGGCTGAATTGATGATGATCAAACAGTGTGTTTGAGGGTGGGCGGGTGTGAGGGTGATGGATGTGGTCGGTGTAGATTGTGTTAAAGGGTGTGATGGGTAATCAAATGCAGTGCTTACACACACACAACACTCAGACTGATCAGAGACGAATAGGCTGGATGATGTTAATGATGATGCAGAGTGATAGAGCGATGTGCAGTTATAGTTGATTCAGATGCAATCGATATGTGTGGGAGGAAATTTCAATATTGGATAGATTATGTTGGCACCACTATTGATGATGTTGTTGATGAATGTTAATGATGAAGGGATGGATAGAGATGATAAATGATGCTGAGATGAGAGTATTTTGTAGTCTATAGAGGTGGTTACACTATCTCTAATTATAATTATTTATATTTATAATTATATAAATATTTATATTCAAAGGGGTATTGTAAATTGAAATATATATTGTATATATGTATAAAGGTAAATAAATCAATAATGAGTAAATATTCAAAAAATAGATTGATATAGTGTAGGACAACCCTGAGACTCACATTTTATTATTAATGGTCAATCCATTGTGTTGTTCACATCCCCAACATATTCCTTATTTGGGTTGCAAAGATTATTTTATGTTGTGTTTACCAGTTTGAGGGGTTGTTGGGTCAACAGAAGTGTCCTCCTTTTTGAGAATAATGAAGATGAAGCCTAATTGTTCTTTATGTTCCATCCCCTGCAGGTTAGTACACCTCTAGTGACACGTACTCATTACGATGGCAATTTAAAGGAATGATAATAAATCACCATTTAGGAAAATTGTATAACACATACAAGGCTTCAACAAATTCTGATTGAGTGAGTTCTTCTATCTATCCTTTAAAGATGTCCGGAGGTCAATGTCTATTCAAATCAAAACTTAAATCAAATAATGGTATTCCATGATGATGTATGATCATATATCTCTATATTTAGATATAAATAATTATATATTACTTATTATTCATTATTATTTGATATATATATGACTATGAATTTGATTAGGAATGGGGATTGAGTGCTACCTGACCATTTGTTTTTGGTTTCTCTCCAAGTCCAATTACACATGTGATCTTGAGGTCTAGTGTTCCATCGGGGAATATCTCTTCAATGATCTCGCGACACATTGTTACAAAGTTGGATTGGTAGCACTCTGGTAGATATGATTGGAATGTCTTGAATATTGGGTTGAATCGGAAGAAGTTGAGAAATACATCAATAGGCATCAGCCACTGATGTGATGTTGTATGTACTGTTGCATTCGTGAATCCACAGTCTCTCATCATTCTCTTGATGTCAATGCCATCGCCTAGCGACACCACTTGACGAATGGTCTCGGATGGATGTATCTTGGTCAAACGGAAAATGGCCTCTTCAAATATATTGAATACCTCGTTGTTGTAGGGGAATGAAGTGATGACACACTTGCCGCCAGGCGTCAGCACTCGCAACATCTCCTTAACAATCTTCTCGCGGTCAGAGAAGAAGACCAAACTGAATGCCGAATATACAATTGTGAATGTGTCGTGCTCGAATTGTAAGAACTCTCCATCCATTAGTACAGTGTCCAGGTTCTCCAGTTTCATGCTTGAGCGCTCCAATTCTAGCAGCTCCAACATTCGACGGGAGCTGTCAATGCTGGTGACCGAACCACCAATGGGAGCCAATCTTGAGGCAGCCTGAATAGATAGGGCTCCAGCCCCACAGCCCAAGTCCAGCACTTTGTGCGGTCTATTTGGCATTACACCAATCGAAATGTCCATTGCGTCGGTACAGTATGGTGACATTGTCTTGTAGTCCCTCATCGTCTTTACAAATGTTTCCAGGTTCTCGTCAAACCAGCCGTCCCTCATATCTTTCATATGTCCTCTCTCCTTATCATTGAATTGAGGTTGTATTGAACTACTTGGATTGGAGTTGATCGGAGCAAATGGAATAGGGTCCTTTATATTCCACTTGTGGACCCCTCCCATTTCTCCACTTGGTATTGAAGCTATTTCTGATATTTTCGTTTTCTTCTCCTCCTCCTGAGCTCCAACTTCATCTACTTCTTCGTTATTATTATTATTATCCGTTATAATTGATATATTAGGTGTAGGTGATGATTGTGTAGATCTTGTCATGTACTATATTTAACATTCAATTATTATTTTGTTTGTTTAATTGATATATATTTATATTAATAATATTTTTTAATTGAATGATTAATTGATGGATTGATTGATTGATTGATTAAATGAATTAGTAATAATATAATACAATGTATAATTATGTATGTGTAATGTGATGTAATTATATTATATTTATAATTATCTGATTGATTTACAAGATGATGATGTGTGTTTGTTGAAGTTGAATGAGATTGTGAAACCTCGAAGTGAACATACAAGGAAGTGCCAGGCTTGTCCTTTATCTCAATCGCAAGTTACACCTTCCCCCAACCCACAACACACTCACACTTCTTCCTCACTCACACAAACTCCAACCAACCAGGGCACCAACAACAACTATTCCAAACAAACAAAACTATAATATAACCAACTTCTCCTTCTTCTACCCTCAATTAATTAATTATTAATAATAATATGTATGATATGATATATCATGTGAAAAGAATGAATGAATCCTTTACCCATGTTTGGAATCCCAACTACCAGCGGGGTGAGTGCCGGTTGGACCACTTTCTACCTTTTTTGGAAAGAACAGCCAGGTCCTTTGTCACCCACCACACCACCATCATCACAATTAAAAAGATGTCCTTTGGAAAGCTAGCAAACTATGATGGTCAAATCAGACCCGATGGATGACACACTCACTCACTCACTCACATACCAACAAGCAATGAGGAGGAGTCTATTGTTGATCAATTGTCCTATAGAATCGTGTTGTTGTTGTTTTTTATCATCAACATGTCGTAGTCCTTGGAGCAAGTCCCCAGGAGACCGGTCCAAAGGAAGCAATTGAATGAACAGAGTGAGTGAACTTAAAGTGTTCCCACGTGGCCCCCAAGAGATTCAATCAGTGATCGGAGTTATGCCAGAACTTGGCAATGAACCAATCGAATCCATCGTCTACAGTGTAGGGTGGTGTGGGGAACCTAGGTAGGGAACAATCCAATCAGGTGATTGGATGGATGTGGAAGAGATAGTGTGTATGTATATAATGTAGTGTATCTTCATTATTTCTTCAATGGAGGTTCTTGCACACCGTCATTGTCATCATTCGATGAGGATGGACTTGGAGTGTGTCTATTGCCACTACCAGATGATGAGTTGTTGTTGCTGTTGCCACCACTATTTCCATTTCCATTGCCATTGCCATTGTCATCCTCTCTGTAGAATAGACGCTTGCCTCTTGCCTTGGAGTTGGCCTCGTGATACTGCAGACTGTTGTAGGCGCCATTTGAACTGTTCTCATTAAACTCCATCTCGGATGCCGATGAAAGTATAGGTGACACGGATGACGACGAGGAGGTCGATGTGCTGGTGGACGATGCAGACGATCCGATGGGCGCGAGTGATGTCAGTCCCAATCCACTACCACCAGCAACTGCTTGGTGGTGAGCATTGTTGCTGTTGCTGTTGCCAAAGCCATTGATTGGAACTGCCTGGTTGATGCTCATATTGATGCTTCGTAGCTCCTTGGTGGGCGTCTTGCCAATGCTGTATGATGTGGTCTTTGATGGCGTCAGTGATGAGACGCGCGCGGCCGATCCCATCGGTGAGAATATGACATTGGACATTGGCGAGGCGACTGTTGCCATAGACTGCTTGGTTGGTGTTGTTATTGGCACCTTCATTTGTGGCACCTTGTCCTTTGCCTGGACAACAGTCGACGTCATCTCTTCCAGGTATATCGCGTTGTAGAATGCAATAATATTTCCACTTTCTCCTTCTTTCAATGGTATGTCCTTGTAAGCCTAGGAAATTGTTTGATTGATTGAGTAAGTGAGTAAGTATCAAGGTAAAGATGTTTGATTGATTGATCGATTGATACATACTGGTGTTGGTATTGAAGCTATCTCTAACAGTGACTTAAATCCTATCTCCATGTTGTTTGATTTACAAATGGCATAGACGGTGCAGGCGATGGCAGTGTCCAAGTATCTATCCTGTAGCATGCGAGTATGTTCAATGATAAGCTTCAGGAGTACCCAGTTCATCTGCGCCACCATCTGCGCTGGCAGACTCAGCTCTGTTGCATAATGTTTTAGTTTGGCCTGCAGTCGCATGATAAGCTTTCTAAAGAACATCTGTTTGGTTGTGGAAGTGGATGTTAGTAGAGGACATTGTTGGAGTGGGATGAGTTGGGCTTCATACCATTAGAACGGGTGATGTTTGTTGGCCTGGAGCTGCTGGAGTTGGTGATTGAAGATTGGATGTAGTTGTTGTCGTTGTTGTGGTCGTTGATGTTGTGTTGGGCTTGGTTGGAGTGGCGCTGAGTAGCGAGGTATTGTTGGACTTTGTTGGCGTCGATGGTATGTTGCCTTGAGTCGTAATACTGCTGCTGCTTGAGTTGTATTGTGTGGCGTATAGGTACAGTGGTTCACGATATTGCTCAATGTGCGTAAAGACGAATGAGTTGGTGGTCCATGCGTATTGCTCGATGATCTTGGTCTCAATGGAGGTCAGGTGTTGAGTGAGCAGTGCGGGGATGATGCCCAGGTTGATGACGGTGGCAATGACACGCAGATGACTGTAGGGCAGTATCTGGAATCGGTTGACAAAGTAGGGGAACAGCAGCGCGTCCAGCTTGTACGCATAGCACACCATGTCGTAGCTGGTGGCCAGCAGCGATCGGTTGAACTCCTCGTTTGGCAGGAACGGCAGGGTCTTGGTGCCAGCCGACCCCTTGGCCAACTCCTGCTCAATGATCGTGCCGAGCAGCTTGTAGTAGAGTCGCACGCCGTACGTCCTCCTCTTGTTCTGGATTCTCTCGGCGCCATGCTCCGACAGTTCCTCTGAAGTGTACAGCTTGTCAATGCTCTGTGTCAGTTGCTTCACGCGATTGCTAATGTCCTGAACGGTCTCCTTCTTTGAGCCCCGTTCGATCAGGCTCTCTGTCGTGCTCAGAACATCGTCCGACTTGCTGACGGCCTTTATCCAGGCAATCATTGATAGGGATGCAGAGATGGGTGTGGCGGGCAGGTGTCCCGAGCTGTTTGTGGCCTTGCTGGGCGTGGTTGGATACTTGATCGGTGTGTCTGAGGCGTTGTTCCTTGCATGTCTGGCTGGCTGCTGGAACTTGGAGTCTGGTGTCATGGCCTTCTTTGCAGACATCTGATTGTTGTTGTTGTTGGCCTGTTTAAAGGGTGTTCCAATTGCGGCCTTGTCCGTGAGGAAGCAACGCTCATCAATATCACCACCGGCGTAATACTGTCGCTCATAATGCTTATTGAAGCTCGCCAATATCGATGAGATATTGGATGTTGAGAACACAATATCATTGTTTGATTGTTGAAGTAGTTGATCATTCACCATCTAAGAGTTATTGATTGGTTAGTCACCTGATTTGGACATGGACATGGACCGCGACTACTTACCTCTTTGACCAAGTTGGTGAATGTTGTCTTGTTGGTATTTACAAGTTCCTTGTACAGGGATATGTCTATCTTTCTACATAGATACTCTAGTATCTCGTTTGGATTGTCTGTGTGATTGTTGTTGTTGTTATTGTTGTTATTGTTATCGTTGTTGTTGTCGCCAACATGGGAGGAGGATGGGGGAAGTGGTAGACTGAGCTTGGAGAGTAGGTTCGACTTGCTGTACACTAGATTGATGCTGCATATGATGAGGTTGGTCGACTGGATAAGATCGGGTGTCGTGTTGAACAGCCTGCGCTTGCAGTACAGATAGATGTGCCAGCCAATGTCAAAGAGGTGCTCGTCGCTGAAGCGCCCCAGTGCCTGATTGCGCGCCACACTGCCCATGCCGCCACCCGCCAGACGGTCCGTGACCGGATTGAACTGGAAGCAGCTGCGATACGTGTCTTCGTACTTGCGATAGATGACGTTGAGCACGACGAATGAGACGCCGAGCTTGCGCGTCATCTCGCCCAGTGGCTGAGTGTCGCATCGGAGCATCGATACGAACGATGGTAGTATCTCAAAAAAGTCGCGCATCTTGATGTCGGCAGTTTTGAGCAGCTGTGACAGATAGACGCTGTGTGTCAGCTGCTCCGTGCTGAGGTGTGTCGACAGTGTCTTTGGTATAAGCGTATTGAATCGTTTGTTTCCTGCAACAAACAATGAACATGCTATATAATATCTTTGATTGATATCTGATGTCTGTTGGTGTTTGGTTGTGTTGAGTTGTGTGATGTGATGGTTAGTCCATGGTCCTGACTCACTCATTCATTCAGTTGATGTACGTACATCATTGGTTAACTGTATATACTCTAGTAGGTCCAATGCTATTGAGGTTGTTGTTTGGTCAACGTTTAGAGTGGTGGCAATGTCTACTAGCTTTGGTCTCAGCTCATCCATGCTGAGTAGGGCGGTCTCACCACGCAGACTATCTACTGCGGCCACCAATTCATCCATTGAACCACCCTGGCTAACTGGTTCATCATCCGTGCAACTGCTCAAATTACTGTCGCTTCTCTTAAATATCGATGGTGTTGCCATATCGTCTTGTCTTTTCTTGTCTTGTATTATCTTGACTATGGTATTGGATTGGCTTGTTTGTGCTGTGTCAATCAATCAATCAATCAATCAATTCAATCAATTAATTCAATCAATCGATCTGTTCGCACTAATAATGATGAGGATAGACTATTGCTAATATGTATATGTGAAAGATAGAATGTTGTTGATTGATTATGTATATATGTTATGGTTTATGAATTGTGTTGGAAGTTAGTGAGAGGGTAACCTTTGTGGCCCACATCATCCTCTCTCCCTCCCTTTGTTTGTGAACAATTAAATTAAAAAAATAAAAAGGGCGCCAACTTCCACCTCTCATTCAATCTCATTCACTCACTCAATCAAGTCCATGAGATAAATAAGATTGACCATTAATTAGTTTACTATGACTACTTCTACAACATATTGTCATCATCATCCATTACACCACATATTGATGAGGTATCATCTTCAGATCTGCATGGTGTATCTTGGTCATCTTCGTCATCTTCATCATCATCGTCTTCATCATCTGTAACATCATCATCTCCATCACCATCAACTACAACAGTTGGTAATGCAGATGTTCGTCTTGAGAATGGATTGAACTTGAGTTCACTAAAGTTCTCCATCATTTTGGAGAACTTGGGCACGCTGCCAAACAGTATCGATTGACTCTTGGATAATGGTGATGATGGCGTGGCTGTGCCTGTCTTGTTGGCTTGCGAAGGTGGTGGCGGTGACATACCCTGTGTAGACTGTGACAGTTGTGGCGAGGAGAACCTTGGCGATGAAAAGTATGGTATGAAGGACAGCAATGGGGATGATCGTGTTGGTGTGTCCGAAACCACCGTTGGTTCACTAGAGGCAGCGGCGGCGGCAGCAGCAGCAGCCTGCTTCTGTAATGTTTCCTTCTCGACCAGTTGACACACCTCGTGCTTGGAGAACACCTGGACCTCACCTTGCAGCTGACACGCCAGTTCATCCTCCAAGTACAGGTTGACTTTGAAGGGCGTTGGGTCAGATCCACATGCATTGCTGAGTGGGATGGCGCCCTTGCCCACAAGAGTGTACTCCATCAACTCTTTGGACACGAGTGCCACCTGTATGTACTGTGTCTTGAGGTACTCCTTGTCATCGATGAATGATCGCAGCTCAATGGACTCGCTCCACACGGGCAATGTTGAGCGTACACTTGATGTGCGCTCACAGTTGTCCTGGCTGACCAGGTGCAGCGCGTTGAACTCGAGATAGGCGTCCAGTCTTGTGCCAGGCGGCAGAAGATCAAACTGATCGGCCACCAGTGACTTGATAAAGATGAATGTTGGCACGCCTGCATTGGACATCCAACTGTATGGCGACAAGAGTGGCAGGCGCAGGGCAGTGTACACCGAGTCTGCATCACTAGTGACGGACAGGGGTTCGGCCTCTGGTAGGGACTTGAAGTAGATACCATTGGACAACTCTGTAGTAGTGGTAGTAGAGTCTGATGGGATTGATGGTGTTGCTGCCACGCTTTGCCAATCACTGGATGCAAGGGACTGCGCATCAGAGTCGCCAGTCCAGAAGGTGTAGCGATAGGACACGTTGAGATACTCGTTGTTTTTGACGTAGAGAACTGATGTGCGGTCGTCCACAGACAGTGGCATCCAATTGCAATGATTGACAAAGCATACTGATGTCTCCTTCAACTTGAATGATATGGTAGTTCCAAATTGAACGTCCTTGTTCTTATACTCCTTCAATGCATCCGTTGGCTTGTTACCAGTCTCCTTCAACTTGTTGCCAAACTTGAACAACTGTGACACTGACTGAGTCCTCGACAACAACTTTAGTCTGCTACTGGTCAGCACTGATGTCGATGACGAGGTCAACGCTGGAGGTGAGGCGATCTCCTCCATGCCTTGTGCAAGATTTGGACTTGGTGGTGATGATGGAGGTGACGATGATGTTGGCGTGACAGGTGTCAAGCTCTCAGTAGGCACTGTCAACGCGTCTGATGATGGTATTTGTACCTTCTTGTTGGAGAATCGTCTGAGTAGACAGCTGACTGTGATGTTGGATATGTAGGACGCCAGATCCTTGTGCACCAGAACAATGGCGGCTGTATGTGGCGAGGTTGCTGTCGTGACCATTGTGTATTCGTGGCCAAAGTATCGACGTATTTGGTAGAACCAGTTGCCGTGGCAGCCCGTCAGTGGCGGTCCACCCAGTCCATTGCCATCCTCCTGGTCAGTGATGCGCTGTGCCGCTATGTAATATACACTCTTGTCCTTGGGTATGTTGTGTTGTTGGAGATAGGCCAACACATCGAGTCGCTCAGGCCGACTATCCACATTGATCGACACCACCAGACAGTCCAGTGCTTCGGCCTGAATCGTCTGGCTGTTGGAGTTTCTCAGACTGGGTGTATGGCCCACGTCGCCATGTCTATAAAGCTCGTGAATGAATTGTTCGCGCGCCAAAGACGTCGAGAATATGATGATCTCTGGCGTTGCACTTTCCAAATGATAGAGATTGAGTGATCGGTAGTTATGCTTGCTGCGCTCGACCAATATGATGTTGTCCAGCAGCACGTCCTTGCGCCGGCCACTCTCGGGGATCCAAAGAGAGACGCAGCGAGTCGCAGTCGATCCCATCGTGCGCACAGACAGGACGGCCGACACAATGATGCGTTCCTCCTCGTCCACCAGGTACTCGACGTCCAGCTCGCAGCCATCGACAGCCAGCTGGTCGGACGTCCACTTCTCAACGACCAGCTTGCCAAGGAACAGGTCGAGCGCCAGCTGCTTCTCGTCGTCCTTGAAGTTGGTGTTGATGTATCGCTTGACCGAGGTGACGCCATCGGTCATTGTGCCCTTGACACTGCGCTTGCCTGTGCGTGTAAAGTCGGTCTTGAGCGCGGCGGTACCCGTATATCGCTGGCTCATCACATCGGCATTGTCCGCCCATACATTCTTGAACAGCAACTCAAATGCCGCGTGATCCTCGACGCGATCATACGGTGAGATGATACCCATCTTTGACAACTGTTTGTGTAGCATACTATGTGCCAGTATGCTCTGGAAGACGTTGGTGCGGTCCAGGCAATCGATGCAATTCGTTCGGAATGTGCCGCCCTGGCGCAACAATGGTGCTTGGCACGCCGTGCTCTTGAACAAGTATCCATGTCTGTCAAGATGTGGACGCACTAGGTCCAACAGTTCGCTCAAGTTCTCATATCGATTGTTCTTGCATTTATCATGGAAGTCGAATGAGTAGTATCTTAACATTGTCGATGTGTCTTTGTCTGTTGTGTTTGTATCTGTGGCCGGGGATGTGGCTGTTGTTGTGGCTGTGGGATTGGCATGTCTTGACAACTTGGCATAAGTCTCAAACATGTTACCAATTGTTGACTCTCCTCCATGATGATCAATCAATGATACCATAACTTGTGGACCATACAATGTTATCAGTTCATCGCAATGTGATGTGAATGCTCTGTCCTGGATGGGGATAATCAAGGAGTATGAGTATGATTGTGCCCCATCATCCATCCATCAATCTAGTCCCAATCCTTACAGTTAGAATATTGTTGCCTGGTATTGGAGTTGGCTTTAGTCCTTTACGCTTCTGTTTCCATATTAAGGGTATTGAACCTCTGGTCTGAACATATGATGTGAGCACCTGATCAAAGACAACGATCTGCTCAGTCTCTACAAAGTTTGCTACATTGCCCAGTGGATCTGCGCCTCTCATATGATACCTAGCTCCAGCTCTCTTACAACTCCTCCTCGATATAAATATATACTTGAACTTGTTTGAATTGATTTCGCAGTTGAGTATCTTGATGTCTAAGTTAAGTATGAGTAAGAGTATGTGATTGATTGATTGGAGTGAGTATATGTGTATACATACGACCATCCATGATTGGGAGAATGAATGGATGGCATTCGGCATCGATGAACTTCTTCTGGAGATGTTGATTCCAGAAGAACCTTTGGTCAGCTCGTTTCCATAGTGGTGAACTCTGTGATTGGACACAACATTCAATGTCCGATATGCGTTGTTCCGTATGTGTAACATCAAAGTCATATGAGAAGTAGAATGAGAATGTCTCCAACATGTTATTCAGTATTGCCAAGTAGTTCTTCTCTTCCAATCTCTGTTTTGTATCCAAGATTGAATGAGTGATTGAGTGAGTGAGTGAACGATCACTTATGGACCAAGCCTGGATTGTGAGTGGGACATACCTCTGCATCAGTCAATGCTATTGGAGTGGCTAAGATTGGATGTATGTTTGTCTTGGTCACTCGGTATATGACGTTGTCATTGCCTCGAATGGCACCAACTTCTGTTCTCTCGGCAATAGTCAACAAATGTGGACCCGATAGTAAACTTATGATTCCAAGACATCCATGTGTCTTATAAACAGTTCTAATAGGTTCTGTTATCATTGCATCTTGTCCCAGCTGTAATTTGGTCAGTACCAAGTTAGGATTGATTGAGTGCGTGCCTCCCTGTCCCGAGTCCATCACATCGACCTACCTCTCAATTCTACATTGCCTGTTGAACGATCTATAAATACTGTCTTTGGGTCTTCATGTTCATGGTTGGCAGATGTCTGCAACAACATGAATGAGTCTAACACTACAACATTGACATTGGGATATACATAGGTTACTGGTTCACCTGTAGTAGTACTACTATCTTCATTATTGCTATTGTTATTATTGTTTGTGTTGTTATCCATCTCCTATTACATGTATGATTGGAGTAGTAGTTGTTAACAATTAAGTATGCATACAGTGTTGTTTATGTTGTTTGGAGTGACACTTGTGCCATCGATTAGTTAGTTTGGTACCAAACAAACAACAAGTTGGTGTTCAAGGGACCTTCTGCACCACGCCCATTTGCACCCCTTTGGTTGCAAAACCACCCTCCACAACCAAAAAGGTGATCAAAATGAAACGAATCTTCACAAAACAATTCCAAAAGTGGAAGTCGGGGCAAAGATCTGGAATATGCTCTACCTCGAGCAAAGGTTCTTGGCGCCATAAATAACCAAGACATGTCCATGTCCATTGTTGATGTTGTTGTCCAACCAACCAACCAACTCAGTCGGTGACATTTAATGTCCAACTAAGTACTTCTTAGAAGAACTTCAAATTGAAGTTGATGCCCATCCTGTTTGATTGGTCTGATTGAAGCTTCTTGAGGGGATGTCCGACGTAGATGTCAACTAGTGCTGGTCCTGTTTCGAATCGGAAGCCAAATCCAACAGTGTGTCTGTAGTTGTCTGGTCGCAACAACTCCCTCATGCACGATCCAAAGTTATCATAGTTCAACACAGAGTTACCAAATGCGTAGAACAAGAATGCTTGGCCTGGATAGTCATCAATATCCTTTGTCAAATAGAGTGTTGTGTTGTGATAGAAGTCTCCTCCAAGGCTTGGCTCTGTTGTTCAACAATGTTAGTATCCTATCTTTGGCACCATTCAATCAATCAATCAATCCAATCCAATCCATACTCTTGCTCTTTGTTGTTGCCAATCCCTTATATTCGAATCCCTTGAAGTGATATGATACACCATTGTAGAACCTATCGATCATTGGAGACATTCCTCTCGCCATATTGTAAAGACCTCCAAAGGCAAGCATGCATTCCAAGTTCTAAAGTTCATTGAATGAATGAATGAGTTGAGTGATCGAAGGATTGGGTGTTATTGATCAACTTACAAAGCCTCTGTAGAGGGGATAGTATATATGAGTGAATGACTCTGTCTTGATGAACTTGGTACTGAATGGACCTCCAGCCACCTCATTGTGAATTCTGCCCCACAGACCAAGTCCGTACAATCCAGTCTTCCTTGACATCCACTCCTTGAAATAGTAATACTTGTGCGTCAGACTCAGCTTATGTGAGAAGCCAGTATGATTCCTCATCCTACAATCGATGATCAAGTCAGTGAGTGTCGCGTGTGCAATATCGTCCGATCAGTCCAATCTTACTCCTCATCCTTGTTTTCACCAGAGACAAAGGTTCTTCTGTCACCTGCGTAGAGGCTAAAGTAGTGTCGACCATAGTTGTTTGGATGGAATGTGATACATGACTCTTCAATCTGTAAGTTCTTGTTGCTATCGTGTTGTGAGTCATGTCAGAAATCTAATGCTCGCGCGTGTGTCTAATGCGTGTCCACGCGTCCATCCATCCAAGTATGTATGCTTACAGCTCGATAGGGTTCTCCAATCTCTTTGACAACTCAATCTTGTTGTTATATCTATCCTTATAATATATCTGTATGTATGTTTGATCGAATGAGTCGGTCTGTTGACGAGCAAGGCACGATGAATACATACACCACCATTCAATGTCTTGAAGATGCCAACTGAACCCTCGCCACCAACCTCACCACCATAGCCAAAGGGATTGACGATGGAGAGGATGGTCTTTTGTGTAAAGTCGGTGTTGATCGAGGTGTCTAGGGAGATACCGCGCTTGATCGCAGAGATGGTGACGGTGCGTCCGTCATCGCCAACGGTGTAGTCACCCTGCGACATGATCTGATCACGCTCCATCAGTTGTATACCATCCTGTACATATCTACGTAGTCTTTTCTTGTCGCCTGCGTACGTATCAATGTTCTTAAAGTACGTCCTTCGCAAATACTCATCATTGGACCTAATCTGATTGAATGTCAACTCGACCTGAATTGATTGATGATTGATTGATGTGTTAGTAAACTGATCAGTTTCGGGATGATCACATGTTGATCATCATCATGTCATAGATAGTGTATACCTTTGCCATGGTTGATGCGAATATGTATATGTTTGATTGGTATCTGATGAGGGGCTAGACACAATGAACATCAGTCGTGACCTGATGACCAATGGACGCGTCAAAGGACTCTTTCCATTTTTTTGGAAGTACGGAATAGGTAACCAAATGTCTTTCTTCATCATTGGACTCATGAAGTACATTAGTCATTCACCATGCATCATGTGATCGTGTGTTACATGTACACATACACACTGACCAATCAATCACGTGTCTACCTAAGGTGAAGATGTTTAAGATTGGGGTTGATCAAATGTGTGACATTACCCCTTACTTATCTTCACAACAGCGACGACTACTCGCCCTTGGCCATTATCCGTATTACGAATGTATCTATATTAATCAATTCACTGTCGTTGATTGTAACAACTAAACAACATTCAATCACTCAATCAATCTCTCAATCACAAATGTAAGAGTTGTGTGAACAGAAGGTTGTATTGGAGTTACCACCAATGAACTAACCAATCAGAGCATGGATACGTGATTGAACTTGAATTGGAATGACCATCACCTCACTGACACTTTCAATCAATCAATCAATCAATCAATATTTATCTTACCTTATATGTTCAATCACCATCATTGTCGACAACTGTTATAATACATGAATTATAAGGATGGATGATTGACAAGTTGTACTTTACATTCAACCATCAATGGATATTGGGTCAACTTTGTATTAATCATATCTTCGATCGTCAATATTACAAATAATGTACGAGATTGACTCATTGGATACAACTTCCTTTTCCCTCCTTCCATGCCATCCTGGAATTCTATTTAATCATTGGGAATTCCCAAACATTATCCATCATCAGATATTCAATCTAACAATCAAACAAACTAACTAATCCTTTAATTTAATTAATTAACTTCTTACTTAACTTTATAAAACATGTTGATCAGTAAGTTAAATCATTATTAATTAATATCCTCACACGATAAATCAAACATTTAATTCTAACTTTCAAACAACAATTATTATAGAGGCCATTACATCATCCGTCAGTAGCTTTATGCCATCATCAATGAGTGGAAGCGTTATTGGTTCATCTGGAAGCAGTGGATCTTCTCAGGGAGGAAACTCAACATCGGGTTGTGGTCCATGTGGACCTGTCAACCACACTTATCAGGAGTTTGTAGCTTATCCAGCTTGCTACCCATGCTACCCACCACCATGCTACCCATGCTTCCCACCACCAGTCTGTGGCAGATATTGTTAATAACAATAAATGATTTGTAAATGTGTTGCATCCACTTTCCCTCAGTCTTGGTCTAATGTTTAATGAATTAATAGGTTGAGTGTGACAAACGTCGGCACTATTCCTTAGTCAACTTTGGCAACTACCTCAAACCGTACCATAAAATTCTACGATCCAACTGACTTTGTGTAAAATTGGATCAAAATGTTTTTACAATATATGTTGAGCAAAATTATTTTTGGCGCACGAATGCTCTGTCATCTAAGGGTTAGGATCCAGGACTCTGAATCCTGTCATCTGAGTTCGAATCTCAGCAGGGCAATATCTTAAAAAGGAAAATAACAAACTGAACTTCGTATTCAGGATGTCCTTGAAGCCGGATGGCAAGAAATTCCTGTTGGATGTACAATTCCGAGACTTGTCAAGGCTCATCTTCCTAACGAGTCACATACACATTCAGTTCCTTGACTACTCTGCGAATGGCTGCGCTCAATGGTTTGGACATGACCTCACCTCTTGACGTCTACCCTGTCCTCAAGGTCAAGAGTAATCGCCAAATGATTGAGTTTGGAGTTGTAGGAAGTACAGATGTATTTTAATTAAATAAATTGGGTGCATATATCGATATCCACAACCTTTGTAATGTGTGTCTCTTCGTAAAGACATTCACAAAGTGTTTATGATATCGTCGGTCATATGTGTGTGTGTATGGTATTACAATAGTCTGTCAACGAATGGCGCTGGCAGACCAGAGGTAGGTAGGTAGGGTAGGTATTCATCTCGCTCGCTAGTGTAAGAATCCAGTGGTGTTGAGGTTCCTCTGCAAGAACATATTGTCAAACAATCCCTTCATACCCTGCTTGGTCTCGGCTCTGGCAAAGAATGGATGCTATTTGCGTGTATGGTAGTTGATGTGTGAGTGGATGTTGGAACTATTCCAAATTTTGGAAACGATAATTATAATGTTGACATACCCTTAACAATTTCTGTGCACTCGATCGCTTGTTGGGATCCATTTCAAAGCATTGCCAGAGCATGTCCTTGAGGTCCAGTGAGCACTTGAGTCGCGCCACATCAATTCCCTTGGTGGCATTTGTAAACATTGCACGCATACGTGACTCGCGATGTGGTGGCTTTTTATACATCAACTCCAACATACACACTCCAAAGCTCCATATATCCGCTGGGTATGAATGTGGCTCGCCCTTCACCATCTCTGGAGGCATCCAGAATGGCGAGCCCACTAAATGGTTGGACACCTCATTCTCAACTGATGAGCATAGTCCAAAGTCAACTGTAATGTATCATTGAATTGGGGTAAGTAATGTGGTATAGTTCCATTGAATGATTGAACTTACCAAGTTTGATCTCTCCACCAACTGTGATCATGACATTGGCACTCTTGATATCGCGGTGCACCAACTTGTTTTGATGCATGTAGGCGATTCCCTTGAGTATCTCCTTGCCAATGTATCCGATTTGTGTCTCTTTGAACACGTGTGAAGAGGTGACGGCTGCCTGCTCCAGCGTGCCACCCTGCATGTACTCCATAATGATGAATAGTTGTTCAACGTGCAGCACCGATGCCTTGTAACCAATGATGTTGGGATGATCACATCGCTTGAGGAATCCAACCTCTATCAATACATTGTGCTGTTCCTTTGGTGTCCTATAATGTACCACCTTAATGGCCACCTTCTTCTTGTCATAATGAGCTTCAAACACCTTTCCATATCCACTATAATAATGTGATTGATTGATTAGTTATATGATTGATTGATTGGTTGATTGAGTGAGTGAGGTACTACATACCCTTTACCAAGGAGGTTGCCAAACTTGATGCGCTTCTTGATGTCTGGATACTCTTTGATTGTTGTGGCCACGCTGGCAAGGAACTCAGGAGTGGCGCCCGCCAGTCTGATCTTTCGTCGTAGTTTGAGGTCCAGGAGCTTCTTCTTCATCTCCTCTTCGTTGTTGGAGACGATCTGCTCCTTGTCAATGACAATGGATGATGTCTGGATCTCCTCCATTGTCTTTGAGCGTGGCTTGTTGACCACAGGTGCTGGAGCTACGAGGCTCTCTGCGACTGATGCCTCGGTGCTTGCCTCTATTGTGAGCAAATCATCGTCTGGATGTACAAAGGTGATCTTCTGACGCGTGAGGAACTTGAGCACGGTGAGGAACACCTTGAAGTTGTTTTTGATGTCCTCGAATGGGATGTCCTCCTGTTTCAGGTCGGCGACAATGTCCTCGGGGAGGTCGTCAAATGTGCTGACGACCAAGCGCGGACATCTCTTTCGATTGGCGTAACGACGCTTGGGCGAGCCGTCCGGCAGCAGATGTTTGGTGATTGATCCACTCTTGGAGCGATGGAATAGTCCCATTCCGGTATTCGCCATGCTACTGCTGCTCTGTTGTTTCTTGATCTTCTTGTCGACGCCCGTCACCTCGCTCGAGTCGACACAGGGATGCTCGAGTGAGCCTGAGCCGCCACTCTCCTTCCTGTGGTCCGATTGAAGTCGCTCCAACATCATCGACGTCAACATCGAAGGTGAGTGATTGTCACCGGCACCGCCTCCGCCACCACCAGATATATTTGTTGCAGTGGTTGTTGTTGTTGTAGTAGTTGATTCAATTGATGGGGAAGTCATGTTTGAAATGGCCAATGCTTCAATGGGGATATTATCATCGTCATCATGTAATGATGGTGTGCCATTATTCACTGGTGGAGCGTCCAACTCATTCATTGTATCATTCGACCATTCATCAGTCTTTGTAGTCTCCATTGTGTGTGTCTGTGTCTGTTGTTGGGCCTGAACCTGTGCTTGGGATTGAGCTTGAGCTTGAGCTTGTTGTATGACCTTGGTAATTACCTCAAGTTAGACATGATCACATGATTGATTGAATATGGATGTACCTACACTTAATGGCCTGGTATCTATTGTAATGTGTGACGATGGCAATAGACCAATCTTGCCATCTACTTTGCCTCTTATATAGCCATTGTCGGTCTTCTCAATGTACTCTATCTTGGTGCCCTTTACAAAGCTTAGATGGTTGTCTGTGATGCCTGTATAGTCTGCAGTGGCAATCAGATACATCATCATATCATTAAATTAATAATAATAAAGTAATAATAATAATAATAAACAGATAAATAATATTGTTATTAGATATATATAGTACAAGTATGTTATGTTATATGTTTGATTGATTAGATAGTTGCAAAAGAGTGAGAGAGTGTAGACAGTGTTGCTGTTGCAATTGGAGAGTGTGGTTGTTTGAGCGAGTGACACAGTTGTGGGGGTTGAAGGGGAAAGTCTGACAAAGACCCTTTCAGATTGTAAATCTGGAAAAACACATGTTTGATCTCGATCTTGGGTTGAATTTGGGTGAGGACAGACCCAATCGTGACCAAGCATGGACCCTTTTACTAATAATGATCAAACAAACAAGTTATAAATAACTTATTACGAACCGAGTATGTAAATCATGTGACATTCATTCATTCATTCTGTCTCGTGTGATGTTTGATGTGTGATGTGTTAAGTGTGATGTGGGATCGTCGGACTCCGATGATTATATGATTGATTGATGGATGGGTCTTGGTCCTGTTAATGATTCGAATGTTATGTATCTGTTTATTGAAATTGGATGGCTATCTACATTACTCGTGTTGGGTTGACTTGATTGACTTGACTTTGACTTTGATTGTGACTTGAATGAATGAATGAACTTGACTTGATGGACCTCTGGATCGATCTTGGCAATTATCTGTATCTTGACATATTTTTATCTTGAATGTTTGAATGATCGCTAAAATAACTATTTGGCCTGTATCGAATTGTCTTCGGTTGTTTCGCTGGTCGATGAGTCACTGTCACTGGTGTCGCTGGACGATGTGGTGTAATCAGAGGATTCATCATCAGTCTTTGCTGCCACTGCCTCGTGGGCGGCAACTGGTGCCGCCACCGCCTTGTTCTTGTCAACAATTACCACATCGACAACATCGCCCAATGGAGGAGGGGGCGTGCCTTGCTGCTGGTTATCCACAATGTTCACCTTGGCCACTTCCGGACTGTCGACTGCTGGTGGTGCTGTCGCCGACTCGTGCTGCTCTTGATGCTGCGGTGCTGGAGCCTGTTGTTGGTGCTCAGGCTGATGGTTTGCGGCCGCAGCCGCTGCACCTCCCGCCACGACCAATGGCACTGCTGCTGCCGCAGCCACAGGTGCAACCGGTGCTGATGAGTGAACGACTGGTGGGATGGCCTCGTTTGAGTGTGTTCGTCGCTCAACCACCATTGACTGTTGGAGACTGGCCGCGGGCGCCTGAACAAACGCTCCCTCGGCATACTGGTCGCCGTACATCTCGCGAATCATCGCGTCGTACTTGGTCAGGATGATCCTGCGCTTGAGCTTCTGGGTGGGCGTGAGCTCGGCGTCGGGGCCCTGGTCCGTCCAGTCCTGTGGCACGATCTTGTACTTCTTCACAGTGGACACGTTGGGCAGACGCGAGTTCACCTCGGTGATCTTGGCCTCGAGGTACTCGTTAAAGTGCTTGTCGGTGATGGCCTCGGCCAGCGATGCGGGTGGCGTGTGGCCGTACTCCAACTTCTTGAGAAGCTCTGGGCTTCCAATGTTGAGCAGCACCACCAGGTACTTCTGGCGATCACCCACCACCATAGCCATGTTGACACCGGGAATCTGGCGCAAGTAACCTTCGATCAGAGATGGCGCAATGTTCTCGCCACCGGCCGTGATGATCAACTCCTTCTTGCGGTCCGTGATGTAGACGTAGCCGCTCTCGTCAATGTATCCAACGTCGCCTGTGTGCACCCAGCCGTCGCTGTCGATTGTCTCGCGTGTGGCCTCTGGATTCTTGTAGTAGCCAGCGAAACAGTTTGGTCCCTTGACGCAGATCTCGTTGTCGCCCTCGTTGAGCTTGATGAACGAACCGGGCAGGGTCTTGCCGATACTGCCCGTCTTGACCTTGGGATAGCCGATCGTCTGTGGGCCAGTCAACTCAGACATACCGTAGGCCTCAGTGATGGTGATGCCCAGCGACATGAAGAACTCGAGCGTGTCCTTGCTGATGGGTGCGGCGGTCGACGCCATGAACCAGCAGTTGGACAAACCGAGGTTGCCAAGCACCTTCTTAAAGACGAGGGAGCGAGCCAAGCCGTAGCCCATGGGCTTCTTCTCGCCGCGCTGAGCGCTGTAGCCTCCGGCAATGCCCTTGCCACGTGCCCAGCTCAGCAACTTCTTCTTGACAAAGCCGCCCTGGTTCAACATCAGCGAGATCTTCAACTGTATCTTCTCCCATACTCTTGGGACTCCAAAGAACACTGTTGGCTTGACGTCCATCAATGTGTCAAGCAATGTACCCTATATAATATTTGATTGAGTTAGTTGATTGATTGGGATGATTTCAGCCTGGCGACGGGCACATACCTGTAGCGCATCCCTGTCTGCGAATGATACGTTGAAACCAAAGAGCATGGGCGCGTAGAGGGTTACTACTTGCTCGGCAATGTGGCTGAGCGGGAGGTAGGAGATGAAGCGCTCGCGATGACAACGCTGTGGGTGAAGCACCATGCTGCCAAGGGTGTGGACGGTCCAGGACACGTTGCGATGGGTGATCATGCAGCCCTTGGGCATGCCAGTCGTGCCACTGGTATAGATGAGTGTGCAGAGGTCGTCGGGCTTGATGGCCTTGGAGAGGCGGTCCACCTCCGAGTCGGGCACCGAGCGACCCAGCTCCATGAACTGCTCCCACGTGTAGATGCCCTCGCCGTGGGCTGTCGCGGTCGCGCCTGCCGCCACCGGCGTAGGTTCCATAATGATGATGCCGCGACATGTCGGGATGCGGTCTCTGATCGAGGTGTACTTGGCCAGCTGCTGCTCGTTCTCTACGCAGACAAAGGCCGCCTCAGAGTGCTGTACAAAGTACTCGCACTGTGTCGATGAGCTGGTCGAGTAGATGCCCGTGGGCACACCACCGGCAAAGATGGCGCCGAGATGCGATAGATGCCACTCGGGCGAGTTGAAGCCAATGATGTTGATGCCCTCCTTCTCGCGAAGTCCGAGCTTAATGAATGATTTTGCCGCCGAGTATATGTCCTCCCTGTATTTGGCCCAAGTCCACTTGGTCCACTTGCCACCACGCTTCACCTGTATTGCCAGATTGTGTGGGTAGCGCAGTACCGTGTTCTCCAATCCATCAACGATGGTCAAGGGCATTGGCAAGGGCTCGATCAAAACTCCATTTACTGCATGATGTGGCTGGGGATCGATCAATGGTAGTCCATGAGCCATACGTGGCTCTGCTGGTGCTGCTGGCGCAGCTGTAGTCGTTGCCGCGGTAGTAGTAGTAGTAGTAGTGGTAGTTGGTGCAGTAGCAGCAGGTGGAGCAGTAGTTGTTGTGGTTGGCTCAGTTGAAGAGGAAGCTGGAGGTCCTGAATTGGACGAAGCATGAGTCTCGTGGACTACATGTGGGGCTTCTGTCGTGGCCTCAGTGGTAGTAGCTGTTGGTGTTGGGTTTGGATGAGTGTCTGTAGCCACGTCCGCCATTGTTAATGTTTAAGTTTAGTCTGATGTTCAAGGACACTGGACTCTGTATCTGGCGTTAATAATTAATTAATTATTGATATTGATTGTTTGGTTGATTGAATGAGCGAATCAATGTTATATCTTTGGAATGAATTTATGAAAGAATGAATGAATGGGGATGTGAACATACACATACATTACATATAATATATTGTTATTATTATTATTATTAATTAAACCGCGTAGGAAGGTGAACTTGGCGGTTGTATGTATGTGTGATCAAAATGGGGGTGTATCGTGGGGGCTGCAAACGATCACCTGATGCTTGTGGGGGTTGATCCCCCAATCCCATTTATGGGTAGTTTGGGCGCGCTTCTATTGGACCTGTCATCCTGGTAAAAGTTATGGTTATGTCAGGTCCCAATGTGGACCAATGACTCTTGTGCAGTGGTAGTGGTAGTGTCGTGTCATGTGCCAAGTGTCATGTTACATTCGGGGTTGGGCCTCTCATCCACATCCACATCCACGTGTCATCGGAGGTCGTATCGAGGGAACACATGTTGTTGTTCACTTCCATTGATATTGTGGTGATCCATAATAGTTCGTTTGGACTTTGATGAAGTTGTAGATGAAGTCGTAGTCGTAGTTGTAGTCGTCAACGTACCATGATGCTTTGGATGTTGTTCATGGTACTTCTCTTTTGAAAGATGTTTATCCAATACTGGAAACCTAGGCATCTTATCAATTGACTGAGGGAATGGACTCTCATTAAAATACGGATGTCTCAATGCTTCACTAGCAGTCAATCTCTTCATTGGATCATATGTCTACAATGTTTGATTGATCGAGTGAGTGAGTGATTCCAGACCGCGCCATGTATCCTACATACCAATAGCTTGTTCATAAGGTCAATACAGTTATTACTGTATTGTGATAGTTTGTTGCGTAGGTTACTGTAGGGATAGTGCGTGATGTCCAGTTTGTTGGATAATGGAAGTGATGAATAGGCTGGCCATATTTGATTGTTTGGTGAGCCAAGCAGGTAGAATATCTTCTTAAGTTGTTCAATCTCATTGTTGCCATTGATGAATGGACTGCCAAGTAATAACTCGCCAAATATACAACCTACGGCCCATATGTCGATTGCCGGTGTATACTTGCTGTCGCCCAACAATATCTCTGGTGCACGATACCACAATGTGACGACCTTTGGTGTCAAGTGAATGGCTGGGTGTCCAGCCTTGCGTGCCAATCCAAAGTCCGCCAGCTTGAGGAATCCATCATTGCCATACAATAGATTCTATTGAGTTCATTTGATTGAGTATGATTGATTGATTGATTGATTGATTGATCGAGGCAGGGGACACTTACTGAGCACTTCAAATCCCTGTGGATGATCCATCGCGCATGGAGATACTCAACAGCCTTGAGAAGTTGTAGGATGAAGCATTTGACCTCGGACTCTTTGAATGGTTTGTTAATGTGATCCACCAATGCTACAATGGAAGTTAGTAACTCATTCAATCAAAGACTGAGACTGATTGATTCGCTTCTTACCAGCAATGTCATGCTCGACGTATTCAAACACCAAGTAGATACTGTCCACGCTTGATCCAACAACGACCTCAAGTAGACGTACAATATTAGGATGATTCAATTGTTTGAGCAACTCTATCTCTCTCAATGATGTCTGGATTGAGATATGTATTGGTATGTTAGGACTTTGGGAGACTATCTCGCGAAAGAAAGGGGAATGGACTATACATACCAATGGCATGCCATCTTTCTCCTTCTCCATCTTGACCTTCTTGAGTGCCACAATGCGTCCAGTGTCTTTGTCCCTACCCTTGTCTGTTTAATTGATTGAATGAGTGAGTGAGGTTGGGAATGTCATTGTGATGGCGTCATGATACTTACACACGATACCATAGGTACCCTCTCCAATACAATCAAGTTTCTCAAACGAACTGACTGATCTTATTGTTGAGGTAGTAGTTGCCATGGGCAATTGAGCCTTATCTTTGTCAATGTTGTTGTTGTTGTTGTTGTCATCTGATTCTGTTATATTAACAGAAGCTGTAGTAGTGGCAGCAGCATTAGAGTGAACTTTGTCGTTGTAAACAATGTCATCATCATCTTCATCATCATAGGTGTAAGGTACAATCATTGTATGATCACTTACCAACATCATCATAACTCAACTTACTCAAAGTCCAATCATCGAATGTCGTCAACACATCTGTTTTTGCAATTTTTGCAAATCAACCGATTGATTTCAGATTCAAGTCCTTAATCCTTTCTCCAACTCAACACAACTTGAATTGATCACAACTACAATTGTTTACTCTTTGCATTATTTACTTTCATTCATTCATTCATTACTATATTCATTATATATTTATTGGTCTTCATTCACAACCACATATTATCATGGACACACCAACTTCGACGTCGGTACCGTCGAACATTGTTCCAACAATGTCTGATCTTGATACAACTCCTACTCCAGCACCTTCAATAACCACTACTCCGACAACTACTCCTACTCCTACTCCTACTCCCACTCCTACAGCTACACCTACTCTTACAGCAACACCAACACCTACACCATCACTCACAACAACACAAACACAGACACAGACACATACTCAGACACCTGCACCATCAGTCACAACCAGCAAAGAAGCCAATTGTAATAGTGGTAGTTTCAGTGGAACAAGCAGTGGCTTCAACAACAACAGTAATAATAGTAATAGTACAAAGGATATAAGCCTTAAGGATTTGAGTAATGCAGCTGCAACATCATCACTCAGTCTATTGGAGACAATGGCCAAGAGCAATGATAAACATGCTATAAAGGAACATCTCAAGAAACATGCACTCGATCTAAAGAATAGCAATGAACAGACCCTATTCCATTTGGCTGCAATGCATGGAAATGAATATGTCATCAGGCAATGTCTAAAGAAGAAGGTAAAGTAATGTGAAGTGATTGATTGATTGATTGAGTGACATGCACTGACCCTCCCTCCCCACCATTAGTACATCAACCTTGAGGAAGTCAAGCCACTGTTAATGAGGGATAAGGATGGATATATTGGACTGCATTGTGCGATCAATGGTGGACACTTTGAGGTGGCAGAGAGACTGTTGGCAAAGGGCTCAGACCCAAACTCGAGAACTGTCAGTGGATCAACTCCTCTGCATCTGTTGGCCAAATACTCTCATCATCCCAAGGCGTGTAAACTGGCCGTGCAGTTGCTGGATGGTGGAGCATTCATCAATCACAAGGATACAAAGTTTGAGACACCTCTACATCGCGCCACACTCCAAACCTATGTAGTTATATCTGGTGACATCTCTGGCTGCCCCACCAACACACGAGTGATGATGCGCACCTACAACAATAGCAGTAACAGTCTAGACCTTATCAAAGTGTTCCTAGAACATGGCGCGAATCCAAACATCTTCAATAAGTATGTACTATTATCCATGATTGATTTGGACGCCAACTCACTCTCTATATGGTCATTAGGCGAGGAAAGACATGCTTGCACTACGCTATAGAGGAAGGGAGGGTGGACCTCCTGGAACTATTCCTCGAGTATGGTGCCATCTTTACCAAACAACCTTCAAACAACTTCCCATCACCTCTCGAGTTGGCCAAAGAGTCCAAGAACACTTCAATCATTCAATTCTTCAATGGTATGGCGTCAGTCACATGCTACAACTCAACGTCCCTACTAACCAACACATACACAATCAATCAAAGAGAGGATAGCCAACTGTGGAGAGTATATACTGTTTAATGATAAGATGGCAAGTTGTTATATTGGAAAGAATGCTTCGGTATTCCATCAGTCGAGCGATCAGTTCTTGGTTGGACATTCGATTCAGTTGGTGTCGGGCAGGATCTTTGTCACAAACTATAGGGTGGTGTTCCGCAGCGATGCATCGACCGCACCCATCAATCATGAGACATACTCGTTGCGATGGCCATTTGGCGAGTCCGAGGAGATGACCATACCCCTTCTTTCAATCGACTCGTTCACATCTGACAATCACATCCACACGACGACCACCACTCAGCCGACCTCATCACAGCAGTCTGGCTATGTTGTCATTCCGGCCGACTCCCAACAGCAGCAGCAACTGATGTTGTCACAACAGCTGGCTGCCCCACCACAGACGCCTCCACTCTCGTCGTCTGGCTCGCACAGCGGCTCACACACACCCAATGGTTCGCTCACTCCCAACTCATCCTCATTGAATGTTCAGCAGTCGTCGACAACGTCCTTGGGAGCATCACTGTCAATGACGCCACCACCATCATCATCGACCTATTGCTCGCTCACAATCACAACCAAGGACTACAGGAACTGCAAGCTCTACTTCACGTCACAGGTGACGCGCGATCGCGTCATAGAGGTCATCTCACATCACTCACAATCAATGATCGAGCACAGCATGAAGCATAACGAAGGCAATCGACAATTGCAGCTCAAGATCGCTCACGACAACATACATCTGGATGACGAGAACCGAATGCAGCACATCGATCGCTACGAATGCTACGGCATCTTTGAAGACCCCATGCCCTATCTCTTTGCTCACTTCTTACATTGTCCCGCAGTCGAGGAGGACAATGGCTGGAACATATACTCGGTACGACGCGAGTACCAACGATTTGGCATCTTCATGGATGGCGCCAACAGCGGAGGTCACAACATCAGCCACAACAGTCTGGACAACAGTGTCAACAACAACAATCTGTACTGGAGATTCACAACTTTGAACAAGGAGTACAAGCTGTGTCCAACGTATCCCAGCAGCATTGTGGTGCCACGTGTCATGCTCGACAAGGACCTGGAGCGTGTATTTGGCTTCCGGAGCAAGGGTCGCATCCCTGCATTGTCCTGGCGCGCACCAAGTGGCGCATCAATCACCCGTTGCAGTCAGCCATTGGTGGGCCTCGAGCGTACACGATGTCCCGAGGACGAGATGTACATGACGGAGCTGTCCACTCAGCGCCCAGTCTACTTGATCGATGCTCGTCCCAAGCTCAATGCCATTGCCAACACGGCGAATGGCGCAGGCTTTGAGAACATCTCCAACTATCCCAACTGCAAGCTGGTATTCCTAAACATTGCCAACATCCACGTAATGCGCCGCAGTCTCGAGAAGCTGGTCGCCACCATGTCACCGTATGGGGGCGACGGCGACGGCAAGCACCTGTCGGCAATCGAAGAGAGCAACTGGCTGAACCATGTGCGTGGCTGTCTGGCGGGCGGCGTGTACGTTGCCGAGCTGATCCAAAAGAACATCAGTGTGCTGGTGCATTGCAGCGACGGATGGGACCGTACTCCCCAACTCACATCCCTGGCGCAGGTTCTCCTGGACCAGTACTATCGCACGATCGTCGGACTGGAGGTACTGATCGAAAAGGAGTGGCTGTCCTTTGGCCACAAGTTCACCCAGCGACTTGGCCATCTGCACGAGCTGGAAGAGGAGCGCTCGCCCATCTTCATCCAGTTCCTCGATTGCCTCTTCCAACTGGTCAATCAGTTCCCTCTGCTGTTTGAGTACACTCCCGCTCTACTGCAATTCATTGCCGAACACCTCTTCTCATGCAAGTATGGCACATTCCTGTACAACTGCGAGAAGGAGAGAGCTGAGAAGCACGCCAAGACCAAGACTGTCTCGATATGGACCGATGTCAACAGGAACATAGAGCGATTCACGAATCCATTCTATCAGACACAGCAGGATGGCGTTGTGCTGCGACCCAACCTCAACCTGCGCTCGATGGAGGTGTGGAAGGCGCTGTACATGCGCAGCGACACACAGAACACATGGCTGCACAACTCATGGATGATCCAGAACCATCAATACCTCAAGGCCACTCAACAGCTGCAACTATCACATCACCAACACTCGACTCAGACATCCACGACCACATCACCACGACCATCACTGGCTAGCGCTGGCGAGGACAATGATGCGACTGGTCTCGAACCAACGTCAACCCGGCCATCACTTTCAAATTCGTCCAGTCCGACCATCATCAACACATCGACATCATCATTGGAGCGAAGGCCATCAATGGCGCCAAGCATGCTTAGTGGACCGCCGCAGCTGCCCCCAACAATCGTACCCCCAGCACCTGTAATAATTGAAGTGTCGACTGCACGAGCAGCCGAACGAAGAAGACAACTGGATCACAGACATCGTAGATCATACTCTTTGCAAGATCATCACAAGCCAATCATCTATAACAACAACACATTGAAGCCATCATCCACGACCACGACCAACTCTGACAACGCCAAGAAGTTGTCCATCTCCAACAACAACAACATCAATCAATCATCATCATCAAGTATCCAACTTGGCAAGGAGGTGTCGTTGCCAAGATCAGTGTCGTTTGTTAGGAGAGGACTTAGACTGCCTAGAACTCAACGATTCATACTGGGGTCACACCGACCAACTAGTGGAGGCATCAATAGGGCCAATGGCGCCACGCCCATTGTCACTGGCGGAGGATCAGGATGGGTTGTTGGCCATCATGTTGACCTGAGGCACATGACCAAGGAGAAGTTCTACTTTGGTGGTCCATTAGTGTAACATATATATATAAATATTAAAGCAAACTCACCAGACTACTACATAGACATGGAATGTTGTAGTGAGGTAGAATGGTGCTTTCACCAAAAAATCAATCAATCAAATCGATCAAATATGACCCGATTGTGGTTTGTTTGCAGAATTGAGAACCTTCGAATTTTTTTTAATTTGGAGCAAGTTGAGGGTGGTGGAAGGCACTCTCCAACGTTGCATCTTCCCTCACCACATTGACTGATGTGAATGAAATAGATACTTACCCTGGGCAATCATTCATTCATTCATTACATTTATTCATATACTTTAAATATTCTTTACATATACCTTATCTTTATATTCACATCATATATAATATAATATCTTTGTTCAACAAATAAATAAATATCAATCAATCAAACAAACAATCAGTCATGAGCAAACCAGGAGCTGATAAGAATGAGAAGATCCTTCGTGATCTTATGACATTGGATGACAATAAGAGATGTATGGACTGTTCAATGAAGGGTCCAGTATACGTCTGTTTGGAGCTTGCTACATTCGTCTGTCAATCATGCAGTGGAATACAGTAAGTTCACAATTCATTGATGATGTTTGATTGATGAACACACATACTAACATTGGATGATTGAATGAATGAACAGTTCAAACATGGGAAGAAGATGCAAGTCTGTATCAATGGGATCATGGAAACCAGAGGAGATACAAAAGATACAGAATGGTGGAAACAAGGCTGCTCGTGCATATTGGTTGGCAAGATGGAGACCTGAGGACTTCCCTGAGCCAGCAGAGGGTGATTCCGCAAGGATCAGACGTTTCATTGAGCTAAAGTACACCAACAAGCAATGGGCCGATACAGCAGGTTCATCATCACATGCTCAATCACATGCTCCATCACATCACAACAACAACAACAGTAGCAACAGTAACTTTGGCAACTTTGGCAACAACAACAACAGTAACAACAGTAGCAACAACAACTTTAACAATGTTATCCCAGCACAACACAAGGTTGAACCATTATCGAATATATTAGGCAATGATATACCTCCTATCCGCGTCGATCCAAAGAGGAACTCACAGACATTTAGCAATGGAAATGGTAACAACAACAACAACAACAATACATCCAACACCAACTCGACCAACCTCTGGCTCGACCAACCAGGCGCCAATGGAAAGCAACAACAGCCCAAACAACAGAGCAATACATTGTTGGACCTGTCCGACATCTTCTCAGCGCCCACACCCGCGCCAGCACCAGCTCCACAGTCACATCTGCCACAAATACAACAACAACAACCAAACACATTCAGCAACAACGCACAGGTTAACCAATGGTCCACTGGTGGCAACAATCCATGGAGCACAAGTGTCAACCAATGGGGCGTGCCTCAACAGGCCCCTCCTCAGTCACAGTTCCAGTTCCCACAGCAACAACAACAGCAACCGTTCAACCAGCAACAACAGTCACCATTCAACCCTCAACAGCAGCAGCAACCTTTCAACCAAGCATTCAACCAAACCCAGCCATTCAATCAAACACCACAACCATTCATCCAGCCTCAGCCATTCAACCAACCATTCAATCAGCCACAGATGATGCAGCAACAGCAGCCCGCCAACCCAGGGTTCGACTATTGGGACAAGAGCAGCGCCATCAACCAACAACAGAGCAATCCATTCTTTGCACAACAACTGCAGCCACAGCAACCTCAACAACCAGAGAAGAAGGACTACGCAGGAGGTAAGTGTAATTGTACATGTGAGTGACCAGAGTGGAATGATTCCCTAACCCATTCCGATCAATCATAGCATTCGCCAACTTGTCACCATTTGCTAGCAGCCCAAGCACTGGAACACCAAACAACTTCAATACAGTGTCACCAACTAACTCCCAGCGTGGCAACAATACAGCAATCAGTAGTAATGGAGGCAGTGTAACCAAGCCCAATCCATTCGAGTCAACTTTCAACGTCAACCCAACATCTTCAAGTGGACCAGGCAGTGTTAGCAAGACTGCTTCAAACCCATTCGCCAACCTCAACAACAACACATCCAGCAATGGTATGGTTGCCAACCCATTCTCCCCACCAATGGGCAGCCAGAACAACAATATGAACAATATGAACAACATGGGCAGCATGGGCAGCATGGGAAACAACAACATGGGCGGCAACAACATGGGCATGAACAATGACTTCTTTGGCACCAACTCCACTCCAATGGTAATGCCATCATCAGCAGGCATCCCACCAAAGGCTGCAAGTGGTGGCGGTGGCGGTGGATTCAATCAATTCAATGGCGGTGGAAACCAACAATTCCAGCCTCAGCAGCAGCAGCAACAACAACAGCAACAGCAACAATTTTTCTCGAATCAATCATCACCATTCGGTGACTTCAACACCAACAACAATCCAAACAAGAACGCACCAAACACCATGTCATCTCCATCATCATTCTCATTCTTCTAGACTCCTGCTCCTCCCTCCTCCATCCACATTTGTTGCTAACAACAATGATTACTCAATCATCCATCCTAAGGATCATGGAAGTCCTCTCTCTCTGCCATTATAATCATATCTACATCCCCATCCATCCATCCATACATCCATCCATCCACATCCTGATCCAATCAATCACAATAAAGACAACTCACTCGCTCTCACCTTGACTCCAAATCATTATTTATGGGACGAACCCGTCTTCGCAAAAAAGATCAAGACTTCTCGTCTTTAACTTCAAGTCTTGAAGTGATACACAGATACATACATGATGCAGTTCATACCAGATACTACACCTACAATACTTGCTGACAATAATGAGCGTGCAAAGTTGATAAATGAAGAGTGGAGGAATGATGGTGTAAGAGTGGCAGAGAGCACAGTGCCGGATGGTGCACTGGGCTGTTATGCTACAAAGTCTTACTCGACAGGTGACCTGATCATCAAGGCCAGACCGTACTGCTGGGCAGTGGTGAATAACGTGACCGAACATATATGCGATCGATGCTTCAAGTTTGTGCCTGAACGCAAGCTGGACCGATGCAGTAGTTGTGCGTTGGTGTACTACTGCTCGCGACAATGCCAGGTCGACTCTTGGTCAGACTTGCACAAGCACGAATGTCCACTCTTCCTCGATATGAACAAGAAAACAAAGCATCCTCCACCTCGGGACATGATCATGGTGGCGCGCATGCTCATCCGGACCAAACTACAACGCGACAACCTAAGCAAAGATGACAAGACCATCGTTGGATCATACCTTGTCTGTGAACAACTGATACCAAGTATGTCATCGACCTCAATCAATCATTCGTTACATTCATTCAATCACTCATTGACAAGTCATCCACACAGATACTGGCAAGAGAAGCTCGAAGGAATATGAAATAGATGTTGCCATGTCCCGCGCGGCAACTGCACTACTCACCAAAGCGACAATCCCAACAGTGGACATTGAGAAGAGCAAGATTGTCCTTGATTACTTGTCCAAAGTATGAATAGGCTCCTTCATTCATTCATCTGTGGAGCATACACATGGTCCTAACGATTATCCACCTCAATCAATCAAACATTATAGTCATCACGTAATGCATTCCAAGTCGGTGGAGGACGCATGGAGAAGGGTGTAGCAATGTATCCATTCATCTCTCTATTGAACCATTCGTATGTCATTGCCATCACATCCATCATCACTGGTGCTCACTCTTACTTAACCCATCCCATCACTTCACAGTTGTCAACCCAATGCAGTCCAATTGTTCTGTGGTAGTATATGCGAGGTTAGAGCGCTGCGACCCATTAAGCAAGGCGAGGAAATACTCATTTGTTATTGTACTCAAGAACAATCACATGAAGAAAGACGTGAGGTCCTAAAGGACTACTTCTTCTTTGATTGTGCATGTCCCAAGTGCATGGACGTCATCAACAACAATCGTTTGGACATGTACTTCAAGTGCAATGCGTGTCCAGAGGGACGTGTCGACGTCACAATCAAAGATGGCACATCCAGAGCATACTGTTTGTCTTGTAACAAGCAATACAACAATGCCCAGCTAAAGAAATACCAGGACATGGAGAATATGGCCAAGGACTATCTTAAACGAACCAAAGACGTCCCATTTGGCAAGGAAATGGTTAAGTTTATAAAGGAGTTGGCACCAATGTTGGCATATCTTCATCCTGGACACAATGTATACCAACAAATCATTGCACTGTTGCAACCAAACATTACAGATGGAGTTGGACCCGATGACAACCTGGCAATATATCGCCAGAATCCATTCTTTGTCCAAGTATTGATTTACACCATACAATACTATATTTATCACCTTGGTATTGATCACCCTGTTACCTCGGACTTCTGCTTCACACTCGGTGGATACCTAAAGTATGTTCGTTCACCGATCGTTCGCACAATCAACCAATCACATGCTCCATGTCTAACCCTCATCCATCCATCATCATTAGTGTAATTGGACAACAAGACCAAGGAGAAGAGATGATGTACAATGCCAGACCCAACCTTGTTCGATTCAACTTCCACCAGAATTAATTGATTGATTAAATGATTGATTGCCAATAATAATAATAATCATCTGTAATTGAATTCCAAGAGATAGGTGTTGTTGGACAGACTTCCAACTTTATTACACTTATTATTCGAATATTTATAAATACATTCAATCTTTCAATAATGACAATTACCTTATTTGGGTTGATTAGTGTACACAACTTTATTTGTCAAACACAATTCAAGTGCACTACTTTCAATAATATCAAAGATAGAGAGATTTAGATAGATATATAGTGATATAGAGATATATATATATATATATATAATCAAGTGAATGAATGGAGTTCATACCAGATCACAAACCTCAATACTTGATAATGTATTTAGAGCAAACTTGATAAATGGAGAATGGAATCATCCTGGTATAAAGGTTGCACCAAGCCCTTTGCCAGAGGGAGGAGTTGGTTGCTTTGCAACAAAGTCATATGCGACTGGTGACCTACTATTCAAAGCGAACTCATTCGCATCTGCAGTGGACAATCCCTTGGTCGGCTACGTCTGCGATTACTGTTTAAAGTACGACTACTCCAATCACAAGATTGATCGTTGTGCAGGCTGCCACTTTGTATACTATTGCTCACGACAATGTCAGATCGCTGCATGGGAGGACCTGCACAAGTACGAGTGTCCACTATACAAGGTGTTTAAAAGCACATCACAAGAACCAATACCCAGGACTGCGTCTCTCTTTGTCAGATTGCTAATCCGAACGAAGCTTCAACGTGACAACCTTTGCACGCCAGAGAGCAAGAGCATCTTTGGCTCATACTTGATATTTGAGCAACTCCTATCACGTAAGTATAGTATGGTAGTATAGTGTTGGTTGGTTGGTTGGATGTTTGGTTTGATGGTGTGGACTGGACTGGACTTTCAAGTCAGACGAGAATGATCATCAACCTGGATACACAGACATCAACAAGATGAATGGGGATCAAAGATTTAGATATACCATGCTCTCTAGTATTACAGCATCCATTCTCACGAAGCAGCCCATGAAGAATGTTACCAACGACCAAACAATCAATGTCCTTGATTACTTGAGCAAGGTATGTTTATGTCAAGACATCCATAAACCCACACTCACTAACTCAATCAATCTATCAATCTTTAGGGATTGACAAATGGATTTCATGTGGATGATGATCAAGTACTAAAGGCCGCCGTGATATATCCATATCTATCTTTACTAAACCACTCGTAAGTTCACTCCTTGGTCAGCCTCAATCACTCAATCACTCAATCACAATCACTCACTCTTCAACCAACTTCCAACAAACAAACAATCAGATGTCGTCCAAATGCTATCCAGTTGTTCACAGACAACTCGTGCCAGTTGAGAGCTTTGCGACCTATTGAGCAAGGAGAGGAGATACTCATTCACTACCATATGCAAGGTCAAGAACACAATCAGTTGCGCCAACAGTTGAAGGAGAACAGCTACTTCAATTGCCAATGTGTTGTGTGCCAGGACTTTGTCAACAACCATCGTTTGGGCAAGTTTTACAAGTGCAACGCCTGTCCAGATGGCCGCGTCGAGGTCCAAGAGACCAAGGGTGGCACCACCAAGGTGTACTGCATGTCGTGCAATAAGAAGATCAGTGGTGGTGAATACAAGAAGTTCAAGCTAATGGAGAAGAAGGCCGAGCGTCTTGACCTGGAGCTGGATGATGTGCCAAGAGGTGCAAAGTTGGTAGAGAAGCTCAAGGAGATGATGCCAGCGTTGGAGTATCTTCATTGTGGACACCCGGTCTACTATGATCTCCAGATCACTCTATTGAGAGGCAATCCATCAGACAACATGGCCTTTTTCTGCCAGTATCCATTCTTGGTACCAGTACTGGCACTATCCCGACAGCACTTCCTCTATCACCTGGGACCAGATCAACCTCCTACTTTAGTTACAGACTTGGTAGTTATCTAATGTATGTTCCAATCCGTCAATCCATCCATCCATCCATCCACCCAGATATACTAACACATGTACACATGCATAGTGCGCGATTGGACAAAAGGAGAAAGGTGAAGAGATGATCGCAGAGGCCAGAACCAACCTTGAGAGCTTTGACTACTTCCCTCCTCAAACACAAAGGACATGATCATTCATTCCACACTGCGACAAACATCCTGGTACCCAACCAAACAATTCAATTCCACTACCTGCGCCCATTCAAGTTCAATCAATCACGTGATGTACACAAGGTGGGCTCCTGTTTTTTACTTGTTTTTTATCTTTGGGCGCACCATCACCAGATATTAGTGCTTTTCACAAATTAAATAATTGTTGCTCTTCACACAATCAATCTCAATCTATCCAACCTCATTCCTTCCTTATCTATCCATCCATCCAACCATCAATCAATCCATTCACAAACCTAACTTGTTCTTTATTAATTAATTACATATATAACAATCAATCACAAACAATCAAGAATGTTCAACGGATTGAAGAGAACCACTATGTTCACCTCCAACATTGCCCTTGGCAATCAGTTCAGAAGCGGAGTGACCTACTCTGCCCTCAACTTCAATGGTTACCAGACCAGAGATTGTAAGCAGACTATAGCAATCAAACCATAATAGTGATAACAACCTAACACTATTGTTTGTCATAAACTAGTCACCAAGATCAAGGTTAAGGGACCAGTCGTTGAGATGGACGGTGATGAGATGACCCGTATCATTTGGGAGATGATTAAGTCAAAGGTGAGCACAATCACGTTGTGACGATGAAGACGAGACATACACTAACCCATCACCTCACTCATTCACTCACTATTAGTTGGTCTTCCCATACTTGGACTTCAAGCCATTGTACTTTGATCTTGGACTTCCACATCGTGATGCCACCAATGATCAAGTGACAATCGATGCTGCCTTGGCCATCAAGGACGCCAAGGTCGGTATCAAGTGTGCCACCATCACCCCCGATGAGGCTCGTGTTAAGGGTAAGTCATACATGATCAATCTTCATACTTTGGTCTAGAAGTACTGACTGACTAACGGATGTTTCATCAACTAAAATACAGAGTTCAAGTTGAAGGAGATGTGGAAGTCACCAAACGGTACAATCCGTAACATTCTCGGAGGTACTGTGTTCAGAGAGCCAATCGTCTGCAAGAACATCCCAAGATTGGTGCCACGTTGGACCAAGCCAATCGTCATTGGCAGACATGCACACGGTGATCAGTACAAGGCCACCGACTTTTTGGTCGAGGGACCAGCCAAGTTGGAGATGATCGTCACACCAAAGAACGGCAAGCCAATCTCCCGCCAGGTCTTTGACTTCAAGGGCAACGGCATTGCCATGGGCATGTACAACACTGACGAGTCCATCACTGAGTTTGCCCACTCGTGCTTTGGCTACGCTCTCGACAGGAAGTTCCCCCTGTACCTGTCCACCAAGAACACCATCCTGAAGAAGTACGATGGTCGCTTCAAGGACATCTTTGAGGAGATCTACCAGGCCAAGTACAGAAAGCAGTTCGAGGCCGCCGGTCTGTGGTACGAGCACCGTCTGATCGACGACATGGTGGCCTACGCCATCAAGTCCAACGGAGGCTACGTCTGGGCATGCAAGAACTACGACGGTGACGTCCAGTCCGACGTTGTGGCTCAGGGCTACGGCTCGCTCGGTCTGATGACCTCTGTGCTCTCTGCACCAAACGACAACATCGTCGAGGCTGAGGCTGCCCACGGCACCGTCACCAGACATTACCGTCAGCACCAGCAGGGCAAGGAGACCAGCACCAACTCAGTGGCCAGCATCTTTGCCTGGAGCAGAGGTCTCGCTCATCGTGCCAAGATCGACAACAATGCCGAGTTGCTCAACTTTACCAACAAGCTGGAGCAGGCTTGTGTCCAAACCATCGAGAAGGGCTTCATGACCAAGGACCTTGCTCTGTGCGTCTACGAGGAGAAGGATCTCAAGCGTGAGCACTACCTCAACACCGCTGACTTTATCGACAAGGTTGCTGAGACCTTGAGAAAGAGCCTCTAAATGTAATGTGATGTGTCCATCATCACCATTATCATCCCTTCCATTGTATACCGCCAGTCTTTCTTTCCACACAGACTTCCATCTCAAACCAGTCACCGGACCTGGAATAGGTCCAAGTCCAGCATTGCACCAAAATAACATATAAACATAATTTATCCACAAGTTTACTGAATCAATACTTTGAGCTTGCTTCCAAATGTATCATCCACTGAATCTTTGGTAGTCTGTCAAAGTACTTGCTTGCGTCCTGTCCTCCTCTATCTATCCTAGAGTTTCTCCATTTGCTTGTAGAACTCGACAACCTCTGGATGCACCTTGAGTTGATTGGACTGTAGTTTGGACTTGAGTTGAAGGCCGGTGAGGGAGGTCGCTCTACTCAGTGCCACGTAAGCCTGTCCATACTCAAAGGTGCCCTCGAGGTCAATGACCAATCGATCGATCGACATTCCTTGACTCTTGTGAATGCTCAGTGCCCACGCCAGCGCCAGCGGCACCTGAGTCCTTGATGCCACCTTGACGTTGCCCTGCTCGATGTTCCAGACCTCCTTGACGATCTTGCGCAATGTGCCAGTGCTGAACTTGACGATGGGCATCGAATCTTCGGCCGCCCAAGCCACGACGACGCCACGTGATCCATTGACCAACTCCTCTTCAAAGTCCAAGTTCTTCAATAGGATCACTTGAGCACCAATCTTCAATGTCACTGTTGATTGGGCTTGCATGTTCTTCAGCATGTCTCTATATGGATCGGGTCCTTCGTCCTCGGCCTCAAACACCATTGCCTCTCCAGCCAAAGCTTGTAACTTCCTTTCATTCTCAGCATCACACTTGGCTCGATGAGGGTCTAGATTATTGTTGGTGGGGATGGTACGCGTTAGGATTGGTAGTCTCCGAGTTCAGTTCGTAGCAACATACATAAGACAGTCGGAATGATTCCATCGGTAGCGTCTAGATTGTTGGAAACACATTGATTGAGAGTAGTTAGACCAACATCAGAGATGACACCAAATCGCAGTTCGTTAAGGACCTTGACAAACTTGTCATCCTTCTGTCTGTACACCTTGGTCAAGAGGATCGAATGATCAATCATCATCTCCCAGCAGACAGCCCTGAAGCAGTACGATGCAGCCGTCTGCTTGGACACGGGCGGTAGTTGGCAAAAGTCACCGACCAACACCAACTGTATGCCGCCAAAGGGTCGAGGTGAGCTGCGCAGAGCCCTTCCAATCTGATCCAGCTTGTCGAGCAGCTCGGCAGAGATCATTGAAATCTCATCGATGACCAGCACCTTGGTCTGGCGCCACCGCAGCAGGTTCTTGTTGTTGCCTGCAATCGAGCGGATGTAATCTTTGGCCGGCTTGTCACCGAGACCAATCGCGGCGAACGAGTGAAGGGTGGTGCCGCCAACGTTGCAAGCGGCGATACCAGTGCTAGCAGTGACGTGGACACAGTCGCCGTGTAGAAAACGCAGTGCCTGGATGATCTCGCGAAGGACGTATGTCTTGCCCGTGCCTGCACTGCCTGTGAAGAAGATGCTGCTGCCGCCCAAGACCAAGTCCACAACATGTCGTTGCTCAGGCGATAGTGTCTCTGATATCTTGATATCCTCAATTGATCGTTTGTACTTTGGTGGGGCCTTCTTTGAGTTGCCGCCCTTAGGCGGTACAACGTTGAATGTGTTATTACTGCCGGTACCAGATGATCGATGAGATAGCAATGATTCCGATGAGTAGTTGTTGATCTGTTTGAACATTGATTGATTGGTAGTTGGAGATGACTGAGATGACTGTGATATCTGTGACTGTGATTGTTTGTTCCCCAGACCATGAAGAGTAGGCTTGACCAGGCTAGAGGAAGGTGTTTGAAATACTGTGGATGTAGTCGAGGTTGTTGGTGACAGAGAACTGTTGAGTGAAAGACTTGGATTGCTCTTGTATATTGACAATGTGTTTACAAAGCCAGTGTTGTTCAGACCAATCTTTGAAGGCATCAATGCAGATACCATCGGTTGTTTGCGTTGTGTTTGACCTTGAACTTGTGATTGTGGCTTTGTCAATGAAAGTGGATTTGATGTATTTGTTGATGTCATGCTTGTTGATGTCGTGCTTGTTGATGTCGTGCTTGTTGATGTCGCCTTGGTAGAATATGATAGATAATCGTCGTCATTATCAAACTGACCACTGAAGTCGAATGAGAAGTCAGGTTCTTCATCTTGAACATCAGGTCTCATCTTCTTTGTTGGTTGCTGTTGCTGTTGTTGTTGATGATCCTCTTGTTGTTGCTGATGTTGTGGCGGGTCATCGTCCAAGAGGTCCATATCATATAATCGTTTTAGTTTGTTGCTGAGTGGAGATGATGATGAAGTCTGTGTTGTTGAAGTTGATCTGTTGTTATTGTTGTTATTGTTGTTGTTGTTGTTGGCATTCGGATAATGTAGGTGTAGTGATTGTTGTTGTTGTTGTGGTGGCTGCTGTGCTTGTAGTCCTTGTTTATTCGTTGTCTGACTTGATACAACAGAGAAGAAATCGGTTATTATCGAGTTATTGTTCAATGATGACGTCTTGTTTGATCGTTGATTGGATCTAAAGTACTTTGTATTGTTGTTTAGACTATTCATCTTATTGTATGTATATAAACAATTATAAATAATATGGACTATAATTATTACTTTCCAAAGAGATAATTAATAAGGCGCGTTCCAAGAACAACTCCTCATGAGTGTAACGTTATGAATTTGACCTGGATTCAAAAAAACAAATAATGCACTGGGCTTCTGAATGATCATCATTCCCACACACTCACACACTCAGAGACAGACTTGACTCGCGTCACGCTCTCCTATCAATCAATCTACTTAACTACATACTTACACTTTTATATATATATTTATACACTCAAAGAAATAATCTATTGAAAATGATGTCCAGAAGACTCCTCAACTCAAGAACTGCCTCTTTGTTCACTGTAGGTGTCATCTTAACAGAACAAGTCAACTCAACAGGTCATGCATGACATCGACAGTGTATTATTATACGCGTATAATGATAACAATAGCAACAACTACAACAACAACAGCAGCAGCAGCAGACTCGATTTAGGAAGAAGCTATACACAATAGACGACAACACTCTCATTGTTGTGATCAAACTAAACTGATATCGACACTTATCGATCGACACACAGTGGAGCGAAACAATGAATGAATGAATGAATGAATGAACGACAAGACAGATACTAATGCGAATCAACTTATGATGATCACAACTTTAATATAGCAACAGAGATCATACTCCACCAAGAACATCGATCAGCAGATCAAGGACTTCCTTGCCAGACCAGACATTGCCCCAACCGCCCAGAGATACAATGTTACATACAAGGAGAAGAGTAAATATTTGAAGAAACAGCATTCAGCAAGTAGGTAGACCAAACCTTTGAAACTAACAATAATATATGATCAAATTGAACATAACAGCCCAAGCAGAGGTTGCCAAGGAGCAAACCGAGCAGAGAAAGCTCCTCCAGGAGGCTCACGACGAGGCTATCGCTTCATTCGTCAACTCCCTCACCCCAGAGTCGATCAAGCAGCTCTAAACAGCAAGCACCCTTTGATATAGTTATATCTTCTCGATCATTCATCATTAATCAACATCAACAATATAGTGTCGCTGGCATGCAGCATGCAAGCAAGTGGCTACAACAACAAACACACACATGTAATTGGATACACAATAAATAGCAATAGTACCATCAATAACAGATATTCATTCGGCAATAGACTTGACAGTTAACTAAGTTAGTTGTCGCCGCGACTGCCACAGCATCATATATGCACACACACAAGAGATAGGAGAAGGAGAAGGAGAGGAATGATGTTACAGGATGCCAACATGGCCTGGGAGCTTTATTAATGATGCATACACATCTATCAAGAATGGCTTGATAGCTAGTTATTATTATGATTATTATTACTATTACTGGTGCTACTACTACTATTACTTTCGCCAACTGGACTGCTGACACTCTTGTTGTTGTTGTTCGATGAGCCAGACTCTGACGTTGACCTCTTCTTGTTGTTGGATTCATCAGAGTTGTTGTTGTTATTGTTGTTGTTGTTGTTATTGTCAGCGCTGGTCAATATTGAAGGGAAAGAACTGCCCAGCGAGTGTAGAATACTATGAGGTGTTTGGATGCCATCGTTCCACGGCAGACCAAAGCCAGCACGGCTGGCTGGAGAAGGCATGGATGTGCCAAACATTGCCATACTGATGTCAATGTTGCTGGGCGTCGCCAGGTTCATGCCACCCGGTGAGGGTCGTGGCCAGTGCAATGGCGTTGGCATGAATGTGTTGCCGCTCGGGGTGAGCTCCAGAGGCTCGGGATAAAAGTCGCGAGGCGACGGCAGCGTGGGGATGTCGGCAGGCTTTGGTGGCATGTGCTCTTGATTGAGTGGCGCGATTCCCTTGGGTGGGATGATGCCGCCGTGCTGCGAAAACATAGGCTTGGGCGCGGGTACGTTGACAGTATCAGGGATAACGACGCTGAGCGGCTTCTTCTTGGGCTTGTTGGTCTCCTCCTTGGTGACGATGGGCACCAGTGCAGGTGAAATAGCGGGTGAAATGAGAGGCGGTGTGGACGCTAAGCTACTGTTGCTATTATAAGGCCTGGGGAACATTGTTGATTGTTGTTCAAACTCGGAGGACTGCTGCTGGCTCTGGTTTGCTTTGGATGATGTAAAAGTTGCGTTGGAGTTGGAGTTTGAATTGGAGTTGGAGTTGGAGTTGGAAGTAGTCGACGTCGATGTCGATGAGTGGTTGTTGTTGTTGTTGTTCTTCTGGGCTGAACTTGGTCGGGAAGTTGCTGTGGATGTCGTGGATGTGGCAGCGGATGATGGCACGGGTGTTGAGGCCTGGACCATTGGTATGTCGGAGTTTGTGTTGTACATCTGTGGATGAGGTTGTTGGAGATTGAATGGATGTGGCTGTTGCAGTGAGTGGTGTGGATGATGTTGCATGGCTGGTGAAGAGTATGCTGGCTGGATCAGTGGCGAAGCGTGATGTTGTGGTGGAGTTGCCTGTTGTGGTTGTTGCTGTTGTTGTTGTTGCTGCTGCTGTTGCTGTTGCTGCTGATGTTGTTGTTGTTGTAAGCTCAGGTGATGGAGTTGTTGTTGATGCTGTTGATGTTGAAATTGGAATATTTGTTGTTGTTGCTGTGTTGTCATTGATCCACCATAGTAGGGCATCATCTGTGGCTGCATATAGGGCGAGCCGCCAGGTGGCACTGCGCCATTCGGGAACATGAATGGATAGTTGTTGACATCGACGTACATTGGATGGTGGTATGGACTGCCATGTGCAGCGCCCTTGAGCATGGCACTCTTGGGGGTCATGACACCGCCCATCTGGACGGCGCCTGGTGGGGCGCCATTGAATGACTTGCTCGGGTCGAGTCCGCCCAGTGGGAATCCGCGAGGACCATACTTGGACGCGGCCATTGAGCGAGGAGTCAGCGGTGCCAGATCGGCCTCCATGCTGCTGTATGGGTAGTACTTGGGATGAATGAGTGCGCCATTCGATGCGTAGAGGTAGCCACCCTGTGATGCGTTCAGTGCCACCTGTGGATAGACCATGGCACCTGTCGAGTTGCCCATTGGATGCTCGCCACTATTGTTGTTGTTGTTGCTGTTGTTGTTGCTGTTGTTCGCGCCATTTGTGTTGTTTCCAACATGTAGTGGACTGAGGTTGGTAGAAGAGCAACCAGTTGGTGTGGTTGGGGCTTCGCCAAGGTCCTCCAAATCATCATCATCATCATTATCTGTCTTTAGCTTCTTGCTTCCGAATATCCTTGGGTACTGCATGATGACATTACATGTTAGTAAGTGACGTCATGTCTGGCGACAACTCTGTCAACACATCACACAACATACATCTTGGTTGGTGAGGTTCTTCCTCGAGTTCTCGTGACTGTCTGTGTATCGAATCAATACTTTGTCCATGTCTTTGGAGGAGTACTGGAACAGCTTGTTGTTGCTGCTAAATATGATGAGGGCAATCTCGCAATCGCACAGAATGGACAACTCCATCGCCTTCTTGATCAGTCCATTCTTACGCTTGGTGAATGTTGCCTGTCTGTTCCTCTCATTTGCGATCCTCTCGATTGTGATCTTATTCCTTCCCACTAAAATAAGTAGATTGATTGATTGATTGATTAATTGATTGGTTGATTGAGTTAGATGAGTGTCGAGGCTTGATGTATGTATGATGTATGTTTAGACTTACTGGTTGACTGACAATATAAATATGAATGAGCAAGCCTTTAGGGAGCTGCTCGCGGTGGTCGTTTGAGCCGACTAGTTTGTAGTTGTACAGGTCTTGTTTACAGTGATGTCTTCACAGGCTAGAGTTGAGATTGAATGGCTTGTCTGTGTGTCTGTCTGCAGAAGTGGAGCTGGCTGTAGTCGTTGTTGGATGGAGAGATGTCAGAATTGATATTGATGACTGATTGATTGAATGATTGACGTGTGTATGAGTGTTGGATGATTGAGTTGAGTTGTCACTTGATGTTGTTGGTGGATGACAAACTCAAAAAGAGGTATAATAATAATCTAAGATGTCTGTCTTTCTATTTTAGAATATCTCTCTCTTTAGAGATAATAAGAGTAAGAAATGGGGGCGTAACTTGTGGATGGTAATAATAGTGTTTTTTTTTGTGTTGGTGTTGGTTGGCTGTTGTTGTTGTGAGCTCTAATTATAACAGCACCTCTTCTTCCATCTCTTCCTAATATTCCTTGTTGCTTCCTTTCATACACACACCCACTTATTGTCAACCAATACAACTGCAACAATTACACCCCCCTCCCACCACCACTCACACCACAAACACTCTCGCTACGAAGCAAACAAACACAACAAACACAGATCCAATGGATATTGGGTTGTTGACAGTCATTCACCGCAAGAGGTGCATGAGGAATGAATGAATGAATGAGATGCATGTGATTGATTGATTGATTGCTGTGAGGTTGTGTTTGAACAATCACCATGGTGATTGAACGAGTGTGTAAACGATAAGACGATCAGATACAATGTAGCATTGCACAATAACACAGACAGTTGTTGTTGTTGACACGCATGACATTAGATAGATTAACTGAATCCTTTTATCATATTTATGTGTGTGTTATGTTATGTGGATGGATGGTTGGACATGATAGGTCCATCTTGTCTGTTACTGGTTACCAGATTGATTGATTGCATTATACATACATATAATATAATAATAATAATAATAATAATAATAATAATAAATAAGATGTATTTATATGTATGATCGAACTATTCTACTTTAACGATTACAACATGTCTGTTGTTTGTCTACAAGTTATGTGTGTGTGATGTGGTTTGGATAATGTAATGTAATGTGATCTTTCTTTGGGGCAACGAGGAGTCGAGCTCAGAGTCGACTCAGATCTGAGCGTGATTGCCGTTTTCCAAACACACAAAAAGCATGAGACACTTTGATTCATTCTCTCGCGGGTGATTCTCGACTCGAGACAAGGCCAAACACACACGACTTGAGCCGGCATGACATTGGATGACGGGCGGACCGCCGCCAATCATAGACCATGTTGGATGATTCGCTGGCAAAGGTCCTTTAATCGATCATTCATTCATCCGTTCATCCATCCATCCATCCAGTCAGTGCACAAGAGTCTTATTTTGTAAATTGCCAAGTCTAGAAGCGTTGTTCACCGTGACAACCGCGTGTGATGATGCTAATATTGTTGCAAACTAGTTTGGATATGGGCGCGGGTGAAGGGTGTTTGTGGATGTTGACGGATCGCCTTGATACTGATCATTCATTCATTCATGAATGATTCATTCTAACAAGCGGACAAACAACAACAACAAATATAGTAGATAGTTATGAATAGCTCCCACCTTTGGCTCCACTTGTCGATGGCCTTCACCGTCGACGCTGATGCCATGTTTGGAAATGAGGTCTCAATGTTGGACCATGTACGCGTGGTGTGTGTGTATGTGTGTGGACATTGATTGATTGTATAAATGGGAATGGTGGCAATGAATGGGACCGACAGGGCAAGATGGGGAACAAGAGACTAAGTCCACATTCATACTCTTGAGCTGTCTATAGACTTCGCGTCCACATCCCTCTTTCATGTCTATGTGTTATTTAAAGGTTATGTCCTTTGTTTAGTGTGTTGTGTTATTAATTACCTTTGTGTATGTATGTATGTGTGTGAGCTAGAATAAGAGTAACTTACTATTGCTACTATCTTTAGACTCTTCTCAAAGTTGGTATGGGCATGGACCACTTAATACCAGACGAGGTGCGTCAACAAACACAACGACTAAACAATGTTTTCAAAATTAAAATTAAGCAAAAAAAGGGAAAAATCCAAAAGGACGAAGCCCCAGGGTCCACAGGGCGAAGGACTTGACCCTCACTTACACTCTCCAGCTCATAGTGGAATCAGGAACTCCAGAAAGTTGATGATAGAGTGCAGTAGACCACAGGGCCACTACACAAAGGTTTATTCATGAAGGAAGAGGAGGATGATGAAGGTCCAAGCCCAGCCTAGACCAACCCAGTCCAGCCCAGCCAGTTGACAATATGATTAGTTAGGCAACGGCTCGTATCCACTGCCAATTATAGTCTGTGATGTCTGTCGCTTGCTGTAGTAGGCCTCCAACACGTTGTTCTTGGGCTCGCGCTTGAATGGTGGAATCGGTGCGTCGCAGTGGTACAGCGCTGCAACGTTGAGCTGGAGAACGTGAGTGAACTGAGATCGCTCGTTGAGGAAGTCGGGCAGTGTCCTCTTGCTGCCAGACGTGTCATTTGGCTGCACCAGATAATGCTTGATCTTGTTCTGTTGTGAAGATGGGTTGTTGTTGCTGTTTGCCCCATCCTTGGATGACTCTTCGCCGCCGCTGCTAATGCCAGTGCTACTGCTGATGCCGGTGCTGCTGCTCAGACCAGTGCTGCCAGACAGCGACGAAGACTGTGAGCTGCCAGCCTGGTCCGGTCCGCCCGAGGCCACGTAGGAGATCTCCAGGTGGCCGGGGAAGGACTCGGAGAAGAGGATGACAAAGGTGCCAGGCTCCTGTCCCTTAAGGATACTATTTACAGACTCGCGCTTGAGGAACATGAAGATCAGGCCGTTCTGCCACAGCGTGGAGATATGACGCTTGTAGCGTAGTGTTTGCAACGACTTGCCAAACCAGAGCCAGAACTGGTCAAAGTCCTTGTGGCTGACGAATGTGCGGCTGCCAAAGAACGTCGCATTGAGATAGTGGAAGTCGTAGCTGGACAGTGGTCGTGTCGGTTGGATTGGACTCTGCTTGGTAGCTTTGAGGAAGTGTTTCTGGAGTATATTTACAAAGTGTGGCCAGGTGATCTCGAACTATGGATTGATTGATTGATTGATTGATTGTTAGTGACACATGCTTTGGAATCCAGTGCTCGTTGTAAGACATACCTTCTCATTGAATGACTCTTTCTTCAAGAGTGTACCCTCACTGCCCTCCCATTGACAATCGTTGGTGATGACGATGAATGGCTGGGAGGTGCCACTGGGCACGTTAAAGGTGCGGCCATCCGACGTCTTGATCTGAAGGACAAAGTGCAGTTTGACGCATCCCTTGCGTGTGCCTGTGAGGAACTTGATGGGGAACTTGGCAATGCCCTTGACTGGATCGATGATCTGGGTGTCCTTCTCGATCTGCTTCTTGTTGCCGCCGTTGCCTCCACTTCCACCTGCGGCAGAGCCAACGATGGGCGTCGAGCCCTTGGTCATGGGCTTGGCGTGGAAGATCAGCTCAGCGCGGATCGGCGAGTAGGACGCAATATCGACGTTGGTGCCTGTGAGCAGCTGTGCGATCAGGTGGTCCTCCTGCAGCTGCTTGAACTTGCTGATGACCATGGGGAACGGCTGCTTGGTGATGACAAGGGCGACGGGCAGCGTATCCGCGTCGCCAAAGCTGAGCTCCTCCTGGTAGAGCTGCAGCTGCTTGAGCTGGATCGAGAGGTCCTGTAGCAGAATATCGATCTTGCACAGTTGGTTGGGTTCCAGTATCGTCTGGCAGTACATTTGGTTGAGCGACAGCAGCTCTGACTCGATCTGGCCGCACAGACGCTTTTGGTCGCCCTGCAGAGACATGAGCAGATCTTCGCGGTTGGGCATGGCCAAGCCCGAGATGAGGAACTGGCGCTGCGCCATGTAGATCTTCTCCAAAGCCTCACGCTGCGCATGGTGGAGGCTGTGAATTTCGTTGAGCAGCGCCTCGTGTGGTGCGTCGCTTGCGGATGAGATCGACTTGAACAGGCTGCTGTTGTCCGACATTGAGGGCGAGTCGAATGGCGACGAGGAGGAGTTGCGTGCGTCGTCCGGTGAGTCCTCGCCACGTGTAATACCACCACTGCTATTGAGCTTGTTGGCAGCAAAGTCAAACTCGTCCGTGCTGTCGACATCCGTGTCCATCTCTGGTATCATGCCAATGTTCTGCATCAATGACGGGTAGTTCTGTCGCTGGTGCTTGCCCTTGTTGGATTTGCTCAGCGGCGAGCTCATGTCTGAGCCACTTCCCTCCAACTTGACGGCGGGGCTGGGTGGCTGCTTGGGCGGCAGCGAGCCCGACGTAGGCGATATCGACATCTGCTGTTGCTGGTTCTTCTTGGGTTTCATCAGCGTGTCCTCGCTAGAGACCTTGGGCGAGGCAAAGCTGTCGGAACGCCTCTTCTTGCTGCGGTCCTCCTGCTCCGTCGTGCTGACGATCGACCACTCCATGGCGCTGTCGTTGCGTGGTGGCAGAGCGCCCAGTCTAAAGTTGAGCGCGGCCAGTGCGCTGGCCTGACCACCGTTGTGTCTAAACAGGTCCTCGCTGTTTGAACGCTTCAGTATTGGTGGCTTCCTTGTCTGTGGAGACGATGAGGCGAATTCTACAAAAGAGCCAAGTGCCTCTGCCACGAGCTCTTCATCACCTGCAATTCCTCGGACTAATAATGGAGTATATGTGTGAGTAAGATCGTTCAGAGTTGGACACGCTTGTGAGAGGATATGCTTACCTTTCTTTCTCAACTCGGATGGTGGAGGTGGGATTGGAGCCGAAGCAGACAGGGGCGAGAAGAAGCCTTGGCCAAAAGCAGAAGGGTGCTGCATAAGCATCTGTTGTTGTTGTTGTTGTTGTTGTTGATGTTGTACATGTAGTAGTGACGATGGTGAAGTGTAGGGATTGGTGTTGGACGACGGCATCTTCATCTGTAACAGCTCGTTCATCTTCTTGTTCTGCTCAAACAGCTCCTTTTTCAGCTTGATGTTCTCCGACTCGAGCGTGGAGTAGGCCTCCTCGATGGACTTTGTGTACACACGGTGCTTTTGCTCGCGCTCAAAGGCCGAGTGCACCTGGTTCATCAGCGACTCGATCTGCGACTCGTATTGCTGTCGAATCGTCTCCATCTTGCCCAGATTGTCCATCGTGGTCATCAATGTCTTGTCGAAGCTGCGACTGGCCTCTGGTGATATATCCATAGATTGCTTTGGCGATAGGCTGTTGTTATGTTGCTGCTGTTGCTGTTGTTGTTGTTGATGATGTTGTAGTTGCGCTGTATTTGATGGTGATGAACTTCCAGTGCCTCCAAGACTACTGCCCCAATGCAACTCGGGCAGTGAGAGTAGATGATGTTGTGACTGCTGTTGTTGCTGTTGCTGTTGCTGTTGCTGCTGGCCACCATTGGTGACCAACTTGATATTTGGATGATGCGCAGACAATGAGGCTACTGCATCATCAATAGATGTAATTGGACTAGACTTGTTATTATTATTATTGTTGTTGTTATTCATCAACTGTTGTGACTGGGATGATGCCGGTATCATAGCTGCTTTTGAATGTTGTTGTTGTTGCTGTTGTTGCTGTAGGTGATATGATGATTGGAACAACAAGTGTTGCTGTTGTTGTTGCTGCTGTAGGAGGTGTTGTTGTTGTTGATATTGATGTAGCTGTTGTTGGTGAAGTGGAAATCCAGGAAATGGTGTTATTGGTATTGGATTGCTGGTTGTACCACTGTTGTTGCGACCACTATTACTGCCACTGCTACTGCTACCTCTACCGTTGTTGCTGTTGCTGTTGTTGTTGGACATGATTGATTGATTGATTAGTCTTTCGTTCGTCTGAATGAATGTTCAAGTTCAAGTCAAGGTTCCAAGAGAGTATGATGTGGTATGATGTTTCGAGTATTGTCTCGGGGATAGATGCCCGCTAATCACTATTGTCTCGTCATTCGCTTTGCAAAGATATCTTTCAAGTATGTATTATTGTTTGTATGAATGAATGAATGAATGTATGGATGGATGATATCTATCTCTTTGTATGTTTATGCACAGTCTACTCTAGCTCACTCATACTCTGCTCACTCACGCACTCACTTTGAAGTGTGACAGGTTGTCTGTCTTGGACCAAGTTGCGATGATGGTGCCTGGGTGATGATGCCCGCCTGCCTGCCTGACTGACTGACTGACTGAGTGTGTCCCTTAAGGGTGAGGGTATAATAATAATAATAATAATAATAAATATTCTTCTTAATTAACAGAAGTAAGGATGGTAGTATGGTTGGAAAGGGAAAGAAAGGAAAGAAAAGGAAGGTTGGGGTGGTGGTCTGGTCTCCTTTTTCAAACAATCTCCTCTCTGATTATTATAATTAGAGAGTTGAAGGAAAGCAGGCAGGCAAAGCAAGCAGGCATCATCATCATGGACAACAGCAACAGCAACAGAGTTGTTATTGTTGGTCATTCATTCATTCATTTCATTCGTGTGTGTTTGTGTCCATGGATGTGTGTGTGTTTGCGACGCAAACAAGTGGCGATGATGGTGAATGGGTGTCTGTAATTTTCAAATAATTGTTTGTTTGTGAAGCGGAAGCTTGAATGAGTGAATGAGTGAGCGAGAGAGAGAGAGAGACATAGATGGATGGAGCTTGCAAGAGTACTCTTTGGTTAAAAGACAATAATACAAGTTCACAACTATTAGACAAATAACAAGTACAAATAGGAGAAAGAGAATAGATTATTGATAGATAATAAGCGGGACACTTACTTGGACTTGATTGATTTTCCTGTTTCTGTTGGTTGAATTGATTGATTGATTGAATGCTCCAAAATGACAATTGTGGTCGTCAGTCACTTTGCAGTATATTCTACAACATTAAGGATTGTTTATGTATTTATGAATGAATGTAGGAGATACGTGAAAGTAAGAGAATTGTGATCGATACTTTCGATGTGCTTCGATTCATTGAGAGGCGAGAGCCAAACGAGCGAGAAGCACGCTTCCTAAAAATTAGATTATTTGAATTTTGCCAGCAAATTTATTTTGAATGTTTTTTTGTTGGTGCTTTCCCGAGACTCATGAGACCCATGGGGTTTCGTTTTGAGGTGAGTCACGTTGGACATACTGGACTTCACGTTGTCCTGTGCTGGGGTGTTGACTTGTTGGTTGACCTGGTACTCATGATGATGATGGTCCATCCATCACCTTAGGATAGAAGGTAAGGTCTTGACAAGTCTGGTGATGGTAAGTTGATAAGTATTACAAGTTATGGTACATATATTGTTGTTGGATAATGGCCAGGGTAATGACCATGTTAGGGCCTGACCACTGGTGTTCTATTTTTCAACTTGTTCTTCAATTCAAGTTGGAAAGCATCTTGCATGCTCATCGGTGTTGCCTGTTGTTGTTGATGATGTACAGGTGTTGATTGATGAGTTGATGATGAACTCTTTCGTAGTTCATTGGTTGTTGAAGTGGTTGTCACTTTTGAGTCTGTGATATGTGAGAATGACTTTGTCCTTGTCATTGGGATACATCGTTTGTTATGAAGGTTGAGGTTGGGAGTGTTGGATGCTAAAGTGATGGCAGTAGATGTCGATGACGGAGCTGGGGGAGAACACTCTGGACTCGATGTGATTTGAACAATCTCAGATGATGGTAGGGCCAGAAGGGTACGAGGCGGGGGAATGGGTCTGGATGACACAGGCTTTGGCAAAGGAATTGGGATAGGCATTTGTTGGATTGTGTAGACTTGGACATCATCTTTATCTTCTATGTACTGATCATGGTCGCAAATATCCTTTGTTATCAATATTATACTGTTGCTGGGAGGTGATCGAGCCATCAAGTTGAGCTGGTTCTCATCCTGTTCATTCTTGACAATCTTGAGTATATCTTGGCACTCGCTCAGACTCGGTAAGTTACGATGTGATTCGGTGAATGAACGTATTCTCAAGTCCTCTGAGCAATGAGTACCATCATTATCCTCCTCCAAGTTGCCCTTCCTTGATGATGTCAGCAATGTCCTTGATCTACTGAAAATTCCATTCAATGACGATACCAGGTTGGGGGTGGAGAATGATCGGTGCCGACTGGGCAACACTTGATTGGAAGCTGGTTCATCAAAAGTATCCAAACCAGTGTCATTATCCTTGATTCCCACTGGATGCTTGATTATCTGCTCTGATGATATTGATGATTCATTCGCCAGTCTATCCATATCCTCGTCATGTGTATATATTGTGTCACTCTCATCAATATGATAGTATGGCTTGTTTATCCATTTACTTCTCATCAATGATAACTCTGAAGGTATTTCCTTGACCATTCCTGAGAATGAGTTACTCAAGTTATGTATACCATTGACAAAATTATTAGTCTGGTTATGTAGTTGACCATTATAATGTATTTGGCCATTCTTCAAATAACTTGGTGATCCAGGAACTGAATGTTCCAACTTGATTCCATCATATATCTCATCCAAAGCTACCATTATTATTATTATTATTATTACTGATTATTGATTGATTGATTAATTGTTCGATCGATAGATTGTTTGATCAATAGATTGTTTGAATTAATGATTCTGATTAATTGGTTGATTGATTAATTATAATAAGGATATTGATCAAATATAGTAAAGTGGCATAGTGTTGTTATTGTTTAATATTAACTTTGTATCATAAGTATTAATAATATAAGAATATTGATCTAATTGAATGAGATTAGTATTGATTATTGGTCAACAACATTCTGTGTCCCACTGTCTGAACGCTAAGTAAACGATAAAGTTTGAACAAGGCCTACCCTCTCCCACACAACACAACCCTAAACAACTTGAATGAATGCCAGACTGACAGACTCATTACCTTCAACTCATGATTACAACCAACGCCGAAACACACATCTAGACTAATATTAATATGACGTGATGGAAGTATAGTCTTAGGGCTATCTCAATCGTCCCCACACTTACTACTTTAGGATGTGTCTAACCGACTGGCCCACCTTTTTGGCTTGCCAAACGACTTTGCAAAACTTTTTGTTGTAGTCTGCATGGAGTGGCCCATCGTCCAACCATCATGGGTGTTGTAGAATGCATGGTTACCCGCGGGACAAAGGTGGCACATGTTCATGCCATGACATTAGCACCTCGTTAATTAAAGCAGTGCATCTTGTTATTCTGTTGTCGCAATTCTGGACAGTTAGCAGGCTGGCACTCCACTAGTCGGATCTATTTGAACGTTCCACAACTCGCTCGTTCATTGAAGACTATAAATGGATGTGATCAGATCCTTAATATATTAATATTAATTGATACTGAAGTTCTAACGATCAAACCGTCCAACCGGCGGAATAAACATCCTCACGGTATGGATGTTTATTCTCGACCACTCTGTCGGCGGACATGTCCAAAGTACAATGATTGATGCCAATACATCCATCAATCAATATCAATCCAATTGAATGGATTCTTTGATCGCATTTGTAAGGGGAGTGTAGAGTATGTTGTTGGAGCAGACGATGCCAATGTTGTTGTCCAACTTCCTGCCAACTGAGTAGTCTAATTTGTTGCCGCGGAAGTCGCGGACAATGCCACCAGCCTCTTCTACAATGATAGCACCAGCAGCATGATCCCATATACATTCTTTGTAGTCCAGCTGAGTGAGTCGTAGATAGATGTCACTGTCTCCTCTTGCCACCATTGCATATTTGCATTGACTGTCGATCCTGTTTGTTTGTTTGTTTGTTGAGCGCGAGAGTGAGTTGAATGGACACGTTTGTCTTTGGACTACAACACTACCTACTTGAGTGGCTCACTCTTGACGCCAAGGTTGTTTGATATCTTTGAGTTCAACTCATGTCCAAAGCCACGCGATACGAAGCTCTCGGTGAAGACGGCCTTTGATGTGTCTGATTGTTGTGATACCTTGACCGACACCTCGTTGACATCTTGTAGTGTACGCATGAATGACCCAGCACCCTTTGATGCAACAAAGATGCATCCTCTCTCGATTGAGCCCTTTGATATGGGCAGGGAAGGGCAACCCAACACACCGAGTATGGGCACATTGTCCTCCATGAGTGCCAGGGCGATGGCATATTGGTCGCGACGGAGGAAGCCGAGTGTGCCGTCGATGGGGTCAAGCGTCCACCAACGCTTTGTTGTAGGCTTCTTGGCCTTGCCCTTGTCAAGTAGTGTGGCTAGTCGCTCTCCATTGATAGGAGTGTCGGCGTACTTGTTATAGTATGATAGCACCTTGCTCTGCACATCTGGCTGTTGTGACAGCGTGTCTGCGTCCTCTTCGGCAACGATCGAGTACTCTTCGAGCTCGCCATGCTCTGTGGCACCACGCAACAACATATCAATCACAAGTGCTTGCACTGTATAATCGCCCACTGTCACTGGTGACTGATCCTTCTTGCTGATCGTCTCTTCGTTGACCAGATTGTGCTGAATGTCCAAACATGCGACACAAGCCTGTTGAACAGCATTAATAGCTATTGACCTAAGTTTGCTTATACACAACATCCTTCTTATTATCTATCTCTATGATATCTTATGTGATCGATTGCTTGATTTATTCATTTAATGAAAGTGAAAGGTCGCGTGCCACGGCATGGTGATCATCTCACGCCCACAGCCCATGTTCGCACTACAAGATTATGGGACGACTTGATTGATGTTCCAGTTATTGATACTTGGATTGAAGGCGTTGGTGCATGTCTATGATGTTGATGTTGCCAACTAGTAGTGCACCTTGAAGGACGTAGTCCATTGTGCGTTTGATGTATGCTTGATGGATGCGACCAAGTTGTTCATCTCTTGCATTGAGTATCTGGCCAAGTTCTTCATAAAGGTATGCCAACACCTTATGTTCATTCTCCATCGCTGACTTGTATACATTCATCAACGTTGGAAGATAGTTGTGAAGCTGGATGGGGGTGGCAATGCGCTGATACACAGTCTTGAGCACGTCAATTTGTCCGTTCTCACATGCCCAATCGACCAATCTCGCCAACTCGTATGAGCTGCCATCCATTGTGAAGTAGCCCTTGTCCAGTATGAGTTCCACGATGCTGACATTCTTAATCTCCAATGGGAACAGAGCGCGTGGACTGAACTGTCTGGTGTTGACGGCCATTTCGACCAGACACTCTATCGACTCGGTGTCTGCCCTGTTGATGCAAACTTGGATGAAACTCTTGAATAAATCAATCTTGATAATAGCAATTGCATCAGTGGCGGTTGAGGCAAGAGCAACAACATGCTTGACCACTCGGGATGACTTTCTGACAGCGGCCAGAAGAAGATCTGACACGGCCAGCTCGCTTGTATCCTCGGGGTTGAACATGACTTTAAGGAACTCAATGAAATCATCATCACTCATTTTGGTGGCGCCAATACAAAGGGCGTACGTAGAGTGTCGTCCCAACAGGCCTCTATCCTCTTCGCGTTGTTTGATGAATTCTGGAGACTGAAGGATCTTCCTGGCGGTGGGGATGTCAGAATAGGTCAGCGCGTGCTCGAATGCCAATATATCGTTGGGTGGGCATTCTTGCCTCAGAAATTCGATCACGTCCTTCTTGCCCGACCGAATGGCATGTCCCATCAATGAGGCAGACGGGCATGCAATTGCTGGAATGGCGCGCAGTCGTTGGATCAACTCGACCGATATGAGCGTGGAATTGATCTGATGGATTGGTAGATGGACGTTGGGGGGTGGCGGCGGCTTGCTGAGAATATAGTTGACCAGGTCCATGTGGCCGTGGTAGTGGAGTGCCGAGCTCAATCTCTGGTAGTCGTTGGAGGGGCCACAAACCCCTTCCAACTTGATGTACATCGCCAAGTTACCTCGCCTTGCAGCTTCGCGATGCAAGTCTGCTTGCCTGTCCTTAGGGAATGTGTACAATGGGATCTTCGACAGCACAATGTCGACGATCTCCTTTTGGCAATCTATAGACATGCATTGTGAGACAATGCTGTATGGTCGTGAGTTATCATGGATCATCATATCGTCAAACTCGGCCTCAAAGATGTACCTCACGACATCTACGACGTTGTTACAGATCGCCTCCTCAAGTAGTGCGAACTTGACTTCATATCCTATCAGTGAGTGCTCACACAGCAGCTTGAACATCTCGAGCGCCCAAGGCTTGAGGAGCCATCCTTCGACCATCTCGTGGACCTTGTCCGTGTCAGTATCGTAGGGAACGATCTCGAAGCCTAGTTCTATGAGCTTGCGGAGCAGCGATGGATGGCGGATCTGCAAAAGCATGTCGATGTCAATCTCAATGTCTTTGGGATCCTGCAGAGTGTTGACCAGGTATTGATCGAGTGTGCGCATCCAATCAGGATTGATGCAGTCCGATTGGAAGATGAACATGTCGTTCAAGAAGTTCTGGCCATCCTCCTGGTACACCATCTTGGGATTGATGAGCAATGCATCCAGGATTGCCGTGTTGGGCATGATCATTGAGTTGTAGAGCAGGTTGGAGTTGGGGAAGAATCTGTTGTTGTTGTCCTCAAGCGTTTGGTGTGCTTTGAGGAACCATTGTGATGCACCAAACTTGTTATATTGGCCCAGACTGTTACAGGCGAGTAGTACTTTGCCTTTGACTCTTTGTTCTTCGCCAACACTGGCACTGTTGTGGACGTTGCTAATATGGCCCATGACAAGGCCAATCAACTTGGTGTCTGTGAACACCTTGTGGATTGCTGTCTCAAGTCTTGGTGATGCAGCAACTCGAACCTTGGCATCATCTTCATCATCTCGTTGATTATGACCAATCTCAGACTCGTCGCGACCCCTGATATAATTGATTGATTGATTGATAGTGGATGTTAGAGAGATGATCAGATGGGAGTCCATTATCAAATGGATATACGTACCTCTTCTTGTTGGCTTGTGCTTCCTTGATGAGCTCACTGGTGTGGTTGACGATTCCGACGTTTCCTTCAAAGTGTGCGTTGATGTTGATGGCATGGAGTGTTCTCAATCTGATTATCTTGGGCAGATTGGCAAACTCTGGTGTACCGAGGTAGTAGACCAATGCTTGGAGGCTGTTGGACTTGGCACCAAGTACCAACAAATGAAGACTGGGCATAGGTAGTGTCTTGCCATTGTCCTCGTACAGCTGTCGCAGTGTGACCAACACATCAGGTCTGTCACATTCGAATGCGCGCATGATAGTATCATTGATGTTTGATACGATCTCCTCAAAGGTGAACAGTTTGATGATGTGCTGGAACACCTCTGGCGCGCTGTTGAACACGGCCCACTCACAAATACAGACGTCCTCTCTGGTAGCCGAAAGATGTTTGAGCACCAATGTCACTGTGTCCAACGAGGATTTTGCGATCAGTTTGTCCGCGGCCAGGTCCACATGCTCGTTGTTCGACCAATCATCGAGCTCGGTTGGTAGGACATTTCCAAAGATGATAGACAGGGCCATAAAGTCGTCGTTGGCCAAGGCCTTGCGCAAACAATCGGTGTTGTACTCAAGCTGGTAGGCACCGTGTATCCTCTGCATGCTCCTCGTCATCGAGAGTTTTGTGGCCAACACCAATGCTTGCGTTGCCTGCACACTTTCCGTGGCATATTGGTCGCTGTCGGGGTCCACGTATTGAGCACAGTTGTCAACGAAGTTGAGCACCATGTCCTCAGTGACCTGGCTGCCCGGCACTCCAACTGATTGCAACATGCTGAGAAGGGTCTGTGGATTGAACAATGGTAGTCGGCGGGAGCGTGGGTTGGAGATGTGCGTGGCCATTCGCTTGGACATTCGTCGCCACAATGATGTCGAGATGTATATCATGTTTTGGAGATGTGAATCGACTTGCTCAATGACATCCTTGATGATGACAATCGATGGTGTGTTGATAGCCAGAATGTTTGAGTTCAGATCGTTCTTGGGCACCTTGACATAGGATTCGCCAAAGAGATGCTGCACAACTGTTATCTCGGCCATTGGATGCATTCCTCCCTTGCCCATTCCAACATGATGAGTGTAGAGATACTTGATGACCTCTTCATATCCATCTGCAATGGCCACCATCAGCGCAGTCGATAGCAAGTCGCAGTGCATAGGAAGCAAATATCTAAAGACTCGAGGGCTAATCGAGTTGATGATAGCGACGTTGCCATGTGCCACGATGTGAGTCATCCAAGTATGGATGCACTCAATCATTGTTGACTCCTTGGTTGGCGGCAGGTGATCAATGATGTATTGCACGCTGTCTGCTTGTTGACTTCGAATGGAGTGGAGCAGGGTCATCTTCCAGAGATCATCATGATACAGTCGATCATAGTCCTCGTGCAGCACTTTGAGCACATTGACGCTGACGCCCGGACGCTTGAGGACGAGCCGTTCAGCTTCTTCGGGAGGCTGCTCGAAGCAGTGATGTTGGAGCAACAGACGTACAAAGTGTTCGTTGCCAGTGTCAATCGCAGTCACCAGGTGCGAGTCATTGAGTGGCAATGTGCGTGCTGTGTGCACCTCAAGGTATGCTTTGAACATTTCGACATTTCCACGCTCGAGTATGTTGATCAGCCACTTATTGGTCAACTGGCCCATGTTGGTACCGGTTCTGCTCAAGATATGATTGAATATAGTTGTATTGTTGTACTTGAATGATCGGTACATTAGTTCAGCGGTGAGTGTGAATGACTTGTTGGGCAGTCTGTCAAACACCTCAATGAACCATTGTACAGCATTGTACTTGATCATCTGTGTAAGGCAGCCATCAGTATATAACTTTCCACCCTTGATCGTTGATTTGATAGATGGGTATTCTTTGGCATTGTTGGCGTTGTTGGCGTTGAGGTTGATGAAGTCATCGTCAAGGTTGTTGTTGTCATTGTTGTTGTTATCTTGTTCTTGGTCATCATCTTCATCTTTTTTGTTTGTTCTTGATGATAAACCATCAGCTATCCAATGTCTATGAATATGATCAACATGTTGAAAGATGATTGTTCTTATCAACTTGTTTCCAAACAACATCCAGAATCTTGTAATGACCCTGTTGTTGTCAGGGTTCATCATGGATGTATCCATATTATTATTATCTTATTAATTATAACTGTGTATTTTGATATATTGTCAGATGTCTGACTTGATCATACAATGACGTCAAAGTTAAAAGAGATATTTATTATTTATTGGAATAACAATTTTGATTTTAGTGATTAGAAGTTCGTCTTTTTGAACACATACTCTGAAGACAGTTAATGGTAATCACAACACAAGATTCAATCAGTCTATGCCAGATATCATGTTGTATTACATGATCTAGATTGAGGCCAATGGTTGGTCCCCAATGTTCTAGATTTAGACACACTCAATCAACAACATACACTTGATTGTTTGATTGATTGTCACATAATGTAAACAATGAAAGGTTACATAACTTTACTCGATACTTTGTCCATTCAAACACGACACTACACAGACAAGTGCGACGACGACGTTGTGAAAATCGACCATCAAAGACACATGACACATGTCCTCGCCCAACACATACCCTTAACCAAACACCCTTACATTATGTTGTAAGATGTACATTACTAAAGTATTATTTAATCATCATCACCATGGTGATGATGATCAACAACAACAACAAGGATCATAAAGACAACAACATCAACAACAAACATATATAACATACAAACAAATGCAATCAAATGATACAAATGCAGCTGCTCCTTCAGCTGCAGTAACAGCAAGGAATCAATTCTTTGCCTCTTATATCAATGCTAGATCAAAAGTTTATCCTGCTGATGCATCAGCAGCAGCATCATCAACACGCCCAAAGAGAGATACTACTTCAGCTGCTGCTGCGGCAACCGAGACCGACGCCCAGATCACTGCCTCTCTAGCCAGCTTCACGGTGTTTGAAAAGGTGGTGGTGCCAGTTGACGGTGGAAAGGGTGATGGAAAGGGTGGAAAGGGCGGCAAGGCCGGAAAGGAGGGTGGCAAGGGCTCAAAGCCTAGCGCTGGTACATTAGATCATCCTCTTGGCAAAGGACACGCTGGAGAAAATACTACAAAGCCCAGTAAAGGTGGTGGAGGAAGCAGTGGAGGAAGCAGTGGTGGTGCCCAGACCGACCCCGAACCCGAGCCCGAGCCCTATGTCAACATTGTCAAGACCAATGCCGAGAAGTACTTCTTGGAGAATGTGCTCTACTTTACCGATGATGATGTGCTAGAGATGTTTGAACAGACCAAGCCAACACTCAATGCCAAGAGACTGTCCATTGTCAACGACGCCAACGAGCAGAAATGGTACAAAGACTACTCCAACTTGCTGTTCACCATGAAGGTGGCCAACGGCGATGATGGCACTTCAAGGAGGATTTTAAAGGACAAGGTCGAGGCCGATCTCCAGGCCATGTGCGACAGCCAGATCTACGCCCACCAGACCATGCTGCTTCAGACGTACGCCTTCATCGAGAGGTATCCCAAGATGGAGGACTACCTCGACCAGGCTGCCAAGTGCGCCACCCTCTATGTCAACTACTGGAGCGACGAGACACACCTGGCTAGCATCATATCAAGCTTCCAAAGTGACAAAGCCAACGATGGCCTGGACCCAAGTGTCGCCGTCTACAACAGGATCACCGACATCAAGATCGTCCTGGACATCCTCGACCCGACCAGTGTGCAGTCCACCAAGCTGATCAACAGGATCACTCACACGGCCATGGCCAGCTACTACGAGCATAACATGACCAACAACCAGGGCAGCACCGACATTATCAACCTGGTCATCAAGGACCTGCTCACCAAGCTGGACAAAGACACCAAGAACCAGTTTTATGAATTGATGAAGCACCTGACAACTGGCTTTGGCAGCTTCCCAGGACTGATCACCGAGATGCAAGAGGCAACTCGCGCCGTGATGTACACTGTGAGCAATGAGAGTCCAAAATTGGCCGAGACGGCCGCCGCCTATGCCGAGCGCCTCGGATCATCCATGGTCGCCAAGTTCAAGACCAAGTTGGCGCCAAACTATATCAACACGAATGTAAAGGTATTCTTCTGCTCAGTCTTCAGAGTATGCCAGGCGGCCGCAGTGACCTTTGGCTTCCTCAACAAGGACCACCTCAAAGATGGGGAGAAGCCCGAGCTGATCGGCGAGACCACCGGCTTGTTAGTTGATATGGTCACAATGTTCAAGAGTGGCAACAAGTTGGTGACATCGGTGTTTGCTCGTACTGCAGCTTTCGTGGGCTCGAGGCTTGCACCTTTGGCCCCCGCTACAGTGGCACAGATCGTGCCCAAGTGTCTGGCAGTGGTCTTCACGGCCAACGCCGCCAAGTTCATGCTTTCCCGCTTCACACCAGTGTTGTTGTTGGTAGCCTCTTATAACCTCGTCGAGGATGTCATCGAGGACTTCAAGAAGGGCCAAGTTGGCGCGCTCTTGGTTGATCTGACAGCACTTGGCGTCAATCTGGCAGCGGCTGTGGCACTGTTCTGGGGCACCAGTTGGAGTGGACCATTCGCTCTTGTTGCCAGTGGCGTCGTCGTTGTCCTGGCTTTGATCAAGTTCATTTTCTACTCTGCATCTCCACAGGAACAGTTCTTCAGCTCCTATGTTAACTCAAAGTACAAGAAAGCTATGCCAATCATTGGTGGAATGGGTGGCTAAGTGAAATAATTAAGCAACATTATTAAATAAATTATGTTCCTTTCAATCATCAAGTAGTCCAACCTGGAATAATTCCAATCTTTTTTCCAATCTTTTAATCAAACTGATTAACTTCAAGTGGACTTAAGGTCGATCCAATTAATAAATAAATACAATACTAATTATATATTAATATATATTAAAAATAATATTGTACTTATTCAATCATTTGGATCTAAATTTAGATCATCTAGGCCCACCAATCGAAAGAGTTAGAGTACCAGGTTGACACAAACAACACGATAAAATATCAATTTTACACGTTTTTGTGTGATCATCATGATTTTCAAATCTGAGGACATCTCCACCGATGTCGTTTGGAAATAGGTCGACCTATTTCCAACACTAATCACTAGTACATCAAAGTTCAACATCACATCCATTCATTTATTCAATCATTGTTACATATATATATCATATCATTCATTCATTCATTCATTCATATTTGTACCAATCAATCAATGCAAGAAAACGATAACAAGGCTCCAAAGGTTGCTGCGGCAACTGCAAAGAAGCCCACCAATCCAGCCAATAATCCATTCTTTGTATCTTATATTAAGGCGAGAGCAAAGGTTTACCCAGCAGACAAGAAAGCAATGCCAGCCTCTAGAGTGGTCAAGATGGATGCCAATGATGATACAGAGGATGACGATGTCAAGGACATGACCAACGCAGAGATCGCCGCCACTCTCGCCAACTTCACCGTGTTCCATGTTGAAACACCTCCACATAACGGTCCACATAACGATCCACAAACGGCCACAAGGCGTGTGGGTGGACATGGAGGACAAGGGGGTGCAGGCAATGACCCAGATAACAAGCCCGACGGCAATGGTCATCCAGGTGGTAAGCCAGGTGGTGGTGGTCGTCCTGGTGGAGATAAGCCAGGCGGTGGTGGAAAGCCAGATGGAGGAGATGATCATGGAAAGGGTGGCAAATCACATCCAGGAGAACACGTCAACATTGTCAAGGCCAATGCCGAGAAGTACTTCTTGGAGAATGTGCTCTACTTCACCGAAGACAATGTGCTGGAGCTGTTCGAGCAGACCAAGCCAACACTCAGCGCCAAGAGACTGGCCATCGTCAACGACGCCAACGAGCAGAAGTGGTACAAGGACTACTCTAACCTGCTGTTCACCATGAAGGTGGCCAACGGTGATGACGATCCCTCAAGGAGGATTTTGAAGGACAAGGTCGAAGCCGATCTCCAGGCCATGTGCGACAGCCAGATCTACGCCCACCAGACCATGCTTCTGCAAACCTTTGCCTTCATCGAGAAGTATCCCAAGATGGAGGACTTCCTCGAGCAACCCGCCAGATGCGCCAACATCTATGTCAACTACTGGAGCGATGAGACTAACCTAGCCGCCTTCTGCACGAGCTTTCAAGACGACAGGGTGAGAGATGGTTTCGATCCCACCGCCTCGATCTACCGCAGGATCACCAGTATGAAGATCGTCTTGGACATTCTCGACCCGACCTGCGTGCAGTCCACCAAGCTGATCAACAGGATCACTCACACGGCAATGGCCAACTACTACGATCAGAACATGACCAACAACCAGAACAGCAACGACATCATCAACCTGGTCATCAAGGACCTGCTCACCAAGTTGAACAAAGATCCCAAGAGCGAGTTCTATGCCCTCATGAAGCACATGACTTCTGGAGTCGGCACCTTCCCTGGTTTTATCGCCGAGATGCAAGAGGCCACACGTGCAGTAATGTACCAGGTGTATGATGAAACCGCGTCTTGGACGGAGAGGGTCGACGCCTATGCCGAGCGAATTGGTGCATCCATCATCAACAAGCTCAAGACCAAGCTGGCGGCCAACCTGATTGACAAGTCCTCAAAGATATTCTTCAGCTCGCTCTTGCGAGTGTGCCAGGCTGCCGCAGTGACCTATGGCTTCCTCAACAAAGACAACCTCAAGGATGGCGAGAAGCTCGAACTGATTGGAGAGACGTCCGGCCTGTTCCTTGACACGGTCACAATGTTCAAGACTGGCAACAAGTTGGTGACATCGATGTTTGCTCGAACTGGCATATTTGTTGGCTCAAAGCTTGCTCCTCTGGTCCCTACTGTGGTTGCTAAGATTGTGCCAAAGTGCTTGTCAGTGATCTTCACCGCCAACGCCGCAAAGTTCATGCTGAATCGCTTTTCTCCAGTGTTGTTGCTGGTGGCCTCCTATAACCTCGTCGTGGATGCCATCGAGGACGTCAAACAGGGCAATGTTGGAGCACTCTTGCTCGATTTGACAGCACTAGGTGTCACGCTGGCTGCTGCCGTGGCACTGTTCGTGGGCACCAGTTGGAGTGGACCATTCGCACTTGTTGCCAGTGGACTGGTTGTTGTCTTTGCATTGATGAAGTTCCTATTCTTCACGTCATCTCCACAGGAACAGTTCTTCAGATCATATGTTAACTCAAAGTACAAGAAAGCTATGCCAATCATTGGTGGAATGGGTGGCTAAGAAATCAAACTAATTATAAATTATGACATTGTTACATTCATTCATCAAGTCCAACAACTTGATCAATCACTCGATACATCCATTATTTGTGTGTCCCACCATCAATTATTCAATCATGTACAAGTATTATGAGTTATAACTCTGAGTTAGATTCATCATTTTATATCTCCGAACGTGTTTCCCAAACGCCAAAATGATTGAGGAGACACACAAGTGATCGCTCACATGATTGTAAATTACTCACACAAGGATGATCAATCAATAACACCCAACACCCACAACACACTCATGTTAATTCTAGTGATTGTGAGCTTCACTCTTCCAAACGATAATCATGTTGTCAACAAGTCTGGAAATATTGATCTCTCCTACATTATATCATATTGAATATTCCGAATGATTAACTTTGAATTTATAATTTAATCTTGGATTAAATATATTTATATATTTGATTCAATGAATATAATTTTATTTCATCTTTGTACACATCCATATTGTGATCAACCCCAGATACACTACTTCCTTGGTGAACTTGTCTAGACCTCATGGATGATCCAAAACATATAAATAATCAACTTGATAGAATAAATTTAGATATCAAATCTAATATCAATCAATCTAAATCAATCAACAATCTAATTAATTAAAAATGACTATCCTTGGTAAGTAATATAAAAACAATAATTATAATAATAACCAATTCAAATATTAATAGTTTCTTTATATTCTAGCTGCCCTCTCCACCCTTGCCAACCCAACCAAGCTTGCCAACAACGCCCGTCTTAGCTCTAACTCTGGCTTTGCTTCTGCCCAAGGCTCAAACTCAACTGCTAGCCTTTTGGATATCCTTTCGGGTCTTAATTCCAAGACTGCTACCAATGTCAATGCTAACATTCCAGGTGTAGCCACTGCCAATCTCACAGCCACAACTGACTTTTCAGCTCAATAAGGTCATCTTACAACATGTCTTAATCTTGTAATAATAATCATAATAATAAGTGTGATCTAATAAATCACTCTTGTTCAAATCATAACCAATCCAAAGTTGTTAATTATTTATTTATTTGAGGTGTATCCCTTTTCCAACAGGAATATACTCAATTTGTCATTTGTGATCATCAAAGGGAAAAGAGTTTGAGGATCAATTGGTTTGGAATCATTTGTGGATGATAACTTGGTGGCCAATGTGACCACACATTCAATTGAGTCTGTGTCATCTCTATTGATGCAAGCCATAATCGCATTCTTGAGGTAATGGACACAATCTGATATAAAGATGCTGAGGTCCATTTTATAAAATACAGGTGAGTCTACCATATCAATCACATGTTTGACAAGTGCGTGTGAGTTGCCAGCGGCAGCTTCAACAAGACAACATATTGTTTTCTTTGTTGTTGACTCTGGCTGCAGGATGACTTGGAGTAGCTCGATAAACAAATCGTCACTGATCTTGGCCGCCATCATTCCAAACTCCAAAAATGAATCCTTATAATACTGTCCATTGTCTTGATGATGTTGGATGAACTTTGGAAGTATCCTCCTAATGATGTCGAGGTAGGGTTGTCCCACCTTCAATGCCTGCTGAAAAGCATATCGATAGTCAGTTTGGAATATTGATTCGTTGTCCATTAGGTATTCAATCACATCTCTCTTGCCAGCGCCGATGGCATCGCCCAACATTTGGTCAAAGTAGCAAAAGAAACATGGATGATCAATCAATCTTTCAATGAGCTCGATTGATATAATCTTGGGATTGATATACCTTAGAATGAAATCATCATCATGTGGGCCTTGTGGTTGGCTGAGCTGGAGGATGTAGTTGACCAAGTCCACGTGATTATTTGATTTAAGTGCTGCTTCCATTGCTGCATAGGCTCGTTGTGAATGGCCCCCTTCTCGTTCATTAAGTTTATGCACATTGATGAACATTGCCAAGTTTCCAGTTCGTGCGGCCTCCATGAGAAATTCATCAGGTCTTGGGAAAGAGTCCAGCGGGATACGTGATAGTATCTTATCAGCCAAGTCGGCTGGGCAGTTTGAATTCATACATGCTTTTAGAATGGCGTAGCTGCGACTTCTCATGTAATTATCGGTCGCAATCAGTTCGTCAAGTTTAGTGTCCACAATGAACCGAGCTACATCAACGTCGTTTCTGCTAATCGCCTGATAGATGATGTCAATAAACTCTTCAGGTGCAATCAAAACTTTCACCTCGCACAGTAGCTTGATCATCTCCAGTGACCAAGGTTTGCCAATCCATCTATTCACCTTATATGACCTTGTAGTGATAGGAGTGATCTTGAATCCAAGTTCTATTAGTCTTCGAACAATAGATGGATATAGTATCAATAAAAGCAGATCATTGTTGATCTCAATGTCCTGTGGTCTCTGTAGAGTGTAGGCCAGATACTGATCCAATTCATTCTTCCAATCATCATTGTTACAAGTGAACAGATCTTTCAAGAACTTTGGAGCAAGCACATTTCGATATTGATATTGTTGAATATTAGTCTCCTCATCACGATCCCTAATGACATGATGATGTGATAAGTTGATTGATTGATTTGATTGAATTATAGATATATACTTACCTCTTCTTGTTGGCTTGGATGGCCTTGATGAGCGTCCTGGTGTGATTAAGGAGACGGACTTTTCCAGCGTGGAGTGCCTTGATGTTGATGGCAGAAAGTACTTCCAATCTGATAGCTTTGGTAAGATTGTTAAAGTCTGATGTTTTGAAATAGTACTCCAATGTTTGGAACGAGTTGAGTTGGGTAGCATTGACAAGCGTGAAGATATTGACCATTGGTATAAGTAGTGATTTAGAATGATCCTTGTACATCTGGTCCAATGTGATCAATACATCAAGCCTATCCAGTTTAAAAGCACAATGGATTATTGGATTGATAGTCTGATCAACCTCATCCATAGTGAACTGATTGATCACATATTGGAATACATCGTGATGATCATTGTTGTATTGAGCCAAAATACAGATATTGATGTCCTTTCTCAATGATGGAAGGTGATCAAGAACTAATATAACTGTATCCAATTTTGCCCTTGTGATCAGTTTGTCTGCCTGCAAGCCCTCCAACTCTACTTTGTTCCAAGTCCCAATACTTTGTGATAACTGAGAATTACCAAGTATGATTGAGAGTACCTTGATGTCGTCTGTTGCCAAGGCCTTGATCAAGCACTCTCTAGTGTACTCCAAAGAGTATCTAACTTGTATCCTCTCCATGACTGATGTCTTAGAATGACTGATTGCCCATATCAGTGATCTCATTGCATCTTCATTCTGATTGGTAGTGGTACCACTGTCGACACAGTTGTCAATGAAGCTGAGTACCATGTCCTCTGTGATATTACTGTCTTGAACACCAACTGATTGTAACATGTTGAATAAGTTCAATTGATTGTACACGGGCAGTGGGTATGTTCGGGGGTTGGATATGTACGTGGCCATTCTCTTGGACATACTCGCCCAGAGGGATGGGACAATGTTCAAACATTGAGGAAGGTGTGTATCCATGACATGTTCAACTTCATCATTGAGTATGGCCACTGATGGCATGGTCACTGCAAGGTTAATTGACCTCACATCCACATCCACATGCACATCGGTCTTTGATCCTTCAACAAATGGAATGCCTAGAGACTGACATATTCTACTCTCATTGCTTGTATAAAGTGTCACGTTGCCAACATGCGTGTAGAGGTACTTGATGACCTCTCCATGTCCAAGAGCTAGGGCTTGCTCAATGATACTGTTCAGAAGATTCTCGTAGAGGAAGAGTGTTTGTATGTGCAACTTGTTAAACAAAGACTTGATGATGTCTATGTTTCCACATGTGGCGATGGCCATGATGTCCACATTAGACTCTGTGAAACACTCTTCAACCCAATATAATGGAGCTTGATCAAATATATATTGGACACTATCTACTTGTTGACATTGTATTGAGAGCAACAATGCCTTCTTCCCAATACGATCACATTGATATAGTACGTTGAACTCCTCGTGCAGTATCTTGAGCATGCCAATGCTGACTCCAGGACGACGACTAAGATAGGGTCCTTTATCTTCATTGTCATCATCATAAACAGGCCAAGGTTGTTCAAAGCAATGATGTAGGAGCAGTAGACGTACAAATTGTTCGTTACCAGTGTCTATCACTGGTATTAGGTGCGAGCTTTTGAGTGCCAATGTATGTGATGCGAGGTAGGCTTTGAACATGTCAACATTGCCATGTTTGAGTATACTTAGTGTGCTCTTCTTTGTCAGTAACATGCTAATGTCGACACATTGTGCACCAGATACGTATTGATTGATATGATTGAATACTATTATATTGTTATACTTAAATGATTTGTATAATAGTAGACGAATGAGTTCAATAGGCTTGTTGGTTAGCCCATCAAACATCTCGATGAACCATTGAACAGCATTGTATTTGATCAACTGACAAAGATTACCATCATTATATAACTTTCCACCATTGATCGTACTGTTCTTTGTCTTGGATATTATTGATAATGTTGATGATGATGACGATGGTTGTGTCAATCGCGATTGTATATGACAAACATGTCCGAAGATCAATGATCTTAAGAACTTGTTATTAAACAACAACCTAAATCTACTATTATCATCCATTATTATTTGTATTATTATTATTACTGTCAATCGATGAAACAAATAATGTGATCGTGATCCCTCGAGTGAGGAGAGTGATCGATTCCTGAGGTCACAGATATTTTCCAGGGAATTTCCTTTTACGGGTACCCATCAATCATTCATTGAATTGAATAACTAATATATATATTTAGATAATAATATTATTTATTATTTATAATTATATATTGTTGTTCAAACAACTTGATCATTTAGTTGTTCTGCAACAACAGCTGGAACTATAGGAGTATGTTGACCTCCATGATGTTTGGATACTAATGGTGGAAAGTTATTCTTCTTATGTTGTTGATAGTTATTATTATTGCTATTATTATTATTGCTATTATTATTATTGTTTGATTCCTTCTTTGATCCTTTACCACTACCGCCACTACCACCTCCGCCGCCGCCGCCGCCACCAAATGGCTTCACACCAGCGACTCCAATTCCACCTTTATAAACAGGTAGGTCACCTGATGTCTGTGGTACTCTTGGATGTCCCTTTGGTGATTTAGATGATTTCTTATCAAATGATGAGGATGGTGATGATGACGGTGATGTTGAGTTTTGTTGATATTGTCCTCTTCTATGTTGTTGTTGTTGTGACTGTTGTGATGATACTGGTGTCGGTATTGAGTTTGAAGGTGATTGAATGTCTGATGTTGATGATGATTGATCAACTACATTATCATTATTATTATTATTATTGGTATCATCACCTTTGAAATGAAGTTGTTTGATCGCTGCTGCCATTGATGTCTCAAGTTGTTTATCATTATGTCCATCTGATGTATGTGAATGTTGTTGTTGTTGTTGTTGTTTGTTGTTGTTGTTGTTGTTGTTTCCATGCTTTCCATGTGATGCCACTTTAATATTATTGTTGGAAGAGTCCATCTTTTGTTGATGTTGTTGTTGTTGATGTTGCTTACTATTATTACTATTCCTTGTATTATGTTGTTGTTGTTGTTGATGTTGATGACCATTGACATGATGATGATGATGTTGTTGTTGTTGTGTATGATTGACTGTTTGTGGACTGCTCTCACGAGGTGATTGTGATGAATGACTTAATGATGATGTTGATGATGATGGTGATGGGATCGATGATGAATGAATGAGTTGTTCAGGTGTCATTGATATATATGATTCTTGAGAATGTTGTTGATGTTGTTGGTGATGGTTGGACATCTCTTGTGAACGTTGTTGTGATAATGGTTGAGGTGGTGCAGCCATTGGTTGATGACTGCCTCCTGATGGGTGACTCGGCACTTGTTGGTCCACATACATTCCTCTTGGATATACATAATAAGGCTGTGCCTGATGGTATTGTTGTGGATAACTTGGATAGGCTTGTTGGTAGTGTGCTGGCAACATCGATGCTGATGATGGATATACATGGGTGGCACCCTGGCCAGTCGGGTCATGCTTGCCCACGCCCACAACAGCCGCTGCCGCGGCATTGTTATAATAGTTATCACTTGGCTTAGGATGGTAGTATGGACAGTTGTCACCATTCCTACATCTCTCGGCAAACCTGCACAACTTCCTTGGGTATGACGGACCTCCTGCCTGTGTCGACGCGACGCCTCCCGACGCGTATTGATGTGGCACTGGAACACCACCTGGTGGATACGGACTTATTGGTGCGCCTGCTCCATAGATGTTCTGGGACATTGGCTGTTGGAAGCCTCCGCCTCCCATCTTGCCAGGGCCACTACTATATGTGTTGTAATACATCGCGGGTGGTTGCGTGCCCATGGGCAGACCCGACGATGTTTCAAAGGCGTATGGTTGATAATGGCCTGCCTCCTCCCATGCGTCTGACATGTCCTCTTCACCTCCCTCCTTTGACTTTAGTTGTTGTTGTAATGGTACACCAACTTGTGTTGTTTCAGGATGTTTGTAAAGACATCCAATGACTTCACAATGGCCATACCTGGCGAATGTACGACATATATCCATATCTGGTGGACCTTGAGTTGATATCATTCTTTGTTATAATATATATATATGATTGATTGATTGATTGATTGTATATGATGATGTGATGTGATGTGTATTCGAGTAAAGTATGAATGGAGTGATTGATTGAATGGAGGTCCCTCCCTTCACACTACTGTCACATGACAAGCAAAGCAAGGAGGTAATGCAAGCTAAGCTAACATACTTGATGGTTAGGTTTAAACTCAACCTTGACATTGGATGGCAATAGAGTGAGAGCATTCCCCAACATCCACCTCCCTTGCTTACTCTCAAGTAAGGTCCCTACTCTGCAGAGAGTTGGCATCAACCACACCCTTTTGATTGATTGATTGTGTGTGTGAGTTAGTGAGTGAATGTGTTCATTCAACCAGTTGAATACGACATCATCGCATTGTAGTGTGATGGATTGATGGATAGATGTATGAATGATTGATTGATCACTCACTAACTCAGCTGATGTGTTTTGATGTGTTATACATCCACACACACAATCAAACTCACACCCACCAGAGAGTGTATTTTATGATCATCTGATCAGAGGGGGTGGGTGTGTTGGAATTGAAGGGCCATTGTAAGTGTTGGGGATGGATCAAATGATGTAATATTGCTGAATGCCTCCTTCCTTCTTGATGAGCACACAAATACAATTTGTTTTAAAAGTAGAAGTACTTAGATTATCTTTATCTGTGCAGCACCATCAAACTGCCGAATGACATCGTCAGTGTCTTTGACCGGTATCCAATGGTTGGCTCGAGGGATGTATATTAGGTTGCCATAGGTCTTGCCACCGATAAAGAATACCAACTCTAGATTGCGGAATGCAATATTGGTACTGCTGCTGTTAAAGTGCACCATGGAGTACTTGCTACTGAGTGGCTGTGCCGAGAATGGTGAGTTGAGCACGGTCTTTGTCCTGGTCTTGAGTGATATGGTGAAGAACTCTGACTCGTTGTCCATGATGTAGATCAGGTCCACTCCATCAAAGCACGACGTGATGATTGATTGAGCAAACTCGATGTCCTCCAAAAAGATGCCGCTGAGTCTTGCCTCCAGGTTGAATGTCTGCACCTGGCGTACCTCGCCCTTCTCATTACGGCCACCAACCACATACAGATCACGGTTATGCAGGAAGACCAGTGCTTGACAGACTGGCAAGGTCAACTCTCCAATCGTCACAAACTCCAATGTCTCAATATCAAATCGATCTACACGCCTCAGATACGTGTCCTTGTTATAGCCACCAACCATGTAAATGTATCGTTGACCATCGAAGCATGTTGCAATGCTTGCGCCACCTATATGGAATGATAGATTGCTTAAGTGATTGATTGATCAAGTTTGAGTGAGTGACATGACACATACCTCTTCCTGTTCCAATATCATTGAAGGACATGCATTTGAGTGAGCGGGTGGAGTAGATGGAGTAGGTGTGCGACTTGTTGGATCCGCCAAAGACGTAGATGTTCTCGCCATAGCTCACAACAGAGTTGAGTGGATGGAAGCGCTTGTCTTTGTCATCGCGGTCATCAAACTGATACCACAGGTTGGTGGCCATGTCAAAGACGTGACTGCCACAAGTACCAATCGTGAAGAACTGATTGCTGAGCTGGCTGAGATCCAGGGGAAAGCTCGGGTCCGACACCTTGTTCACGCGAACACCTTGCACTCGAATACCTGGTAGATGTTGTTGTTGTTGGCCGGCAAGTTGTAGCGACTGCACTGATACAACAGTCTGTCGATGTTGTTGGAATGGCTGGCGTTGTTGTAGTTGAGATAGTGGTGGTTGCTGTGGCTGTTGTGGTTGTGATAGTTGTGGTTGCTGTGTCTGCTGGAATGGTGGCATGTGCACTTGATGACGCCCTCTGTCCTCCTTGTATGATGTGACCTCAATGATTGGCGATGGCGACTTGATGACGTTACTGAAAGGCACTTGTTTGTTTGATAACGGCATACCCTGAGGTCGAAGAATGTCCAGGGAGGGAGGTTGTGATGGTGTCTGTTGCTGTGGCTGCCGACTCGGTGACATGGTTGCGACGGGACTGATGGAGTGCGGGGAGGATGTTAAGGCTGATGGGGATGATGATACAGAATGCTTGCTCGCCTTGGCTGGCGACTCGATCGTGTTTACTGGGTTGATGTCTTTGTTGTTGAGGTTGGGGTTGTTGTTGGTTGATAATCATGTACATAGTTCTTCGGATTGAAGGAGGTGAGTGCATCGTCCATCGACTTGAGTGTATATACAAATGGATTGTTGAGGTTGTCGCCGTACTTCCTCTTGCTGTGATTGCCGTTGTTGCTGCTGTCGTTGCCAGACACGCCTGGGAGGTTCGGCGATGTCGCTTCGAGGATGTAGTGCTCGTTGATACGGTTGACCTCTGAGAAGATGTCGCTCATGCGCTTCTCGGTCTTGGCGCGCTCCTTGTTCAGCGCCTGCTTGGCACGACGCTCCTCCAGCACCATCTCATGATACTGTTGCTTGTAATGTCTCGTCAGCTTCAGCTCCATATCAATCAACTCGGAGTACTTTGTATTGTAATCCTTGATCCGATCAATCAACATTGCAAACTTCTTCTTTTGCTCCTCGACAAAGGCTGTCGTCTGGTTGTTGTTGTTGTTGTTGTTGTTGTTTGATACTTGTGTTGCTGTTGCCGCGTCCACACTTGACTTTAAGATACCATGTTGTAGTTGTGGTTCACCAACATCATCATTCTGATCGAGATCAATCACTCTATTGTTGTTGTTGAATGCTGCTGCTGATGATGATGACCTTGTGGATGTTGTTGTAGTAGAGGTCGTCGACAGAGAAGATGTTACATTGTTGTCAATGGAATTGATATCCTTCTTCTTTGTTGTGTTGAAGTTGTAAAGAGATAATTGAGGGAAGGGGAGAGGATTTGGAAGTGAAGTCAGAGTGCTCGGTCGAAATGGTGTGAGTGGCGATGCAGACGTTGAAGACGATGATGCATTATTATTGGATGTAGAAGTAGTATCCATCTATGTTATGACTTTGGATACTTCTTGATCTTCCAAATTGATTGTGATTGATTGAGTGTGATTGAGTTGATTGAGGTTGATGATTTATTGAATGATTTGGGTCAACTGATCATACTTAGATATATATATATATATATATTATGACTTTGTTATTATTATGTTGAGGATTATTTGTTTAATAATGAAAGAGAAAGTATGATAGAAAGTTCAATGATAAGTCTTCAACAAAACAACCTTTGGCGAGATGAGATGAATGGATGATGACATGACACATGGAGGAGGGATACTTGTTGAGGGCATTGATTTACATCAAAAAAGACATTACAAAAACTGATTATTATTTTTTATCATAAATTAGATATCTTTTGATTGTTGTTGACTGACCAAACATGGCGTATGCAACAGCCGCTGGTATGAGGGGGGATGGGTTGGATGACTTGATCGTCAGATTGATCAAAGTGAATGAGTGTGTTGTTGATTTAAGTGTGTGTGTGTGTGTGTTGGGTGTGTTTCCAAAGGTCTCTTGAGCCAGCGAGCTGGGGATACTCACTAGAATAGCCATGGAATGATGGGAAGGAGCCGATGTAACCAGGCCTATCTTGTCAGGAGTGTTGTTGTGAAACTACTTGTAGAGCTGTAGTGGGGGCGATAGGACAACCATGCAAAGTTCTAAATTTGTCATCATTCCTTCCAATCACCAAGGTTGATGATGAATGAATCATTATGATTGCGCGCGTAAACGATCAAAGTACTGCTTTGGTAGACCATATCTCCCTCAAGTTGACACCGGCAATTGGTCTTTGAGGTCGGTCCGTGGAGTCAACCAGTCCGGTTCGTCTGACCATCCAGCCGGTTACCCAGACTCGGCTCACTCACTGACTGACGATCAAACAATCAATCAATCAATCAATGAGCGAGCCCCAAGACCAGGTCTCACTCTTATCCATCAACCTTGGTAAACTTTGATATGAACATGCCACTGGTGCCATTCTTGGGATAGAAGCGATAGGTGTTTGGTATGTGGCCTGGACTGAATGGGACGACGGCCTGGTGGTTGGCGTCCACCTGGAAGCAAGGCATCAGTCGGGCTATTGTTGGATGTTGGTCAAGCAGCCATTGGACCACATCCTCATTTTGTACGCGACAGAAGCTACACGTGCTGTAGACCAATGTACCACCGACTTTAAGCATGCGGAAGCCAGTCTCTATCAGTCTTTTCTGGAGATTGGTCAGCTCGGTCAGTTCCGCCGGAATGAAGTTGCGCCCCAACTTCCTGTGAAGCAGTAGATGGCGGACTGATGCGTCCAGGCTACACTCGGCATCCACAATCACACGATCATACAACTGAGCATTGGAGTAGCGCATGTGGAATGTGTTGCAAAAGTATAGTCCTGCCAGATCATACGTCGCTCTCTTTGTGCTCTTCTTGGACACATTCTTTCTCTTGCCCAACACTGATGTCGATGTTGATGTTGATGTTGAGGACTTGTCATCATTGTCATTGTTGTCATTGTTGTTGTCGCCATTGTCATTGTCTTTGTTCGTTGTTGAGGAGAGCTCGCCAGCAGTTGCAGTCATTCGTTGCTTCTTCTTGTTGAGTTGGTCGCGACCAAAGGGGATGGGATCATTGGGTATAGGTGCTTTGATATCGAATGTTGAGGCATCACATTGAAAGAGACGAGCATTGGGTATCTTGTACTTCTTTAATACAGTTTTGCATGATGCTAGACGCTGCATTGAGATGTCCACACCAGTGACCGTACCCTGACCCTTCATCACATCAGAGATCAATGATAGTTTGGTACCAGGTGCACAACATATATCCAACACATTGTCTCCAGGTTGAGGGTCGAGTGCCAACACAGCCGCTCCACTACTCGCGTCCATACCATATATCTCTCCATTCTTGTATCTGTTGTTCGCAAGTCAGTAAGTGAGTGAATGAATGAGCGAGCGAGAGTGAGACATAGAGTACATACGCTTTGGACGATGCTATGCCGACTTGATCTTGTAGACGATAGAAGTTGGGTAGCCAAGGAAGTGAGATCAACTTGGTATGTAGTTGTTCTTCAAGTTTAGTGCGCCACTCATCCTCGTTGGTTACAAGACGTGTGTTGACACGAATGAAACGAGGCAGAGAGGTGACATCGTATGAGTCCAATGGGATAGCATTCTCCTTTAAGAAGTCCAAGAACTCTTGTGGCTTATTCTGTAAGAAATTGGTCAAGGCTTCAGACATGCCTGTACCAACTGCAGTATGTTCATTTATCTCTTCATCTTCGTCGTTGTGGTCGTCGTCGTGGTCAACATCAATGTTTGTTGTTGATGCTGTTGTGTCTTGTTCAAGTACTGATGTCTTTGTTGAAGATGTTGTTGATGTAGTACTAGATACATTCATTATTGATTGTCGTTGATTCAGGACGAATGATGAAAAGGTCGAGAAGTCCCAAACCCAAGCATGCTTGATTCAATCATTCATTTGTTTAACATAAACATTAACATTAACATTAACAACAATGGATGATACTAGTAAATCAGTCAAAAGGAAGTCTGAAGTACTTTCTACATCAGTCAAGAAGCAAGCAATTGAACTACGATTTAAAACAATTGATGATTCCTTTAGTCAGTATGATAAGGTTTGTGTCATTTGAATGAATGCAACAACTAACAACTAACAACTAACAACTAACAACTAACTAACTACTACTAGTTCCTAAGAGACACCTTTGAACTGGTCCGTGATGATGTTGTTAATCAAATCATCCAAGGTTCGCATGACAACAATCTTGTATCTTTGGAGAAGTTCACAGAGATTGCCAAAGAAGCAAACTTTGTTGATGTTTCATCAACTAGCAAGAAAGACGGCAAACTGGTTATGCATCCATACATCTTCAATAGATTCAAACTTGTATTTAGAGGATTCAAGAGATACGCTAATATAAAGGATATCACTTATCTATGAGTATGTACAAATACACTCAACTTGTTGTTGATTGGTCGCCGGTGAAGTATTATTAATTAATTAATTATTGATTGTAATGGCTTGGTATCGTTAGCTCACGTACATAAACAAACCTCCTCCAATCGAACTTGACCTCGGATCTATGACAAATGGTGATCAGCCAGTCAGTGACTCACAGTTGATAGCTTAGGAGTGTGACAGAGGCACCATGCCACTCAACGATAGACAACACGACATCATCATCATTATCGACAGACCCAGGAATAGACAACTCGAGTTGACCACACTGTTCGAACTTCATCATATGTGTCCAAACTACAATACCTGGAAGTCAACAACAGTTAGTACTGCAGTGTGTATAACCTTGAAGATCACACCAATTTGATATTATTATTATTATTCACATGTTATATACATACAGATAATATTTATTTAATGGATTCTTCTGTTTTAGTTTATTGTGAAATACACAATGCTAGAGCAGATACAATATGCTTCGATTGCAAGTTGTCAATATTTTCATTATGTTGTAATCGAAATCATAATGGACATAATTATGAACATATTACAAGTATTAAAGATAGTTTAACTATGTTGAATAATAATAATAATAACGGTGAAGATGGAAAAGATAATCAACCAACAACACCAACAACATTATTGTGTAGATCAAGATTGGACCATCTCTGGAAAGTCTTACAACAATGTGTTGTGACATATCAATCTTTACAAGATTCAAGTTCAGAGTTGGCTGGTCACTATGAACAATTGATAAAGGTGATAATGACTCAAGAGTACATGTTGAAGAAACCAATCAATAATCAGATTACACATATTCAATCAACTATAAATTATATTATCAATGAGATCAAGTATATCAACTTTATGATCAAAGGCGAGAGGCCATCAAGTACAAACTCAAACATCATCGGTGCCGACAATCAAGAAGACATCATCTTACAAACCATCCAATCTATCCAATCAAATACATCTGTTGATCAGTTCATCAATGATGCTTCAATATCCGAACCATCAAACAACTCCAATGCCGGACAACTCAGTGAACAAGAACTGTTGCTTATAATAGGTCAACAGATTCAGTTCATGGATCAAGTACAATATAATGATGAATATGTATCCTCTTGGCTCCGGGAATGTAAAGTCAACGTTGATGTGACCACACTAAATGGACTTCAGAAAAAGCTGGAGACTTGTTTCCAATTCGCCCCGCCAGCGATCAAAGAGCCCACCCCTGTCATACCAAGCACACCTTGTATAATGTCATTCAACGGCAAGGAATGTTCCTTCTTGGCACTGACTGGGGACAATGAGTATGAATGGACTTCTTTCAAGGACGTATTTAAACGTCCTCAACTCAAGTACGTCACATCCTCTGCTTGCTACGCTCGTGGCTATGTATATTTGTTTGGTGGAAAGGATGCTCCAACAAGTTTCACTCGCTACTCCTTGGCTGATCAACAATGTCATCAATCGGAAATCGTTGGAGTCAGTGGAGGATCACAAGCTTCTACATGTTATGATGGCGATAAGAATATATTTATTGTTGGTGGATATCATGATGGAAAAACCTTGGACCGCATTGATTGCTTCAACCTAGATACTCAACTGTTTATCAATGTTGGACGACTACCACAAGGTCGTTACACACCATTCACATGCTTCCATAACAATATCATTTATATTGTTGGAGGATGTAGTGATGGGATGAGGTATCCACGGGTCACTCTCAAGTTCAATGTTCAGACTAAAGAGATCGAAGAGATGGAGTGGATACCAGTCCGTGAATATTCTACAGTCTGTTTCGATGGAGTTGATAACTTATACATTCTCTCAGATAATGATCAATTCGTAAGATATACATTGACAACTCAGACCAAGACCAACCTGACAAATTGTCCAGACTATTATCTTCCTTATTCTCAACTTGTATACCATCCAACCATTGGCATCATTCGCATTGGTGGCCGCGAAAGGAACTATCTTTATACTCCACTAGATGATAGTTGGATACAATTAGATGACAATGACAAAGTTGATCAACGTGCATGGTTTGGTGCATGTTTGATTGATTGATTATAATTAAAATATAGTTTATAAAAGTTGGAAGATGGCAGAAACAAGAATAAGTATAGTGATCAAACTTGGTATCAAACGGTTGGAGTTGGAAGGACCACCTGTTGTCGTCGTTGTTGTTGTTGTCGTTGGAGTGGATGTTGTTGTGGTGGTAGTTGATTCGGTATGATTGATTTGGTATATCTTAAAGTTGTCATGATAGATGACTCTTGTATTGGATGGGTCGCCGACATTGGGTTGGGCATCCGGGAGATATAATCCCCATTTGGTGTATCCAGTTGAGATGTTGGCCTCTGGATTCCATGTCTTTGTTTTGTCCTGATACCAGTTCCAAGAGTAGTCAGTGTCTCCGGGCAGCATGGCCGAGACATTGAGGTAGCCAGTCTGGTCATCAGCCCAAAGACAGTCGACTCTGAGGCTGATCCACTTGTCGACAATTGGGCGGTAGTCTGGTACAATGACCTTGGTGATGTTGAGCTGTCGCACTCTGAAGCTGATAGAGTTGTTGAATGCGATGAACAGCCATGCTGGATAGCCACCGCCACTGAGCTTGGACTGGAAGATGGCACTGACATACGGACCCTCGATCCAGTTGTGCAGTCTGAGTGAGATTTCGTAACGACGTTCGTCGCCCGGCTGGTATAAGCCTGCGTTTCTGATATTGTTTGTTGAGCTCTCACTCCTCCAGTTGTTGTTTGAGAAGTAACCGCTGTTGCCAACCTCAACCTTGTGTGCGATGGCATACTTTGAACCATTGAAGCCTGGTGTCACAAGAGTGGCTGCGTCTGAAGCGTTTGCATTTGTCCATTGGAGGTTGGTAACATTCGAGTCCAATGTGCCACTCTCATAGTCAACAGACATCAACAGAGTATAAGTGGTCAACTTCTCTGACTTGGTCACTGACACCAAGCACAAAGATAAAATCAGCAACAGCTGCAATGTTATTGATATGTATCTAAACATGTTGTTTGTATGAACGTTATATATATACATATGTTTGTTACAAAGTCAGTATAACTTTGATGTGAATGTGATGTTGATATCTATTTATATATATGTACAATGGTACCTGTTTAGATTGGCACGTTAAAGCAAGTTATCGAATACCAGACTATCTTGTACAATGATGCCATCCCTGTTTAATCGTGTGATTGATCTCGGTCCAACCACTTCGTCTGATTTTTATGATGTCGCGACATGAGGAAAGACCCAAATTTACAGCAGAAGGCAAGTGATCGGTTCCCTGGTCACACACTCTCCCACTAATGTATCAATCAATTAATTAATAACTAATATATATGTCCCAGTATCCGATCTAGCTAGATCGATTTTAATAAACAATCAAACTTTCATACCTTGATTTGTGATTACTTGTTGCCATTTATTTTGGATTGCTACTTTGTCCAAAGGCTACAAATTTAAAGCCAGGATGGATGCACTGAATGAAGATCAGACACGTGAGCCAACAATTTACACTCAAGAACCGTGCCCGGACCGATTAAACAATGAACATTCACAATGATTTTCTTTAGCTATAAATTTATTATTACCAAATTTGGGAGATTCCTTCTTTGCTTTGATGACAATTACTAGTTTTTTTTTTAAAGTATGATGTCCTTTCAAATAAATAAATTGTCCCATTGAACTGGAATTAACATATTCAATGTCTTTCTCTAGTTCTTCCACAAAAGCGCCAAAATTTTTAATAGTCTCCTTTCTCATGACTATTTTGTTGATCATCTTGTTTAGGGACAATACCCATGGTCAACGTACCAAGTCTTAATTCTAACTTAGAGTGATATTCATTCTGATAGGATAATAAAGTTCTTCTAGTATTCATATATACAATTGCAGGAGAATGTGATCACAATAGGAAATGGCAATGAATGTAATAACAATAAGAATTATTATCTTAAATATCATTTGTTATATAAAATATATTTCAATTGAATGACCAAATGGATATTGGATCTGACTTTTAAATCAATAGCAAAGTTTGAGGATTTAATTGATCATTTACTAAAACTAGTTATTGTTGTAAATAAAGCACACACCTTTGAGGATGTATACATACTTGTGTATCAGATATATTTACGGAGAGTTAATATAATTTATTCTTTAATATAATAATAACCTTCACAGTTAAGTGCTAGGTTGTAGAAGGTACAACTTGGCTCATCAACAATGTATTCAATTTGTAATAAAATGGCGACAAGAATATACATTGTTTCTGGATATATCTCAATGGACAATCAATGGACCGCATTGATCGTTTCAACGAGGATACTCTACAGTTTATCAATGTTGGACGTCTACCACAAGGACGTTATACACCATTCATGATCATCAAAGTGGTGTGGTGCATGTTTGGTTGATTGATTGATTATAATTAATAATATATTTAGTTTATTAAAGTGCGAAGATGGCGGCAACAAGAATAAGTATAGTGACCAAACTCGGTATCAATTGGTTGGAGTTGGAAGGACCACCTGTTGTTGTGGAGGTAGTTGATTCGGTATGATTGATTTGGTATATCTTAAGGTTGTCATGATAGATGACTCTTGTATTTGAAGGGTCACCGACATTGGGTTGAGCATCCGGGAGATATAATCCCCATTTGGTGTAACCAGTTGAGATGTTGGCATCTTGACTCCATGTCTGTATTTTGTCCTGATACCAGTTCCAAGAGTAGTCAGTGTCTCCGGGCAGCATGGCCGAGACATTGAGGTAGCCAGTCTGGTCATCAGCCCAAAGACAGTCGACTCTGAGGCTGATCCATTTGTCGACAATTGGGCGGTAGTCTGAGACGATGAACTTGGTGATGTTGTGCTGTCGCTCTCTGAATCTAATAGAGTTGTTGAATACAACGAAAAACCATGCCGGATAGTCGCCACTGAGCTTGGACTGGTAGATTATGCTGACGTATGGCCCCTCGATCCAGTTGTGCAGTTTGAATGAGATCTCGTAACGACGTTCGTCGCCCGGCTTGTATGTGCCTGCATTTCTGATATCGATTGTTGAGCTCTCACTCCTATATTTGTCGTTGGAGAAGTAGCCGCTGTTGCCAACCTCAACCTTGTGTGCGATGGCATAATTTGAGCCATTGAAGCCTGGTGTCACAAGAGTGGCTGCATCAGAAGCATTTGCATTTGTCCATTGGAGATTGGTAACATTCGAGTCCAACGTGCCACTCTCATAGTCAACAGACATCAACAGAGTATAAGTGGTCAACTTCTCTGACTCGGTCACTGACATCAAGCACAAAGATACAATCAGCAATGTGATTGATATGTATTTAAACATGTTGTTTATAAGTATAAGTATATATGTTTGTTACAAAGTCAGTATAACTTTGATGTGAATGTGATGTTGATATCTATTTATATATATGTACAATGGTACCTGTTTAGATTGGCACGTTAAAGCAAGTTATCGAATACCAGACTATCTTGTACAATGATGCCATCTTTGTTAATCTTGTGGTTGGTTCGGTCCACTTCGGTCTGATTTTTGTGATGGCGCCACTTGCGGAATGAGATCAGTCTACTTCCACTTTGATAATAGTAGACGGGTTGATTGAATGAGTGAAGTACATTAAATATATTTATTAATTATTATTAGAACATGATTTGTACCAACAATAACAACATGGCAAGAATAATGATTGATGGAGTGAGTTGAGTTCCAGAACTTGGACCAGTGGTAGTGGTAGTTGTGGTTGTCAATGGAGGTGGTGGCTGGGATGGTGGGACATATAAGATTGGCACATTTCCTGGCAATGGTGCCTCCTTGACGTCTCTGCCTGGATCCATGAACATTAGACGTGGCGCCAGATTGCTTGTAGTGGATTGGATAGAATATTCGTTCACTCCATCTGGTCCCCTCAAACAAAGGTACAACTCCTTCTGACCGGCAGCAGTAGCGTTCACTACCAGCTGAGTGATGTTGATTGAACGGTAGCCGGGCTTACCGTCCAAGTAGATGGCTCCACTCCTCGACTTGTACAGACAGGTTGGGTTGTCGCTGTTAAAGACGTCGGCGGTAGTGGTGTACGAGTTGACAAAGGTGGCCGAGGCGTTCTCATTGTTGTTCTGGCTGTACACCTGGAGGCCGACAAACGACCAGCTGGTGGTCTTGCTGCGCTCGGGGATGGTCAGCTTGATGAACATCGCACTGCTGTTGGTCACCTTGAGGATGTCGCCTGTGACCTTCTTGGCACCAAGGGTGGACGTGTATGTGGTGTCAACGGGACCATACACACGAGGGAGATCATTGCCGCACAGCACATTGCCATTCAAACATTCATCAGTCATGAACTTCATCGACTCCTCGTGCCAGCCATTGAAGAAGTCGCCGTGCGCCGAGAAGAGGTCGGCCCATGGGTAGGACCAGGTGCCGTTGGCGTCCATAGTAGGGTTGAGCGACAGCTGGGCATCGCTCAGGTCGGTCTCGTTGAAGTAGTAGGCGATGTGCATGTTGAGACGCGCGATGCGGTGGGGGTACTCGGGTGGACACTTGCCCTCGACGTCGGGGTCCTCGTACACGGCGTTCTTGTACGTGAAGTTGGGTCTGATGGTGAAGCCGTCCCAGCAGTTGGGGAACACGAGGTTGATGTTCATCTGTGAGAAAGTCTGATTGACCGAGTGCAGGCAGGTCTTGAGGGGAACACGCGACCAGGTTGACGAGGAGCAGGCGTAAGAGACGCCGCGCGAGGGACCGGTGGTCGAGTTGGATTTCGGGCTTCCAGCGATCAGTTGTAGACCCTTGGGCATGTTGGTCACGGGGAACTCGGCCGAGTTGTTGGCCTGGTAGTAGATCTTGGCGTAGCTTGGACGGATAAGGTAGCCCTTGATCTTTAGCGAGGGGAACCAATATGAGCTGGAGTCTGTATTCACATCACATGATGTCTCGTCCTTTGCAAAGATGGAGTCTATCGTTGAGAATCCATTGGCTGCAGTATTGCCGATAAAGTCGTGGAACATTGATCGACCAGTTGATCCTGGAAACAGTATAGGGTCATCTGGCAACGAATGTGAGTACTGACATTCAGCATGTGCTTGTTGTGCTTGTAAGCTCGTGCTCAACAATGTAATAATAATAATACAAATACAAAAAATAAATGATAAAGTTGTTGTGGTCCTCATCTTTTGATCGATGTGATTGTGTGTATGTGTGTGTGTGTAATTGATTGAGTGTATGTTTATCTGTTTGATTGTAATGGTATTGGTCCTTGGGATGTCACTTGGTCCATCCCGACGATGACCATGGTCAACGACCTAAACAACAAGAACCCCGCGATCATGGTATCCATGATGTTTGCGCCATCGATGAATGGGCAATGGCTCATGTGTCACATCCACACAATCAGGCTTGAAGACCACGACTTTCGTATTTCTAACCCACACTCCAAAAGCCATCAAACAGAACAGTTTCTACTTTTTATCCATCAACAATTAAAAATCTGTCATTCAATCGATCAAACACACACAAACATCGTTTTGGTGTTGCAATCAGAGTTACTCAACTTCCATTTATGGCCATCATCTTCATACTTTGATACCAAGATAACATAATATCCGATGATATACCATGATGGATTACAGTTACAATCGAATAATTCCAGAATCTTTGCCACGGGTCAACTTCTTCATCTTATGTGACATTACATCTAATAGTCTTCGACCATGCAGGTGATGTATGATCACTTTGGCAACGACAGCAGCGATTATCACTGTACCAACAACAGAGGCAACGACAGCAACTGGTATCTTCCATCGATTCTCCAATGCTGCAGCTTGTTCAGGTGTCATACAGGACAATGGCGAGATGGGATCAGACTGAACCAGTATCGAGAAGTCAGGATCAACAACACATTGTTGTAGACAATGTGGTAGGTTGATACCAATGAGTGTGCCGCCATCGTTGGTCGAGTTGATCACTTCGTTACGCGATAGTGCTGCACGGCCATCTGACAAGGCGTAGGGCAGGAAGCGACCGTACAGCTCGAGGCCATTGGGTGTGATTACCTTGAAGTATTGTACGTTGCGATAGGGGTCTGTTGACACTACATTGTGCGTGCCACATGGACTGGTATCATTGTCCAATGATCCATTCCTGTACAGCACCACTCGCAATGTATGCAAGTTGGATTGGAATGGCCAGTTGTTGATGTTGATCGTCATCTTGAGTGAGTTGGGGGTACATGTAATGTTCTGTCCAGCAAAGACCAGTGTCCTCTCTTGACTAGACTCCTCGAGTTTGATGGTGACATTCAATGGTGTCGGGTCTTCGTCATCAATGTTTTTGGGGATGTTGTCCAGTATGTATGTATTGGTGTTGATCGTACCTGTTGATGAAGATGATGATATCCATTGAGTGGTGGGCAGCGTATATCTGATCTCACCCATAAGGTCAAGCTCTTCAATTGCCAATATGTTGACTTGGAATCCTGTACCATTGGAAGTGATCACAGTTGTAGGATTTGTTGGCGAGGGTATCACGTCAACTTCCGATCTGATCTGTGATTCACAATAGTATCCACTAAATCCAGTATTACATTGACACTTTCCAGCTACACATGCACCATTTCCATTACAACTTGATTGATTTCCACAATCATTTCCTTCAACAGATGGGACTATTCAATAAATTGTTAACAAATGTTTGATTGATCGGTACCTGAGTATACTTACATATTGCAAGAGTAGAGTTGGAGATGAATGGTTCAGAGTTGATAATGATTGATAAATTGGCATAACCAATGATCATTGAGTTGAATGAACAGTTGACTGATACCTTGGTCATGTCAATCAATGTTACATTACAACCAAACATGTTGATGGTCACCGATGACTTGGCAATAAAGTTACCAAAGTATCCAAAGAATGTTACATTCTGGCTTGCATCAGTTGTCTTTGTGAATGATGATATCGATGGATACACTACAAACATGATTGAGTTAGTTAAAGAATGAATGATTGAGAGAGTGAGGACTACTTACTTGATAGTCTTAACTTATTGTTTGGTATGATTCTAAGTGGATTCTTGATGTCAAAGAATGAGATCAATGATGTGAAGTTCTTGAATGATGCATTGACATAGCATGTCAATATAGTGTCTGTCACCGTAGCATTGATCCATACATTATTCACCAAAACAGAGTATTGGTACTCTGATGAAGTATTGAATGTACCCTTCAAACTTATAATCCATTGATCAAAGTGTTTCTCAACTAATCCATCATCAATAATTGTTGCTATATTGGATATCATACGATTAGTCAAAGAATGAGTTTGTCAGTTAGATCACACTTACGATCAGTGTTCCAGGATATAGTCCTTGATATTCCAGATGCTGTTGAGAATACAAGATTGGTGGATCCAGTCCAAGTACCTGGCTTGAACCTAAACAGTTCATTGGCCACCACACCAACAAGTCTTGGATCTGAATCACCATTCACAGCCCATCCAAGATTCTTTCCACTGATGTAGAATTCAATCTCATCAGCTGTCATCACATATGTTACATTATTGATCACTGCCAATGCATCTAATATATTCATTGTTTGATGTTAGTATGAATGAATGATAGTGGATAAGTATTGTAAGGTAACTTACTGCAGTCTACTACTGGCTTTACAATTGTTGGTGGGAATGCAGATTGAACACTAGGCCATGAACAGAAGAAGCAACTTGGTATGTTTGAGGCAGTGAGGGCGGTGCCTAAAAAGTTAAACTGACCAAGACTGACTGAACAATAGTATGGATCAATATCACTGGCAAACAATGGATTGTTTGCAACTGATATATATGTCAACTTGCTATACACAGGCAATGGTCCAACCAAGTTATTGTCTGGAACATATCTAAATGATTATATTAGTAATGTTAATATTATTATTATTATTTATAAATAATATACATACAAAGTTACTTCATCACCTTGTGGATCGGTAGATATTAGTGAGTTTACTGGTGGGAATTGGGTCAGATTAGAGTAGGTTATGAACCTATATTTAACAGAGTTGATTAATTTATATGGACTCATATATTGATTGATTGATTGATTCAATAATTGAATGACATACAGTGATTTCAATTGATTGACTTGAACTCTGGTGCTGACTGTGTTCAATGTTCTATTATTATTTAGTTGATTTCCAGTAAGTATGATATCTTCCAATATGTGTTTGATACGTGTACTTACACTCCTACCAGCTTCTTGAATCCTGTCAGATCAGTTGGAGTCAGTTCAACTCGTGTTAGGTCACTAATGAACAATAAAACTTGGGTTAAGTATCTACTAGTCGATTAGTTAATTGATTTGTTACATACATTGACAACAAAGATGATCCATTTTGGATATTGACAATTATTGTGTTGGAAGTTGAAGAGCATTTGCTATTATATAAAATTAATAGAGTGTAGATAAATATAGTGATAGAGAAATAAGAATACATTACAGTCTGGTTAACTTTGAATGATTAATCAATAAACTACCATCAACACGATATGCCAATTCCAATCTTTTCAAAGCTGGAGTATTACTCTCTATGATGGATAAGTTGAAATTAGTTTGAGATGATGGTAGTTTCATAATACTGGTACAATAATGGTTAGTATCAATAGGATGTTCAGACATTGCTTTGTACTTACAGTGTTGAAACATTCTCATAAGTTGACATGGAATTAAAATGAATCTGTGCAGTTGGACTTGAGTATTGGATCGTGGTTATATCAATGTAGCCAACACGTTTGAAAATGCTCTCTGGAATATCTCTATCAACTGATAGACTCTGAAGACCACTGAGATGGTAAGTGTGTTAGTATCGTGATTGATTATTTGAATGAATCAATATGATACTTACAAGGTACTGAGTGGAATGTACTTTGGAAAATCAGATGGTATCTGTAATGATAAGTTACTCGACCCATAGATACTAATATCCTTTAGATTACTATTGATTGGAATATCCAACATTGAGAGTAAGCTGGCTGTTGTATTCTGTACGCCAACCTTCATATCAGTGGTCATCCAAAAGTATTGAAGGTTGGGCAAAGAGAGCTGATTAATATAGCCATCTGGCATCCCATTATATGGAACAGGTGTCCTGACAGAGGCAGAACTAAAAAATTGATTGATTGATTAATAATTGGTAAATCTTTTTTGATTCATCCAAGATAACATACATTCCAAGGACTGTTTGTTGATTGTTTGGAGTAGTGGTACAATTGAGTTGAGTAGTACCATTGACGATATCATGGCATGTGATAGCAGTCATATTCCAACTAAAACTATATTGTTGGGCGAGCCATCTAATTGAGTTCACTTGAAGGTGTAAGAATTGAGTATTAATTATATATTTCTCCAACTTGGTATTTATGTATTCATTCAAACATACATTCACTAACAGGTAGCTGAGGTTGAGCTTTGGTAGTCGTAGTGATAACAGTGACTATCAGTAATAAGAAGACTATCCATGAATTCATTCTTGATCCATGGACTTTATGTAATAACATTTTATAAGTAATAATATGTTTGAATGATAGATTGAATGAATGAAAGATTTAATGGTTGATTGATTGAATGATCAAGAGGTGGTGTCATTCCATGTGATTGATCAGAGTGTCGTTTCAACACAAACAATAAAATCGATAAAAATTGGACTCGGAGTGATCGTTGGGTCCACAGCGAGGCAACTTCATCTTTGAAGTCGGACTTTCATACCCCTGATCCACAAAAAGATAGATATTTTCTCATTCAAGCGATCATAAATATTATCGTAACGTCATTCTCAAGTTCATTAAATGTTCTATTCAAAATTAAAAATAATATTATTATTATTATATTTAATCTTATTATTTTTATCTTAGAAACAAATTAATTAAATCTATTCCTTAGATCTACAACTATTATAAGGAGGATCATCTTCTCTCAAAGTTTTATTCATCCTAAAATACAATTTCATTTACTAAAAGAATATTTATTTGTACTTTTTATTAAATTATAAACATTTTAATCATATACAATCAATGTTATTCAATAACTTCGGCTCCCCAAAAACATTTGAAGAGATAATTGAGGAGGTGACCAACGTGACTGTTGTACCAACTAATGTTAAAGACTTGATAATCGTTACCAAAAGATCACTTCAAGAATTAAAGAATGAGAGAGAATATCTTCTGCTGAAGATCAAGAACTTAGAGTTGGAGAAAAAGAATAATGAATTGAATTATATCTTAGAGAACGAATATATCAAAAAGAACAATGATTTGGAGTCTGACATCTATTTAGGTTAATATCTACCTTCTATTTTCCTCTATCAACCAACAGGCTCAACTAAATACCCAAGGTTTCCAAAATCCACGTCATTATTGATCAATAAATCCTTACTTTGGTAAGTTCCAAAGTAAATACCAGTTTTGTTATTCAATATTCTTCATCTTAAACACATGAATGATATCTCGACCATTCAGCATACGTCTTGCTACAATGATGATGGCCGTGAGTATGATTACTGATCCTACTACAACGGTAACAACAATCACTGGTATCTTCCATCGATTGGTATTGTCTCGGCCACATTTACCATCTTCGCCACTCTGATCCACTAGCACAGAGAAGTCAGGATCAATCACACAACTCTGGCTACAATGTGGCAAGTTGATACCAAATAGTGTTGCACCGTCAGTCATGTTGATGATCTCATTTCGTGAGAATGCTGGTCTGCCATCGGACAATGCATAGGGCAGGAATCGACCAAACAGTTCCACACCATTGCTGATCACTCTGAGGTATTGTATGTTGTTGAGCGAGTCCATTCCAATGAAGCTGCCTGTGCCCTCGCATTGATTGGTGATGTTGTTCAGTGAGCCATTATTGTGAARGCACCACGCGCAATGTGTTCAAGTTGGACTTGAACGTCCATCCATCAACATTGATCGTCATCTTCAAAGAGTTGGGCGGGTATGTGACGACCTGTCCAGCAAACTCAACTGTGCGTGTCGCTGTCGCAACGTCCAATCGCACCATCACACTCAGGCTATCCTGGTTGAGTGATGCTGTGGGCGCACCAAGTGTGTATGAGTATGATGTTGCGTTGTCCGATGGGGATGAGTTATAGGTCCAGTTGGAGGTCAACAACTCGGCAATGATGTTGCGATTTGAGTCCATCTCTTGAATTGCAATGATGTTGAATTGGAATGCTGATCCATTTGCTTGTATGATGGTCGATGGGCTAGTGGTGTTGGGCAAGATCACCACACCAGGGTTGAGCTTGGACTCACAATAATATCCACCAAAGCCAACATAGCATTGACAGCGGCCTGTTGTACAGACTCCATTGCCACCGCATAGTGGTATGGTCTGGCCACAGTCATCCTTGCTATCAACGCCATATATAACCAATGTATCATTGGAGAAGTAAGGTTGTGCATTGACTGTGATTGCCAGGTCTGCGTAGCCAGGCTTTAGGTTGGCTGGCATGTTACAACTGATTGCACCAGAGTCGAATGAACTACTAGCTGTTCCTTGACAACTTATACCATTGATCGATACCTTGTAGTCTTGACTGATATTGCTGCCAAAGTATCCAAAGAATGAGACCTGTCCACCATTCACTGTCAACCTTGTTGTTGATGAAACACTTGGATATTCTATGGGTCATCAATTGATTGAGTGAGTGATATGATTATGTTTGATTGAAAGAGTGACCAGGACATGGATACATACCACGTAGAACTAAAGTTGTGTTCAATCTTCGAAAGTTGTTGGATACAAAGACAATACTCGTTGGCCCAAATGTAATCTTCTTCGAGTCAAAAGCCTGTGATAACTCAGTAGATGATATATTGGGAGCGCTTGAAAAGTTTGGAGTTACTACTGTATAGGTGAAGTTGGTATCGAAGTCACCTTGTATCCTAATCACCCATTGATTGTAATACTTCTCAACATAGGCACTCCTGAGTAATGTGACTGTCATCATCATCATCATACTCTCAATGTTAGTTTATGTTGGGCCAGATGTTTGTTTCCTGGATTGTTTGATACATACTGTCAGTGTCCCATGTGATTACTCTTGAGATATTATACAACTTGGAGAATGTTAAGTTGGCCGAGCCAGACGCATTCTTGACAGAGTAGCTATTGTATACATGTGTTAGTTGATTGAATGATTGATTAATTGATTGATTGATTGATTACATACTAATACAATTCGTTTGGTTCAAGACACGTTACATCTGGATATGTGTCACAGTAACCTAGGTTCTGGCCTCTGATTGTAATTCCTCCCATTCCAGTCTCTTGAGTCAACAAATATTTGGTTTGGAACAAAGTGGAATCTATGACAGTCGACAGGTGGATCAGTTATTAATTGAATGATTGATTGATTGAATTATTGATACTTACTGCAAGTGAAATTAGTTGGTACAGTGACTGATGGAGGGAAGAAGGAGTTGACATCTTTCCAGAAACAGTAGAAACAGTCTGGCACTTGAGTGAGTGATGTGTAGGTAAAGTAGAATCTACCCTTGTGTACGCGACAGTATGATTGTGGGATGGGTCCAGCAAACATTAGGTTGTTCTGCATATTGAACTGTTGAAGTGGCTTGCCTGAATTGTAGTCTGGTAGAGGTCCTACTATATCATTTTGGAATAATAACATTGTTCCTTGGTATAGAGGGTCGATGGTTGTTGCTGGAGGGAATCTTGTCAAGTTGGAAGTAGTGTATGTCCTAAATTCTTACAGATTAGTTAAATAATCCATGGAAGTGGACCGACGATCAATCATTCATCCTCTCAACTATTACATACATTGCTCTCAATCCTTTAAACTCCAACATTGGTACTACATCAGATAGGTCTCTATAATGAACGATCGTGGGTGAGTGAATGAGTAAGAGTGATGGAGGAGTGATTCAATAATTGTTACTTACACTGTATACAATTTGATGGATGTAAGATCGGTTGGAAATACCTGGATACTTGTCAGGGTCCTACATTAATTAAAATATTAATATTTCTCTCTCTCTTTGACACGAAAAGATGTATTAATAACTTACATTGTAGTCAAACTAGTTGTATTGAATATATTCATATAACTCCTGTTACCAGTGGTCAGTGTACCATTCCTTACATACAAACTATATATTGATTGATTGATTTATGAAATGATTGAGTGAGTGAGTGAGTTGGCTGGAGAGATCTAAATAACAATCCAACTTACATTGTACGTAACCTAGAATGACTCCTAATATCTAAACTATATTGTTGATCAGATGTGATTGATCTATGGTTGATTGATTGTGTCAGTTTGATTGGTGATGGAGGGTCCTGTGTAATGATCATAAACATACAATGCGGTCAACACTGGGAAGTTGTCCATGGTGACATTGAGTGTGAGGAGTTGAGATTGTGTCCTTGGATAATATAACCATCTAGATGCACAAATGGAGGGATAATGTTAATATATGTGTATTCTTGCACGGATGAATTGATGACAAGTAATCATACAAGTTCGTTAGGTATGGATATGTTGCCAGAGTGTTCAGATTGATCTTGCCCTGTGATGACTTGAACTGGCACCTATTCACAGTGAAGTCTCGCAAGTTGGAGATAGTGTGCTGAGGTATATCTCCCTCAATACTTATGCCCTTGAAATCACTGATTGATTGGTTGTTAGTATGTCATCAATAAATGGATGGTTGAGACATTTACATTGTACGAAGAGGTATGAACGTAGGGTATTCGGTTGGAAAGCTGACACTGATCATTAGGTTATTATACAATCTGATAAATGTTAGTTGGACATTGTTGGCATTGTCCAGCTTGGTCATCAGATTGATTGTAGGATCATTGATGAATGAGACTGCGAAGTCTGGAAGATAGGAGAATGTATTGAGGTTGGGAAAGTACAATGTGGCATTGGGATTGGGTGTTCCACTTGCAACTGGATTATTCTCAACTGCATAACTATTGTGACGCGTAAGTGAGTAAGTGAGTAAGTATGTAATTATGTAAGTGAGGTAAGTAGCCCTGGCACTTTGACATACATTGTTAAGACAGTCTGTTCATTGTTTACTGTTTTACATGTGATCTGACTGGTTATGCCTTGACATGTTGTCGCCGTCATATTCCATCTAAGTCCTAATTGCTGAGCGATAAACATTAATGATTGACCTATATCATTGATTGATTGATTGATTGATTGGTTAATACAACGCGACTGGCATTGTGTTGCAGTCCCTGTCAACAACAGATACTTACGCTCATTAATGTTTAGTGTTTGTGCTTGTACCTGTGATGATGTTATTGCGATAGATAGTAGTACCAAACATATTGGTATCAATGTCTTTAGCATGCTGCTTGTCATCATTCTAATGTATTATATATATATATATTACTTGATTCTACTCGAGTAGTTGAATGTAAACATAACTGTAGTAGTAGCCAGTTGTTGAGTGGACATGTATGATGATGATGGTGATGATTCAATAGATATCTAGACTCTAGATAAAGATAGATTGATGTATTCGTCCTTCAACAACAACATCACAACAATATCCTAATCCAGCCAGGTCCTACCCCTACCTAGTTTACCCTTTGGCGATGCACCAAAGTATCTTTGCATTGATAACCTTACATTACCACCTTTACTTCTTTTAAAATCTAGATATTTGATTCAAATAAAGATCGGAAAGGATGTCTTTATATCTTATCTCTTAGAGAGATATTAATACTAGTATTAATGTTATTATATTTATGTTGTTTGTTATTATATGTTTGAACAAACACTAGTTACACATCGTTCGTTGGATCAATAAATGATCAAATTGAAATGAACTTCAACCTGTGCAATTCAGAATGAATGAGGTGATCTTGTGAGTGTACTTTGATTGATTGAATGAGATAGATAGTTATAATTCAACTACAATCAATAATAATAATAATGGTGAACATTACTATACCTTTATCAATATCATTTAGGAGACTATTGTTGGTCAATCAACAACAGAGATTGAATCGTGTAATATCATCATCGACATCGACATCATGTCTACAACATATCAAGTCAATAACAACAACAACAACATCATCACAACTGTTATGTAACAACTACAACAATAACAGAGTTATAAATAGTATAAGTAGTAGTGGCAGACATTCATATTCATCATCAACAAGTAATAATGAAGACAAGGATACATCGACAACAACAAAGAATCAACAACAGAACAAACAAGAGAAGGAGTCACAACAAGTGCCAAAGTACTTGGCAGTGTTTAGGAATGTGCCAGATGGATCGGTATCATTGACAAGCAGTGCCTCAGAGATGGCAGAGAACGGTGCAAAGTTGATGAACAGTCCAACTTACTTTGATCCTAACGTCGACAAGGCTGTGCCACGTCCTGTCATCAACTTGGTCTTCTTCCCTCTCAACAGTCCATTAATCATTCATCCCTTCTCTGCCCTGAACCGCGGGCCCTCCCTCTACGACTACGCCTATCAATACATCCCTGCACTATTCAATCGCTCCTTCCCAGATTGGATCGATATTGATGACTTCATGAAGCGTATGTCTATCCTGCGACTCATTCGCTCACTCATTAGATCAATCATACTTACCATCAATCAACTTTGATCAGACTCACTCTTGTCAATGTTCCGAGCATTCGACTATGCATACTGCAATGACATGCAGAAGATGAAGGAGATTACGACAGAGAATGGCATGTACTCAATGTTATGGGTACGCGATGTCTTCTACACTCACAAGATTATGGACTACCGTGTGGCATTCACCAAGTGCAGAACAGGTTTTATTGACAGCGAGGAAGACGATGGCATGTTAAAGGTCACCGTGCACTACTTGTTGAGCTTTGACCTCGATGTCAAGGTGTCAAAGAATGGCTCGTACCCAATCGCCAACGACGGTGAAAGTACTGAGAGGAACAGCTCGGGCGTTGCCAACATTTGCATGATCTGGACGACACCATTGCCCAAGTCAAAGAATGAGGATGACCTAGACTGGAAGATTGAATGGGTGTACCCTGCACCGACCGACATGTGAGCAGAAGACAACAACATCCATCCATCCATTCATACATCCAATCATAGTAGCGAACATTATAATAACATTTATTACAAGGATGTGGAGGACTATGGTAGTCCTCTTCATTGGACTTGACTTGAATCAGAGACAGCAGACTCCAATGATGACGGCGACGCGGACGCGGTGATGGTCGACGAGGAAGTGGTGTTAGTGGCGGTCGACGTTGAGGCACGTTGAGATGCACGCTTCATTTGAGATGACGAGCCTGATGATGATGATGTACGATCACGACTGATGCTGTTGCCAATCAGTGCGCGGAGTGCATTGAATCGTCTTGACTTGCGTAGACTGTAGAGGACAGAGGGCTCCAGGCCAAAGGCCAGGAAGCCAAAGAAGCCAACACTGCAAGTGCTGGCAATCTGAATCATCTTGAACTGGTAGTCGCCAATGCCCAACAGGCACCTACTCTCACCGTTCTGGGCAATACAATTCACCCAGTCAGCGATCTTACTATAATAATAGCTCTCCCTCGAGTCCGAGTAGAACTTGAACACTGTGACAAACACAAACGTGAATAGGATCCATATCATAATGAATACTTGTTTAGCCTGTCAATGTCCATGATGTTTGATTAATTGATTAAGAGATGATGGTGATGTTAGGGAGTGTTGACTTTGGCTTGCCAGGTGCCTGGCTGAGTGACTACATACATTGTACACTAGGACCTTGGCATCATTGAGTACTTGGTTCATGGCATGGATCTTGTAGATAAGGTATGCTAGGAATAATGTGATCATAGCCAAACATATCCAAAGTGGAATGTAGGTGAATAGGTACTGCCATACTCCAGAACCACTTAGGAAGCATCCTCTATTGACTGGTGATGAGACGTAGACTCGACCCATGAGTGGGATGGCAGCAAACAGGAATGCCAAAGTCCACAGACCAATTCTAACATACTTAAAGTATGTAAACTTCTTAAGTCTCATCGACAAGAAGAAGTCATAACAAATGGCTGTGTACCAAAATATAGTTGCATTGGCTCCAAACTGGAACAAGAATCCATTGATCGCACATATCGCATCAGATGTTACCTTGTACCTGTTATCAGAGCAGTACAAAGTGTTGCCCTTATTCTAAGATAAAGAGGATGTTGGTCAATAATGAGTGATTAAGGGTTGAAGTCGAGGATGGACACTTACTGTCATGAGATAGGACAACTCAAACATCATGGTGCCAATGGCGAATGAGAGAATGACTTCCATCTTGATTGATATCTTGTCTTGGATGACACCATAGATGAGAATGAGGAAGATGGAACAGATGAAGCTTATACTGGTCAACACTGTCTGTATGTAATACAATGAGTTATCAATTGACTTTGACCAAATGTAGAATGGACAAGGTATTGCACAGTTATCAGTCACTGTATAATACTTGCTCCTAGATCTTGAAGTCTCCTGATCAACATATATCAGTGGTGATCTACATAATTGTACACTATCTTAATTGATTGATTGATTGGAAGTTGGGGTGGAATAATCCCAGCGAGGGGTGGGAGTGTCAGTCATGTGATTGATGAGTGAGTAAAGGTGAATGGGTACATACTGTTGCTTGCTTTATACTCATTATTACATGCTATGGATACATTCTTGTCTTGACCAGCTTGGCTAGGTGTAAGGACATAGGTTGTTTCGTTGTTTGGGAATGATTCCAATCCATCACTAGTTGCATTACAACTAGTTGGGAACTTGTTAGAGTACTTTATACATATATTATAGGTACTATCTGTATAATATTGATTGATTGATTAATTGTCAGTGATTGAGTGGTGGAATAATTCCAATCATAGTGACACATACCACATAGTGATCGACATGGTAATGATGGGAATGCTATTTGCCTACTTGGTGTATTCACAATACTGCAAGGTCTATAGAACTATGATTGGATTGATTAATTGATTGAATGAGTGAGTGATTTAGTGAGTGCCTGGACTTAATTGGTAGAGTCATTATCATACATTGGTACAAAAGAACTGTAGACCAGCAATGGAACAGTTTAAATCTGTAAATACAAGCAGGTTGATATAGAATATTGCTTGTTCTGTTACTGATTGTTGTGTCTCTGTACTATTTAAATATATTAATGTGTTTGGTGGTATTGTTGTATTGCAAGGTGACATTGGATCGATCACCTCACATCTTCCATTGACATCGAATGATCCCATTGTCACTCCAACACCTAAAATGGTCAACAATAATAATATATATACTCCATTCATTGTTGTTATATATATATATTTATAACTTTGATCTATTGATTGATTAACTTTGATTGATTGATTGAATGGATGAGTGAATGATGTAAGAATGGAAAGGATGATGTGGACCAAGGATATTGGTAAACCTTCATGTTCCATTCACTTTCTCAAACATACACTGCAAACAATCAAACGCGTAGATGCAAGTGTAACCTCGGCTCTGATTGATTGTTTGCATGTGGAGCGGACTCTGCAAAGACCCGTCACTACGCAGCCAAAATAGTTATATTTGGAATGATGGCGCGGCTTTGTCGGCCAGACACGTCCCATCGGAGGACCCACAATCGGGGTTTACTTCGGGGGACCTCTCCCTCTACATTCGATTGAGAATTGATTTACAAAGATAAACAGGGCCTTGTTTTGGTCGGATGATGGGGGGGGGCTGGGGCCGGACCAAGGTCCACACACACCACATCAAACAAACAGACAGACATGTCACATGGGCCCATCATTGTACGTCACATGACGATCATCAGGTTTAATGATTGATTGACATCATGCATACAGACAGACTGACATAGACACAGATGTTATGTTGAAGGCTGTGGCTGCTGTATCTGTTGAAGTCTAACAGCAATGCGCTTCCTCTCTGATGCATGTTTTCTACGCCTGATGAAGTAGACTGATGCGCCAATGACTAGTGACAAGAGGACAACACCACCAAACACTGCGATCAGTATGATGGCCAATCGTTGGAACTCTTTCTTGCCACAGGCTGGACCCAGCTCATCCTGTCCGTTGACCAGCACAGAGAACGCTGGGTCAATGGTGCATCGCTCGCATTGTGGCAGACGAATGCCGATGAATGTGTTGGTCGTGGTCACGTTGATGTACTCGTTACGCGAGTATGCGGGACGGCCGTCTGACAACGCCAGCGGCAAGAAGTAGCCATAGAACGTTACACCGTTGTTAACAATCTTGATGTACTGTACGTTGCGGTCGATGTTGCTCTTGCCCACAACGCTGGACACTTGGCATGTGGGCACGTCTGGCGTCGGGTTGGAGAAGACAACGCGCAGGGTGTTGAGGTTGGAGCCAAAGTGCCAGCGATTGATGTTCACGACCATCTTGAGCGAGCCGGCAGGATACCAACTGGTGACGCCGGCAAACTCAACAGCGCGACCCACCGACGCAATCTCAAACTGGATGGAGACGTCCAGTGCGGGCTGATTGGGGTCAGCCACGACCAGGTGGTAGTTGTAGCGATTGATCACGCCATCCACAGACTTGTTGTACAGCCACTTGTTGGCGCCAATCGTGTAGACCACCTCGTCCCCAGCGCCAAGCTCCTCAAAAGCTACGAGCGTGAGTTCAAACTTGACTCCATTGGACTCGATCGTCATTGATGGCAATGTACTATTGATCAACACAGTGCCACTTGTATCCAACACTGAATCACAGTAATATCCACCAAAGCCATCCAAACAATGACACAATCCTGTAACACATTGTCCATTACCAGAGCATGTCGATGGTACTGCAACATCAGGGTTTACACATTGCGCTGTAGTGTTGTCATATTCTGTTTAATTGATTGAGTAATGGAGTGAGTGAGTGAGTGGATGTTGGAATAGTTCGAGTGATCAATCAACAATATACATACCAACTAGTAATATATCCAATAATGTTATGACCTCAGAGTTGATGACTAGTGTGAGATTGGCCAGTCCCGCACGAAGATCACCAGCAATGTTACAATTGATTGATGACGAGTTGATCAAAGTAATATTGCACTCTCTTTGATTAATCATCACGCTTGTATAGTTGAATATCGATCCGAATGTACCATATATATCAATGGGACCTCCCTTAACTGTTGTCTTTGATGCTGAGCTAATGATTGGATACTCTGAGGTGGTGGAATCATTCCATTAATACATGTTTGATGTGGCAGGGTAGGGCAGGTACACTTACTAGAGTCTTTGAATTGAACTGACATGTTCTGGTATGGTGTAATGAGTGTTACATTGTTGAATTGGGAGACGTCTAGGATGGCGGATGGATCAGTGTAGCATATTGTCGATGTGTTTGTCATTGACTTGATCGTGCAGTTATGTCCATTGACCACCATCTGATATGATAATGTCTGATCAAATGTTCCATTCACATTGACATAGTAATACTGGAATAACTTTTGTCCATAAACTGATACCAATGTGCTTACTAGATTGATTGATAGTGATTGTTAGAGGTAGTTCGAATGAATGATTGAGGGAGGGTACTCACTGTCCGTGACCCAGGTGATGTTGACTTTGTAATTGAACAACTTGGAGAAGACCACTGTATCGTTTCCATTGAGTAAGGTTGGCTTGTAACTAGTGATTGTTCCAATTAGGTTAAGATGTATGATCAGGTGAATGTGATATGCTCCAGAGTCATGGTGATAGTTACTCAAAGAATGTGTTGGCCATCCTCATAGTTATGCTGGGTCCAGGGTCTGCTCCAAAGCCAAGGTTTACACCCTTCAATGGTAGTACTGCAGTGGGACTATTCCTGATGAAGTATGTCTGGAACAATCTCACATCTATCAATCAATCAATTAGTTAGTATGATGGTTTGGCTGGACGTGATTGATTGATAGAATGTACTACATACCACATTTGAAGCTTGCTGGCACAGTTGTAAAGGTAGTCTTTGCAAAGAAATCCTTGATCTGTGAGTAGTAACAATAGAAACAGTCTGGAATGTTTGAGAAATTGACATTGTCCCATGTGAAGTAGCCAGGCAGTGAGTTGTATAATGGTATCTGACAGAAGTATTGAGGCATTTGTCCTGTGATACTGGTGTTGGCAATCATCATCCTGTAGAATTGGTACTGACTAAAGTCCTCTGTCAATGTACCTCCAACTGTACTGTCCGATATATCTCTAAGTTGGTCAAAGAAACGTTAGTACTTTGTTGACCTAAGAGGATGGGTGGTCGGGACACATACACTCCAATGGCTTTGAAACTCTTGTTCAAGACGAACCAGCTTAGCTTGGGGAAGAACCTCTGGTGGCCTTCTTTGTATTGGCTGTGTGGGATAGGATTGATTGGTGTCAATATGTTGCATTGATTGATTGAGGGAGATCACTTACAAGTAGAATCCCTTGCCACCAGTGACTTCATTAACATTGGTCAATTGCCTATTATGATTGATTGAGTGAGTAAGTGATATGATTGAATTGATAGATTGATTGATCGATGGAATATTACATGTTCTCTGTTTGGATTTGTGAGAAGTCTGTTTGAAGTAACTCTACATTCTCCAATTGGCTATATAATGAGGTTGGAAGTATAAGTATGTTATACTTGTAAGTATAATGTATCCATTGATACATACAAATAGAAGGTATAGTCGAACTTTAGACTTGCGTATACTTTGTTCTGAGGTGCACGATTGAATACATTACTATGATTGATTGAGTGAGTGAATGAGTGAGATTGATTGACCATGCCAAACCAATGGTAATAACATACAACGTATTGATAGTCTTCATGTTGAATGTTAGATTCATTGGATGTATTGTTTCGATATTCCTAAGGTAAATGATTGAATGAGTGAGTGAGTTGAGTTTGGATGATGAGTTTGAGTTCCAGGTTTAAGTTGTGGTGTCCATCCATGATGATTATAGTACATACACTTGGCACATATAATCAAATTGTGCAGTATCAGGATGTATATATGTTATATTGTATGTCGGTATAGATATTGAGGTATCCAGTATTGATATGGTCCTGATGAGGATGTTGATGGATGAATGAATGCGGTCAGTACAAGATAGGTTGTTGATGTGATGCCATCAATGCTTACAGGTTCTTAAGAGCAGACCACCACTTTGGATTCATATAGATGTTGGGGCTTCCATAACCTTTGATACTGATGTTCCATTTGGATGGTTAGATTGTGATTGATTGAATGGAATGATTTGTGAGCACTTACATCAATGTATTGAGGACTGTAAAACTGGGTCTACTGTCTAGCATGGCAAAGGTATTCAATGACTTGTTCTTCATCTGATAGTTCTCAATGATGAATATATTCAGTGCGTTGAATCCAAACGATGTTAAGTTTGGATTTGGATAACCTTGATCAAACGATGATGTCGCATTAGATAGATATCTACAAAATGAGTGAGAGAGATAGTATGTGACCGACTGTTTGATTGATTGATTGAATGAGTAATATACATTTGAGATACGCCTTGTTGTCCATTGAATATGAAACATGTGAGTTTAGAAGATGATGTGCCCTGGATAACCTCACAGGTTGTGCCATTGATGTTCCAATCCAGTTGATGTTGTTGAATCAACCATTGAATGGACTCCACTATATTATCATTGATTGATAGGTTAGTGTATGAATGATGATGGTTGACAAGATGGAAGGCAGTCTTACATTCTTGAACTGGAAGTATTTGAGCTTCTACCAAGTTGTCAATTGACAACATTGACATTAGAGTCAACATCAAGATTAGTTTGATCGTAGACATCACTTGTTATTTACAATTACTATTCGTTTGTATGAAGGTATGAATGATAAAATGAACGAAAGCAAGTATGCAAGGAAGGAGAGCAATGTAGTCGCACTATGACAGCAGGATTGAAGAGGAGGGAAGCAAACAGTCCATCAATCGCGATTGGTTGGCTCATTGTTATTGTCCAGAGGGCCTGCAATACACCTCTCCAATGCCCTTAATCATTGATCGTTATTGTAATCTATCCAAGTCCAACATAGGGGTAAGGCCTCAATCTAAACAACCTCTGTGTCTTTCGAACCTGGAATATATTTTGATTGTCGGGCGTGTGTGTGATTTGATTGATCTTGATCAAAACGTCACCATTCATTTCCGACCCATTTATTAATTAAATAAATAATAAAAATAATCTATTATATCTATCATGATGATGTAATAAATGTCAGACTATTTCATTTCGTGGCTTGTGTATCCATGTAAACTTTATGTGTTTGAATAATGTTATATTATGGGATTGTTCTTGAAAAGTGATCACTTCCTAATTGGGGTGTGATCACATGATGATGTTCATGCGATTCCATTCAATCATTCATTCAATTCACCAACAACAAATATAACAATGTTTGTTAACAGCATAAGATTAGTCTCCAGCAGGACTAGTGTGTCTATGAACCTCATAGTACCCAAGCGTATCAACATCGCCCGTGGATTCATCCCATCCACAACCTCATCAATCATCTTCACCAACAACAACAACAACAACAACAACATCTCCACACAACCATTCACTGCACACTTCACAACATTCAGAACAAAGACAAACAATTACAACAACAATAACAATGACAACAACAAAGAGAATAAGAACTTTACATTTGGAAGTAATGCCAACAAGACAAGACTTGTATCTATTGTCTCGTTGTCGGCTGCAGTGGCTGCAGGCTCAGGCTCGGCATTGATGTGCCAGGAGAAGACACAAGTGCTACAGCAAGAGCTACCAAGGAGTAGGACACTCACCGAGGAGGAGTACAATGAGTTGAAGTCCAACAAGAGACAGAATGCTTTGGCCTCATTCGCTGGTGCCACGGCATTGTCTGGATTCGCTGGATATTGCGCAGGCTATGCCTCGCGTCGTCTTGGTCGCATTGTAATGTACGTGCTTGGTGTTCTCTTCATCATCGCTCAAACACTCTCCTACTATGAATACATCGCCATTGATTGGGGTCGTGTCTGGCGTGACGCTTCGCCCAAGTTCACCAAAGAGAAGCAAAAGGACTTCTTGCGTCGCTTCCTCAATCTTCTCACCATGAACATTCCATTCAAAGGTAAGTCATTCACCAGCTTGTCAAGTTCAATCATACTCCAATATCACTCACTCAATCATTCAATCATTCGATCAATCAATCAAAGTTGGATTCGCTTCTGGATTCTACATTGGATTCAAGTCCAAGGCTTAAAGTTCAACATCTCAATAGTCAGTAGGCAAGCCCTGTATAGTAGTACCACCCAAAGACGGTGAGGCAACAGATGTTAATGAAACATGTCACATCATATCAAGTCATTTATGTGTTCTTGCCATCTTGTTATCATTGCCATCGATGGCGCCATCATCGCCATCATCGCCAGTTGATCGACTTCGCTTCAAACTGCTGTTGTTGTTGTTGTTGGAGGAGGAGGAGTCCTCCACAGACTGTTGTACACCAATGTTCTTAACGAGATGATTGAGCATTGTAGTGTCACCGCGTTTGACAACTCCATTGATTAGTCGCGGCAACAAGATGGACTTGACTCGGTCACGATTCTCTGTCTCTCCTACCTCCTTGTCCATTAGGTAATCCAATGCCCTTGTCTTTCCTCTCTCCACAGCAAAGGCGATCAGTGACAGTATTGGACTGTCAAGCAACAGCTTGTCAGACGAGAGCACTAACTTTGTGTCATTGTCGTTGAGTACAGCTTCGACCATGGTCCAGTCTTGTAATGGTGGCTTGATTGCGCATATGCATTGCAGTAACTCGAGCGAGTGTTTGATGGCAAACTTGTGAACATCATAGTTTCGAAGGGGAGGGCAGAGCTCTGGCGTCGAGCACATATACTTGAGCAGAGTGTACTGGTGCATGGTTATTGCACCTATCATCAAGCTGTTGATCTCTGGTAGATTTACCTTTGAGGACGATCGTTTGACGATCATTGCCAGGGTGTCAACATTGCCATTCGAACCCATCGCATACCATAGTGAGTTGGACATCTTCATTGGCTTGTTGAGTAGCATGTCGATGATGGCATAGTTTGGTCTCAGCTTGAGGGCAAACAGTAGCAATTCGATGTAGTATTTGTCTTTGAGCTCTAGCAGCAGTAGCTCCAACATGTCTGGTTTGCTCAACATGATCGCCAGGTATGCCATGGAGAGCGTATGCATTCTGGGGCGCATCACGCTACTGAGCACCATCTGCAAGTTGGTATGATTGTGGACGACCAGATTGGTCTTTCCAGGATCCATTGGCAATACTCGATTGTTTGTGGACAGGAGGAACTCGAGGATGGCGGGTGCGCCATCAAACACCAAGACACCTTGCCATGGTTTCACAACCTTGCTTTCCACTTGATCATTGATGCACTTGATCATCTGGAGTTGCCTGTCAACATCGCTGTTGTCTTCAACAATGAAGCGATGGATAAGTCGATCAATCCTTTGAATGATCGACCGAGTGTTGGCATATGTATCAGAGTGTACGGGCACACTGTGTATCAATCGATCGGCGATCTTATACTGTGTCGTTGTTCCATAATGTAAGATTGCATTGAATAGTGATGGCGCCAATTCCAGACTATATGGTGCAACCCGAATGAGCAGGGGCAGGAGTGAACAGTCACCTGTCGACACATATCTCTTGAACATGTCATTGAATGTGCTCTCGCGAATGCCAATTCCAGGTTTTAAGATGATCTTGATGTACATTATCTTGTCCTCGTCACTCAAAGGCCATGGAAGCATCGACTCATAGTCCTTGTCGCCGAGTAGATCTTTAAGTAGTTTGCATGATAGGATGAGATCGTCTGGTGCTTGCATCGCAATCTTGTCATTGGGCTTGATGACCAGGTAGTCGACCAAACGTTGTATGTGTTCGAGTTGTTGTGCTGGGTCCACTCTGATCGTGTATGGGATGGGAATGTGCTTGACTCCCTCTTTAGGTTCGTAAGCTGGTATCAGATCGTCCACCAACAGTTGTTCAATGTACTGCACATCGCCAGTCATCACAATGTCCAACGATGAGTAACGTGCATGGGACTTGATTGCGCAGGCCAACTCAGTGGGGAGTGCGGCGAGCACATTGCGCACGTGGAAAGGTCTCCCCGCGAACAGATACTTGGCAATCTCGCGACTCTCCTTCATAAGATCTCTCAGCGTGACCTCGTTTGCTGGTGTGTTGACAAACTCTGCCCAGCACTGAAGCAGTGCGAACCTCTTTTGCTTGATGGCTTGCAGTATCATGTTCATATTGATGTTGTACTTGCTGGAGTTGTGTCGCAGGAGTGTCCTAATATTGTGCAATGAGTCTGACATCACAGCTTCATCGAGCAGAGTTGGGTCAACAAACTTTGAAGAGTAGCGTTGATATAACAAATCGAACGTCTCTTCATTGTTGCTCATATGTGTTCGGCATGCCAGCTTGATCAAGTCCTCGACCTCGGTCTCGGCCCCCTTCTTGGATTCGCTGCCGTCATCTTGAACAATGTGAAGTCCACGGCGAAGACGATCGCGTAGCAGTCCAAAGTGTCGACTGTTGATGATGGACTCGCCATCAATCCAATGTCGATACTTGTGTCGATAGATATATGGCGAGGTTTTGACAATGGAGCTGCCACCAACTTTGAGCTGTGTATACTTTGGCTTGGCGAGATGTGCCTTCATAAATCTATTGACAAACTCTTTATGATTGATATCACTGATCATTGACATTATTGATCTCAACAATACAACATTATGAAATACATTCAATATTGTCTGTTGTTGTTGTTGAGTCATTGGCTGAAGATGTTTGATTCTTGGCCATAATATGACCTGTCCTCCTTCATCCTCATTACTTGACATAATATATTATCTCTATCTCTATCTCTATCTCTCTTTATAAGTGAATGGTGAGGAATATTTTGAAACCGATAGGTCGTTTATTTGTGTGTGTGTTTTAGATTGACTTCCAAAAAAGGAAAGAATCGTTAACGAATGGGTGTCCATGAAACCAATCATATCCACCATTTACTGTGACGACGAACTTGTTCAATATTTTTGATACCCAATACCAGTTGTCTGAGTCTCAACATGATTGTTTGATTAAATGGACATCGAGAACCAAATCGAAATAAGTTGATGGTGTCTGGATCAGAGGGATAATTGATTTTGAGTAGTTGATCAAGTAGTTGTTCATTTCCACATCTGATTGCCATATAACACATTGATATATATGTATTATATAATGTTAGCTGCCTCCTCATCCTTCCATTTCCAGGAGCAACTTGATCAGCCGACAATAATAATGATAGGTTGTCAATGTTGAGTACTACAAATTGTGTATACTTCTCTAATGAAATTGTTCCAGAATGGCAATCGTTGTCATATTTGTTAGGAAGTGATAGAATGAAATCCAATAATTTATATGATCCAGTGTATAATATTGTATAATTTCTATCAGTATTATATATGTAATGATTGTCAGTGCTATTTAAATGATTGTTGATACACTTTATAACATCAATTTGTCTTTGTGGATTGTTGTAGTTGTTGGAGTTTGATTGGAATATACATCTCTTTAGAGATGAATTAATATCAATGCTGTGATAAGTCAAACTTAATGAATCATTTTCAACATCATCTTTGATCAATCTACATAAATATCCAAATGCAATATTGAGTTGTGATAAAGTTCCATGAAGTATTATGATGCCAAATAAGTTGTTTGCAATGGCCCTATCCTTCAATGATCGATCAATAATGAATGGAATGATCATATAGTCTCCAGTATCAATGTACATCCTAATGATTGTCTTCAACTTGCTAAATCTCATTCTTGGTCCTTTATGCTCGAACACCTTTATATATCTCAATCTTGACTCATCATCCATTATCAAAGGATCCACATCCACCACCTCCAAGTCCAACATCTTGAAATCATTCCTTGATTTATCCAGTGATCCCCGTGCATGTGTGTCAATCTTTGAGTGATCATCTTGAATGATCTTGTACTCAATCAATCGATCAATATGTTGGAGATTGAGTGTGAGTAGGTCAGCAGTGTCGTTCTGTCCTTGACTTGATCCAAGTGAGAGTAGGTCATAGATCAGTTGACAGTCTCCAGATATGATGATGTCCAACTTGAACTTGTGTGCCATTCCTTGGATTGGTTGAGTGATCTTCGTGGGAATACCATGATCATGTGTGAATAGCAGACTTCTGATGCATGATGGCCTTGATGTGTAGATTGATCGTGCGATAAGGCCTAACTTCTTCATCAGTTTACTTTGTTGATGGCTGTTCAGGTCATCCCAGCAATGAAATACAGCAAACTTCTTCCTTGTGATGGCTTCAAGGACTCTTGGTATCTCTAGACTACAGTATCTACTTCCAAATCGGAGTAAAGTACTGATTGCATGTTGATTATTGCCATCTACTGCTAAATTTAGTAGATTAGATGTAAAGAACCAATTTGTATATGATTGATAGACTGCATCAAATGTCACCTTGTTGACCTTATTGCTCTTGCACAGCATTTCAATAAAGAATCCTTCTATTCCTCCGCTCCCATCGACACCAATATTGTGTCCACATTTGACATGATCGAGAAGTAGACCATAATGACCATGTATGAGCATCTCTCTTCCTTTGCCAATCCAATCGTTATACTTGGATTTATATAATGAGCTTGTTGTTGATGATAATGATGATGATGATGGAGTAGTCTTCATCATAAACTTGTCAACCATATTTAACAAATAATTACAATCCTTTGATACTCTCTTTATCAATCTATTCACTAATCTATTATGATTGATAATGCTAACATTGGACAATATAGATCTAAGTAACCATCTATCTTTGAATACACTCTTAATCACTTGTTGATCATAATTGCTCGCCATACTATCTATCTATTCGTTGTCATATCATCAATAAGTTTGATTGATTGATTGACATAGTTGATGACATGACAAGGTGAGTCCAACTTAATTAACATCATGAATGACCAATGATTGATGGATTAGTTGAACGTCATTTCGGCATCCAATATCCTTGAATATTCATCAAATGATTGATTGAATTAATGAATGAATGAATTAAGATGAAATGCCATCTAATCAATTGGTGTCCTAAATGGGTATTGGCCTGGTTCAACCATTCGATCAATCGAGTGAAAACAACACCATGATGATGTAACCTATCGTGTCGTGTGACATCGAATAGAATAAGATCGTAGTGACGAGTCCAAAACTGAAATTGACCTGGGTAATGTCGCCGAAGTTGGTGTGGTAGTTGAGCCAATCGTCAGCGTTGCGATCATTCATGTGATATAAAGTCAACAACATTCATTCAATCTAGTTTTCTACAACTAATAATTAGTAGTAGTAGTTGTAGTATATTTACTTGTAATAATACTTTAGAGAAAGAGAGTGAGAAGTGATGGAGTACTTTGGAAGAATACAAGATAAGAGTGCAACAGAGGTTGAGTTGTATAATAGAGAGTCAGAGTTGTTGACAATGACAAAGTTATGTGCAAGAGTAATATCATGTAGATCAATGGAAAGTTCAAATGTTGATAATATGGAACATCCTTTGATATTGGCTTCACAGACATATGGCAGTGGATCGAGTGCACTCGGTCAGGCATTCATACATAATCTAAGAAAGAGACCGCATATCACACAGACGGCTGCACGCGACCTCGCCGCGGACCCCGAGTGGAAGCGACGCAACTGTCTCGACAGCGCCGCCGACTGCGTCGATCACCTGCTTGAGTTGGAGCCCGTGTACTTTGACTTCCGCTGGTTCGCGCTAAACATCAGTAAGGAGCGACGCGATCAAATGGATATCAAGCAATGGGTCAAAGAGACCATCGCGCAGTTCCTCATATCAATCTCTCATATCATGGGCACGGCCAATCTGTACCGCGTCGAGATGTTTGACATGTTCTGTCAGACGCCCACGCTGCATCGCTACTTCTATCACTTTGACAACTTGGAGTATCTGTTCACGAGCGAGTTCAACATCAATCCTGAGCGCACATTCAATTGCATTAGTCACATTTGGCGCGAGGTCTTTCAGAGTCTGATCAAGAATGGCAACCCCGTCTATGTGTCGGGCACACATGCCTGGATGCTGCATCCCATGAGTCAGGGCAGGCTCGTTCGCAATATCTTTCAATCGCGCATCAAGTCGGTGGTCAAGTGGCTGATCGTCAGCAATCAATCAACCGATGACATTGACAAGCAATGTCGTCTGGCGGGACTAACTGTTAGCGAGCAGGTCTTGCAGCACTTCCATAGACTGACTGGCGGCATCCCCAAGCTCGTGGATTTGGCAATCAAACATATCAGACTACTACAAGAGTCAGCATCATCACCATCGAGCAGCGACGTTGACCTGGACAGCAAGCGATTCAGAGAGTACCTTATACAGCTGGGCCTGGAGGATCTGTTCAACCCATTCTCAAGATATAGCAATGAGGTGTCGGATGAGATGAAGGCCAACTATCACAAACTGATTCGACTGTCCAATGAAAGGACAGTCATTGATCTTACAGCCAAACCAACACCAGATGTCAACTTTGAGTACGCAGAGATAGTAAGACTATATGGAATTCATTGTCGACCTGCACGAGCAGAGAAAGAACAGACTAAATTCCCATGCGATGTAGTCCTTGTCATTCCAGGCATCATGATTGATGAACTGAAGGATCATGGAGTCGAATAACATCATCCTCACATTATCATCATTATCTTTCATTCATTCATGGACATCACTTAAATATCTGTATTTGTTTGTTTCAAAAATAGTCAATATCGGATTGTGTGATGATCAGCTGTTCACTTTKGATCAAGTTCAACTCACACTCAATCAAACAGATAATCCAACACACACAACACAATCACACATCTTATTTATATCATTACTTTAAAGTAATGAATCAATCACTAGTGATGTGGTGTCGTGCGTGAGTGTGTTTGAGGGAGGTGATCTATAATATATATCTGGTGGTACATCCATCATCACCACTACCCCTAGCACTGTCCTTTCACATGACCATGGTCATCATCATAGTGTAGGTAGGCAATAGACAGAGCACATGATGCCAATAGTATCACACCCTCTACCTACACACACACACATACCAAGCAGGTATATTTAGCATTAGCATGTTATAAAGTAGTAGTAGTAGTAATAGTAGTAGGATAGTTATAATGAATGGCTTAGTGATTCGTGATGTTGGGGGCATTGGACACTCCACTCCAACCCTACCATCACAGCATTGGATATCCATTGCCCCAATCCATTCAATGATCAATCAATTTAAAGCATCTAAATCTCTCTTTCAAGTGTTGTTCGGTCATACCAACTGGTCCAGACTAGCGACGGTCAGCTTGGTCCAGTTGCCATGTTGTACCCACTTGGCACTTGGGATTATAGTGATGATGAAGATGGTGGATGTTATAATTATCAACAACAACCACACTCAACAACCAACCAACCTTAGCTTTACCATAACTACCTATTCTAGACCAGAGGAGATACTCTCTGTCCACTCCTCACTCAACTCCGACCTCCACAACTCTCTTTTAAAACAACTTCACTTCAATCTCATTCAATCAATCAATCATCCCATTCCCATTGTTGATCTCTTGTTCCAAACCTTTCAAACTAAAGACCCGCCAATCCATTCCCTACTACTCATACTTTATTATTGTTTATGATCCTATAACATTATAATTTATTATTTATTTATTCAAACCAATCATTTAGTCAATCACCAAACCAAGCAATCAATTTCCTTTGATCAATCACATCCATCCACCAATAATCCATTGTAAATACATCATCCATCAACTCAATCAGACACATTATCCAAGGAAATAGTCAACCAATCATACCACCCAAACCATCACTCCAATCAAATATTGTAAATAAGAAATAATAATATTAAATTAAATAACAACAACAATAATAATGAATCCAATTAACGATCGCAAGTCGGAATATTGGAAACACTTGAAGTTGCGCACTGGTGAGGGCGAGAACTCGTTCAAGGTGGTCGCATCAGATAAGAGGTACATCTGGTACAACCCCGATCCAAAGGAGCGCGATTCCTACGAGTGTGGCGAGATCCTCCGTGAGACTGCCGACTCTTTCGTCTTCAAGACCACCGCAGGCGAGGAGCGTACCGTCAAGAAGGATGATGCCAACCAACGTAATCCAGTCAAATTCGACGGTGTCGAGGACATGTCCGAGCTATCCTACCTCAACGAGCCAGCAGTATTCCACAACATGCGTGTCAGATACAATCAAGACCTAATCTACGTATGTATATAATGATTGATTGATTGATCAAACAAGTATGTGTGAGTGTACTGACATACCAATCAATCATATAATATTAGACGTACTCTGGACTGTTCTTGGTAGTTGTCAATCCATTCAAGAGGATACCAATCTACACTTCTGAGATGGTTGACCTCTACAAGGGACGTAGAAGAAACGAGGTTGCACCTCACATCTACGCTCTATCTGATGGTGCCTATCGTGCCATGTTGGAGAATCATCAGAACCAATCACTCCTCATCACCGGAGAGTCTGGTGCTGGAAAGGTTAGTGATCCACCCCGCCCACCACACTCAATCAAACAATCTGGAATCATTCCAATCTGATCTAACACACTCCCTCAAACAGACTGAGAACACAAAGAAGGTCATCCAGTATTTAGCAGCAGTTGCAGGACGTACTGCTGGTGGAACGTTGGAGCAACAGATTCTCCAGGCCAATCCAATCTTGGAGGCGTTTGGAAATGCAAAGACAACTCGTAACAACAACTCATCTCGTTTTGGAAAGTTCATCGAGATTCAGTTCAACACGGGCGGCTTCATTTGTGGCGCGTCCATCCAGTCCTACCTGCTGGAGAAGTCGCGTGTGGTGTTCCAGTCGGAAGCCGAGCGCAACTTCCACATCTTCTACCAGTTACTGGCTGGCGCCAGCAGCGACGAGAAGAAGCAACTGTTCCTCACCGGCCCCGAGACTTACCACTACGTCAACCAATCTGGTTGCATCGACATCAAGGGCGTAAGCGATGTCGAGGAGTACAAGGCCACCCGTAGCGCCATGTCCATCATGGGTTTCACGGGCGAGGAGCAGATGTCCATCCTCAAGGTGGTCTCGGCCATCTTGCACCTGGGCAACGTGAAGTTTGAGCGCGGCACTGGTGAGGGCGCGCTGCTCAAGGACAAGAGCCAGCTCAACGCCGTCGGCACCTTGCTACAGGTCAACCCAGCCACTCTCGAGAAGGCCCTGATCGAGCCGCGCATCCTTGCCGGTCGCGACCTGGTCGCCCAGCATCTCAGCCCGGAGAAGGCCGGCAACTCGCGTGACGCCCTTGTCAAGGCGCTTTACGGCCGTCTGTTCCTCTGGCTCGTGAAGAAGATCAACCAGGTGCTGTGCCAGGAGCGCAAGGCCTACTTCATCGGCGTGCTCGATATCTCTGGTTTTGAAATCTTCAAGGTCAACTCGTTCGAGCAGCTGTGCATCAACTACACGAACGAGAAGCTGCAGCAGTTCTTCAACCACCACATGTTCAAGCTCGAGCAGGAGGAGTACATGCGCGAGAAGATCAACTGGACCTTCATCGACTTTGGTCTCGACTCGCAGGCCACGATCGACCTGATCGACGGCCGCCAGCCACCCGGCATTTTGGCGCTGCTGGACGAGCAGTCGGTGTTCCCCAACGCCACCGACGCCACCATGATCAGCAAGTTCCACTCGCACTTCTCCAAGAAACACCCCAAGTACGAGGAGCCCCGTTTCTCCAAGACCGAGTTTGGCGTGACCCATTACGCCGGCCAGGTCATGTACGAGGTGGAGGACTGGCTCGAGAAGAACAAGGACCCATTGCAGCAGGACCTCGAGCTGTGCTTCCGCGAAGCCGGCGACGCGTTGGTGGGCAAGTTGTTCAACGACCCCACGATCGCCTCGCGCGCCAAGAAGGGCGCCAACTTCATCACTGTGGCCGCGCAGTACAAGGAGCAGTTGGCCTCGTTGATGGCCACGCTCGAGACAACCAACCCTCACTTTGTTCGTTGCATCATCCCCAATAACAAGCAGTTGCCCGCCAAGCTCGAGGACCAGGTGGTGTTGGAGCAACTTCGCTGCAACGGTGTGCTCGAGGGCATCCGTATCACGCGTAAGGGTTTCCCCAACCGTATCATCTACTCGGACTTTGTGCGCCGCTACTACCTCCTCGCGCCCAGCGTGCCACGTGATGCCGAGGACACGCACAAGGCCACAGGCGCCATCCTCAAGCACCTCAAGATCGACGAGGAGCAGTTCCGCTTCGGTCTGACCAAGATCTTCTTCCGCGCTGGTGTCCTCGCCCGCATTGAAGAGGCCCGTGAGCAGCGTATCTCTGAGATCATCAAGTCGATCCAGGCTGCCGCACGCGGCTGGCTTGCGCGCAAGGCCTACCGTCAGGCACGCGAGCATTCAATCAGCGCCCGCATCATCCAGCAGAACCTGCGCGCATTCCTCGAGTTCAAGAACTGGCCATGGTGGAAGCTGTTCAGCAAGGCACGTCCATTGCTCAAGCGAAGGAACTTTGAGAACGAGATCAAGCAGAAGGAGAAGGAGATTGGCGAGCTCAAGTCGTCACTCTCTGACACCTCATCCGCCAAGGAGCGCATCGAGAAGACTTTGCGCGACTCGGAGGCGAGCATCCAGGACCTGCAGCGCCAGCTCAAGAGCGAGAAGGAGGCACTCAAGGCCCTGTACGACAGCAAGGATGGAATTGAGCAAGAGCGTCGCAAGTTGGAGTCGAGCATCGAGGACCTTGAGATGGCACTTGATGAGCAGAAGGCTGCCGTGGACACCCTGCAAGCCCAGAAGAAGATGGCTGAGGACAAGGTGCGCGACCTCGAGGACGAGTTGGCCGAGGAGCAGAAGCTTCGCCAGGGACTCGAGAAGTTGAAGAAGAAGTACGAGGAGGAGGTCGACGAGTTGAAGCGTCTGAACGAGGGCCACCAGGACACCATTGGCAGACTCGAGAAGATCAAGAACGAGCTCAAGCAAGAGGTGGACGAGCTCACCGACCAGTTCTCGTCCGAGTCCAAGGACAAGGGTACCCTGGAGAAGGCACGCGTCCGTCTCCAAGGCCAGATCGACGAGCTCCAAGCCCGTCTTGACGCCGAGTCCAAGGACAAGGACGACCTCTTGCGTCAGAAGAAGAAGTTGGAGGACGAGTTGGCCAACGTGACCCAGCAGCTCGCCCAGGCCGCCTCGGCCCTTGCCGCCCAAGAAGGCGCCAACAAGAAATTGTCCACCGACTACGCCGACCTCAACGACAAGTTTGCCAACGAGTCCGCCCAACGCAGCAGCCTTGAGAAGGCCAAGAAGGCACTTGAGGGCCAGTTGCAAAACGTTGGCAACGAGCTCGAGGAGGAGAAGAAGCACCGCGACTCGCTGGACAAGAAGAAGAAGGCACTCGAGTCCATGCTCGACGAGATGAAGGATCAGCTCGAGTCGACTGGAGGCGAGAAAAAGTCGCTTTACGACCTCAAGCTCAAGCAGGAGCACGACCTTGAGTCACTTAGGAACCAGATCTCAGACCTCCAATCCACCATCTCCAAGCTCGAGAAGATCAAGATCACGCTAGAGGGCGAGGTGTCCCGTCTGGCCGGCGAGCTCGACAGCGAGCAGCAGGCCCGCGCCAACTCTGACAAGGCACGCAAGAAGCTTGAAGCCGACCTGGAGGAGGCTAAGGGCTACCTGACCCAGGAGCAAGGCCACAAGAACAACTTGGACAAGAACCGCAAGAAGTTGGAGCAGGACTTGGCCGACTTGCAGCATCAGTTGGCCGAGGCACTTAGCAACAAGTCGAGCTCGGACTCTGCCAGCAAGCAGTTGGAAGGCGCACTGGGCAACCTCAAGGTCGAGCTCGACCAGGAGGCCAAGGCCCGCCACGCCGCCGAAAAGAAGCGCCAAGCATTGGAGTCTGAGATCAAGTTCATCGGCGAGCAGCTCGACGAGGAGAAGAAGCTGCGCGAGTCAAGCGATCGTCGCAAGGCTGAGTTGGAGGAGGAGGTCCTCGAACTGAAGGAGGCCATCGATGAGGAGTTCGCCGCCAAGAAGGGTGTGTCCGAGGCCAAGACCAAGAAGGAGCTTGAACTCGACGAGTTGAAGCGTCAGTTCTCCGACGTTGTGTCATCCCGCGACAAGGCCGTCGAGCATCTCAAGGCTCTGCAATCCAAGAATGACGAGTTCAAGAACGCCACCGACGAAGCCGAGGGCAACCTGGACCGTGCCGAGCGTGCCAAGAAGAAGGCAGAGTACGACCTTGAGGAGGCCAAGAAGCAGGCCGAGGACGAGGCCGCCAAGCGTGCCAAGTTGGAGAAGGCCCTCAAGAAGGCCGAATTGGACGCCCGCCAGGCACGCGCCGACGCCGACGACCAAAAGGCACTCATGTCTGATCAGTACGTGCAACTCAAGCGTCTCAACGAGGAGCTGGGCGAAATGCGCTCAATCCTCGAGGAGGCTGACGACCGATCAAACAGCGCGGCCAAGTCGCGCAAGTCCGTCGAGACCCAGCTCGAGAAGCTCAAGGACGATCTGAACAGCTCAAACATTGCCCACTCCAAGGCCGAGAAGCGCGCCAAGGATGCCGAGCAGCGCGTCCAGGAACTCGAGGACATCCTCGAGGACAAGACTGGTCTCGTCAACGTCGAGCAGATCAAGAAGAAGGACGCCGAGATCGAGGAGCTGCGAGTCCGTCTGGAGCGCGAGACCGAGACTCGCCACAAGTCAGACGAGGACAAGAAGAACGCCCGCAAGCAGTTTGCCGACCTCGAGGCCCAGGTCGAGGAAGCCGAGCGCAACGCACTCAACGTCGACCGCCAAAAGAAGAAGTTGGAGAGTGACCTCATCGACCTGAAGACCGCCCTCGACACCGAGGCCAAGGCTCGCGCCAAGGCCGAGAAGGGCAAGAAGAAGCTCGAGCAGACCCTGGCTGACAAGCGCGCTAACGAAGAAGGCAGCTCCAAGGCCGCCGACGAGGCCCTGCGCAAGCAGATCTGGGGTGAGGTCGACGAGCTCCGCGCCCAACTGGACGCCGAACGCTCCGCACTCAACGCATCCGAGAAGAAGAACAAGTCGCTGCAGGCTGAGATTGATGAGATCCGCGAGCTGCACGAGGACGAGATGCTCAGCAAGGACAAGCATGTCAAGGCTAAGCGCACCCTAGAGGTCGAGCTGGAGGAGATCCGTGCCGCCCTCGAGGAGGAGGAGGAGGCTCGCGCCGAGATTGAGGAGGTCAAGCGTCGCAAGGACCTCGAGCTTGAGGAGATCCGCAAGAAGTATGAGACCGAGCTGGAGACCGCCACCCAGGCCGAGGACGCACGCAAAAAGTTGTCCGAGGAGGTCGAGGAGCTCAGGAAGCTGTACGAGGAGGAGAAGAAGGGCCGCAACGAGTCGGAGCGCACACGCAAGCGCCTCGAGTCTGAGAACGAGGACTACGTCGCACGCCTGGACGCCGAGGTCAAGAACAGATCTCGTCTTGAGAAGGACAGAAAGAAGTATGAGAAGGACTTGCGCGACACCAAGGGCAAGCTGAGCGACGAGGCCGCCACCAAGACCCAGACCGAGATTGGCGCAGCCCGTCTCGAGGAAATCATCGACGACTTCAAGGCCAAGCTCGAGTCTGCCGACTCCGCCCGTGCACAACTTGAGAAGACCAAGAAGGCCCTGGAGGGCCAGATCGACGACCTGCGCGCCCAAGTAGATGACGAGGGCAAGGTCAAGATGAGACTAGAGAAGGAGAAGCGTGCACTTGAGGGCGAGCTGGAGGACTTGCGTGAGCAAGTCGATGACGCCGAGGAGAGCAGGTCCGAAGCCGAGACATCCAAGCGTCTCCTCGACCTGGATCTGGAGGAGGCCCGTCGCTGCTTGCAGCGCGAGACCGACGCCAAGGATATCGCCGAGGACGCCAAGAACAACCTGCAGCGCGAGCTCATTGAGGTGAAGGGCCGCCTCGAGGAGGAGGTCATTGCCCGCACCAACGCCGATCGCTCCAGGAAGCGTCTGGACTCAGAGATCGACGCGCTCACCGCCCAGGTCGACTCGGAGCAGAAGGCCAAGAACAAGGCACTCAAGGACGTCAAGAAGATTGAAAACGACCTCAAGGAGATCAAGAAGAAGTATGGCGAGATCGAGAAGACCAAGTCCAAGGACACGCTCACCGCCGAGAAACTCGAGTCTGATCTGCGCCGCTCAAAGAAGGAGCACTCGGACGAGCAGCAGACCCGTCTGTCGCTCGAGACCGAGAACCGCAAGTTGCAATCCGAGATCATCATCCTCAAGGACTCGATCGAGAAGGCACAAAAGGATCACGAGAAGACTAAGAGAGAGCTGGAGTCCGAGGTCCAAGGCAAGCAAGACATGCAAAAGCGTATGGGAGAGTTCTTCCAAGGACTCAGAGTCTAGTTTGATCAGTAAATCAAGCAATAAATGTTTAAGAATTTCAAAGAAAACATCGAAACGACACATTGAGATATTTTGATCAGACAATCAATCACACACACTGATGGCTGATCATTTGATCACTTTTAAAGATAGATAAAAATATTAATACATACAAAGAGATAAGATATATATATTATACATGGACTCACTGTCAACACTTGTCATCAAAGATATATTCAAACATTTGAAAGACTATCAATTGGATTCATTATGTCTTGGACTTTGTTCAAAACGATTGTTTACTTTAATGACCCAGGTGATACCTGGTATTACATTCAATGGTGACACTCCTTTTGTTTGTAGTGATAGCAGAAAGAATGTCCAACAACAAACTATACAAGATTATAATACAAAGGACCCTCTGACACCAGGCTCACTCCCATCACAATCACTCACATCATTGTCATTCAATCAATCATTCAATCAACCGATCAAGGCTGGTGCCCTACCCGAGACCCTGACCTCTCTCCACTTTGGAGAACTCTTCAATCAACCAATCAAAAACAAAATTCTTCCATCGGCAATCACCTCGCTTCACTTTGGTCAAAGGTTTAATCAAAAGATCAGACCTGGGGATCTCCCAACATCACTTCAAACCTTGACATTGGCACATCTCTCCAATCATCCAATCAGTCCGGGCAGCCTTCCATCATCACTCACCTCATTGTCATTCACGACGCAGGGCGAAGTATGGAGTAGTCCTAGCGGTGTTATGTATCAGTACTTTCAGGTTGGCTCCCTTCCAGACTCACTCCAGTCACTTTCAATGCCAAAATGGTTCAACTATAGCTGGACTCAAGGTATCCTTCCTTCATCGCTCAAATCATTATATCTTGGATACTATTTCGACCAACCCCTTCTGCCAGGCATGCTACCTACATCTCTCACCTCATTGGAGTTGGGACGCAATTTCAATCAGGAGCTTCCTCCAGGAGTACTGCCAGCCTCTCTCAAAGTACTCATATTTGAGAGGTACTGCCTATTCAATCGACCTCTGGTCCCAGGGTCACTACCTGACTCTCTGACAAGGCTAGAGATTGGTGAAAACTTCAGTCATCCAATAATTGCTGGAACTCTTCCGTCGTCCCTTACCACTCTAACATTAGGAATGACAAAGGAAGATTCCTTGGTCCAATCTGGTCAATTACCAGACTCAATTAACACCCTATGTTTAGGACCTGGTTGGACATCTGGTAGAATTAAGTATCCACAATCTCTGACTTCATTGAAAATGTCATTCTGGAGAGGCTCCTTCAACAAAGAGTATCCATTGCCTCCAACACTCCAAACATTGGTGATCAACAATAACAAAACAATCCCAAGTGGAACACTCCCCGAGTCTATCACATCATTGGACCTAGGCTATAGTCACGAGTCCGCACTGACTGAAGGAGTGCTACCATCAAACATCAAGATGCTGAAGATGGGCCATCTTTACAAACTAAAGGCTAAAGAGACTGTGCTACCAGATGGTCTAACTCATCTCGAGATTGATCGTTACAGACAACTAACGTATGTTCCAAAGAGACTGGAGTATCTGCACATTCATGAGCAATCCAATGCCAAGTTTGGTGTGAAGTCTCTGTCGTCTCACATTGGAACATTGTCTCTGCGTGCTGAGGTACCAAAGTTGAATCGACGAGGAAACAACAATCGCCAGGCAGAGTTTATGGAGTCGGTCGTGGCATCCATACCCAATGTGATAACGTACAATGTTGTCTTTCAATTGAGTAGAAACAATCACATCAGACATATAACAGTACAATGTAGACAAGTTGATAATAGACATGCAATATGTCTCGTTCGATGTGGCTTGAATTTATACTTTCAAACATTGACCTTTGAACTTGTAGAAGATGACCAATAGTACCAACAAATAAACTAAGATATACATAATGCTCATTCATCATTCAATCATTCAATCATTCCAGACTAGTCTTGTGGAACACGTGTTCTTGTTGGGACCAACAATGTAACCCCATCCAGAGTTGGACAAAGAAGGAGATTCCTCAATTTAGAGTTTCATTTACAACTTCACACTAAATTGAAAGAGATAAAGATAAAGAGTTGGACAGAGATATAGATAGTGATAGAGATATATAGACACAATGAAATGGGATTTGAAAGATACAACATGTTACAAACAAATGGTTTGGAAGAGTGGCAAGGGAAAGTCAACACAACTACACATTGAACCAGAGAACATGACAATACAAGACCCATTCCTCTGGAGGATAAGTTCAGGTATGTTATGTATATCCAAAGATTCAATGTGATTGTAATACTAATCAATCAATCATATCATATCAAATCAATATAGCAACTGTTGCATCAGCAGGTCCCTTTTCAACCTTTGAAGGATATACACGCACTCTCATCTTGTTGAGTGGCAATAAGTTGGTGTTATTCCATAAGCAAACGCCACAGAATGAGATTGTACTTGAACACTTCAAACCATATACATTTAGTGGAGGCTGGGATACAGACTCGACATTCTCCCCACCTGCCACTGTACCCTCAATTGACATTAGAAAGAGTAGTGGCAAGATCAAGGCCTCGGCCTCGGGTCCCCTCGAGGCACCGACAACAGATTCACCCTCTGTATCAACGACCGACTTGTTCTCGCCAATCAACTTGCATACCTCACACAACATGGTGCCAGTCGATGAATCCACCGACTTCAACATCATCACGCGTGATAGCCATATACTGCACACATGTCGTGTGCACAAGTTTAGCAGTTTGGGTGACCGACACGAGGTACGCTTGGATACAATGTCAGAGCCAATCACTGGCGAATCATTGTCCACACCTGTTGCTATCAAGCGACAGACATTGGTGCTCTATGTGTTTGGTGGAGAGGTGATGGTACGACATGACACTGCCGACGGTGGCTACCAAGAGACCAAGCTAATGAGTGGCAACTCACTCTTTGTACAAGATATCAAGAGCAATGACATTGGAGCAATGCTCAAGCTGACCTCATGCTCTGGCGAGGTGCACATCGTCGTTGTCAACCTTTACGAACTCGACAATCCACAACTACCATCACAATGAACATCAATGAACGAGCAAAGTGGAATGCAAATCGAAGGGCTTGATTGCCCTGTATAATAATATTTAAAACTGTATACTGTAACAAAGAGGTTAAATATTTAATGTACCATCCCAGTAGCAACATGTTTGTTGTTGTTGTTTGTGTCTGTATGTTTGTTTGTCTGTCTGTAGAGTTGGATGTAGTTGCTGCTAGCAGTGGTCTGATGGCTGGAGAAAGGAAAGGAGGAGGAGGGGAAGGAGAGAGGAGAAGATGACATGTCATTCGGACAAACCTCAAGACTCTTCCCGCCTCAAGGAATGGTGGGAGGTTGTTGTCTACCAATCGTTGTTCATCGTGACACTGGATCGCGCAGAGATTGAGTCGTCGGTGTCTTGTAGGTGGTGCGCATGCTGTTGGGATTGCTGTGATTGGTTGTCCTCACTGATCATCGACATTGATTCGGTGTTGCTATTGATGTTGTTGGCCGTACTGCTGATCAAATCACTGCTATTGTTCGTGCCGAAGCTCAGACTCGAGTCATAGTCCTCCTCACATCCATCATCCTTCGTAGGAGAGACTTCGGTGTCCTCCTTCTTATCATTTCCAGACATATTATTGTTGTTGTTGTTGTCGTTGTTGCTACCATTATTGTTGTTGCTGTTGTTGTTGTTATTGCCGCTGCTGTTGGTGTTGGAAGCACCTCTGCCCAATATCGAGGGAGTGTCGTCGACTGCCAGAGAGGATGGTTTGTATCGGCCCTTGGAGCCCAGACTGCCCGTGCTGCTGTTGATGGAGCTGTTCTTAAACAATGATGATGACTTGGACGAGAGATGATCAGACATGCTGCTACTTGAAGAGTGTCTAGAGTGGGACGCTTGGTTGCGGAAGCGCTCGTCAAAGGGCACCTGCAGGACGTCCATCTCCTCGTGCAAAAAGTCGTCCACGTTCTGCGCTGTGAGCATCTCTTCGCGACTAAGGATCGAGCTCTCGCTGCGCAGGTCGAGCATGTCCAGGTTGCTGTGATCGTCCACAACGGACGTGGAGACAGTCGCGCAGTTGGACTGGAAGAAACGATCGCTGCTACTACTATCGTCGTGTGATGATTCGTTCAGGTGTGTCTTCAGAGAGGGCAGTATCGATGCGGTTATAGGTATGGGAGGTGTGCGAGTTGGGGATAGTGTGTTGTTGTTGTCGTCGTGGTTGTCATTATCTTTGTTGTCATTATTGTTGTTGTCGTTGTCATTGTCGTCGTTGTTAGCATTGTTATCGGTGTCTTCTGGTGATGATTGGGCTGCTGTCGTTGTCGTAGTTGTTGTTGTGGTTGTGGTCGGGGCATCTTCATTGATCGGCTTGATTGCACCTTGGTTATCCTCAATACTATCTACATTGTTGTTGTTGTTGTTGTTATGTACACTGTTGTTGTTGTTTCTATTATCTACATCTGTCTCCACTTTGACATCCACATTATTGTTGACAACTTGGTCATCCTGTTCATCACTCTCCTCACGCTGCTCCTGTGCTTGCTGCTGCTGCTGCTGTAGCTCCACATTAGACTGATCATCCACCTTGTTGTTGTTGACATTGTTCTTGATATTTGTAAAGCCCTCCTGGTTCTCTGGAGGCGGTGGGATCAAAGATATTCTGATCGCCTCCATGACCATCAGCTCCTCAATCTCTGTCTCTGAATAGGACCCATTGTGCAACAGATCCTGGAAGCGAGCCACGCTTGGGTTGGGTGGTACAGGCTTGGGTGGCGTGTACGTGGAGGGTGGAGGTGGGGCGTAGACAATGGGTGGTGGCACCAGTGGAAGACGAGCAGTAGCCGGCTGAGACTGCTGTTGCTGTTGAGATTGCTGCGTATTATTCTTCTTGTCCTTGCCCTCCTTCAGCGCCTTCTCAATCTCCTCTCGCTTCATCTGAATCGTCAACTCTATGACCTTTTGCTGTTCCTGCTCATCCTTTTGAAGCTCCTCCCTTGATAGGGGTCCAGTGTACAGTACCGAATATGATGGTTGATTACAAAATGGACATCTAATACAATATGATGTGATGTGATGTATATGAGTATGAAGGTCTTTGTATGTTTACATTTGACCAACTTACATTACAGTACTGGCATCAACAGTTGGCTTCTTGACTTGCAAGTAACACTCTGTGCATATACCCTTCTTGCAACACTTTGATCGATTCAAACATGGATAGAACTGATTGATTGGACATAAGTTAGTATAGTGTGATTGAATGATTGAATGAATGAATGAATGATCAAAGTGATGTTGATGAACATACCAATAGACATATAGGACACTCCTCTAGTAAAGGATTCTCAGTTTCAACAGAAGGATACAGAGGACATAGCTTCTTCTCTACGATCAGCTTTCGAATGACCTTTGCATCCCATTCACAATCCTTATATATTCCTGCAACATTTGTGTATTTACTATCCACTTGATCCTTCTTGCTTGTGGAGTTTCCCATTCTACACTACTCTACTAACTTCTACTACTTCTTCAACTTCTTCTCTATTTGTTGTTTGTTTGTTGTTATCTATTACTTCTCCGGAGATGTGGCTTATTCTATTTTGATTATTGATTGTGATTGATTGATTGATTGATTGATTAATGATACCTATTACTATTTTAGTTTGTGCCTTGATGGAACACCATGCCACGCACTCTGTATTTCTCTATCACTATCACTATCTCTGTCTAACTATTGCGCAATGCACTCACTCGCTCTCTCACTCACTCATCCAACCCAGCTCACTCAACTAGCATTCACCCTACTTCCTCACATACACACACTCACATTCTATAATACGAACGTGTTGTTGAAGATGGAGTTGTATTCAACCCCCTGTTCTGTTCTCCTTTTAATTTAATTTAATATAACTTCGATGAATGGTGGTATTGGTCTGGTTTGGTTTCAGACGTCAGTGCATGTGTGTTGAGGTGGTGCCGTGGCGGGTGTGATCCCGATGAAGCCTCTTATTGGAGATGGACAACGATGATGATGTGGTGGGGAGATAAGTCCAGAGACTTAATCCAAACACTATGAAGCAACATCTTCAATTATCTCATTTGCAACGAATGGATGAATGTTTATTATTTATTACTTGGCTGTCCTACCTTTCTTCTTGATTGGACTGTCGCTGGTTGTTGATGATGATAATGTTGCCCTGCTGCTTGACCTTGTTGTTATTGTTGATCTTGTAGTTGACTCAACATGTGATGTCTTTGATTTCTTATGTACATTGGTATCGGTCTTCTTGATTGTTGATGTCTTGCTTATCTTCTTTACCTTCTTTGGTGGTGACACGACATCCTCTTCCTCTTCATCATCTTCGTCATCATCATCGTCCTCATCATCATCGTCATCAACTTGTTTCTTATTCTTTTGTTGTTGCTTCTCATCTATGTGTACATTCCATTGCTGAGGTGGCGGTATGTTCTCTTGGTCCAACAAGACATTCATCTTGATTACTGTCTCCTCCTCATCATCATCACCATCGCCATCAACATCGTCCTGTCGCTTTGATGATGGTAGACTGAATCTTAATGACTTGAAAGGTGTGGTACTACCCTTGCCATTGCCATTTCCAGCTCCACCAATCGAGTGTCTCATTGCCGATTGGACACGGACTACTGATGAGGGGGCAGGCGGAGATGATGAAGATGCTGCAGCCATGAGGTTCATTGGGATCGGTGCCTGCTTGCGTGCGCTGTTGCTATTATTGCTCAATGGTGTCTTGGCGCCAGTGCTCAGACTGCCACTGCTGCCACTTGGCAGCTTGGAAGGGGTGATCGACGCGATGGATAGTCGCATGGGTGTTGCGAATGGCTTCTGAGCGGACGATGGAAGACTGAGACGACCAGGTGTAGCGGAGCCCTTGTCCTTGGGCGTCCTCAGCTGGGGCACGACAAAGTTGGTGAGGTCTGCAGACTTGCCTGGCGTCAGGCTCAGCTTGCTGGGGGTGGTGGCACTGCTGGTGCTGCTGTTGCTGTTGAGGCTGCTGCCGAGCGATAGACGACTGGGCGACTGCGTGACCTTCTTGTTGAAGGCGCGCAGATCAAACTCAATCTCCTTGGCCAGCTGCTTGTCCGCCGACATGATCTCGTTCAGCTCGCTCTTGTAGTCTTTGTAGAGCTCGCGCAGGTACATCATGAGCTCACGGATCAGTGGCGATCGCTTGTTCTCCAGCAGATGCTTCAGTTCGATGACGACGGGCACGATGCTCTCTACCACGAACTTCTTTACGATGCTGCCCAGCAGCTTGTTGCCGGCGGCTTGTGCCAGCGCCTCGGGGCTCTCCTCGTCGCCGTCGGCGGCGCGGTTCAGACAGCTCAGCTTGATGTCCTTAGACGCCAGCACCGCCAGCGTGTCATAGACGACATTGGCGCAGGCGGCCAGCGGCATCTTCTCCTCGGCAATGTCGCCCAGCACGTCCTGGCACAGTCTCTGAACCAGGTGGAAGCGACTGGCGTCGTCAATGTTCTGCAAGAAGGTCGTGTAGATGGTCATTCTGCGGCGGCGGTTTTCATCGCCGCGCAAAGTGAACTCATTGCTGCTGTTGATGTCGCTGTTGGTGGTGCCCGTCGAGAAGATGAGCGCGTGGCTCGTCTGATTGTACTGTGGATGCGCCTTGCACTCGTTCAGCACAAAGATCGTCTCGACAAAGTGCGAGTAGAAGATGTTTGTGGAGCCGCCATGCTGTTGCTGCGCGGACTGGCCGCCCGTCTTCTGGGCCATGGCGCCGTACTTGACCTGCAGGACGTTCATAAGACAGAAGTGGGCAAACTGGGAGACAGTGGGCGACGGGTCCACCAGCGACTCGACAAAGCGGAAGAACAGCGCGCCCTTCCACTTGACGTAGTCTTCCTGGAGCAGACGCGTCAGCAGGATGAGAGTCTGGCGACGGACCAGCTCGGACTTGTCGCGCAGACAGCGAGCAATGTTGGGGATGTAGTTGTCGACAAGCTGAGTGTACCTGATGCACAGGTCACACATGACGATCATCACATTGTTTCTGATCACTGGCGAATCGCTGACCTCGAGCTCCTTGGCAAATGTGGCAATGCATCGCTTGGCCAGCTTGTCATCACCAAGACAAAGCTTGCCCAATGTGATAAAGGCATGAGCACGGACTGATTGGGGGATGGCCGTGGAAGTGGCTGKGGKGGTGGCGGTAGCGGCTGTAGTTGTTGTGGCGACGCTCTGATCGGATGAGTGGTCCTCCTGCTTGGCGAGTGGCGCACGAGTTGGTGCGATCAGTGCTTGAACAATGGTCTTTAACTTGCTTGGGATGACGGCGTGGGGTATCTGGATGATCTCGCCAATCACAAATAGGAACTGTCCGAGTCTCTCCTCGAGGCCCTCGACATCCTGCATTTCCATTCCAAAAACATAGGACGATAGTCCCTCATCGCATATCGCCAGAATATCCTTTGTCCAGCCCTCAACAGCTCTGTCTGTGTGTTGCTGGCTTTGATCCTTGTGGATCCTGATCGTGGCCTTGGTAATGCGTGTGAGTCTGATGTTAGATGGTCGTCCAATCAATCATTCAATCAATCATATTACATACCTGTAGTAGAATGGAGATGAATAGCTGTACATGTTGGGGATGGTAGGAGAATTGCTTGACGCGAGCTTGGACATCGCTGAAGATGTCCTGTGCTAGCTTGGCTGGGAGATGTGGACATATGGACTCGACCAGTATCAGTATGTTGGTGACCAGCTGTATGATGTAGTCTGGAGCATCGTCGCTGTTGATCTCATCGCGATGCTTGTTCCAAATGGACAGGATGAGTTGCTGATCCAATCGGTCTGGACAGCAGTAGCCAATCTTTGAGAGCAACATCCAGCCGCCAACGGATGTGGACGTCTCTCCGGCCTTGGCCAGTGTCTGCTGCAGACTCTTGATAATCTGTGGCGTGATCAACTTCTTCTGCGACATGAGCAGACAGCACTTGTGAAGGTATGGTGTCATCTCGCGCTTCACAATGCGGTTGAGCAGGTCGCTGGCATCACGGCCATTGACAATGGCATCAAATATCAGCTCGCCAATGGCTTCGAGTGCCTTGTCTGACACGGTGGTCTCGCGGTCCACGACCAGTGGCAGGACGCCCGAGATCCAGGCGTCGGCCAGTGTCTGATCAGCGGTAAAGTGGCGGAACAGTGTAGTGAGCGTAGTGATCACCTGCTTGCGGATCAATGGGGACGAGTCATGCGTCCTCTTTGAGAGCACCTCGATGATCTGACGATTGCACTGAGCGTCCTGCAGACACAGCACCTCGAGCACCTGGAGCGCAGACTTCCTCACGCCGCTCTTCTCATCGTCGGCACGCTTGGTCAAGAAGGTCACCAGCGAGTTGCCCTCAGACGACTCCTGCTCAGACCTGGACGACACCAGCTTAAGGTGTGGTCTGAGCTGTTTGACGATCGATTCATCCTGTAGCAGCTGAGCCAGGCATGACAATGCCTTGGCCCTAACTGTGGACACCTTGTCCGATGAGCGTTGTACCAGTATCAGGAGCAGCTTTGATTGAGACGACTCCTCGCCTTCGGGCAAGTCGCCTTCGCCGCTGTTGTTGTTGTTGCCGCAGACTGCGTCCTGGAGGAGTGACAGAGCGACCTCTGAAGCAAAGGTGCGGTAGTTACTCTAAGATGAGATTGATTGATTGTCAGTATGAGTATGGAGCGGCACGTGGAATGGTTGTGGAGGCTAAGACATACCTTTGTGTTCTTGGAGTAGGTACAGAGAAATTGGACAAACTTGTGCTGGTAGGCTGGCTCGGCCTGCTTTAGAATAAGTGTGATGGAGTGGACAGTGTGCGCGCGGTAGTCCGCCTTCTCAGGCACACGAATACATGTGTGTTGCAGGAGTACCATGATGTGCTCCTGCGCCGATGGCTGTGAAGACACCTCCTTCTCGACAAAGGCAATGGCCTGGTCACGATCGTGCACCAGCTGCTTGGGCACGGTGATGGGCAGTGGAGACAATGTGTTCAGGGTGAGCGTGGGCACCAGCTCCTTGAGGACTAGCGGCAGCACCTTTGCCGCGACGCCGTGTCTTCCTCCAATCAGGATGGACAGTGTGCGATGGGCCAGCTCCACGACCTTTAGCTCTTCTGGCGAGATGACCATTGTGCGTCTGCCCTTGGCTGCCTTTGGCTTGGGTGGTCTCAGATTGATTGTGCGTGACACACCGATGGCCGCCTCGAGCGTGTTGTCAAAGGCGTCGGCAAACGTGTCCAGGGAGAAGCGCTCCAAGGCAAAGTTGAGGTGTTGGAGCAGCGTGGTGATGTTTGGCAGCCAGTTGAACAAGCTGTTGGACTTGGATGCGGACGAGGCGTGGCCGGATGATGTTGGCTCCTCCTCATCGTCCTCATCCATATCGTCGTTGTTGTCGTCATCGCCCATGATGGTGTCGTCTCCATCAGAAACTGCCTGCTTCTTGGACTTCTTTGATTGTGTCGCCTGGGATGACTGTGATGCGAATGGGTTGTCACCCGATGCTTTGGACGAGGCGGTTGGCTGCTTGACCTTGAGGAACTTGGTCATTGGACGGTAGATGAGCGGATGGAACAGTCGTCGTACCAACACAATCATGTGGAGGTAGACCGAGGCCGCGAGGTACTGTGTCTCGCGGGCAAACTGATCACACTCGACCAGCCAGTACAACAGAACGCTCAATGCGCCCGTGGATATATTGTGTAGCTCTATAAATTCGAGGAATGCATTGGCTGTCTGTGGTTGCTCCTGTGTCTGTGTGGCGGCGGCGGCGGGGTCGACGGACAAGCTCTCGTCGTCCTCATCTGATGCCTCTTCTTCTGCCTCCTCGTCCTCCTCGTCTTCACTATCATGCTCGCCATCGCTGTCCGTGTCCATTGGGTCCTCTTCACCCTTCTTCCTCTTGTTCTTGCCAGTAGCCGCCGCATTCTTCTTCTTCCTTCCACCTGATGCGCCAGCTTTCCTTGTATTCTTCTTCTTGTTGTTTGCGCGTTGCTTGGGCTTCTTGATGGGCTTTGCGGTGCGATTGTCAAAGGTGACGATGGGTGCCATGGGCATGGCCTGCGCCAGCTGTTTCAACTGCACCAGCATGGCCTCTAGATGTTGTGGCTGAAGGTTTGACGCCAACATTGAGAGAGTCTCCTTGTCAATGTCAGACAGCTCGCCATTGAGCACAGCACTGACTATATCATTACTAATTGAATCCAATCCAATCGATAGTAATACATCGAATACATTATCACCATTAGTGATCACTATTCTCTGTTGTTGTTGTTGTTTCGATGATGAGAGACCAGGTGTCTGTCTTGGCTTTCTTGCATTAGACATTATTGATCAATCAAACAAACATAAATATAATATCTTTCTTGATTTGATTTGATTTGATTGAATGTATGATATGTATAAGTATATGGTATATGTATAAATATATTTATATAACACTAAGTAATAATTGTTGATTATAAAGAGAGAGTTGGAATCAACTAAACGGAGTAGTGTTGTGTCCATCTTTTCAAATTTGGCGCCATTTTTCAAACTTCAAACACACAAACTCTTTAGCTTAATTATCTCCAGGTTTGAAGTTTTATTATTATTATTAGATTCATGTAATATTTAATGTCCATGGATATAATTCATTTTATATATTTAATAATAATAATATTACAAAGCAAGCTTTTCAGATATCTTTGATTATTAACTTCGTTTATTGTATATCTCAAATGGGTATCATTCTGTCAATAAACAAAAAAATCTAAATCTGGCGCCACTTTGTAAATTGAGTCGATAGTTTTTTGTTCCATTCATTCATTCATGTATCTCTACATAAACACTTATTACAACAACAGATACATACATATATACACATATTGATTAAATCTACAATATAGAGATGGATATCAATAAACAGAAAACACTACTACCACAACAACAACAACCTCAACAAAGGATTGTAAAGGCAAAGACTGAACCACCTGGTTCACCAAAACCATATATCCAGGAGGATGATGATGATGATGAAGAAGACAATGACAATGACAATGGCAATGGCAATGAAGAGAACGAGAATGAAGAAGAAGAGGATGAAGACGACGAAGTCGATGACACAGACTCTGAGAATGAAGAGATATACCTAAAGAGAGAACCATTATCAACATCAACATTATCATCAGCTGCCGTAGTAGCCTCTTCATCCGACTCACCAGCAACAACCACCACCACAACAACAACAACAACTACAACAACATCATCATCAAATTCGAACACATCATCAACATCAATGGCATTAGTAACTCAAAAACAGTTCCGTCCTTGCAAGGGAAGGATAACTGTACCGCCTGCAGACTGGGTCAACCCCGAGCTGCACAACCCATCGTGTAGAGCACGCTGTTCAAAGTGCCACAGAAAGAAGCCGTCGCTACAGCGCTGGTTGCCCAAGAAGTGGCGAGTCATACATCGCAACATATGCACGGGGCCCTGCACTGGAGACTGCGAGCCCGAGGCTCGCGCCAGGTTTCATTCAAACAACCAGCAGGAGGCACACTCATTGCTGTCTCCACAATTGCCCTCACCAACACAGCAACCAGAGACACTGCTTCAGCTCGAGCTGCCGCCACCCGTGCCACAGTCGTCTTCAGAGGAGCAGCTACAACTACTGCCGGCGCCCGAGCCAATTCGACCGCTGCCACTGATAATGACGCGTCCAAGACGCAGCACGGCGGCATACTCCACTGGCGTTCAAAACAACAACCAAAAGAGAAGAGCGACGACTGGTTCATCAAGCAGCTCGTCTGCCACACGCGACTTGCTGGAGCTACCAGTCCAACAGCCAATATTTTACCCGGAACCCTCACCAGAGCTCGAGTCATTGGTCACGATCAAGGACCATCAGGACTTGATCGAATCACATAATCAACACATCGATTCAATGCTCAAGGTGCGCGACGAGGCAATGGCGCGAAGAGATTCACTCAAGCGACTGATTGATCATAATGTGTGCACTGTGGAGGACGTCATGCGATTCACGCCATCAATGCTACAATATGTTCAGACTGAGATTAGGAGGACAAGACAGAGGACTGGTCAACCCACAACCGCCAGCGCTGGCGGCAGCAGTAGCAGCAGTAGTAGTAGCAATGGTGGTACATCATCATCAACTCGATTTGCGCCTCCTGACGACATTCACATCATATTTAATAGTAGCTCGAACGTTCATTAGTCCGTCCCTCCTCCCTCCCCTTCTTTTTCCAAACAAATGTATATAAAGCCTATGACACGACTGGCTAGTGAACCAGTCGCCCATGTACTGCAGCACCTTAGTGCTCGCAACTCCAATCAATCAATCAATCTTGTTCTTTGTTTGGTCGAGGGTATATATATATCTATAATTTATTATTGGAGGATGGTGTATGATTGTCGTCGATTCGCGTAAGAGATAGAGGAGAGGAGCGAGCAATAGCACTACATTCCTTTACTTCTTCTTGTTCTTGGCTGGCGCCTTCTTGCCAAAACCAAAGGGAGTACTTGAGCCACCAGAGGTGGAGTTGTTGAGTCCAGCAAATGGTGCGTTGCCTAGGGACTGAGCGCCAAAACCGCCAGCGTTGGCGCCAAAGCCACCCTGCTGCGATGAGCCCATTGGTGGAGTGGCACTAAATAGTCCGCCGCCAAAGCCTGGAGCAGCTCCGGCACTTGGTCCGAATGTAGAGTTGCCAAATGGATTGGAGGTGGCTGGCTGGGTCGCTGGTGCGCTGGATCCGAATCCACTGAATGGATTGCCGCCTCCGGATGCAAAGGTTGGTGCAGGTGTTGGTGTCACGCTTGCGGCAACAGGGAACGATGAGAAGGATGGGGAGGACGTGGTAGGTGGAGAGCCAGACGACGCGCCAAACTGGATCAGGGATGAAGTTGGCGGGGTGGGCGCAGAGGTTAGCATTGAAGTAGTGCCGAATGGGTTGCCCATGGTTGAGGAGCCGAATGGGTTGGACGATGCGCCAGCTGGGGCGCCGGTGCCCATGGTTGATCCGCCAAACGGATTCGAGGTTGCAGCGGCAGGGGCGGGAGTAGATGTAAATGAGTTAAAGCTCGGTGAAGAAGTGGATTGTTGTGTGAAGGGATTGAACGTTGTTTGTTGTTGAGCTGAGAATGTTGGCAGAGCAGATGAAGCTCCACCAAACAAAGAGTTGGATGATGTTGACGAGGATGTGTTGATAGTGTTGGTGGTGGACATTGATGATGATGGTGTGTTGTCAAACATTGATGAGGTGGACATTGCGGATAATGATGTTGATGAGCCTGTTGTGCTTGATGTGGATGGGTTGCCAAAGAAGTTGGTAGATGGCAGGGACGATGTCGTGCCACCAAAGAGGCCTGTGGTCGAGGTTGATGGCGCAGTTGTCAATGATGTGGCTGGGGTGCTCTGTCCAAACAATCCACCACTGGTGGCTGTGGACGACGCTCCCATGCCTCCAAACAGAGTGTTTGCGGTTGATGGGGTGCTCGACACTTGTGCCAATGGAGGTGAAGATGAACCTGAGCCTGAACCTGCACCGCTGGCAAAGCTGCCAAAGCCAAAGAGTGAGGAGGCGGGCGCCGATGTTGTTGGAAGGATGGACGCGGTAGATGTTGCTGGTGTCGTGGTTGGCAGGCCAAACAAGCTCGTGCTCGTTGCCTTTGGCTCCTCGGAGGATGTTGTGGTGGTGGCGCCAAAGTTGAACAAGGACGGGGTGGTCTTGGGTGGCTCAGCCTTGTCAGACGTCTTTGTCTTGTCCTCCTGACCGAATGTGTATGGCGATGTAACGATTGGCGACTTCAAGTCACTTGATGGCATGGCAAATGGGGATGAGATGATAGAGGCAATTGGTTGCTTATTCTTATCATCCTTGGACTTGTCACTGTCAGTCGACGATGTTGTCGTTGCACCAAAGTTAAACAAGGATGATGATGTTGGTGTTGTTGTGGCTGGGGAGCTGGTGAAGGATAGCAGGCCAGCTGGCTTGTCCGAGTCGGATGTGGTGGTGGAGGTGAGGCCCAAGACTGGCGATGTCGAAGCTGGCTTGGATGAAGGTACGCCAAAGAAGTTTGGCAAAGCTGGAGCAGATGATGCGCCAACGATGATTGGTGGTGATGACGATGCTGATGTGGCAGGGCTAGTTTGAGCAGCGCCAAACAAATTCAACGATGGAGCAGCAGCAGTTGACTTCTCGGTCTCGGTAGTAGGTGGGGAGGTCTTGAGCGCCGATGAGAAGATCGATGATGCTCCTGCTCCTCCAAATATACTGCTGGCGCTGGTGCTGGCTGCGCTCTTTGTGTCCTTGGCATCGGTTAATGGGGTCGAGTTGAATCCAAACAAAGATTTGGATGAATCTCCGCCGCCAAGGCCGAGTCCCAGGCCCGAGCTCAGTCCTGAGGACTTGTCATCAGTCTTGGGCAGGCCAAACAAAGATGAGGCTCCTCCAGTCGCCAAGCTGCCAAACAAGATGGGTGCTGGTGCGCCACTTCCCGAACCAAGGTTCAGCGTAGCGTTACCAAAGAGTGATGGTCTCTCCTCCTCCTTTTCCTTCTCGTCCTCCTCGTCGGACGGCACATAGAATCCCTCCTCCTCGTTGAATCCATCGTCCTCTTCCTCGTCGTCGGTGGCTTCGTTCTCCTCATTCTGCGCTGAGCTCATGAATGAGGATGTCTGATTGCCAAACATTGATCCCAAAGGTGCGTTGGCAAGGATAGACACACTAGACTGCTTCTTTGTCTTCTCAGGCTCGCCGCTGGTCTTGTTGTCGTCAGTGAGCTTCGCTCCCAATCCTGAGAACAGGCCTCCAGGTGCCATTGACAGTGAGCTTGTTGTCGTCATTGATGGGAATGAGATTGTTGGAAGCGAGGGTATTGAGCTTCCTGCTGTCGATGCTGTTGTGGCCGATGATGTAGTCAGTGTTGGTGAAGTAGAGAACAAGGATGAGGTCGTTGTCGTTGTTGTTGGTAGTCCAAACAGTGATGTTGCAGCAGGCTTATCCTTTTCCTTTTCCTTCTCAGTCTCGGTCTCCTTTGCCTTCTCCTCCTTGTCCTTTCCATTTGGTATCACACCAAACAGTGATGTAGAGGCGGATGTGGATGTCGCAGATGTTGAGGGCAGGCCGAAAAGAGACACTGGCTCCTTCTCTTTCTCCTTCTCCTTTTCTCCACCAAGATTTGAGAAGAGTGATGTGGTTGATGATGCAGGCTTGGTTACCTCGACTGATGGTGCGAATGATAGGCCTGGCGTATTGGTCTTCTCGGTCGTCAATGATGAAGGGAAGAGGGATGTGGTTGGCGGGGTGGTGGACAGGAAGTTGGCCGTTATCGTTGAACCAAAGTTCGCTGGGATGGGCGGGGCGACAACATTGTCGAGGCCAGGGATCGACGCCTCGATGCCGTCGTCCTCATAGAGCTCTCTCTTCTTCTTGGAGTCATATGGGCCAGTCTTGAAACTGACCTTCTTCTCTTGCTTGTCGTTGCTGTTGAACTTGGACAACGAGGATGATATCTGCGTGTCGAACAGACCGGAGCCAACTGCAGATGCCGTGCTGGAAAGGGCTGATGGTGTTGTACCAAATAGCGATGAAGCAGGCGCGGCGGTGGTTGTGGCAGCACTCGAGACCCTCGTTGGCTCCATGGCTGATGGCGTAAACAACGATGATGTGGCACTGGGAGTGAAGTGGTTGTTTGATGTTGTTGTTGTAGTTGATGCTGCGTTGCCTGGCTTGAACATGCTCGATGTTGTAGGTGTTGTGACTGGTGGTGCAACGTTTGTCACTGGTGCCTTGGACGATGTGGCCGGGGTGGACATAGATGTCGTTGGAGTGACCGTTGTACTCTTTGATTTCTTTACTCCGACTGGAGTGATCTCAACATCCGAACCCTCTTCGTCTGAATATGAAGAGGATGTTGCCTCGAACGACACCTTCTTGTTGACTGTCGCTGGCTTCTTGTAGTGTGACACAGCAGAGTACTGAATGGACTTGGTCGGGATCTCACTAGTCTCCTTCGAACTCTTTGGCTTCTTATCCTTGAGTGAGAGGATGAATGGATGGAGGATGTTAGTGCTGTGAATCATACATCAATCAATCAATCAAATACATACTAGTAGTCGTGAGAGACCGTAAGGGTTGTACTTGTAGTTCATGACAAACTGAGGGATCTTGGGACGAGTGATCGTGTTGGAGTCTGGCTTGGCGAGCGAGTAGGAAGAGCTGGAGGAGGATTGGTTCATGTTGGAGTAATTCAGATTGGAGAGTGCTGGACTGGAGAAGCTGTCGAGATGCTCCAGGATTCTCTTGGCTGCCTGGCTGGTGGCGGCGATCGTAGAGTGCGCGATTGGGTATTGCGACGAAGTCGTTCTTCGTTTCAGAGGTGGCTCGCCGCCAGTGCTGTTGACGACCATGCCTGGGTCGATCTCGCCAAAGTTGGACAGCAACTTCTTGCGGTAGAAGCTGTCGATCTCCTCGATGGAGAATGCGCTGTCCTCATTGCTCAAGCTCTTTGGTGTTGTTGTGCTCGACATCATCGATGCTCCTGTTGTTGTTGTTGGTGAATGTGTTGGAGACGATGGCTTCTGTCGCTTTCCAAGTGCTGAATCCACTACATGACGTTGCGACTGTGAATGTGATTGGTGTTGTGACTGTGATTGATATTGTGATGGATAGGGAGTTGTCTGTGGCCTGTTGGTCTTGAATGGAAGTGTCGTGTTTGATGGAGGGGTGAGGACTGATGGTCTCGATGTAAGTGTCCTGTAGCTTGGTGGTGCAGCCTGTCTCTGTTGTTGTTGTTGCTGTTGTTGTTGTTGTGATGATACTGATGACAGGTTGTTGATATCTGGATACAGGTTCGACTTGTATGTATTGTTGTTGTTGTTGTTGTTGCTGTTTCCATTGATGTTGTTGGCAAACGATACACCTCTGCCTGTATTAGACTGCATTGGTGCCACGAGTCCCTTCCTAAACATGTTGTTGCTAGTGGTCAAGTCCTTGAGTTTGAGCGACGAGGTGTCAATGTTGAATGTATCGACACCCTTGACTTTGGATAGTGCATTGTCGTATTCATTCTAAATCAAAGTAAAGAGTTGTTTGTTAACAAGTGAATGATGACCTGATCAATCATGTGACTTACGTTCTGAATCGACTTGGTGCCACTTGAGCCTTGCTGAGTGAGTACTGCGCCAGCATAGAATCTCTTAGCTTGTTGCTCCTCCTCCTGCTGCTGTTGCTGTTGTCGTGGCACACCATACTGGTAGGTCGGTGACACTGTCTTGGTGTTTGTTGTGGCCTGAGACTGATATGTATCATCATCATCTGAGGCAAGATCTATGATTTCATTCTGTTGTTGTTGTGGCTGACTCTGCTGTTGCTGTTGGTGCTTCTTTGGTGGAGGTGACTGTTTGGAGTCGGAATGACCATCAGCGTACGAATGGAGAGTCGCCCTCAACACCCAGCTGAAAGGCTTGACTATAATGTTTGTGATTGCTCCAATCACACCGCCATCATCTCCATCGTCGCCGAGAATATCTTGATCTCTCTCCCTCTCTCTCTCCCTCTCCCTTTGCTCTCTCTCTCTACTTCTGCTGCTGACATCACTTGACGACGACGATGACACCACTCCATTGCTCTGTCGTTGTTGCTGTGATGACGACGACGACAATGATGATGGACCACCACGAGAATAAGGATGTGAAGTTGATCGTGTGTTGGACGATGATGTCTGTCTTCTAGACACACTGCTACTCATTGTTGTTGAAGTGACTGATGATGAAGAGTACAACGAATCATCCATATTGTTATTCATGGTCATTGCAACACCATTACTACTATTAGTATCAAAGTATACAGTGTCTGTCATATTATTATTATGTCTGTCCAATGAGCAACACTAACATATAATATAACTAACTAACTATATAACTTAACTGTATATATATGTATGAATATATATATATATTATGTATATGTATGAATATGAATGAGAATGAGATGAATGAGACAATGTGTGTTGAGTTTTGTCGAATGTGTTTGTGTTTGTGTTTGAATGAAGATGAATGAAAGTTTTTTTTAACTTGTGTGTGCGAAAGTGACTTCGTCGCTCGAGCGTGGCTGTTGCAAGTTCATCGATGCCATCACCTGATCTGGATGCAGCTGATGGGCGAATGGCTAATGATCATTACACACGCAAACCCATCTTGTGGTCATCTGGCAACGATACTGGCACTATCAACAAGTACTCATAAACAAACAAATATACAAAAGATTAGACTAGAGGCGAGACGACATCATCAATAATAATGATGATGATGATGATGTTTGAGTTTTGATTAAGTTTAGAAAGAAAACAGTAAATAGGAAGGTGATCCTAGATGATTTAATCAAAGAGACCCATTCCCATGTCGTCGTCAGACTCCTCCTTCTTCTCCTCCTTCTTTGGAGCCTCCTTCTTGGCGGCGGCAGCAGTTGGAGCAGCGGCGGCGGCGGCAGCTGGGGCGGCAACGGCGGCAGCACCGGCGGCAAAGTTGAACACGAGATCCTCAACGTTGGACTTGGCGAGGACACGGGCGTACAAACCTGGCCAATGTGGCTGGAACTCTACGTTGGCAGCATCAAGGAGAGCCTTGATCTTGTCTCCGGTGATGGCAATGCCGTCGTCGTGGAGCAAGAGGGAAGCGTAAACGCAAGCCAATTCTATTAATGTTATTATTATGTTTGAGTGAACGAATGGTAAGTTATATATTCCACCTCTTTGAAATCATCAGCACCTGGTTGATTGGTTGGTTGTAGAGATCCTCGCGCATCATGATCATCATCGCCATCATGATCATCATCATCTTGTTTGAACTGATTTGTTGTGTTATGCCAAGATGAGGTAAGTTGAGTTTAGTTGAGTTGGGTAATTGTCGAGTGTAGTGTGAGTTAAGTTAAGTTGAGTCTAGAGCTGATTAATGCCACATTCTAACTCTTTGTGTTGTACTACATCTGAGACGATAATCATTGTATAAATCATTGATTGATCATTTGTTGTCGTGTTGATATATAATTATAACTATGAATATTATTCACTGATGATGATGATATTGTTCGCAAGCTCATTGCTCTGTTGTTCTCTGTGCATCAACCAACCAACCAAGTAGTGTAGTAGACCTCTAATGTTGTAGATGATGAGACACTAACCTTCAGTCTTGATATCCATATTGTATGTTTTCTTTCTGAGCCTGTATGCTTGAATGTGTGACAAACTGTTATTCGTGAAATGACCAAAGTCTGTTGCCTCAGGCACAAGCAGTGCATGCACGCTCACCAACACAATCGGTCTCGCGCACCTCATCATGGGAAAAATAAAATAAATTTAATTCATTTATTCATCTCATGAGAAATGAAAAAAAGTACCACTCTCCTCTTTCGAAACATTTACATACTTGTGTAACTCTCTTGCACTCGAACTTCAACACGATCAGATCGAATTTTGGACTTGAGTTTGATCACCTTCGTTTGTATAATGTTATGATTACTAGTTATATTGTATCATTTAGTTAATCTTAGTATCGCATATTGATATTCAACAAATATTTGTTATATCTCTTGATAATAATAATAAGTTGATTATCTGTTTGATCGAACAATTCAAAGATTTGATGTGTTTGAAAAAGAATGGACCTTGTTCCAAAGATAGACCATACACACCCACACACCAACTTCTTCCATGTTTCCAATCAGATCTGATCATGGACATGACCACTGGAACAATAAGGATACTTAAGGTCACATCAATCATTCATTGGTATAATCAACATCAACATCATAATCATCATCATAAAGTATAAGAATAATAATGGACACTCAATCAAATACAAACTCAAACATTAACAACAATATTAACAAACATATAACAGAGTTTACATTGGATAATAATACATTCAATGTTGATGAAGTAGTTAGATCACCAATCAATGGTATAGAAGGAGGTTGGATATTAGATAATGTATTGTCCCCAAGTGAATGTCAATTGATTGTGGATAGGATGTTCATTGATCAGACCGAGTCTACAAAGAACATGCCCTCACAACCAGTGTTATGGCGTGGATGGTCCGACAACTCTGACCAAGAGTACAAGAAGTTGGGCATCCGTGTGATCAGAACATCCGAGGAGCTGGCCACATCTCTGACAGCGCGCATCGTCAAACACCTGCCAGGCAAGTTCGAGACTTACTCGCCATCGATCAAACAGACGATCGAGTGGTCGCTCACAGGTCTGTCACACCGCCATCGCTTCATCCGCTACGACCAAGGCCAGGAGTTCCCCACACACATGGACGGCCCGTACAACCAGAGTGACCGCGACACCAGCTATCTGACCTGCTTGTTCTTCCTGAATGAGTATGGCGTCGACTTTGAAGGAGGTGATCTGAGCTTCGTCGAGAATGACTCGGCCGCCAGTGCCGTCCAACCATCTGCACCCGGCGACACCTATGCCACCAAGACCATCACAACACTCCATCCCAAGACAGGACGCGTTGTCATCTTCCCACACAAACTTCTCCACACCAGTTCGCCAATAACCAAAGGTCACAAATTCCTTATCCGTAATGATATAATGTATAAATGTAAATAATTAGATAGATAGATAAACTAGTTTCCAACAAGTTATGTCATGTCATGTCATGTAATGTCATCATACTTATGATCAAAGTCGACAAGACTATCCGTATCTGCAATCTATTAATCTGTGATGCATCACCCCTCAACGAACCCTAAACCCCAACAATCCAAAATGCCAAGCGAGCTAGAGGGGGTTGATGCTTGAAACAAAGGAATAAAAAAACACAAACTGTTTGTCGATGTCGATGAGAGTTAGTGAGTGAGTGTATATTTGTACAAGCGGCGTTGTGTTTGTTGTTGACCACTCCCCTCTCACTTTAGGTTCATTTATCAAATCTTAATTGTAACTCTTCTTCTTAGCTTAGGAGTATCATTCATTAACTTTTATTGCATCGCTCTCTAGATAGATAGATACATAAACATTAATATATACATATATATATATTACATTATTATTACATCTACACTTTGGATTAAGCATCATCATCATCATTGTATTAAAAAGTTTAGTTTAGGAGTTAGTTTGTGCTTTCATCAAAAGAGATAATTGTGTTGTGTAATAATAGTAATAATAGTAATAATAGTAATAAGTAGTAATAAGTAATCAAACGATCAAATTAGAATAATATAATATAATATATTTTTTAGATGTCTTCAGAGGATAACACCTCCTCAGGAGGTGGAAGTGGAAGTGGATTAGGTGGAAGTAATGGATTACAGGGTTCAAAGTCATCAATACTTGGTAGACGTGCCACTTTCTCAAAGGCCAAGAGCTTCAGACGTGTCAACCTCGGTGAAGCATCACCATCTTCAAATCAACCGCATACATATAGATTCTTAAGTATGAATGAATGAGTCGATCAGTCGATCAGTCAATCAATCAATCAATCAATCATATGATCAATCATGTCTGACTGACATCCATTCTCTCTTTAGATGGCGAAGAATATAGTGGACCAGAGTTGACACAGATACAATCACCACCATCAACACCAAGGAGTCAGAGATCAATGTCGATTGCAACTTCGTCACCATCGACTGCGACACAAATGCCAGAGGAGGAGGATCACAAGACACCGGTGTACTTGGGCGCCGACGGCACATTGTACAACAAGTTTTACATTGCGATCAGGAATATTGCGTCGGAGGAGCAGTCGCCCAAGCTGCCCTCCTCCAAGGACGCCGCCAAACCATTCAATGCGAACGACCAGGTCTATCACAGCTTCCCCGAGAATCACTCATACGATAACTATTTTGACTACGAGCAGGCCGTCATGGACTGGCGCGCCAACGTCCAGCAGAGCCTCGGACCTCTGCAGCTGCCCCACAACATGGGTCGCACTTACAGTCGACCGCGCGTGGTGATCAACCAGCGCATTCTTTTGCGAAAGAACTCAGAGGCCTCCAATGACGACTCGTTCTCCTACGACCCCAAGATGCAGGAGTCCGAGCACACGGCGGACGGCGATGACTCGAACTATGGCCAGAGCCCTAGTCTCGAGCCCAGACATCTCAGACACCACGAGGACGACACCGTCAGCAAGGATGGCGCGTCAAGAAGCAGGAGTGGCAGTGATACATCGACAGGATCATTCGACGGCAGTGCACTGCTCGATGGCAGCAGTCCCATCGATGGCAGTCCCTCGAGCGGCTCGCTCACAGGCATGATCAACGGCAACCGCAGTCGCAGCAACAGCAGCACATATTTCGATCAGCGTGTTCTGCGCAATTCAATGTCGCCCAAGCAGGCCATGTCCAGGCTGGGCGAGTCGGGAGACTACAAGATGTCCAGGGCGGCTGACGAGCCGCTCACACGCGACCCCTGGGACTCGCAGCTCATCCTGCAGGAGCCCATTCCCGAGCTCTACAACACGTTTGAGGAGTACGAGTACGCGATGAAGAACTGGGCGATTGAGGTGATCCTCAAGACGTCCGTGCTGCCGCCACACTCCAATCAGCTCATCCAGCTGCCCTCAAAGGACAAGTCGGGCGCGGCGTCCGGCGCCGAGTCGGAGAACATGCCCAACAAACAAAAGAATTACTACGACCCGGCGATGCGCGACGCTCTGCTAAAGAGCCACTGGAAGATTCGCTCGGGACTTGTCATTGTCAAGAGCGAGCAGGAGACGCTCAACGAGAAGCACGTGCTATGCTACCAGGAGCTGTTCGACTACACGTACAACATCACCAAGTTCTTTGAGAGCGTCGAGATCACCGTGGACAAGGTTTGGAAGCGCATCGAGGGCGAGCCCAAGATGACGCTGATCGACGTCATGGATCGCTGGTATCGCAAGAAGCAGAACATCCACCGTCAGTCGCTGTCGGTCTACAAGGGAGGCATCTGGGCCAACCATCTGCTGATGCCGACCATCCCTGTCTACTGGAAGGACTCGCTCACGCGCAAGCAAGCCTTTCTACCGCCACTGCCCATCAAGGCGCTGAGACGTAGCGACATCAACTCGGAGCCAGACGGACGTCGTGTGGAGCTGGCCTACCTCTCACCCGACATGCCACTGGACTTTTACAAGCTGCTGCCACCCAACATGAACATTCAGTATATCCTCAGCATGTTTGACACGACCTTTACACAGTCCAACCCATTCGCGCCAATCGCCAGCGTCACATCCGAGGAGACAAAGCAGTACATCAAGAACGCGCGACAGTATGAGCGTCGCCTGGTGCATTCGTTCCGCTTCGACGAGTATCAGTCTTGGAAGGCTGGCGTTCAGAAGGATCAAGACGTCAAGCAGTCCAACAAGAAGGACATTGAGGCCATCCTCATCCAGCAGCCCTTCCAGCTGGATTCAATCACCAACCTGGTCAATGCGCACAAGATCTACTTGGATGTTTTCCAGGAGTTCTTTGACATCGACCCATCAAAGATGTACGGCGTCCAGCTGCCGCCTATGACCAGCTCCACCTCGCGCGCTGGCGTCAATGGCGGTACGAGCTCCACACCAAGCACGCCCAACATTCAATCCACGCCGGTCAAGCAGTCTGGCGCAACGTCACCCCACAACAATGCGCTGCTGAGCAGCCCACCCAGTCGCTCAGGCTCACAGACCAGCTTTGCCTTTGGCTCCCCGGCGTCCAACAAGCCATTGGCGTCGCCCTCCCAGACTTCCACCAGCGCGCTCTCCACATCGGCAGGCATCGAGTCGCCAAGGTATCCAAACGCACAGCTGGCCAACATCATTCAGAACAGTCTGAGCAACAACAGCAGCCCATCAAAGACCAACGTGCTTCACAGCACCGCCACGCCCACCAACAGCGGCGCCGGCAGCAGCAGCGGCAATGGCAGTGGCATCACCAATGTCAGCACGTCATTCGTGCCGTCTGCCAGCCAATACACACAGTACACGCAATACCTGTTCAACTACGTCACGCCGCAGACCTTCCCCCAGGTCCTCAAGCTGTTTGAGCGTGTCAACAGCGTCAACGCACACACCAAGCTCTCCACCATTGTCATCGCCTGTCTCTCCCAACCTGATGGCAAAGGTGTTGCACTATTAGACAGCATCATATCAGCCAAGGGTTAGTACATAGATTCATAGACTGATTGGATTGGCAGGTATACATTACTAACAACAAAACACAACTCCAAACAGACATATTCTCATTATACAGGATTGCACAGGGCATGTCATACTTTGATGCAGTACCTCTGGACCTGTATCCCTATCCAGTCAACCTGAATCAGTTCCTGATTCCATCCATTGCCAAGGGATCGACACAGGAGGTGATGCGTCAGGTATTTATGTATTATTATTTGAACGTCATCCTGGACAGAGTCCAATACTACATGTCCAACTCGGCAGCTACAGCCTTGGTTGCTTGTATAAACTCACACAAAAAGGTAAGTCGTCCGTCACTCATCCCAAGTCTCGCACATAATCACTCACCTATCCAACAACAGGAAACTGCGCATCATATTGGCACACAGCTACAGAGCGATAAGGAGCTACTGGGCAAGATCTTTAGGGCACTGAGCAGGAAGTCCTCATCAATCTCACATTGCTTCCTGTTCATTCTCATCCAGCTGTTGAGAATCCAAGATGCTGTCGTCATCGTAAGTGTCTACTCACTCACTCATTCATCTCATTCGATCGCTAACCAATCAATCAATCACAAACATAGTCATTCTTGAAGACAAAGGACAGCTTGCTGCCTCACCTGAGGGACTTGTGTCAAAGCAAGTTCCTTCACTCACAGTTTGCCGCACGACAGTTGTTCAACATCTTGCAGGAGGATGGCTGGAAGGACTTCCTGTACCAGGAGTACTCGGAGAAGGATGCTCTGATCTCCGACCTGACGTCGACGGGCGATCGTGGACCCAACTCCACCAACCTTCTCAGCGAGCTGGTGCTCGCCATGTGCATCAACGCTCTTGACTCAATCTCTGGCGCCACACCCGCTCACAAGGTGCGCTTCATCCTCAACGAGCAGTTCTTCTATCAAATCTACAACACTATCATCAAGTCCAAGAAGGTCGACAGGGTATGTCACAACGATGTTGTAATCATCATGATGTAGTATTAGAGTGAGTGCAGCTAACTAACAATACACCCATTTATAGATCACCGAGAACCTCTCCCGACTGTTCGCCAACATCTGTAAGCAGAGCATCAGATGTTCATTCATCAAGAAGAGCGAGAACATCAAGACGAGCAAGAAGAACACGAACGACCAAGAGATACAAGTGTCACCAACGGTGATGTTTGAGCTGCTAGCATTCGTGCAGCCACAATCACCATCCGATCGATCACTTGTCAAGAGCTGTAAGTACCCAACTTCCATGATGACTATATTCATCACTCACTCACTTCATTCGATCAATCATTCAAACAGACATGCTCGAATCACTGCGACACTTGTTGAAGTTCAACGACTTGTTTGAGATACTCAAGAAGGAGACAGCACTCTACCTCAAGCTGCTGATTCCATCTTGCAGAGAGGGACGCAACCCTGACTTCAACAGGAACAGCTGGCGCATGTTCTTCCAGATCATCCGTTTCCATCCAACGCACATCGAGTACCTGGAGAAGAACAAGTACCTGGCACACTTTATCGAGATTGTCAGCACCAATGCCAGCCAGGTCGTGCTGACCAACGCCCTGCACTACATCACCAAGCTGTTCTCGCTTGTGATGTACGAGCACCGTCGCGCCACACTTTGGAAAGTGTCATTCCACGACCTCAAGTCCAACGAGCGTGACGTCAAGACGCTGCGCGACTTCTTCATCGACCGACATATGTTCATCAAGATCCACATGGTCTATCGTAACTACATGGAGAACAAGCTGGCGGGTCGCCCCACAGATGGACGTGCCTACATCCAGTTGTTCAACCTGTATCAGGCCATATCGACGCTGCCCATCTGTCAGAAGCTGTTGAAGGACTCTGCCAAGAACACAGACTACAAGGAGGGTTTCAACAAGGTGTCAAAGTGGTTCAAAGATGATACTCAATCATTGATTAGATAGATAGATAGATAGTAGGATAGATGGATAGACGACAATAACTACCAATCAATCGATCAATCAATCAACCTCAAACCAACCAACAACGACGACCACGATGACTATGGGGTTGAGACTTCACCCTTACAACCTAACCAAGGCTGGACTACTACGCCGCCTAATAAATAGATTAACATTCTTCTACCTAAGGATTGTGTCGAACTTCTTTTGGTATTCAAGATGCCTCGAGGCCCATCACCTTGAGGCTTGGATACCACCGTTTCAAATTTCAAATTTTGGCGCGTCAATGTTCTCCAACCGTCATTGACACTCTCCGACAGTGATGTCAAGGATGTCACTCAATGTCTTTCATCTTAATATATTGATTGATAGAGATAATAGTAATAATATATATATATATTTAATTGAGATAAATCATCATAATAATATTAATATTAATATTAATTATTAAAGTATGGAGGAATCAATGTGTAATGAGCACAAGTGTTTGAAGAATACTTTATGTCTCGATTGCAAGGTTATTTGTTGTCCACAATGTATAGTTACTAGACATAAAACAAACAAGTATGTTACATGGGATCAACTCAAAGAGAGTAGAATCAAGAATGAGTATCAAGACTGGGGGTCAAGCAACCCAACTTCTAAGGAGAATTGGATGAGATTGAAACAGAGTGCAGAAGTATATCAAATATTACAAACTACCAAAGAGGAGGTAACTGATCAATTCGAACAATTGATTAAAGTGTTCATGGCCATGGAGCACAAAATCATGACACCAATCACACAACAATTGAGTATGCTTGAATCAATGATTGGCCGAACCATTAATGATCTCAGTCCTTTGGGTCACATTGCAAACACCAAGATCGATGACAATCCCACTGATGATGACTATGTTGATGATTGCGAGTACCACGATATGGACATGGGGAGAGTGGTAGAGTCTATAGTTGTAATTAGATCATTTGGTCAATTGATCAAAGATCCATCTATTATCGAGCATCAGACTAGGACAATCAAGAGGAATTTGGATAATGCGGGACAGTTTAATGACAAGGAGCTGTTATCAATCATCACTAATTATATGAACCATACAAAAATCAATGATAAGAATATAGTCAACATTGTACCTTGGAGAGTAGGAATAGATATTCCAATGTTACATGGAATCAAGAATATGATATCAGATAGTTTTGTTCTCTATCAACAACAACCTGAACGACTGCCACAAGTTCCACCTCAACTGCAGCCGCAGCCACAGCCACAACCTCAACCAAAGGTTCAACTTCAGCCCCAGGCACAACCGCAGCAACAACCTCAGGTTCAACCTCAGGTTCAACCTCAGCCCCAACCCCAGCAACAGCAACAGCCACAGCCACAGCCACAGCCACAAGTTCGACCTCAGCCCCAACCCCAGCAACAGCAACAGCCACAATCACATCTTCAAGTTCAACATCAGCCCCAACCACAGCCAAACCCATTTGACGGTCATATCTTGTCCATTTGGAATGATAACTACTCATTATTCTCTTTGCAGACATCACGATGGAGTGATGCAGAGCTTGCTGATCTATTCAGTCTCCGAACTGGAGACAATTCAGTTGTTTACGCTAGAGGAAACCTCTACATGTTTGGAGGATCAAATGGTACAAGACAATACCAAAGATACTCATTGGCAGAGCAACGATGTTATTCTATTAGAATAGAGAATATCCGAGGAGGGTCATACATCTCAGCTTGCTACGATGGTGATCGAACAATCTATCTTATTGGAGGAACTCACAATGGTCAGATCAATCGCTTTGACATTGTCACTGGTCGGTTCACAAGTGTTGGGAGGATTCCCGCAATGGTTCGAACAAGTAGTAACTATGTTTGTTATGGACGTCAGCAGCACACCATCTACATCTTTAATAATGGTGAATTATTCGCATTCAATGTACAGACTGCCGAGTTCCAAGTGCTCCACAAAGGCAACTTTGAAGATCATTCATTTTGTTATGATGGAGTGGACAACATCTATTTTATAGGAAGTACAGGCTTCAAGAGATTCAAGATATCAACAAGACTGATTATGGAGAATCTTCCGACATTCAAGTGGATTGGAACGCATAATCATTCCTTGGTGTATGATGGCGTCTATGGCATTGTTCATTTTGGTGGAAGAAATATGGACTATAGATATTCAATTCCAGAGTCAAAGTGGACAATGATCGATGATAATGCTGGCCTCAGGAATAGAGGCTACCACAGAGTTTGTCTCATTCGCGATTGATATCATTGTTTGGAGTTTCAAGATGTTGTAGTTCATGTTCTGAGTTGAGTAGAGATTACCTCCTCAGTTCAATTTATTATTATTAAAATTGAATATTTATATTTACTGCATCGTTGTTGTAATCAGGCCCTGGCACTGGCTTTTGGCTTGGCTGTGGCTGGCTTGTCGATCTTTCCATCACCATCCTTGTCCTTGTCCTTGCTGTCTGGGATGCCATCCTTGTCAGTGTCCTTGGGTTTGGTAGCTGGCTTGCCAGTGGCTGTCTTGTCTGGCTTGCCATCACCATCCTTGTCCACCACTTGTCTCTTTTTGCGAAGTGCATTCAGGGGCTCACCATATCCTGATGGCTTTGGCAAGGTATTGTCTTTAGCGTTATCAGCTGTCTCTGCCAGGTAGGCATCAAACATTGTGTTGAAAGGGTATGACGAAGAATAAGAAGAGAACTTGGACAATTGGTGATTATCCCAGTAGACCATGAGACATTGGTCCTTGAAAGCGTCTATGTAGGCCTCGCTGATGATCAAAGTGTTGAGCTCAGTCCATCCATAGTCGTCTCTGTAGAATGTGATCTGCATGGAACCGTCCTCAATCTTGATGTCCTGGAAGTTCCACTTGACATTGCCATGTGCTGCCAACTTGTACTCATAGCCAGCCTTATCACCAGCGATGATCTCGTAGGTGAGATTGTTCGTCTGAGAGACCCAGGCGCACTCCACCTTGGCCTTCCTCAACCAACAATCGGTGTCAGTGATGACACATACCTAAAGGGTTTTTCAGTTGGATTCGATGTGTTAGCATATCATCCAAATTGATCTACAGATCTATATGGGTTGGAATACTTACTCTCATATAGCCCGGTGCCAAATACTTGGCATCATCATTCGTTCGGAATGTCACTGAGCGGTCGTTGCCCTCTCTCATTGAATCTGAGATGGTATTGATCAGCTCACCTCTGAGGTGGCCATTCACCAGGACTCCATCTTCATATCCAAGAGCATAGACCTGGAAGGGATATGGCTTGGTCGATTTGGGAAGACGAGTGGACTTGGAAGAAGTATGAGTACCGTTCATTTATAAGAATGATATTTTGTTAGATGTTTGTTGTTGAATATTATTAAATAGTTGATAAATTAGAGGCCTCTAATATTTATAATAATTCTACTTCTCATCAACAAGCAGCATGTTGTTTGAAACTGGAATGATGTAAATCACCCTGTGGATAGCACCTTTATGTGATTCGCGACCATTCTACAACTTCCCAAGCCAAGACCAATACGAAATTTAAATCCGGAAGTCCTGAAAAAAAATAGTAATGGGCAGTGAAGGGTCACATCCACTTGTTCATGTGCAAGTCTGCTGGCGTGATGTTGTACATCAAGCAACTAGCCTCTCATGAGACCTTCACGGAGAATCAACAGGCATGAAGAGACACCCGAAGTTACCATTGATCAATGGAACTCATAGGGCTTAAGAAAGGCCTCTGGTAGGCCAAGGTCCACAACACAAGTTCTCATATTTAGTGAAAGGTAAGCCCATTCTACAACAAAGGACAATCAACAAGTCTTAAGATATTTTATCGTATATTATTTATAAAATATTACCACCTTAATCTTCTTTATTTATTTACATTCGCTGTCTCTCTATTTATCTTTAATAATAATTATATATAAGTATCTAAAAAAGTAATGGGTGTTATCATTGGTTTGGGTAAATTCCTTGGCGAAGCTCTCATTGGCTACGCTATTGGCAAGGCTCTCGACTTATCCTACGACAAGGTACTCCAAGAGTTCTCTCCGGATGCCAAGGGTGCACTATTCAGGAACGAAGATAACTCTTACCGAGTGCATGATCACTTTAGAGTATGTACAAATATATCCTTTGTCTTCGGGTGATAGTGTAGTGCATCATTCTGATATCCACCACAACCATTCTACCAATTTATATAAATGTAGATCTGTCTAGTCACGACAGCCTCTAGTTGGTTGAGAAGGGTCGGCGTCAAGATCTACGTTCCCGACGACCAGTTCCCAGAGTACGTTTTAGATGAGGTGACCGTTGGTGACAGAGAAGGTTTCAAATACGATCACGCATTTGGCAACGTCAAGTGGGACTTTATTGACCTCAAGGTGAAGAATGGCTCGGTGATCAAGGTCACTCTGTACAGAGACACACTGTCCAATGGCTTTGTGGATTGTGGCACACTCGAAGTTGACTCTCAATACTCTGGCAAATTCGCAGGTCAGTGCTTGATGGTCTACTGGGACGACGACAATGGCACACTCTTCACCAACAAGAACATGGCATACACCTCCACCATCCTGATCAAGAATCTGATGGGTGTTGAAACTCTGCCAGCTGATAACACCAGGTCACTCAGTGCCGCCGTTCAAAGGAAGAAGACGCCCAAAGCAAAGTTGCTCGAGCCCAAGACACCAAAGGACGTCGCCAAAGACAGGTTTGGTGATGGCACCCTTGAGAAGAACATCCCTGCCAATCGCTTCCATCCCGTGGACAAGTCACCATTTGTGGACAAGGATGGTGATGGCAAGCCAGACAAGACAGCCACTGGCAAGCCAGCTGCCAAGCCAAAGGACACTGACAAGGATGGCATCCCAGACAGCAAGGACAAGGACAAGGATGGTGATGGAAAGATCGACAAGCCAGCCACAGCCAAGCCCAAGGCCAGTGCCAGGGCCTGATTAATATAGCGATGCAGTGCACTAATTCCAACTAGAAATACACATTCTGAACATATTATTTCCAATCTGTCCATTGATGATGTACTCTTGTTGATTGATTGAATGATTGATTGATTGATTGATTGATTGGTATTGATAACATACATGTTTGGAATAGACTTGATGATTTAATTGATAGTTTGTGAATATCGTTTGATCGATTTGTCCAAGGTGATCATCGATGTTGTTTGCAACATGTGTGGTTGTTGTCTTGTGCTTCTTGGTCTGTGCAACAGCAACAGCAGTAGTTTTCGTTGTGGTCGATGTCTTGGGCTTCTTGTTCTGTAGCAGCAGTTGTTGTTGTTGTTGATGGCGATGATGCCTTTCTTTTGGTTGCTGACTGATGCTGCTTCAGTACACTCACGCTGCTCTTGTACTCCAGGTGGAAGTTGTCGCTGGTGTGTTGGACTTGGTTGACAACCGACACTTCTTGTTATTCGCCTGCTGCGTCATCAATAGATGTGGCTATTGCCAAATGATGTTTCCAAACCAATGAATCAATGTGGATCACAGCCTGCTTGAGAGCGAGACAATGAGGAGGTTACCAATGAAGACGATCTTGACAATGACCATTCTGATGACGATGATGATCATTAACAGATTGAGTACACGCTATTGATAAATATCTTTGGCCTTTGTATTACTTACCATTCTCATGAGATACACTGACGATCCAGGTCCATCCCCTTGTTTTTTGCCAGGTTATGCTTGAGTTCATTTGCCCTGGCGCATCCTGGGCAGTCAACTCCACACATATCATGTTGCTCCTTGATATGAGCAGGCATGTTGTGCCGGGTCCTGTGAGTATTGCAACCGCTGTGAAGGCACTTGATAATGTCATTCTTCCTGCTTCTGCCGCCTCTGCCATTGACACCTCTGTTGCCACTCTGGTTGCCCTTGCTACTGCTGTTATCGTTGTTATTGCTGCTGCTGTTGCTGTAGTTGTTGCTGCTGCTGCTTCCAGGAAGCCAGAAAGTAGGACGATCTGGTTGAGCTGTGAGCAAGTTGACTGCACTACTAGACTGTTGAGAGGACTGCACAACAACATCACCATCATCATGGTCATCACAGCAGATAACTTCAGAAGCAACATTGACCGCAGACAACAATGCATAGAGGCCTGAGGGAGCACGACTGTCACCCTCTCTGCCTCCATCTCTGTTGCCACAGATCAAAGGTTTGGTAGGACTCGAAGGTCTCATCACATCAAGGTGGCTGCCAGGCAGTTGACTGTTTGTTGTTGTTGTTGTTGTTGTTGTTGGCTGACTACTAGATACTTGACGTGCCTGACTGTTGCTGTTGTTGTTGATGATGATGGTACAGTTGGTGCAAAGGCCTTTGCTATTGTTGCCATGTTGTTGTTGTGAGCCAACATTCCGATCAAGTTTGAAATGGAATACCTTGTTGTCCATCTCATGATGAACAAAGATATCTATCTCTACTATGATGTTTGTATAACTAGGTTAGTATATATATCTATGTATATGTATAAGTTTAAGTATATGTATAGGTATGTATTATGACTCTAATAAAATGTCTTGTGTTTGTGATAAAGGTGAGTGGTAGTGGTACAAAGACATTACCAAAAAAGGTTTTAATGTAATTTATTTATATTTTCTTCTGGATCCCCTCCATTGAGGGGTTATAAAAAAGCTTCGCTGAAGTTCGTTGCTGTGGATGTGGCTGTGGCGATAGAAATTGGATGATATGGATACCCAAAAGCTATCATGGTCACTTGTGAGGGTGATCATGATGTCAATACTTGAGGGGAAACGGACATTCGATGTGTGTACACAGATTCAATGACACATTCGGTAAAGCATCCTCCTTGACACCTGATCGATGAACATCACCAACAATGTCTTGTCTTACGTTGTCGTCCAAGTCATTTCTTGGGCACAGAACAGTACATGACCCGATTCTCATCGTTTTTTAGGTAAGTCCAGTTACATTGGGCGAACCCAAACATCAAAAACGAGCCTTACACTTTGTTAAAATTGGAAACGTCGCTCAAGTTGTAGATTGGACAATGGATACTATCGTTCGATGAGACTAATAACACCTCTTCATTCGATCCCTTCTAAATGAGGTCGATATCACATCCCTTATAAGAGAGAGAGGTTGTACAACCAGCTGGACATCACAATCTTTCTTGCTCCTTCCTACAACCATTTATCTCAACATACATTGAGAGATGAACTCTGCCAAGTTACTTACTATTCTCACATCAAACGACTCTGCTGCCAGGTTTGCCGCCACCAAGCTATTGGTCGACCTGCTCAACAAGGACGATGGCTCTGCGCAACTCGTAGCCATTCTCAAGGCTCAACAGCAAGCTGGAAGTATGACTTCCGGCTGGAGCATTGCCAACTCGGTCGCCACGATCGCCGGAACGCTGGTCCAGTTCATTCCAGAGATCGGTCCCATCGCCGGTCGTGCCATGATCTCCATGTGGAATGTGCTGTTTTCCTTCAAGAATGGAATGGACATCAACAAGAACTCCGACAAGACTTCGCAGGTCATCACTGCATACAAGACGCTGATCAAGGCCACGGTCAACAGGGCCATTGGTGTCTACGACAGTGAGGCACTGCATGCTGCCTATGAGGGAGCCTCCACATATCTCAAGGCCTACACTACGGCACTCTCTGTTGTAAGTTGCACTCATCCACCATTCATTGGCCACATGGTGCTAACCTAGGATGCACATACCACCAGTACCTTCGCAACCCGAGCGTCGAGAACAACAAGGAGACGCTGAGAATTGCCATCTTTGAAGCTGAGAAGCAGTACGCCAACATCATCGCTCAGTGCAAAAAGGAGAGCCACGTAATAGCCGAGCTCTACATGTTTGCCATGTGTGCCAGCATCCGTCTTTCGCTGCTGAGAGACGCCATCCTCCGTGGCCAGGAGTGGGGCATCACGGCCGACTACATTGCCACCTACTATCAGGCGGAGTTCACCAAGTGCATCGCCGAGTACACCAAACACTGCACCACCACCTACAAAGCCGCCGTCGACAAGCTCAAGTCCTCGACGACAAGCGACGTCAACCTCTTCAACACCATCACCGACCTGCGCAACGCCATGATCACATACGTCTTTGACCTGGTCGCCGTGTGGCCGTTGCTCAATCCGGCCGAGTTCCCGGAAGGAGTCTACATGCACCAGAAGACGCGTCTGCTGATGTCCGACGTGGTCGGACTCCCCGTCAACCCGGGCGCCATCAACACCAAGGACTACTACACCGCCACCTACGACATGATCGACCAGAAGATGCACGAGTACCAGTACTACCTGTACCGTGGCGAGCACGACAAGTTTTGCTCACAGGCCGACGAGACTGGCAACCGCCTTCTCTGGATCCAGAATTCGTTCAAGACCGGCAACTCGTCGCCTAACCTCCCATCCTGGGCGTCGCCTGGCACTATGCTCGGCCCACCAGGCGGGGTCAGCCCGATCAGCACGACCACCTCGCCCTTCAAGACTATCGGCTTCAGCAACTCGGTGCAGGAGAGCATCGTTATCTATGCCGACATCATCCCGCGCAGCTTCGAGTGTTCGGTCGGCGGCGACATCACTGGCGGCCCCTTCGACAACAACGAGGCCAAGAGAAATGGCGACTTTGCCGTCCTGTTGGGCACTGAGAACAGCTGGCACTGTGCCGTAGATCAGTACAAGTTCCCCAACATGCCGACCAAGTTCAGCTACGAGAAAGATGCCGTCCAAGATCACTACATCAACCTGCCCTACGCGATCCCCTTCCTCAACAACATCATCACGACGTACCAGTTCGCCGGCCACTGCATCTACCATCCATTCGGTCTGGGCATCAACAAGGACCCAATGGTCCGCCCGGCCGGTACCATGGACTCGGCCTGCATCGCCTTTGCGCCGATCGGTCTCAACAACTTCAACTACGTGTTCAACAGCAAGGGCGCTACCTACCTCGATCCCATCAAGTGGTCCTTCCATACAGGAGTGACGTTTGTCGAGGACTCTTTCATGCCCGGCGTGAACGAGTGCATAGTCAATGCCGGTTGCTCGATCACCTACAAGATGGACCCAACCTTTGCTGGCTCAAAGGTGTTCTACCTGCGCTTCATTGTGCGCACCAAGGTCGCCAGCAAGATCACTGTCAGTTGGAGCACCAGCAACTACGACATCAAAGTGCCCGTGTGCACAATCTACGATGTGTTGGATGCCGGCACGTTGCCCGCCATCACCCTGTCGAAAGCGAACCTCGAGCAGAACAAGTTCACCATCAAGGTTCCGGCAGGTAGTGCCCCACTCTCTCTTCGATCAATCATCCTGTTGCCGAAAGGCGCCTAAAATGCCACCACCGCATTACCTAATGGTCCCATGGTAATTGGAGAGATAATAAAGGATGATTACCTTGACATTGGTCATCATCCTATATTTCCAATGTCATAAATTAATTAATTATTTAATAAATTAATTTAATAATATTTTCATTCATTTTATTTTGGACCAGGTTTTTTTTGGACATGGATGATGGTTTGGAGTTTGAGGATGAGAAGGGTATCAGGTGGATCACCTTTTAAAGAATGAGTATTATTATTACAAGTTATATATAACTAGATTATATTTAAATAATGGATAATAATAACAACAACAATATTAATAATAATAATAATATTAATAATATTGAGATATTGTGTAAGACACATAATTTAAAGAAGGATTTTGTTTGTTTTAGTTGTAAGTTAATAGTATGTCCTATTTGTTTGCCTAGTACTCATAATGGTCACAAGTTGGACCATTTGGTAAACATTAGAAAGAGAATGATAAATAATGAGTATTTAGATTGGTGGAGTACTGAAAGATTAGACAATCAATGGAGGTACCTTAAACAATTTGCAGGATATTATCAATCATTTAAAGATTCTCAGGATGATTTGGCACCTCTCTTTGAAGGTCTTATTCAATCAATTATTAAATATCAGAATCGAACAATGGCACCAATTATAGTTCAATTGAACTACATGGAATCAACTATTAATAATATTATCAATGAGATGAGAGGACCTTTAAATCAAGACAAATCAAAAGATCTTGGAGAGAACAATTTTCTCCAAGTTATAGAATCAATTAGGTCATCCAAATCATTAGATGAATTCCTTGGTAGTAAATAATTTATATCTCAACAACAACAACAATCACCAAAGAGTAGGAAGGATGACATAAACAAATTTAGTGATATTGAATTGTTGACCATCATTAATGGCCAACTAAATCCTTCAAACTCGGAGAATTTATTAGAGCTTCAATCATCAAGATTGAAGCAATACAACTACAATTTGAATATGAATAGGTGGAATCTAATGATTGAACTAAGGATTCGAATGATGAATTCCTTAAAATCAGATCCAAAATTATTAGATTCAACACATCCTCTATCACCTGATCAACCCAATGTTCACCATCAATATGAAGGTCACATTATATCTGGTTGGCATGAGAATTGTTCAATGATTTCTTTGGAAACATCAAAGAATATACAAATCAGAGAGTTCAAAGTTCCATCTGGAGTATTATCATTGGTTTACGCTAAAGGAAACATTTATTCATTTGGAGGAGAAGGTCAAAGTGGGGATTATACTAGATTCTCCTTTGCCAACAAGAGATACTATCAAATGGAATCTGATAAGATGTGCCATGGAACCCATATTTACGCTTGCTTTGATGGTGACCACACTATATACCTTGTTGGTGGACTGGGTCAAAGAAGAAGTCGAACTGTGGAGGAATTCAATATTGATACACAACAATTTACCAAGGTTGGAGAATTGGATTCAAAATTGAAGAGTATCAATGTATCATGTCAATTTGTTTGTTGTGGACCTTTGGCTTTCAAGACCCTCTATATCATTGTTGAAGGTAATCTCATTTCCTTCAACATACAGACTCTTTCAACCTCTATCCTTATGAAAAAGGTATCCAACATTGATCATAGAGATGCATATTGTTATGATGGTCAAGATAGCATTTATATATTGTCCAAGACATCATTCAAGAGATTGAGGATATCAACTAAGCAGTTGACCAATCTTTCACCTTGTCCAAACTATAGAGATTATCATTATTCATTAATCTATGATAGAGTATATGGAATTGTGTTTCTAGGTGGAAAGAATATGAACCATAAATATAGTATCGAAGATAATAAGTGGACTAAATTTTATGAACATGATGATGTAGATAGGATCTACTACCGTGGATGTTTGATTAGAGAACAAACATATTAATTAATTAAATATTTTCTGTTATTTTGTAGATCCAGGTCCTTCAACATCAAGTTTCTATTATTAGCATCCTCTGTAATTTGAAAAAGTTTGACTTCTGATCGGTTTGTTTGTAAAATTCAAATGATCATTTCTAATGTAATATTTTGAAGTCCACAACAAAAAGAGATAGACATATGATGGACGATGATAACAACAACAATAATAACAACTTGGTTTGTCCGACTCACAGTTCAAGGCGGCTAGAGTATATATGCCATGAATGCAAGTGTTTGGTATGTCATGCATGTATGACAAAGAGTATTCATATGGCTCATCACGAGAACCTTGAACATATAGACGACATCAAAAAGAGATTTGCAATGGATGAATGCCATAAATTGTGGAGCGATAGAACAATTGAAGGGATGGGACGTCTATGGGATTCACTAAAGGTGTGTGCAACGTCTTATCAATCATTGGATCAGTCTCAAACTCAATTGACGATGAGTGTTGATCAGTTGGTTCAGAAGATCGCCCAACAACAGCGTCAAGTCAATTCACAGATCATACTTCATATGGAGCAAGCTAAATTAGCAATCAACAGCATCATCAATGAGCTCAAGGGTCCGCTCAATCAGTACAAGTCAGAGCATCAAGCAGACATTTCATCAGTCATTGAATCAATCACTTCATGTACGACAGTGGATCAGTTCCTGAGCACATCGCCTATCTTTCAACAACAATCACACAAGAGAATGATATCACAATTGAGTGATAATGAGTTGTTGACCATCATTAATGCACAACTTAATCCTAGTGACTCAAACTCACTTAATGAAGCTGCATCGATATCTCGTCGCTTAAAGGAGTTCAAAGTCAACATTGACGTTGACAAGATTGAGTCAATGAAAGCGATGATCACAAGTGCAATCACAGCGCTCGCGTCTGCACGACCACCTTCTCCTCCCTCTCCATCTGCTCCTCCCTCTGCTCCTCCTCCACCTCCACTTCCACCCGCACAATCAAGAAAGTCACGACCACGTAGTTCTTCAAGACCGAACAAAGTGGAAAAGGTCAAAGAACTTTATGATGTATACATCTTCTGTGTATCTAAAGATAAGTCCTCAATGTTGAATTTGGAGACATCTGAATGGGCGTCCAAGGGTCTAATCATACATGAGGGAGCAAACTCGTTGGTACACGCTCGCGACAGCATACATTCATTTGGAGGCAATGCTAATAGGTCAGGCTTCACCCGATACTCCCTTGAAGGCAAACAAAGCATTCCAAACGACCTGTATTCAACGGAATCTGGATTAAACACGTTTGCATGCTACGATGGCGACCGGTGTATCTACCTCATTGGCGGTGCTGGCGATGCAGGACAGAGGACAGTGGTCGAGTACGATATTGACAAGCAACTATTTACAAAGATTGGTGTTCCCAGCACCAAGACAGAGCCGGCCTGTCAATTCGCTTGTTATGGACCATTGGGCAATGGCAGTAAAGTAATCTACATCATCGAAGGAGGCAAGCTCATCTCATTGGACATCACTCAGACACCGCATGTCACCAAGGTCTTGATGAACAATGTCAGCAACAACGTGGAGCAATATCAAGATGCATATTGTTACGATGGTCAAGATAACATTTATATCTTGTCAAAGACATCGTTCAAAAGATGTAAACTATCGACCAATGAGTTAATCGAATTGGCGCCATGTCCAAGCTATCGTAATTCACAATACTCAATGATATATGATATTGATTATGGCATTGTGCATCTTGGTGGAAAGAAACAGAATTGTCGATATACAATAGATGATAACAAGTGGACGACCATTGATGACAACGATGAAGTGATTGCAAGGAATCATTTCAGAGCTTGTGTCGTCCGTCACAAGCGCCCCTTGAAACTGAAGTGAGTGAGTGAGAGAGATTGTTTGAAATTCAATAAAAACGACAACTTTCACAAAACTTTCGTTTATTTATTGTTTCCATACAGATAATAATAACAATGAATAATACAATACAATTACAACAACAACAACAACAACAACAACAACAACAACAACAACAACAACAAGAATATAATGAGGTCACTATTGATCCAATAGCATTCCAACAACTATCATTCACAAGTAATCCATACTTTTATACACCATTTCAAAAGATTTTCAACAGGTCATTGGTCAAGTTCTGTGATGACGAAGAAGAGGAGGATAATTACAATGAAGAGGACGACGATGATGAAAGCACATATGATCACGAACCATTCGTAACAAGTCTTATTGATGATAGTGACAATGTCATTACTCCGACGAAAGTGAGCAAGCATGTGTCGTCAGAGTTGGTGTCCTCACCTCAGACTACCTCACCAACTTTGACATCGACGACATCATCAATAACTGATAACAAACCAAAGAGGATCATACCAAAGAAGACTAGTATACTATCAACAGTCAACACACAACGCGAGGCGACAATGAAGTTACAACAAAACCTAGAGGAACAACAATTACAACAACGTGATAGAGCGAGGTTGGCACGTATAAAAGAGTTGGAACAGCGTGAGAAGGAACAGAGAGATAAGGAGCAAAGGGAGAAAGAACAACGGGAGAAGGAACAGCGCGAGAAGGAAGAGAAGGAGATGGAGAAGAAAAGGAAGAAACAAGAAAAGGAGGATGCGAAGAAACAGGAGAAAGAGGCAAAGAAGAAAGAGAAGGAGGCCAAGAAAGCTGCTTCATCTCCAAGCAAAAAGAAGGACACAACTCCAACTCCGACACCAACACCCACCAACAGTGGCGTAACAGTGGCAAGCGTGGAGTCCGAACAATCTGCATCAATATCAACATCGTCATCGTCTCTTTCAACATCTGGATCATCAATTGCAATATTCAAACCATCAGACATACCATCGCGTCAAGCCAAGTCGCGAATTGGTAATCTATTCACAGGAACTGGCTCAATGTCAGCATCACAACCATTGGTTCCACCAGCAGTGCGCAAGCTGCCCTCGATAAGGAACAGCAACAAACAGTTAGCCACTGACTCATTGACTTCATCATCGTCATCTCCATCACTTGGAGCTGGCCCAGCCGCGACATCAACATCTACAACCCCTCAAGTACAAGCATCTACTTTCTCCACATCCATCGCGTCAACAACGAATTTACCAGCAGTCATAACACAAGCTCAAGCAACCAAAATAATACCTCCAAAGACAACAATAACAACAACAACAACAACAATGGTACCACCAACAGAGCCATTACTGGTCAAGAGGCCGAACATCTATCATCATATCGACGAGGAGATGGAGAGACTCATAAGCGAGACACACAAGAGGAAGTTGAAATGTATAGAGACAATGCCAAAGTATTACAAGAAGACAGAGTCTGTTGATATATCCACGATGGTGCCTCTGTCTGGCGACCCCATCCTCACACATAGAGGAACAGTACTCCAACTTGGAAAGTGTCCAGTCTTTGAGAGAATAGCTCTAAACTCTGAGATACCCTTGGCCAACTACTATCCTTCACCTGATGAGCCAATTGCATCATCGTCAACACATTGGACAAAGAGTGTATGTAGCGCGAACAAACATATTGGAATCATTCCTCAGTACTAACAAACATCTTCATCATCATAGACTGTACCTCAATTGTCCAAAGATCCACAGATACAGGCATTAGTGGAAAAGAATAATATTGATATTGTTCTGTCTTCGTCCACATTCATCAAGCTGATCAACAACATTGGACCAACTTATATCGAGGACTGGGAGGTACCCATTCAATCAAGAGAGTACAAGAATCAATTGGGCGAGACAAAGAAGGTGTTCATACTTGACAAGCCGTTGTTGAAGCGATCGATGACTCACAGGGAGAGGAACGAGAAGTACTACAACTTGGCTGTAGAGTCAATTGGCTTATCCAGGGGCGAGCAATCAAACTACCCACCGATCCATTTCTCAACACTGGAGGACCAGGCTGTCAACGACTCCAATCGCTTCCTCCGCAACACCAACCTCACGTACAATGTTTGGCGCTTTGGCGAGATGAAGCTGCTCATTCGTTGCAAGATCCACGGTCTAGTCCCAGACCCCTCTTCACGACTCAAGGTGAGATACGTGGGCATCAAGACCAAGGTGGAGTATCATCCTGACAAGGGACTAGAGGATGCACTGCCAAGCGATACGGCCAAGTGGTGGTCGTACACATACATTCGTCCAGACGCCCATCTCATCTTTGCCCGTATCAATATATGGAATCGCACCATCATGTCTCTGGAGAAGAAGGAGATGACCCACATACTGCATCCAAAGTGCCAGTTCAACCCGGCCAAGTCATCCAAGGTCACGCTGGAGCTGTTGAAGCATGTTACGCGTCTGCCCGTCGGTGCTCATCTGATGAGTCACAGGTCAAGCGAAAGCTATGTGCACTTCTATCAAGAGGCAGACGTAGCAAACACTGCCATTGATGAGGTGAGCAGCATGGTTGCAGACAATCAGTTGTACGACGTTCATCAACGTCACTCTACAATCCCATCGTTCGACCCCGATGTACCCTTGGTCACACTCACACCATTGCCAATGCCACCTGCTGCCTCGCCCTCGTCTGCCGCAGCAATGGCCGCTCCTACCTTCAAACCAAACAACCAAGGCAATGCACATCCTCCACCAAACATGAAGATATGTTTCTCCTTCGCCAACACTGGACACTGCAAGAATACATCGACCTGCAATTACTCCCATCTGACAATGGCCCAGATCAAGCAGAATGGTCTGGAGCACCAGTTGCAGGGACATGTTGGTAACAACAATGCCACTGGAAAGAAGAGAAAGGCCACCAAACAGAAGAAGAAGAATGATGGCAAGTCACATAGACATCATGGTGCTTCAGATGACTCATCTGGTGCAGGATCAGATTATGAATCACCCGCAACCGGCGCAAACGCATCAGCAGATCTGTCATACATCAGCTCTTTACTGTAATATCATCGTTATCCTCTGGAACATCATCGACTTCGTTATCCTGGTCATCCTCCTGGTCTTCATTATCTTCATCATTGTCATCATCGATCTGGGCATTCTTTGCGGATTCCTCAGCAGCATCATTCTCAGAACTGCGAATGTTGTTGGCGATGTGTCGAAAGCATTGAAGGATAACACTCTTCTCAGCTGTAATCTCTCGATTGAATAGCTAAGATGAAGATTGGTCTGGTCAACATGGATGTTGGATAGATCAACCAAGAGCCAACATTCATATACATACCTTTGAATACAAAGAGTTGGCCAATATTCGTGGCTTTAACTTGGCTTTAGTGTCCTTTCCAGTAGCAGCGCTACTCTTCTTATTCTTGTTATTGTTCTTGTTCTTTGAATAGTCCTTCTTCTTTTCTAATAGTTCGGTTGTATCTGGTATTTCTACCAAGGTTTCTAGACCACTCTGTTTGAAGTGCTCCAAGGTGGAGGGAGTCTCCTCAATCTCTCCATCCTCTTCGCCTACTTCATGTTTGTCCAGATCGTTGGACTCATTCGTTTCATTCTGTACAGTGTTGTTGTTGTCAATGTCTCCATTGTCCAATGTTATATCTTTGGTTGTTGCAATAGTTGTAATTGTTGTAGTTGTTGTAGTTGATGTAGTTGCTGTATCTGTTGGGTTGGCCTTTGATCTTGATGATGGTGATTGATTATGTCTTGTCTTGTTTCGCTTGTTCTGCCCTTGATTCGTCAATGCACCTCTCTTGCGAGACTCTGCAATCATTGCCTGTTTGGCCTCTATATTCTCCTTTGTTGGATATCGTCTTCTTCTCTCATCTAGATATCGTTCTATATCCTCAGGTGTCTCTTGTATCTTTATCGTTCGCAGTCTCTGATTGAACATCTTTATACGCTTGATTTCGTCCAGTGCCTCATCGTCCAACTTGTCCTCATCATTCTCGCCGAATGGTTTGGTCTTGTTGCTACTGCTACTGCCACTTCCACCTCCACTACTGCTGTCGACTGTTTGACTTCCTCCTCCAGTCTGGCTGCCTCCACTATTGTTGAATGGTCTGCCCGAGCCCCTACCTCTACCTCTGCCTCTACCCGGTGGACCTCCTCTATTTGGTGGACCTCCTCTTCCTGGCTGACCACCTCTATTACTATGTCCTCCTCGCATAAATGGTTGTCTCTGTACATTGGGGGCAGTCGCGATTAAGGGAGCAGGAGGTCTATGTGGTTGATGTGGCTGCGGTTGTACAACAGCAACAGGAGGTGCTTGTTGTATTGGCTGTTTCTGTACAGAGTACATTGCAACCAGTTTAGACAGGTCCATCTTTATATGTTTATGTGTCCGTGAACAAACGAACGAGTAATTGAATGAATGATTGAAAGACGAGAATGAGTGTGTTGAATAGTCGAGTGTTTCTTTTTGTCGCTCGCACAGCGAAGGAAGGGAGTTTATTGGCAGCATGATGGAAGGTGAGTTGGGATATGATTGGATGCACCTCTGGTTACTAAATGCCAAAGGTGTTTAAATACATAGTTAGAGACAGACAGACAGTGGAGGGCGTATGTCTGATTAGTTGGTGCTCTGAACCCATCCCTTGTTCTGGCTGTCATTCTCGTTGTCCTCGTCCTCAATGGCATCCTCATCCTCTGGATCGAAAGCATCGTCGGGCACCGAGTAGATGTTGACGACTGGACGGTTTGGATCGCGGTGCAGCAGGTACTTGCCCTGTGGCAACTTGGCGCAGGTCTCAATGAGGCTCTTGGCGATGGCCCATGTGTTTCTCATGTCGACACGGTTCTGGTTGTTAAGGCTGGACACGGTGACGAGCTGCGAGGCGAGCAGCTTGTGGGCGGTTGGCTCCAGTGGGTTGGTACGTGACACGTAACCCAAACTCATCATGTCGATGCCTCCCAGGGTGGCCTGGATCGACCACTTGGCAAACTTGGTCGAGTTGTTCTTCATCTCGTTGGCCAGGATGGATGCACGCTGGTTGTCGATGTTCTTTCTGAAGTCGGTCGATTGATCACGTCTTGGATCAAACTCGTTGGTGGCCTTGATCGCGATGAACTTGGTCTGGCCCTTCTCGAGGACAGCGCCGTCCACCTCGGTACGAGCCAGGACGACCAGATCGTCGCCCAGGTCATACTTCATATATCTGTATCCGACGGTCACGCAGTTCTGGCTGTCGTACTCGTCCTCTTCCAGCTCAGTCTCGAATTTATATGCTGGAGTGTCCTGTGAAAGAGCCTGTTGTTGGTAGTTCTGGTTGATAACTGATGCCTCGTTGGAGAGCGCAGCTGGTGAGTTGATTGGGTCCTTGTCGTCGTAGTGCAGGTTGGCATTCTCGTAGACGGTGATGTTGTCAGTGGTGCCTGGTCTGTGCTCAAAGAAGGTCTTGCCTCCGACACGGATGACGACGATGTCCCACGAGTAGACGGAACGGTTGGCCGTCATCAGTGTGGCCAGGATCGAGTCTGTGATGTAAATGCTTCCGAGCTGGTAGTTCTTTCTGAAGAACTTGTCGTCTGACGTTGGGATCAATGGTACGGCCTTGTCATTCTTGATCAAGTTCTTGTCGTCTCTTGCTGTTACTCTCTCAACATTAATGTTGTAGTATTTGGCTGCACCACATGTTGCGCTGTATTGATTGGGATGATAGATTGAGTGAGTTAGTGATTGAATTATTGATTGATTGAGTGTAGCCGCGATGGGATGACACATACATGAGCTCTGGCTGTGGGGCTGTTTCGAGGTAGAGTGTCTTGAGTGGAGTCAAGTCGATCTCCTGCTTGTTCTCCCAAGTGGGCTGGATCTCGATTGAGGACTCGCGGTTCTTCTGACGACGATCGTTCCAGAAACGGTTGAATGGACGACCTCCGCGCTTACCACCGCGCGATGAGTAACGATCGAGAATGACACGACCGCCCTGTTGACGCTGACCACCACCGTAGCCACCACGCTGGTTGAATTGACGTGGTCCCTTGTTGTGGAATCTGCTCTTGTTGACTGTTGGACGAGAGTAATCGACCAACTGGAAGCTCTCCTCGTCCTCCTCCAACTTGAATGTGAATGGGTTCGAAGCGTTGGCTCCATAAATGTTCTGTCTATCTATATTATCGTAATCATTATCGTTTGATGTAAGTATGATGATGATGATGATGTTGTTGTTGTTCATCTCGCTGTCCGCTCAATCAATCAATCATTCGGGACCAATCGATTACTGATCGCGACTCGCTCTGTTTAAGCTGTGACCTGTCGATGATGATGATGATTATGATGCATACGATATTGCTTCATGTTGGAGTTCCAATCGGAGCACTTTCCAATCTTCTCGCTCTTTGAGAATGGAGCATAGGGGATATCGTTGAACTTCTCCAAACTGCCAGTTGGACCCCATCCATCTGTGTTTGCTTTGATTGTCGTTAAATCGAATGATAGCGACATTGTCTTCTTCTTCTTCTCTGTAACTAACTAATATATAATAATAATCAATATATAACAGTGAATGAATGAATGGTTGAATGATGATAGTGTTTCACACAAAAGTTAAAGACAGGCTTACCTTGCGTATTCACCAAAGTCTGTGAGTCGTGTGTTTCGACTTCAACACATTCAACACCTCACTTCACTCACACCCTTGTTTTTATTTTATCATTTTCTCAACATTTTTGATCAAAAAAAAAGCCCGGGCTTTATTTGATTATCCCACTACTGATCAAACCGAATAGGAATAGTTCCAGTAGGACTAAGTTACTTTGATTGAATGAATGATTATTTACCTTTTAATAATGATGCAATTTGTTTGGATGAATAATGATTGGATACTCGACTGGAAACGAATATTGAAATTATGATTGATGAGAGGATGACACCAAAGAACCAATAGTAGGGGAATTGGAACGAGAATGGTAGTTGAGTGAATAGGTCGAATTGTAGTGTAAGGGTGATCGCCACACCAAGTCCAATGAACAGTCCAAGTGCAACGGAGCAAATGATCAACACCAATGCCTCGTAGATGTAAATTCGTTTCACTTGGAATCCAGTCAATCCAATCGATCTCAATACACTGAACTCCCAAGCATTCTCATGGATGTTGGCGGCGAATGACACTGAGAGCATAAAGAAACACAGCACGATCGATATGCCCGACACCGTGTAGAAGAACAGCTCGAGCAGCTGGACGGCCGTGACGGTGGTCGCCAGCAGGTACGCTGTGTCGAGCACTTGGATCGAGTCGGACTTGAGGAAGTTCTTGCAGCCATTGACAATGAACTCGCGCGCCGACTGCGATGTGTTGGGCTTGAGTCGGATCAGCAGACGCGACTTGGGCGTCTGGTCGGGCAGCACGACCGTGGGGTCGACAGTGAGGTTGTGCACGAGCCGCATGGTCTCTTTGAACTGGTCGATGCTTATGAGCACGGGTGAGTTGGCAACGGTCTGGGAGTAGCTCGAGAAGAAGAACGAGGGGAACATGGACACCATCGACTGAGGCTTGGCCAGCAGCTTGACCGTGTTGTTGACGCCGTCGGGTGCCTGATCAAAGAGTATGTCCAGGCTGAATGGAGTGTTTGTGTCCGCGCCAACATAGAGCGCAAAGGCATCGGATAGAACCATGTCTGTGTAGTTGCGGTAGATATAGTTGTTTGATGGAATTGATGAGGACCATGATATGTTTGGTTGGCTGCCATTGGAGATCACATCGGGTGGTGGAGTTATCTTGTTGTTGGGGTCCAGTGTTATGACATCCTTATGCTCATTGACGTAGAGACTCCTGATGATGTCTGGTCGCTTGAGGTATTGTGGGAATACAAGTCGCGGATTGGTCTTGGTGATCCGATAAAAGTCGAGATAGGCCGTGTCAAGATAGTTGGGCTCGATGCCGTACACCTTGACCTGGGCCGAGGGGTATTGTGCCAGTGGATAGAGTGTCGTTGATACTATATTCATCACATTGTCCAGACTGAATGTGGCGAATGAGTATGACATCACTGCTGTTGTGGCCGAGTTGTTCACCAACTCATTGTTGAGGAATGCACGCAAATCGTCTTGAGGCAGCTCAAACTCTGAGTTGGTGCTGATGACTGCGATGTCAGATCCGACACCCAGTCGTACAAGTTGCTGGATGTTGTGGCCTTGAAGACGGAACACACATCCAGTGAAGATGATGAATGTGAGACAGATTGTAAACATCATTGATGTTTTGGCATTGCGACCACGATGAGATGATAGGTTCTTTCTGATCAGACTGTAGAGTGTGCGGCGGTCGGGTCCCCACACCAACAGGGCAAGGAACAGGCGTTCGAGGAGTGACTGCACAGACTGTGCGAGCAGCGCCAGTCCAAATAGCATGGCTAGGAGGATGGCGGTTAGCACGCCAAAGAACAAAGACATGTCACTAAAGATGAAGCTGAGTGGTATCAGGTAGTAGACGGCGAAGCCACAAGCCACGCATATGATTGAGATCACTGTGTGCAATGGATTGAAGCCAATGGACTCTAGCTTCTGGAACTTGACCATTGTCTCGGACTTGACTTGGTGGTAGATGTCCAGGGCATCACGCAGAGTCTTGCTTAGTGCTCGTTGGATAGGCACAATGTTGGCCAGGATGGGCAGCAGCAGGCCCATCACCACGCCGACCAGCACAGCTTGGCCATGGAGGTCGAGGTTTACAGGAAGGATCACGAACTGGTATATAAAGTGCGCGACCACAGCGTAGCAAACCCAGCCAAAGATCAGACCGAGGAGGATACCCGGGATGCTGAAGTAAAGTGACTGGACCAGCAACAGGATGATCAGGGTGTGATGGCGCATACCTTGTGCACGTAACATGCCATACTCGAATGTCTTGCCCTCTACATCGCTGAGGAGTAGACTGTATATCATTAATGCGCCAAGCACCAATAATACTGCTGCCACACAATTGAATATCTGGTCCAATGACATCTTTGGATACATAAACATATTGAGTGCAGATGCCAAAGGTGTTGTAAATATCGCTGGATAATTGTAACCAATGCATGTTGACACCTGATTAGTGAACTCCATCAATGATCGTTTGATATCCTGCTCATTAGGTGATGAGTATACATCCACTCGATTATGTAGCATCACTATTGGAGTCATTGAGTAGTCCTGTTTAAGCGTAAGCTAGTGTCTATTACATCAATCTATCAATGCTATAACCTACATTAAGTTGGAAGTCTTTGGCAAACTGCTTAAACTTGGTTTGGAAGATGTTGAATGGTTGAAGTATGTTTGTTATGTTGTAGGTTGGGAAGAAGATTGGGAATGTCGCATTCATGATCTGCTCCACAAACAATAATGTATTGTCCATACTTTGATACGTTGAGTTGATGTGATCCCTCAACACCTTGTCCACAAAGTCACTCTCCAACACTGCTACATTACCAAGCTGTGAAGGATACTTGCCGCCTGGGGACTCAATCGCTCCCATCACTTATATATGATTGTTAGTGTATGATTGATTGATTGAATGAATGATCAGCGAACATACCTATTAGATCCTTCTTAATGACGAGCTGGTCGTGGAGGTCATCGTAGAGGTTGCTTAGGACGATATATGGGTAGAGTGTGTTGCCATCCTCACTGATGCCGTTACCAAACATCTGCTTCAGTTGCTGGACAATGTTTGGATACTGGAACTGGAGAATGGTAATCAGTTGACTGATGTCAATGCTGGGTGGTATGGGTACGCCGGTGTAGTTGACGATCATCTTCTCGATGTCACTTAGTGTCGGTATGAGTGTGGCGGCACTCAGTCGATCAAGAGTGTCGATAAAGTCCATCCTCATATGTACGACGTTTTGTTGATTGGGTTCGACCTGAATACGCCGCAGGAACGTGCTGGAGAAGTATGCTTGATTGCCTATCAGTGGCGGCAAGGTCCAGCCTCGACCCAACCCCAGCTGTTGTTCCAGCGTCGAGTTCATCGCCAACACGATCAGAGGTGATGATATGTTTGTGGCTGGCGATCTTATGTTTGCGATTGATTCCCATCGTGGCGCCACGCCATCCACTGTAGTAGCATTGGCTAACTCTCTTGTAATCATCGTAGAGTTGAGGAAGAATGGTGCTAGAGTGAATGAGTTGAGGTACTCCATTGGATCTGAGCGGCTCTCGTGAGACCACTGATTGAGCAATGGTGTCGGGTCGCCTGTTAGCACCAAGTCAAATTCACCAGTCTGATCCTCAGCCAACTTTAAGAATACAATAGGTGTATTCTGAATCAAGTTCTGAAGACATCTATATGTTTGATTGATTGATTGAATGAATCAGTTGAGTGAGTTGAGTGAATGAATGATTGAATGTGATTGATGTCTTACGTGAGGAACATTACGACGAGGAAGACAGTGGCGAGACCCATGAAGACACTCTTTAGGTTCTGCCTGGTGTTCTTGTGTACATATTGAAGTGCACCATTCACATCACTAAAGTATATGAATGCACATTTATAATAGAGTTGTGATAAACATGATGATGTTGCACGTGCATGTCTTGATCTTGATCGATTGATTCCTGGTTGTTTAAAAGGATCTTCATAATCTACTGATTTATCTTCTTCCTCTTCATTATTATTATCATTATTATTATTATTATTATTGTTTGAGAATAATAATGATTGATGTTCATCAATTAAACTATCATCAATTTCCAAATCATTCTCTAAGTCATCACTATATTCTAATGATGATGATGTCGATGAAGATAATCCTTCCATTTATTATTGAATTAATTATTTATTGTTGTAGTTATTAATAATAATAATAAATAGTAAAGTATGATCATGATTGATTGATTGATTGATCAATATGTCACAGTCATCTTGGACAAAGACATCACCTCACTGACACACACCATTTGAGAGTATCACAAGTTAAAGTGAGTTAGTGTGTTAGTCAATCACTTATGAGAGACAACCAACATGTGCAAGTAACTGTGTGTGAACTTCTTCATAAAGACATCCAAGGACTGGCAAATCGATTACTATTTGGGAAACACTATTACCTTTTTAGGTCATTTCCAGTTTTGGACAAATGTTTACAAACATGGACTGTTGTCATCCCTTGTCCTTTGCTTTTGTTTGACTCGTCGAGAGTACCAACATCAATAAAGTCTCAAGTTGAATATTAATAGATATTGTTGTTGATTCCACAGTACACATACATACATATACATACTTATACAATCTATCACATTATACAATACTTTAACTTCATCTCACATTACTTTGACAGCAGCTCCAATCCAACTCGATAGGATGTATGTTTTTGAATCACCTACTATCGAAGAAGAAGACGAAGAAGAAGACAAGTCTACACTACTACAACTACTTCTACATTAGTTATAGTAGTAGTTACAACAACAAAGAACAAACACAACATCAATCAATACCAACAACCTCGACTTGATATCTATCATACAATCTAACTTTGAGAATGCATGAGATAATCATGTGGAATTATTTAGTATCATTTGTTCCAACGACAATGTAAGTTACAAGTGGATATATTGGCACGCCAAGGAATGAAACTGACTCAATATGGATGAAACCAATAGCAAAGCATTGTCACAGTTCAGAAGAGTGAACGATTTATATAAACATGTACAGGATACTCAGAAGAATGTTGCCCTGTTCCATCTGGGACATTGGGTCAAGTTAAAGGTGGGCGGAGTGCCATTCATCGTGAGAAGGAGGACTTTGAATTGGTACCCAGGCAGCGTATTCAGTAGTATCGCAATCTATGACAAGAATACGACAAAGAGATTGACAGAGTTCATTGCCAATCCATTCTTGCTCAACTCTCGTCTACTCGAGTCAACGACGAATGACGACCCCCATATCGCCATCACTCCAGCGAGCACAGACTCTGAATGTACGATGGGCTACAACGCATTGCCAATCATACAACAACAACAACAGCAACAGATACATGGTGGATCGTATACGACCACGACACCAGGTAAAGAGATCGCAACCATACCAACCAAACCATCATTCAAGTTTGAGAAAGATCCCGATGGCTACTATCTTATTGACCGCGACTCCCAACTATTTGCCATCATACTTAACTACCTACGATCGGGCGAAGTGGGCACATTGCCCAGCACCGTAGACATCAACATGTTATTACTGGATGCCCAGTTCTACCGACTCTACGACTTGGAAACAAAGTTATCCAAGGTATGACCGGGAAGATGATCACTCAATCACACTCAATCCACTGACCCAATCAATCAATCAATCAATCAATCAATCAACTTAGAGAATACTATCAACTAGAAGAGAGGACGAGAGGATATTCGTCTTGAACTCAGAGTTGAATGAGATGGAGACACCGCCGTTCTTCATCATCGATATAAAGTGGGTGAGGAGTTGGAAGATGTTCATCGAGGAGGAAGGCCCCATCCCCGAGCCAATCAACAACACTCACCTGCTCAAACATGACGGATCCCTAAGAGATGGTCTGGTGCATAAGGTCGACTACATCTGTGTAACCAAGCCCACCTGGCTAATGATCACCAAGCACTATCCAAAGAGTGGACCCATAATATCGCGACCAACAAAGAACATCTATGATACACCAACGTATGTATATCTTGTCCTGTCCTCCATGTGATATATATCGCTAACATGTTGTCATATCCATCCATTCATCCATAGTCAATGTTCAATATGGGACATCAAATAAAGATGTTGTTGTTGTTGGCTTCGCCACAATGTAAATAACCTGTATATCTGCTGTTGTTGTTATTGATTGAGTCGCGCGCATCTTATATAATATAATATGAATCTTAGTCGACCTGATCCTGAGTCTTTGAAGCGGATAGGTCGATGGTGATTGGTCGCAGCTCGCCAGCACGTTTCTTTCGCAGCAGACGTCTCTGGGTCTTGAGCTTCTCCTTGTGTGAACGGACCTTGGTCTCGACCATCTGGAACTCCTCGTCGGTGTTCTTAATGTCCACTGTGTAACCGGCAAAGTACTCCTTGAGCTGCTCATCGGTGGGGTTGTAGGTGACCGGCTCGAATGGACCTAGGTTGACGGTGAGTGGCGACGCGGGCAGCTGCGAGATCTGGCCGGCGTGGGGGTTGTTGATGCTGGCGTACACCTTTAGACGCTCGCCCAGATAGAACTTGTTGTTGTTCTTGGGCAGCATGCCCATGACGGCGTGTCTGATGATGTACTCGGGGTTCTTGATGCGCATGTCGCGGGCCTTGGTCTCCTTCAGACCGCCAGGATAGCCCGAGTGCTTTCTGTACAGCTTCTGATCCCACTTCTTGCCTGTGAACTCGATGCGATGTGCGTTGAGCACGACGACATAGTCGCCAATCTCTCTCGTCACACTGTTGTCATAGATTGGCTTATGCTTTCCACGCAATAGTAGAGATATCTTTGATGCCAATTTACCAACGTGATGTCCTGTCGCATCGATCACATGCCACAATGGTGTTGTTGTCAATTCGTTCTGTGTTTATTTCGTTTGTCATCATCATTGATCGATCGATTGATTGAGTGAGTGAGTTGGAGAGTGTAATGTAAGTGATCGAATACTAAATGAGTGATTGATTGATCGATCGGTTGGTCGCACGAGTAGCTATGATCATAATCATAAAGTAATCGATTGATATCCTGTCTGTCATACCTTGAAGATTGCTCTTGAACCCATTGTATATATATATGTGTTTATGTTATTGAGATAAGTAGGTTGGTGAGTATTATGTGTATGAATGAGTGATGAGCACGATTGTGGTCGACTCGTGTGATGAAAAACTACTTGAAAAACTAACAAAGTCAAAAAAAACACGAAAGTGAAGGTCCTCCAAACAATTACTTCGTCAGAATGATCAATCAGATTAATCTGATATTCAATCAATCAAAGAGAGAAGAAATAGAAACGATATGATGTTATCACGATCCGCCAAGATGTGGCACTCAAGCCTAGGCATAAGCCTTGGGGCCAACAACATCAGGAGAGGAGCATATTGTACAACAACTACCACAGCACATAATCATGCTACACCTGCAGCAACATCGGCACATCTAAAGATGATAAAGTCCACAGTCAACCCAGCATTGACACTTTCAACAATGCCAGCATCGTGGTCTGCCTCAGCACTGGGCATCAACGTGGACAATCTTCATGTGCTGGAGAATGATCACAAGCCAGCTTTGATCACTGCACTCAAGAATGGCTGCAATGTCATATACTCATCAAACAATGATCTGAAGCATCCCACAGACGTCTTGAACTCTGTGCTCTCCAATCACTTCTCCAACAGCAGCAGCAACAGCAGTGGCAGTAACAGTAGCGAGGGCGAATCTGAAGCCATGTCAATCGAGAGATCATCACTTATTTATATCCAGCGCACCAAGCCCATGCAGGTCAAGGAGTTGGAAGACAGCGCCAAGTTTATACGCGATCAACTGGCAATCTCCAAGGAGAGAATGGAGATCTCCACCTTGGATGTCATGTTGCTCCATGTCGAGTCGGCCACGACAAAGGAGCAGTTGGAGAGCGCGCTGGAGCAGCTTGAGCAGCTCGTGGACGAGGGTGCCCTGCAGCGCTATGGTATCTCTTCGCCACTACTTCTAGATAACAATGGACAGGTGCCAATCGAGTCGATCGTTCAGTCCAAGCGATACCCAAACCTGTCGTTCTTTGAGTTCCCATTCAATCTGCAACAGCACCAGGCTGCCACGGCTAAGCTATATGATGGTGGCAGTCAGTCACTATGTGATTGGGCCGCACAGAACGACATTGCCACGATCAACTCAAGTCCAAGTTACTTCACCAACCCAGCCACAAACAAACAGTCGCGCTTCTGCAATGTAGATTCGCACACTGATCGCGACCTTCCCAAAATACTCAAGGATGCCTTTGACTTAGCCATTCATCTTGAGATCATCAATCCTATATTCGTAAGTACTAATCCAATGTCTGTGGACATCCACTATCACTCAATCACTCACATCCAACCCCCTTGGAATGATTCCAATCGACCAATCAATCACACAACAATTTTGTAGAAGGACACTGTTCAAATGGAAGCAGTAAAGCGCAATCCAAACTTGATTGGTCAACTTAGATGGGCTCACATGTTGGTGTATGACGCAGCCAAGTATGACAAACTGTCCAACTATTGGGTGTGGCGCAAACTCCTGGCACAGCGCATCAGACCATCGGTAAATGATGCCGTGCTCTCAGTCTTTAGCAATCATATTATGAACTCATGGGGTGGAGGCTACAGGAAGGCGATCAACAGCGTGTTTGATCTGTATACTTACTCGCTGGAGGCAGGCATCCACCAACAACAGCGTGCACTGGAACAAGAGGTTCGTCGAACTGCGGCCATCGCTGGCGTCACACTTCCCGACGAAGTGGCAGTCAGAGATTCGCTGATACAAGTGGCGCTTCAACTATCACAGAACAAAACAAACATCAGCATCGAAGACATCAACACATCACTGGAGGCCAAGCGCATGCTGGTACTTGGTGACTCTATCAAGGCCTTGCACTTCACAAATGATCAAGTGTCCACAATGTCATCGGCAATTAAATGGTAGTCTGTTGTTGCTGTTGATGTTGTTACAGAATACATAATACTATACATGTAGTTTACCAACTACCCCTTTATTAGCCACGCTGTGGAGCTGACTTGAGTTGCTGTTTGGTCTGAGGCAGTGGCGTTGTTGTGTGTTTGACATCTGGAGATACCCTCAATGGCTGGAGCATACGGAATTGAAGCTGGTTGTTGATTGGGGTAGATGATGATGATGGCTCATCTTGAGCTACTCGAGGAGGAGGTACATATCCACCAGAGAGACTCAATGCTGATGCCGACTTTGATGATTTTGGCATTGTCTTTGTCGGGTCGTCCTTAATGATGCTACTGCTAGCAATGAATGAGTGTGACTTTGGGGGCGGTGCCTTGCCTGGCGTCAAAGTCTTTGCGCTGAAAGGTGCTGGAGCTGGTGGGGTTGGCGATGGTGAGGGTGATTGGGTCGTGACTGGTGGATCAAAGAATCCTGGTGTCTTGGGCAGAGGTTTAGGAGGAGCCACTACAACCTGTTTGGAGAATGATCGAGGAAGTGTGGATGATCTTGGAGGTTGTTGTTGTTGTGATGGTTGAGTGTTGACGCCACTCTTCGTAGGTGGCACCAAGACATCTGTCGCATGCTCCTCAAACTGTACTCTCTTCTTTGTTGTTGGTGGTGTTGGTTGTGGAGGAGGTGGCTCGGCTGCTCCTGTCCTTGGTGGAGGAATCGGTGTTGTCTTGGACTTGAGTTCGTTTGGTGTGGGTGGAGGTTTGTTTGGAGGCCTGTCGAATGATGAGGTCATGTGCACCTGGACGTGAGTGTTGTTGGCGTTTCTATTTACAGTTGGCGAAGGAGATGGAGATGGTAGAGGTGAAGCTGAAGGTGATGGTGATGGTGAAGGTGTAGCATTTTGATTGGCCAAAGTAGGATCTACAGGGAATTTACGCTTGGGCACTATTGGTTTGTTCCTTAATGTGCCATGTGAATGTGTTGATGATGTTGCTGTGGTTGATGATGAGCTAGGTGGAAGAGGAGGTTTGGTGTGTGTTGATGTCGCTGCCGATGATGACGTTGTAGTCGTTGTAGTCGTGGTTTGTAATGCGCTCAGCTCGTCATCGTTAAGATTACTAATACGCCTGCTTGGTAGTGTCAAGTATTTGGCAGAAGGAGGAGGTGACTTGGGGAGGTTGGCACGTCCAACTGGCAATGGCTTTCTTGAGGGTGGCTTGGGCGGCCTAGGCGGCGACTCTAGCACCTCTGGATTGAATATCCTCGAAACTGGCCGAGGCATTGTCGCATGGTTGGGCATTGTGAAGACGGTTGTGTTGTCATCACGTCGAGGACTGAGCAGGATTGTGCCAGTGCGACGAGGTGGTGGACGAGGTCGTTGTGTCTGTGTTCCATTGGCAATGACGTGCACCTGTCCTGAATCACGCTTGGTGTCGACTGATGCTGGATCCAGGTATTCGATTGAGGACGAGTCCACTGGCGGCAGGATCTTCATCGACTTCCTGTAGGCACTCTTGACCTCCTTGCTCTTGAAAATAGGATCAAACAGCTCCACCATATACTTGACGACCAATGATTGATTCTTCAGATTAGCCAGACCGCTGCCAATGTCTGTAAAGTCTGGATCGCGCATCAGAGTTGGTCCAAAGATGATTCCAAGGTTCTCCGAAGTCATCTTGTTTCGATGCTTATTACGCTCAATCACCGACAAGAACTCCATAAACTTGCGCAATATACATAAATGTGATGGAGGTACATTCAATACAAGTCGTGCCAAACTACTTGCAATCCTCTCAAGGTTGTTGTCCTCTGTTTGTTGCAAGGTTTGTTAGTATGTGCGCGTGGACTTGGTTGGGGACGTGGACTGGACTTTATAACTTACTAACACAATTCATTGCCTCTTTATAGTTGTCGCATGGAATGAGTGGATCTGGTAACTCCTTGAAGAATGATGATATTAGACCACATATACAATATGGATTGAGTACGGCACTAAAGTCCAGATCACCATCTTCTATTCTAAACTTGAGTAAGCTTATCTCCTTGTTGCTGCCTGGTACTCTGAACAAGCCTTCAGTGTCCAAGTCTATGATTGAGTTCATTGAGTGTCAGTGTCATTCAATCAATCAATCAATCAATCAGTTGACTTACGATTCATTAGGTACTCAATACCCTTGGTTAGTACGAGTGGGATGCCATCTGGTTGGTCTGGATAGAGGTCTTGTAGCTCGCTGGGTGATAGACCAAACTGTGGAAACTTGAGACGATGTACGACTGTCTTGCCAAAGGTGAACTTGGAGAATGTAAAGTCCAAGTTTCTCAAGTATTCCCATGCCGATCTCTTTGGTTGAGATTGATCATTCATTGATAAATCACCTGTACTCTTCTTGCCCCTTGAACTCGTAGTACTATTCTTCCTACTATGTGATGGAGTGCCAGGTGGCATCAATATATTCCTATCGCGTAGTTCATCTGGTGATGGTCTACACATAATTTCATTATTATTAGTAATTAGATTGGATTGATTGATTGATTGCATTGATTTGATTGAATGAGAACATACCTTCGTTTAAAGAATGAGTTCAAGAAGTCACCAATCTTTCTTCTTATATTCTTTGATTGTTGTTGTTGCTGTTGTCCATTCAAACTACCACTACTAGTATTGTTATAATCCTCTAATGAGTGAGTTGACGTCGTTGCTGACGTTGACATTTCTTGTACATATATATTTATCTGTATAGTCTATCTAATCTATCTATCTATCTGTATGTTATGTAAAATTATATTAATAAATCAATTTGACTCAAACAAACCATTGAGCAATGAAGTTTGTAGATGATTGACGAAGTGTGTGTTACACACTCAAACTCTTAATTTAAGTGTTCTCTTGTTGTTTGCTTGGTTGTTTGGTGTGTGTTTGTTGTTGGCGTCACTCCCAGGTCCTACTCACAGGGTTGGGGTCTAAATCAAACAACCACACTACAAAAAGACCATCGTTTTTGGAGATTTTGATGAGCTTTGGCTCAATCAAAGTTGGGCGATCCACAAGTGACGTACGTATCTCGATTCGTATTGTAACTTTGAATTTATTTGAATTGGAATGTGAGATTGTATGTTGTATTTGATTGAACGAACGAAATAATGAATGAATGAAGAATGAATGTAAATGATTTAGAGTTTATTATTGATGATGCTTGATAAAGAGTTGTATCACCTGTCATTAGGTCAAAACAGTATTTGCCTTGGTCATTAAAGTTGTTCCATTGATTGTTCCAAGCAGCGAATGGTACTCCACCATTTTGTAGAACATTCTGGACACAATAGTGGCCAGCTGGCACTGTCTTGAATACATTGATGGTCTCAGTGTCTGGACCACCAGAACCAACAATCCTCTCGATGAATGCACCAGTGTCAGAGTTGGTCAGGGTGGACTCGATGGGCGAGCCAAAGTCGCCACCGTCCACTCCATCGTATCGTCTGTTGATGTTGTCGTCCAGGTAGGAGATGACCGTGATCACGCCACCAATGGGCTGTTTCCTGAAGCCAGAGTTGGCGACAAAGTCAGCCGACAATAGGAAACAAAGTGGGCTGTTGTCCTCGGCAAAGTCATTGTCGTTGTTGACGACCGAGAGACGGTCGTAGCCGGCTGGTATCGAAGAGGTGATGCAATAGTTGTCGGCGGGCACGTTGTTGAATGTGAAGCCGGGGTTGCCATCGATGGAGTTCTGTACAGCGTACGTCGTGCCGTCCGTCCGCTTGAGGGTCATCACTGTGCCGACCATGAATGGGTCGAAAGTCTGGCGCCCATTATCATTGTTGGTGTCTTCAAACGAGAATCCAGACACCTTGAACAGCTTCCTCCTGAAGCCAGCGTTGATGGCGCGGTCTGCGGACAGGGTGAAGCAGAAGTTGTTGTTGACGTCGAATGCATTGTCAGCATTGACTACAGTGATACGCGTGAACAGGGCAGAGGGCAGTGGGAGAGTCACCGAGATACAATAGTCGCCCGCCTGGACGTTGTTGAATGCGTAGCCGGGGTTGTTGGCCGTGGCAGTCTGTATGCCAACGATCGTTGTCCTTCTTCTTGAGAGTGAACTGGGAGCCCGCCACGAAGGGGTCGGTGCTCTGGTGCAGGTTGTCCGTGTTGGTGTCCTCCCAGACGAATCCACTGATCTTGTAGTTGGGCTTCCTGAAGCCAGCGTTGATCACCCTGTCGGCGAGCAGCGAGAAACAGAAGTTGTTGGTGCTATCGAATGCATTGTCCGCGTTGACCACATCCAGGCGGTTGTAGCCGGTGGGTACCGACGCGGATATGCAATAGTCGCCGAATGGAACGTTGCTGAACAAGTAGCTGGGGCTGTTGGCTGTGGTGGTCTGTGTGCCATACACCGTGTTGTCGGCCTTGCGCTTGAGTGTGAGCATGGAGCCGGCCACATAAGGCTCGCTCGGCTGACGTATATCGTTGATCCAGTTGATACTATTGCTGTCGTCACACCCGTAGTGGTCGCAGTCGTGGTCTGGGTGATGGTTGATGAGACACCCGAGGTAGAGACTATTGTCGAGAATGTGGTGGAAGCTGGTGCTGTCGTGGTGGATGCCACAGTGCTGGCAACAGTCGATTGAGTCGAGACCGATGTCGATGCCACTGTCGATGTTGATGTGGTCGAGGCTACAGTAGTCGCTACAGTTGACTGTTGTGTGGACACAGTGGTAGTTGCTCTTGTTGTTGCTGGCAATGATATTCCAGATGGTCCAAAACAATATGGCTTGCCATCATTATCCACTGCACATGCTAAGCCAGCCAAACATTTATGGAAAGTACATTTATGAATGCATCTTGGCTGTACATTTGGTAAAGGTTGGCAACAAACTTGATCATAGGGACAAACAATTGTGTTGCAAAGTCCTTCAGATACTATTATTATTATTGGATATATTTGGAATTATTCCAAAATGAATATATAAGTATGATTAATCGTTTTTGTTTGATTAATTTCCAAATATTCGAATAATTACCTTGATTGCCAAGTACAAATCTGGAACAGAGCAGTACTAAAATTAGTACCGCCGCTGGAAACAGAAGAAGATAATTAATTAATTAACTATCTTTTTTTTTTTGTCTTGGGAGAGCTGCTGTTGGTTGGTCGTTGTTATATGAATTATTATTTTAAAATATGTTGTAATTCTGGAATCAAGTTTGTAATATGATGATATGATATGATATGATAAATGGTATAGTGATCGAGATGGTTGGAATTTGTTGGAGGAGGAATATGGCATGCTGGCTGGAATCATGATCAATTTGCTGGCTCATTTTCAAAAGAGTGATCGTCACCTCCAAGCCAAATCGATAACAGGTGCTATGTGTTGATGTTGTTGATGTTGTTGTAGTAGAAGAAAGTCCACTGTGCCACCAATTGAACCAAGCCCCATTGTCCATGTTTATGATCAACTTGCCACACAATTCGAAATGAGTGAGGCCAGCCACAAAGTTAATGATGAGGGGGACCTCCAACCATGTGTGATGGTACCCTTTCATTCCAAACATATCACACACAAACACATCGATTATTTGTTTGATTGATTGATTGGTTGGTTAGTGAAAGCATTCATTCATTCATTCATTCATTCAATCTGTTGTTGTCGAATGTGGTATGCAAGGGTAAGGTCCCTAACCTAACTAATTAGCTAATGTGTGTAGCAGTGTGATTTAGTGTGTGTTCAATTATATATATATATATATGACCAATCAAACGAATGTTTGAAATACGCGTTTGACCGTCATACACATACATCTTCAGCATACCTTTGGCTCTGTTGTGTATTGTAATTATCTCTTCTCTATCACATCGCGACGATGAAGCTTTGTTGAACAAAATGAGATGTTCACACACACGGCAAACAAAGAGACAGAAAGAAAGATACATGTGCACAACCGGTTCATCAACTTGAACATTATAATGATCAAAGTTGTTGCATCTCGTATATTGGATTGAGTAATATGTAGGTACAGAATATGTTGGTTCGGATTGATGCTAGGAAGACACCAACGCTGTCGGCAAAGTACTTCGACACTTTGATGAGGGGTGGCGGCAGCGATCCTGATGGTATGCCCTTGGTACACAGGGCAAACGTGGACATGGTGGTCAGCATCACACTGTCCTGCGACAGCTGAACAACCTGTGAACAACGCTCTCGTTGTGGTGGCAACGTTGGAACACTTCCAACTCCGACACCATCTCCGTCTTCGTATCCTCCTTGTTGTTGTTGTTGCTGTTGTTGTGGTTGATGTTGATCATGAAGTAGTAGTTGCTGTTGTTGTTGTTGAAGTTGTAGTTGTTGCTGTTGTTCATTGGCCATCAAGAATGATATCAATCCAGGTGGTGAACCAATGGGCGAGCCAACAGATCTACGCGACTGTCGACTGTTGGAGCTGGATGATCTGGCCAATCGCGACGACTGGAAGTTTGGAGATGTTGGTGAGTTTACCCCCAAACTCAAGTCGACTATCTGACTGGCAAGGAGAATGGACGAGTTCTTGAGCACCAGGTTGTTGAGACTGGTGGCGATCTTTGTGAAGGTGGACGTCCACTCGAGCAAGTCACCGGCAGGAAGGTCGGCAATGGACACGCCATTCTCCACATGCTCCTCCAGTGTGTTGAGCGTGGACAACATCATCCTCAGGACTGGTATCGTGTCAATCTTGAACTTGGCCGAGAAGGAGTCGGATGCGGCAAAGATCTCGAGTGATGTGTGAAGGTGATTGTAGCAGCTGGACAGGATGGTCTTCTGTTGCTCGAGCGTGACCATTGTGCTGAAGGGGAACTCGGGTCGCGGCTGAGGCAGCTCGGCCAGGTGGAAGTCGATCTGCGAGAGACGATTGGTGACCGAGGTGATGATCGTCATGATGTTGACCTCCTCGATCACTATGACATCCGGTGCCTCGCCCGTGGTCGACAGGTCGAAGCGCAGTGAGTTGGACGACTTGGCCTGTCGCAACATATTGTTCTCGACAACCTGTATAATCGTGCTCTCCTCTGGCGGAGCGGACACGGTGATCATGATATCGTGATAGTCCACAGATGTCGCTCCATCCATTCCAATCTGCTGGCTGCCACGACTACCATTGCTGCCGAAACTATTCATATGTTCAAAGTCGACCAACATCTCATGTTCAAACAACAGCTTGTCAATGTCATCGGCAATGCCATGGTAATGATCCACTATCTTATACAAGCTTGATCCATTATAGTCCCTCACAGAGTAGAACAAGATGTTGCGTATATACTATGAATGAGTGTGTCCGCCTGGTTAGTTGGAGTTGATTGATTGAGGGTCTTTGGACTTACATCGATGAGATAGTTCATGCTAAGCTGATGCATGTACTCCTTGCTTGGACTTTCCGATGCCAGACATTGTAACAGGATCTGTTTGTTCTCATCCAAGTTGGCCTTCCTGACATCGAACGATGCCAACTCATGCATCCAATTGCTAAATGAGTTGAACAAGCTATGAAGTACAATCACGTACACTCCCATGACACTAATGATTGAATGAGTGTTAGTTCGATCAATCCATCCAAAATTGACATGGCCGCGAATACATACCCTGTGATATCCTTCTCGATACGAGCTGGTCGAACTCTGATGAACTCATGTAGTGGCAGTACCTTGCCGTATATCTCAAAGATGATCGGACTGAAGTACTTCTGGTCGTCTATGGTCTGCACCTGCTTGTTCAGTTTCTCCTGCTCCGAGAATCCACAGAGCGACAGCTCGATCTGATTGAGTGCTGTCAGTGATGCATGAGTGTCGTACTTGGGTGGACTCCAATAGGTCATCGCCAGCTCAAGGATGCGTGAGACAATCGAGTGCCAATGATCCTTTGGAACAGTGTTGCTACTCAGCAAAGTGAGCAATGCTGCATTTTGGAACAGCTTGGAACTCTTTGGACGCGGTGGACTCAGTATCGTCACGGTCTTGTCCGTTGACAATGTTCGCTTGATCATTGTTGGCGAGGATACTGGAGATATACCCGGAGAAGAACCTTTGTAAGACTTGCCAAAGACGGACAACACTGGTGATGGCGGCGACATGACCTGTGGAGAACCAATGTTTCCAAACAGTGGCTTGCTAGTACGTCTAACTATCATGGGTGACGAGCGAGCAGAGTTGGACGGCGAACGTTTTTCGAAGCAGAAACTTGAAGTTGGCGTCGATAGCTTGGAGAATGTACAAGATGTCGTGCGCACTTGATATGGATTGTGTGGCGCCGGCATTGGCGTCATCGTTGTCGTGGTATATGTCGTAGTGGACAACGAAAGTGATGAGCTGGAATAATGTTTGCTGACTGGCGAGGGAAGATATATCTGTGGGAGAGTCGATCGATCGATACACTCGCGCAGTATCTTGGCCGTGCCATATGCGTCGACACGACTCCTAAACTCGTTGTTGGCCTTCTCCTTATCTTTGGCAATTATCTTGTTTTGTACTGATTTGAGTTCAGTCTGCTCTCGCTCTCTATTCTCATATCGTTCCAAAAAGTATTGCACCAAGAAGAATACTGGAGTGCCCACTACAATAGCTGCGATCAATGATCCTGCACTAGAGTTGAAGCCACTCATCACACCCTTCTTCTCTAACAATATATCTTCCAATGGATTACCTATTGTTTGGTATGTTTAATGATGTGGATTAGTCAATGTTGGTGAAGTAATTGTATCCTGGAATTCTGGATTTCTGGAATTCTATCTTTTGTTTGATTGATTAATTGATCATACCCATGACTATGACTATATTATCATTGATTACTAGTAATGATATTGCCAGTATTACTAGACATCTGGATACCTGTTGTTGTATCTGTTGGAACATTTTGGAACTAGTTTATATCTCTCCACTTTTATAAAAGTGATGGATTGATGGAGTGATGATGTTGATATTGAGAGTGTTGTGTGATGATGTTGAAGTTGATGGAGTGAGTTGTTTAAAGATTGATCAAACAATATATTATAATATATTCTCTAACTAATCCTATGAGTACTACTTGATATGCTGTGGATTGCGATTCGTGTGTGTGTGAGTCGTTGTATTATCTGATCACTCACTCACTCTATGATGATGGGTGGATGGACAAGACAAGACAAGACTTTGATTGAATAAACTTAATTATAGTACGACAATGGGATAACACAATTAACTGATTATGGTAAAGATGTGATGTTGATGTTAAGATTGGCAATGAAAGGCAGAGCAGTCTCCTTCTCTCTGGTTGTCAATTATTGCTCTAAAGGTTATTGACATATGTTAATGTCAATTATAGATTGGGTGTATGATTATGTAAATGTGTGTTTGATTGATTGATTGATTGATGGAATGCACTGGAAATGAACTGGAACTGATGATCAGTTCATTCAACTTGCTTTACTCTCTCTCTATTACTCCTTCCATCTTAAAATGGGTTGTGTGCCATGGGTGGGTGTATGAGTGAGTGATTGACAACACTGTCATATATGCCGAGGTTATCCCAGAGTCATTGGTCGTGTGGTAGCGTTTGTGTGTGTGATTGTGAGTGGGAGTCGCGACTGAATGATCAGTGTGTAGTGATCAGTGGTGGGTGAATGTATAAAGTATATATATAAACAGAGTGTATGGTGTGTGATTACCTGAAACACTGATTGGTAGACAGATAGACGAAGATTAAACATTGGTGCATTGTGTGTATGAGATGGTCATTCAACACATACATTAGGTTTATGGTGTTTAGTTGTCATTGCCATTTGGCCGTTGTGTGTGTACGTGTGTGACCCAAGTAAGAGCGTTCCCAATGGCTGGGATGCCTGCCTTGGCAATGCTCCAATTTGCATCCAGTGGTCACTTTGAGGCCCAGTTGGATGGAGCCTTGTTGGATTGTTGGATTGTTGGATTGTTGGACCGTTTGCTCCTTGAGGCAAGTCCAATAAGTGAATCTGGTCGATGTTGTTGGCAACTTTGATTGATTGATTGGTTGATTTGCGCGCCACTCACTCAAACGCTCCTTACCATCGGATGGAAAGAAGACCTTTGGACTCCAACTTGGATTTGCGGCAATAATGCCTCACTCATTGAGATGGACTGAGAGTGAGTCTTTACAGATTGGCCACCTTGCTCCAACACTCCATTGTGCACACTGGCATATTGTTCTTTGTACAATTGTATCGCTTGTTGTTGCTACAGCCTGGCGCTGAGCACTTGATTGGTTTGGGATACTCTGTCGTCTTCTTTGAAGTGAAGTCCATTGTCTCAACTACTGAATCAGGGAATGACACAGTCTTTCCACCATCACCATCATGATACTGTATAACATCTCCAATCGTCTTAAGTAGTAACTCCTATTATATGTTGTTTAGTATGAGTATATCATCAACATCATCAGATTGAGCATGTCACATACTCTCTTTGTTGGCTTGACGATGAACACTTTGTCCTCAACCTTCTCTTTCCTGTTGAGTAACGAGTTGACAACATCACGCATCTCAGCCTCTGTCTCTGATATCTTCTTAATCCTCCTCTGTTGCGCTAGCTCTTGTTTCTTCTGCATCTGCTCCTCTGACATCTCCTTCTTGGCCTCGACTGTCAATGAATGAATGAATGAATGGATGGTTAGGACACTGCACTCTCAAGTCATTAAACTTGACGATACCAACATACCTTTGCCAAACATGTCTGGTATGGGTGCGAGTGATGCATGATTGTTTCCCTTTCGATTCATTCCGCGTTGTCGGGATGTCAGTTTCTTGTCGTCCTCGTCATTGTCATTGTCATCGTCATCATCGTCGACATCACCATCACCCTCCATATCAACATCTTGATCATCATCCTGTAATATATCGTCCTGATCACCATCATCTTGCAACTCGTCATCATCATCATCGTCATCTGCAAAGTCATCATCCTCTATTTCCAAGTCATCACCTTGCGATCCATCATCATCCTCATCCTCATCTATTCTCTTGTTGACAACCTTCTTCTTCCCTGCCATTACTCTATTCTCCTAAGTATATCTGTTTGTTTATGTTGATGAATCTCTCAAACAACTAATGATGAAGTTGTGAAGATCAATCTGACAAGTTCCAACCCCCACCATGCCAATAAAGTTAATTTATGGTATTGTCCAGTCAACATTGATTGGTTCCGTGATAATCAATCAACAATGTCCAGACGATTGAGAGAATGAAGGTTAGTGATCCTTTATTCGTTGTACAACAAACACAAATAATAATGGCTTGTGATGGATGATGATTGGTTAGGTTTGGATTCGGGTTGTATTATAATCACGTGATCTGATGCGATTGAAAAGGAAGGTAAGGTATTGTATTGATTGGTTGATGTTGTAAATGTAATGTTGTATGTATATATATACACTGCCAATGAACTAGTCCATGGACCTCCTCCACACATGCATTGCCATGTCATGGTCAACTGTCTTAGACTACGTTCAAGCTTGGCAGGTCAACTCCTTCGAACAACTCCTTCATATCGCTCTTGAATATATCCTGTGCATTGTAAGAGTGAGTGTGAGTGTCCATGTTAGTCTACCATGCTTGCTAATGATGTGTCACATCAGATCATATTGAATACTTACATAAAGATGTATGGCATCTTTGTATAACTGTGAAGATGGTTCGTTGAACTGTAGTGCGTTGTTAAACATCAACTTCCAATCATTGATAAAGTCTTCGGTGGTCTTGTAGTCGGTGCTCTGTATCTCCTTCATTGAGATTGGATTGGTGATCTCGTCAAAGTAGTCAGGATAGTCCTGACGATCAGGCTGCTCCCAGAATGGCATCGAGACCTTTCTGTTGCGCTCCTTGACGTTCTTGATCCTCTCCCACACTCGGTCGTACTTGTCCTTGGTGGTCTTGGGAGGGGAGGTCGCTGCGCCTCTTGGCGATTGTGGCGTGAGTGGCGCTGCCAACGGTGTCTTCTTGCCGGCAGACACTGAAGCGCGTCTAGGCTTGTAGGGCGTGGTGTTCTCGGGCGTCTGGGCCACGTCGTTAGCCTCGGATGGCTCGGCCACCGGTGTGGTCGTGGTCTTGGCGTTGAATGTGATGGTCAACTTCTTTCCAGTGCCTGTTGGGGATAGCACCTCGTCGGTCTTGACCTCTTCGCCCTCGTCACCACTTAGCAAGGATGAGGTGTTGTTGTTGCTCTCATCCTCTGACATACGGGTGTCCTGGCTGCTGCCTCCTCTGCCTCTGCCTCTGCCCCTGCCTCTGCCACGGCCTCTTCCACGACCACGGCCTCTGCCGCGGGTCGGTGTTGGTGTGTCGGGTCTGAGCTTCTTGCGAGTTCTGCCACCTGGAGTCAGCGGGTCGCCATTCTCATCGGGCTCGCCCTCGGAAACTGGCTCCTCGATCTTTCTTTTGGGGGGACGTCCTCGCTTGCCCTTGGTGGGTGTCTTCTTCTCCTCCTCCTTGTGGTCGTCAGAGTCCTCCTCAGTGTCGTTGTCATCGTCAGAGTCAGAGTCGTCAGAGTCAGAGTCGTCGCTATCCTCTTCGTCCTCTCCCTTTGCGCGTCTATTACGCTTCCTCAACATCCTAGCCTCCTTCTTCTTTCTGTTGTTCATCTTTCGCTCGGCCAGGAATGCGAGATACTCTGGCAGTGTCATGTTCATCTCGACCATTTGCATGTACTGCATGTCGGTGAGGTTCTCGATCGGGTCTTCGTTGATACGCGTGCGCTTGCGCTTGCCAGTGGTAGCGGGCTCCTCGATTTCGTCGGGCGTCACCAGCATCCAGTCGGGCAGCTCAGCCTCAGTCATCAGTCGGGCCTTGTTCACCTTCTTCTTGGGGCTCTTCTTCTCCTGACGCAGTCTCTCGGCGTCCATCTCCTGGAACTGCACCATCTCCTCCTCGTCACGCGAGATGAGACGGTTGATCTCCTCGAGGTCGGTGGGCACCTCGTCGTTTGTGTTGTGGGGGAAGCCGTGCAAGAACTCCTCGAGCTTGGCACGACGCTCCTGGTCGTTGGAGTGCGTATTGAACATACCAGCTTGGATGATCTTGGCGTCCAGGTCCAGCTTGTCGGTGGCACGCTCCAGAATCCTCTCCTCGATCGAGTTAGCAGACACCAGACGGAAGACATTCACACGGTTGACCTGGCCCACACGATGGCAACGATCCTGAGCCTGTAGATCCATCTGTGGGTTCCAATCGCTGTCAAAGATGATGACAGTGTCGGCCGTCTGCAAGTTCATGCCGAGGCCACCAGCGTGTGTCGAGAGCACAAACAGGAAGAATGGCGAGTCGGGTCGGTTCCACTCGACGACGAGACGCGAACGCTCCTCGGGACGCGTCGAGCCGTCCAGACGCAGGTAGTCCCACTCACGCAGCGAGAAGTACTCGCACATGATGTTGATAATCTCTGTCATCTGTGTGAAGATGAGCACACGATGGCCTGAAGCGCGCATCTTGGTGAGGATCTGGTCCATCATATCGAACTTGCCACTGGCACGCACAATGTCCTCGTTGATCTCCCACTCGCTCATGAACAGGTAGGGATGGTTGCACACCTTTTGCAGCTGCTTAACCACGTTGTTGAAGCCTCTCTTCTTGACACGAGACTTCTTGTACATCTCAGACTCGGGGTCCATTGGCAGAGAGTTGTGCTCAAAGATCGAACGGTACATCACAATCTGCATGGCCGACAGGTTGCACTTGATCAGACGCTCACGCTTCTCGGGCAGCTGGCTCTCCACGTCCTTCTTGAGGCGACGCAGCAGGAAGTAGCGCAGCACTTGATGCAGACGATTGATGATGATCAGTGACTCCTCTTCGTTGACGCCAATCACCTTGGTACGACCGTTCGTGGCGAAAGGCGCATTGAACCACTGCTCAAACGTGTCCAAGCTGTTGAAGATGCTGGGCAGCAAGAAGTTGAGCAGCGACCAGAGTTCTCCAAGGTCGTTCTGTAGAGGTGTACCCGTGAGCAACAGACGATGCTTGCTGTGGTATTGTCTGAGGATGACGCTCAGCTTGGCGTTCTTGTTCTTGATACGATGGCCCTCGTCCACAATGACGTAGCACCATGGCACACGGCCAAGTATCTTGTTGTCCGTAATGATGTACTCGAACGATGTGATAACGACGATAAAGCCGTTCTTGGGTATCTGTCTGGACAACGCCTTGCGCTCCAGGGGCTTGCCACGGTAGATGATGACGGGGAGCTTGGGCGACCAGCGGTGGAACTCAGACTCCCAATTGGAAATTGTGGAGAGTGGCGCCACGACCAGGAAGGGCTCGAGGACCTTGCGCTCAAACAGATGGGAGATGAGGGCGATGGTCTGCACGGTCTTGCCCAGACCCATCTCGTCGGCCAGGATACCGTTGAGTTTGTTGTTAAAGAGGTTCACCATCCACTGCAGACCAGTCAACTGGTACTCCTTCAACTTGCCACCAGTCATGATCTCTGGCTGGTCGCGAACAATCTCCTCCTGATACATAGCGGACCTCTTGGTCATGACCGTCGTTGGCTGTTGTGTCTTTGCCGCCGCATTGTCGGCTGTTGTTGTGGTCGTGGTCGTTGTAGTGGTCGTGTCCATCGCATCTGCAGGCTTGTCGACCACCATTGTTGTGTCCTCGGCTGGTGGTGGTGGCGTAGCCAATGGGATGCCAGTCTCTGTGATAATCTCTCCACGCTCCCTGCGCTCCTCCTCCTCCTTCTCCTTCTCGCGTTCCAGTCGCTCGCGTTCGCGCTCGGCACGCTCCTCCTGCTCGATCCTCTCCTTGTGCACGAGGAAGTCGATCTTGCCAAGCAGTGAGTCTGTCTGACTCATGAGCATCTTCAAACGCTCGTTCTTTGTCTTGTCCAGCAGCTCCTTGTATCCCTGTGTGTCCTGCGCCTTGAGCAGTCTGATACGCTCCTTTCTGAGACGCTCCTGCTCGCGTCTCTCCTTCTCCTTGTGATACTTGTTGACCAGCCTGTTGACATTCTTGATGCTCTTCTCGCGCTGCGAGTGGAACTCCCTGAACTCCTTCTGATGGTTGAACAGCGCGGCCAAGAACTTCTTCTTGTGCGTGGCCAAGATACTCTCGGGGATGTGCTGGACGTTGGACGCTTCGTACATGATGTCGCTGGGCTTTGACACGACCCTGGGTATGGGCTTGACAAACATATCGACCTCGTCCACTGAGCTGGCGTATATATCCTCTTGCAGCTCACTGACAATGTCGTTCCTGACTTTCTTCTGTACAATGAGGACTTTGAGCTGCTTCATCTCGATCAATGCCTTGGTCTTCACCTCGGGTGATAGATTGGTGGGCATCTTCTTGAGCTCCTCGAATCGTTGTTGGATCTTGGCAGTGATGTGATCCTCTCTTTCATTGATAGAGTGCACTGCCTCAAACAATCCCTTGTGTTGATCATGTATATCTTGGTTTGGAGCATTGACTATTGAGGTGTTAGTGTTACCGCTCAATCAATCAATCAATCAGAATGAACTTACGATTTTCAAGCTTGATTGATCCCTTGGGATGGAACTTGATCTCATGATGGCTGTCCTTGGACTCATGATTGAGTTGCTGTGATATGGTGTTGAGGGTGGCTGGTGGGATGGGAAGGTTCCTCGAGAGGTACTTGTAGGCCTCAATATGTGCTTTGAAAATGGGATACTGCTCTTCTCTAAGCTCATCCATTGCTTCTGCTGCTGCTACCGATGCTGATGTACTTGATTGATCGACCATCTCTACATCAGTATTATTGTTGTTTGATGATGTAGTTGTTGTAGTTGTTGTAGTAGTTGTAGATGTTGTAGCATGTGATTGAGGTGGTGATGCAGGTGAACCTGGTGCTGCCACTGAACTCTTGACAGTGATACGTTGATTGTAGTACAGATTGGCAAGATGTAGTAGCTTGATGTATTGTGGGTCTGTCTCGGCGACACCATTCTCACGCAGCTGCACCAGTGCGTTCAAGAACTTCTCCATGACGGCATCGTTTGCCTCGGACACAACAGAAGAGGATGATGCTGACGTACCATTGTAGCCAACAAACATACCATTGTTATTGCTATTATAGTTATTATTATTATTATTATGTAGTGTTGTTTTGGTGCCTCCTCCATTCATCCCCGATGACAAATGATTGTTGTTATTGTTGTTGCTGTTATTATGGTTATTGTTGTTATTGCTGTTTAGGCTACCTTTTGTTGACAACATGCTATCACCAGAGTCGTTGGCAACAGCAAGTTGTTCTAATATGATTGAATGAATGAATGAGTTAGACATGGTTGTTGATGTGATGTAGTTGTTGATTCAAGTTCAATTCATACCTTTATCGTCCAGACTTGGAGACATTATATTTGTATAAGTATATATGTTTATATATGTGTTTAAGTATAAGTATATATATGTAATGAAGAATGAAGTTGTAAAAACACGAGTCGTGTCTCTCTGACGTCACGGGACAAGATCTAACTGTTTGATCGAGTGAGTGGGTGGTCTTGGTCTTGGACCCTTTGCTGGGGCTTGATTGACACAAGTGAGTGAGTGAAGTGAGTGAATTATTTGATTGAATGAATGTTGAGATTGATTGTTGTTGTTGAACAGACAGACGACCTCCTTTTAATTACAAAACGAATTTGAATGTTGATGAAGAGAATGATTGAACAACAAACAACAAATGAAATGAAATGAATGACTTGACTTTGTTTGTTTGTTTGGTTTCTATGTTTATGCGCGCAATTCAATGTTTGGTTGTGTGTGCGATAGAGAAAGAAAGAGAGAGCGACAAGAGAACAGAGAATGAGTGAGCTGAAGGAACTCACAACAACAACCTGAGGTGACCGTTGCACTCACACACTTCAAAAAATAAAATTAATTTATGACTCACAAACACTTGAGGGGTTGTGTGGGTGTGTGGGGATTGAATGAATTAATTATGCCAGCTCTTCTTTCACTCTTCAGGCGATCTCAACAACAGGTTGACAGGACACCTCATGGTGATGATAGGCTTCTTCTATTCTCAACTATTACTCAATAGACTAAACTGAACTTCCTATTTAATATATATCTAATTATCTCTTATTGTCAATAAATATTATCTCTTTAAAAGAGATAATAGATAATTCAAACAATCGTGTCTTGTTGCCAATGTGTAAGTGTCGACGAAAACTTGTGTGTGTCGGAGACCCACTTTTTCACTTCTTTGAGTTGTCACCAAGTCGACAAACTTTGAAGTTGTTGAGTCGTGTCTACAAAAAGGGACACAAACAATACTTGTAGTGCATAACTCTACATATAATTATATATACAATGAGTAAACAACAACATCAAGAGGAGAGACAACAACAGAAGGAGTTGTCGGCAATGTCGCCAGAGGAGAGGACTCAATACTCATTGATGCGTGCACCAGACTATCATGGTGCAGATAACAATGTGTTGGCAAACAATAGAGCTAAATGTTGGGATGCCCGCGACCAATACTTTGCCTGTCTCGACGCCAACAATGAGAATGAACAGACTTGTAAGCAGTTATACGATGCGTTCGCAGGATCATGTATGAGTAGTTGGGTATGTTCTTCCACGCTCTCCTCTTTGTCTCGCTTGGTAGTCTCATTCTCTAACATACATCATCCATCAACAACAGAAAGAGTACTTCATAAAGAAGAGATTCGTTGATAAACAAAAGGCACAGATGTTGAGCAGCAGCTCACAAGTATAAGATAGGACTCAGAGGCATGTGGCCATGTGCTACATGTTCATGTGAGTCACATGGGGGCGCGCGACGCGACCTAAATGTACAGCCAAAGGACCTGGTCGACCAAGCTATATCAAGACTAGTCCCATGACACATGGATATTCAATCAACCAATCAATAAGGATTGCCGTCTCACTCATTCACTCAATCAATCAATCAATCAACTGGATGAATTAAACACTTGTGGCCCCATTATGAAGGTGGGGGTCCTTGGATACCACATTGGGCATTCTTGATCAATCAATCACACCTCCTACACTCCAACATGATCATCATCAATAACAACAACAACATGGTTGTTTAATTAATACATTCATATTGGTATTAGTAATAGAGATAGATATATAATATTATGCAATCATTTGTTGATGCTCAGATTGTATCACTTCAGGTGTTGGATGTTAGAGTGCCAACATCAAAGGACCAGGTTGGTTCGGATGCCATGCACACCAATCCCGACTACAGTTGTGCCTATGTCATCCTAAAGACCAACAATGATCATCTAGGTGTGTGTCCCTTCGCCACGCCATCTCCAACTCACTCAGACTCAAACTAATACATTCACCAAACATAAACAGAGGGTACTGGATTGACATTCACTCTTGGAAAGGGTACTGATGCAGTTGTCCAATGTGTCAATGCAATGAAGGACTTGGTGATTGGAAAGACAATGTCTCAGGTGTTCAAGGACTATGCGGCATTCTATCGATCATTGACATCTGAGCCACAACTAAGATGGATTGGACCAGAGAAGGGCGCACTCCACCTGGCGACAGCAGCCGTGCTCAATGCCATTTGGGACCTCTACTGCAAGTGTCATGGCAAGCCATTGTGGAAGGTCATCGTGGATATGACACCACAACAAGTGGTCTCACTCATTGACTTTAGGTACATCACTGACGCCCTGACCAGAGACGAGGCGCTCAAGATCCTCACAGACCGCGAGTCCACAAAGCGCCAGCGCGAGGAGCACATGCTCAAGGAGGGCTTCCCCGCCTATACAACCAGCGCCGGTTGGCTCGGCTACAGTGACGAGAAGATCACCAAGCTGTGCAAGGAGGCGCTCGAGGTTGGCTTCACGCACATCAAGATCAAGGTGGGCAATGACATTGACGACGACATTCGTCGTTGTCGACTGATTCGTCAGCTGATTGGACCTGATCGCAAGCTTATGGTCGATGCCAATCAACGCTGGGACGTCGATCAGGCCATCCAGTACATGAAGCGTCTGGCTGAGTTCGACCCATGGTGGATCGAGGAGCCAACCAGCCCTGACGACATCCTCGGCCACGCCGCCATTGCCAAGGCTATCGCGCCAATCAAGGTGGCAACTGGCGAGATGTGCCAGAACAGGGTGATATTCAAACAGTTGTTGCAGGCAAAGGCCATGGACTTTTGCCAAGCGGACAGTTGCCGTCTGGCCGGCCCGTCCGAGGTGATCACCGTCATGTTGATGTGCGCCAAGTTTGGCGTGCCCGTATGCATGCACGCTGGCGGTATTGGCCTGTGCGAGTACGTCAACCAGCTGTGTCTGATCGACTATATCTGCATCGCGGGATCACTAGAGAACCGAGTGACCGAGTATGTATGTCATCTGACCGAGCTGTTCATCAACCCATCAGTGATGAAGAGCAGTCACTATCAATGTCCAGTCAACCCTGGCTATGGCTGCGGTCTTACCCCCGCCGCCTTGGCCGAGTACACCTTCCCCAGTGGTAGCTACTGGGTCAAAGAGTGTTCATCATCCAACAAATAAACAAATCTATGTCCTCCACTCATGATGGTTGGTTGGTAATACTGTTGCCGTCGCTGCTGCTGCTGCTGTTGCTGCCTGCTGCTTGTTGACATTGATGGGTTTATTTCTTCTTGTTGCCACCTCCAGTGTTGAACTTGAAGAAGATGATGTCGCCATCGTTGACGATGTAGTTCTTGCCCTCCATTCTGTATTTGCCAGCGGCCTTGCAAGCAGTCTCTGACTTGTGCTCAAAGAAGTCAGCGTAGCCCATGACCTCAGCCATGATGAATCCCTTCTCAAAGTCAGTGTGAATGACACCGGCGGCACCTGGTGCCTTGGTGCCCTTCTGGATGGTCCAGCAACGGACCTCGTCGGCACCGCATGTGAAGTAATGAGCCAACTGCAGATGATGGTATCCGGTCTTGATGATCTTTGGCAGAGCGGTGGTGGCGCCCTTGGTGGTCTCGTAGGCCTTCTTCTCCTCAGCAGTCTTGAGCTCAGAGTATGGCTTCTCAAAGGCCACACTGACTGGGACGAGGGGACCGCCACCATTGGCATCGACCCATGTCTTGATCTTGCCCAACCACTTGTTCTTCTTTCTGATGTAGTCATCCTCAGACAAGTTGATCAAATAGATTGCTGGCTTGGCAGTGAGAAGTCTGTTGTCAAGTTGGTTGATTGATTGATTGAATGTAAGTATGGGTGAGTGATTGATTGATTGATCGATCAATCATACATACCTAAGCTCTCTGACGTGCTCAAGCTCGGCATTGGAGTAGGTTGCAAATCTAGCCTGCTTGCCAGCTCTCAAATGCTCCAACAGCTTGGTGTAGGTGTCCAACTCGACTTGCTTGGCCTTGTCAACGGTTTTCTGTTTCGCAATGGGTTATCGTTAGCGTTAAGCTTAGCTGTAGCTGTCACAGACGGAAACTTACATTCTTAACGGCTCTCTGCAACAGATCGAGAGTTCTGGAGACGTAGTCAATGTCCTTGGCAATCAACTCACCAGCAATGATCTCCAAATCTCTGACTGGGTCAACAGTGTCCTCAACGTGAGTGATATCAGGGTCGTCAAAGGCACGAATCATATGGTAGATACCATCGACAGCCTGGATGTGAGAAAGGAAACTGTATTCATTCATCGATGTTAGTGCTCGTGCCGTGTTGTGTCGTGTCGTGTCGCCGAGGTGCCTTCTCTTTCATCAAACTTACGCATTTCCAAGACCAGCACCGGTGGAAGCACCCTTGACCAGACCGGCAATATCGGTGATGGACAGGTAGGCTGGCACCTTGGAGGCGGGCTTGAACACCTCACACAACCAGTCATAACGCTCATCGGGCACAGCGCAACGACTGACGTTTGGATCGATCGTGCAGAATGGGAAGTTCTCAGCGGGGATCGACATGTTGGTGAGAATGTTGAACAGCGAGCTCTTTCCGACGTTGGGCAGTCCAACGACACCCATCTGCAAGTTGTTTCCGACACGGCCCAAAAGAATTGGTACCTCTGCCTGTGGTTGATCCTTTGCCTTTGACATGTCTTATCTTATATATTATATATATGTATGTTATATAAGTATTATTAGATGAAAACGAATGAGTACAAGTGCTCATTCTCGCTAAAGTTATGTTCAATTTGAAAAAAAAATGAAGATTCTTGAAGTTCCTTCACTTTCAACAAACTTGTGTTTGCAAGTTCTGGATCATTCAAGTGAAGTGATGGAATCATCATTCAACTCACTCATTCACTCAATTACTTGTTATACTTATTCTTATACTTATACATAATATACATAATTAATTAAAGTGATGGATACTGGCGGCGCCATTGATATTAGTATTACTTCAATTGTATCAAAGAGATTTGATCATCTGTGGAAGACACTTCAAGAATGTGCAAAGACATATCAATCATTGAAACAAACCCATTCAGAGTTGACTGATTACTTTGAACGGTTGATCAAGGTGGTCACGACCCAGGAGCACAGAGCAAAGTCTCCCATCAATGATCAAATGTTATACATTCAAGCAACAATCAACAACATCATCACAGAGATATCTGATATCAATCACTTAATCAACAATAATGAATATCCAACTGGTTGTAATCAAAACAATGACAACAACAACAAGGAAGACTCAATTGAAGATATGACACAGATGATAGAGATGATAGGATCATGCACTTCAATTGATAAGTTCAACAACTACCTCACCAGTATGACTCAACAACAACAGTCGACGGCAATCAAACAACACTTTGATGACAATGAATTATATAGTATGATCACTGGTTTTATGAAGCTTGTTCCTCCATATGACGGCAAGGACAAATCTCTGGCCAAACCAAATAGTGTCTTTGTTGATACCAACAGATTGATGGCTATCAAAAAGCAGATTGAGTCATGCTTTCTAATCATTGAACAAAGAAATCAGACTTCCACAACAAATGAAGATGCTCCCGATCCAGACGTTGGAGGTGAACTCAACGGACATGCGATATCAGTGGGAGAGCATGGTTCGGAACCATGCTCTTTGTTCTCGCTGGAAACTTCCAAATGGACAACAATTAGAGATGTATTTAACAATCGGGATCAAGTTTCTACTGCGGTGGTATACGCCAGAGGTGATGTCTATTTATTTGGAGGAGATTGCTCCAAAGGCGACAAGCCAAGGTACTACTCAAGATACTCCCTAGCTGAGAAGAAGTCCTACCGATATGACATCGTTGGCATCTATGGAGGCAGCAATATTTCTACTTGCTACGATGGTGACAATCTCATCTACCTAATTGGAGGCTACGAAAACATCAATCATATGACTGACCTGCCGTACAATGGAAATCAGTTGAGAAGGGTGGATTGCTTCGACATCACATTGCAACAGTTCAAAAATGTTGGAGAGCTCGACTTCGAAGTGACCGATGTCAGTTCACACTTCCACAACAACTTGATCTACATCACTGGAGGTGGCCAGGGATTGTTTACATTCAATGTTGGAACCAAAGAGACTTCCATTCTCAAGAAAGACATACCAGGCTATTACATAAGAAGCTGTTTCGATGGCTATGACAAACTATATATGCTAGATCACTATGATAACTTCCTACAGTATAGTATCTCCACACAACATATTACCAACCTATCCAAGCTACCACTATCAACCAGAGTTGAGAAACTATTATACGACCGATACTTTGGCATCCTATTCCTTGGCGGCAAAGGCAACAACTATCAATACTCAATACAAGAGAACCAATGGACACTGATCAAAGATGACGACCCAAGGAATTCTCGCAATTGGCATGGAGGATGTATTATTCGTGATTGATAAGACCACCATAATCCATCAATCCTAAACAGCGCCATGTCCAAGCTAAATGAATGATTGAATAAATGTCAATGGAATAAGGAAGTTTATTAATTAATTAATTACATTCGATGATGAGATGGACCATGTTGAGTTGGATGAAATGGATGATGGTGTTTGATAGTAATTGTCATCTCTATCTCTCGATGATCAATCGATCAATCTATCAACCAATCATCAAGATTGTGATCGATCGACTGAATGAAGAATGAATGAACAAGGGGGAGACCCTGCTCGACGTGTCTGTGCCAGAGTCCATCATGCATGGATCGATCTTAATGTTGCATGCAAGCCAGCCAATTGTGTTATGGTAGTGATGGGTGATGGTGATGATGATGGTGTTGATCCAACCCTACAGGAAGCGATCCTTTGTCAAACCCAAGAACTCTAGTGCATTTTCACCAAGTAGTTGCTGCTTGGTCACGTCGTCAAACTCCTTGATCGATTGGATCAACTCGCCTGGGACCTGCTCGCCCAGGGGGAATGGATAGTCTGTGCCCAGACACACCTTGGAGGCGCCCATCAGCTTGACCAAGAACTTCAATGCCTCCTCATCATGCACCAACGAGTCTACCCAGAACCTTCCAATGTAGTCTCTTGGGTTGATGGGATTGTCGACGGCACACCTATACGTTATTCACGTGAGTGTTGTTGTTAGTCAATGAGGTCACGCCAGTGTGATGGTCAGCACACACGACTCTAATACTTACAGGTCTGGTCTTGCTTGGAAACCATGCTCAATACGTCCGATTGTGAAGGGGAATGAACCACCGCCATGAGCAAAGCACACCTTGAGCTTGGGAAGCTTCTCAAACACACCGCCAAAGATCATGGCGCACATGGCAAGACAGGTCTCTGCAGGCATGCCGACAAGCCAGGGCAGCCAGTACTTGGGCATGCGATCCTTGCCCAGCATCTCCCATGGATGGATGAAGATGGAGGCGCCCAGTTTCTCGGCCTCCTCAAAGACGGGGAATAGACGTGGGTCGTCGAGGTTGGCGCCGTTGACGTTGGTGCCGATCTGCACGCCAGCAAGGCCGAGCTCGAGAATGCAGCGGCGCAGCTCTTGAATGGATGCTTCGATGTCTTGCAGTGGCAGAGTGCCGAGACCGACGAAGCGCTTGGGGTTCTCGCTGACAACTTGTGCGATGTGATCGTTGAGGTATTGTGCCAGGTCGAGGGCATCGCCAGGCTTAGCCCAGTAGGAGAACATGACGGGCACGGTGGAGAGCACCTGAATGTCACACTCATCGCGATCGGCCTCCTTTATCCTTGCCTCTGGGTCCCAACAATTGGACTCGATCTCACGGAAGAACTTTCCATCGATCATCATCTTTGCCTTGCACGAACAATGATGATCCAATGATACCCAACCTCCATAACCATATTTCTCTCTCAAGTTAGGCCAATTCTTTGGCAATATATGAGTATGTAAATCTATCTTTAAAGGTCTACCATTAATTCTTGATGTAGATGCTGTTGTCGAAGTTGTGGTTGTTGATGTTGTTGATGATGTTGAAGTAGTAGTACTATCCATTGTATTTTGTATATCTATTCTATCTAAATGATGTATATAAATATATATATGAAGTATTAATTATAAAGTATGTTACTTGATGTATTATCTGTTTGATTGAACAATGTTGTCAGTCATGTGTGTCCTCGCGAGAGAGAGAGAATGATTGTGTGAGAGGGAGGTGAATGTGTTCCCACTCGGGGGTTCAACTCTCATAAGCGTGTGACTTCTTTGCTTTGCCGACCCCCACTGAGATGTGAAATTTCCATTTTTGACAAGAACGAACTTCCAAATGGATTTCCCATTGAGAAATGTTTTGATTAAAATTTATTATATTTTTCACAAACATCCCCACAGCTCTCACACCCGCGACTCGACTGCGACAACCCAACCAACCTACCTCTTCATCATCTCACAAGAGTGATCCAGTATCCTTATCCTACGATTTGATCTTGTATGTATCTGTATACATCTATCTATCTATCTCGACATGATTGGCGATAGCGAACAACACTCAAGAATGATATACTGACAACGATGATATAACAACAACAACAACAAACAGATTTCACTTTAAATCGCAAGAACCTCATTCACCAACGATGTCTGTGGCAGGAAACAAGAGAAAGAACACTTTCATTGAGAAGGCTACCAAGCTCTTCACAACTTATGACAAGATGATTATCGCCCACGCTGACTTCGTCGGATCCTACCAGCTCCAGAAGATCAGAATTGCTCTCCGTGGCAAGGGTAACGTGCTCATGGGAAAGAAGACCATGATCCGCAAGGTCGTCCGTGATCTCTTGGAGTCCAAGCCAGAGCTCGAGGCTCTCCTCCCACACTTGAAGTCCAACACCGCCATCATCTTCGCCAAGGAGTCCCTCGGTGAGGTCAAGGACATCGTCAAGAAGAACCGTGTTGGTGCCCCCGCCAAGGCTGGTGTCTTTGCCCCCAACGACGTCATCGTCCCAGCCGGTCCAACCGGTATGGAGCCAACCCAGACTTCCTTCCTCCAGGAGCTCAAGATCGCCACCAAGATCAACAAGGGTCAGATCGATATCGAGCGTGAGGTCCACCTCATCAAGGCTGGCCAGAAGGTCGGTGCCTCCGAGGCCACCTTGCTCCAGAAGCTCAACATCAAGCCATTCACCTATGGTCTTGAGATGAAGATCGTCTACGACGAGGGTGCTTGCTACTCGCCATCCATCACTGAGGAGGATCTCCTTGCCAAGTTCAAGGCTGGTGTTGCCAACGTTGCTGCCATCTCCTTGGAGCTCGGCTACCCAACCGTTGCCTCCATCCCACACAGCTTGTTGAACGCCTACAAGAACGTCTTGGCCATCGCCCTCGAGACCGAGTACTCGTTCCCAGCCGCCGACAAGTTCAAGGCTGCCCTCTCTGCTGCCCCAGTTGCTGCCGCCCCAGCCGCCGCTGCCCCAGCTGCCGCCGCCCCAGCCAAGGCTGCTGCCCCAGTCGTCGAGGAGGAGTCTGATGACGATTTCGGAGGTGGTCTCTTCGGAGATGACGAATAGACGCTCAGTCTGTCCCCGCCCCTTTGCATCGCATAGCACAATGCGTGTGCGACATCATCTTGGTAACTTTTTTTTTTTACCAACAATAAACAAAAGAGATCCATCCAGGTGATGTAACATCCAAATAATCCTTATCCATGTATTTCCATTCCATCATCCAAACATCCAGTGGACACTCATCAATCAAACTTTGGAACTTTTCCACTCAATCAATCAATCAATCAATCAATCAATCAAATCCACATACTTTGCGACAACCTGGTTGTTGTTGTTACAATGACGACGACATGGATGCGCCGAGTACCAGTACTTGTGGCTTTAATGAATTGGATATTCTACTGAGACTCGCCAGCAATAGATTTGACAGTTTGAATTGGAATGGCCATTCGAACATGAGGAATGTTGGCCTCGTAAAAGATTGGTATGTTTGTGTCTGTGATGAATCCAAGCTTCTCATAGAACTTCTCGACGTACTGCTGAGCATTGATGATATAGCATGGGAAGTTGCGATCCTTGTTCAGTTCATATACTCTCTTGATCGTTTCCTCTACCAACACCTTTCCATATCTGAGTGCGTGCGCCAGGTTAGTCATCAATCACATTCGTTCATTCAATCATTCATTCGTTTGTTCATTACGACACTTACTTCTTTCCTCTGTGTTCCTTGAGTACGGCGAATCTCTCCAACTTTACGACATCAGTTCCATCATCTAGATGATACTGACGTGATCGTGAGCATGCAACTGGTACACCATTGTCTGTGAGCAAGTAGTGTGTGGCTATGGCATCATGCTCATCCCATTCCTCCTCTATACATCATGTATGAATGAATGATTGATTGATTGATTGATTGATTGGGTCAGTGAGTGAGTGAACACATTTCCTCAATATATGATGATAACATAACATACCAACTGGACATTGTTGTTCAATTACAAAGACGTCGTATCTTATCTTTCTGATGTCCTTGTTGAAAACATCTGTATTGTTTTGAGTTGCTACAAAGTTTGTTGATGCCATCACTGTATCTTTATTGTTGTAATTATAATGTATATATCTATATTTGTTGTTGATGTTATACAAGATTGATTAAATAACTAGTTTCATCGTTCTTCAGAATCTTAACTTGAATTTTCAGATCTTTTTGTAGTTTTTTTTGAGTGATCACTTTTTGGCAAAAGGCAAGTTCAAAGGACACTTCCCTCATCTTCATTGGAGCCAACTAATCCATTCATTCATACATACTATGGCATACTTAATAATGATTCACATAATACATAGATATTTAAAGAAACAAATAATAATAAGTAAGGATGAATAATAAGGACACAAGTTGTATCAATAGAGTGTTCCATAATAGATTGTTGGTCAACATGATATTTGGACATGTGAGTGATATGCACAAGAGGTGGATGAGTCTACCGATGCCATCAATCAGGTTACCATTGCCTGATGATGGTAGTGATCCAATGCCCAGCATCAAGTCTGTTATCAAGGGTGCCCAACTTCACAACATGGACCTGATCTACATGTTGAAGTACCATGCCACTCAAATGTTCATCAAGACATTTGACAGCGTTGCCGACGAGTATCCCATTGATGCTGTCAAGGAATTGGTCAAGTTCTCAGCCAACTACAACAATGCAACTGTTTACAAACATTTGATCAACAGGACCAAGATTGACACTGCATGTATCTGGTGCGACATGGTCTTCTTCTTTGGAAACGTGGATATCCTTCAGACCTACCTCGATGCCACTGGCCACCGCCCATTTCCAAGTCACATTGTGCAGCACCTTCCACTGGTAGCCGACTCTGGCAGTGTGGAGTTTGCTCGTCTTTTGCTACAACACACGGCAATCAGTTATGATAGTGGCCAAATAGTCTGCAGTAATGACTTTGAGAGACGTGGTGTCCGAGTTGACATGCTCCGATTGTTCCACGAAGAGTTCCACATTCTCTTTGTTCACACCGAGCTCTGGAGGGTGGCACTCCTGCACTCTGCCAAGTGCAACATGTTGGACAGTGTTCAATACATCCTTGACAACATGCCACCAACCGAGAGTGAATCTTGGGATCTCGACACTTGTCTCAAACATTGTGCCAAGTCTGGCAACGCCGCTATGTTCCAATCATTAATCAAGTCGAATGAGGGAACCAAGTACCTAAACAATCGCGACATCAGAGACTTAATTGACATTGCGGCTGATCGTGGCCATGAATCATTCATCAAGTACCTCCTCCAACATCATGTTGGCAACGGTCACATCAATAAGAATAGTGAGGATCTGATTCGCAACCTGCTCGAGATGCCATCATCATCCTGTGAGTCAACCGATATCAACTTGGCCAAGCTTCGAATCACACCAATGGCAGCCATTCGCAATGATGACATTGTGACAGTGGAGTCGTACTCTGATCACCAATTCAAACTTGGTTACAAGGTGTGTCGAGAGATGTCCGAGTCGATGGCCAAGTTCATCTCGAGTCCTCGAACAACCAAAAAGTTGCACTTTGGAGACTTCTCAGTCCTCAACATGATCAAGGCTGTCGGTATCCCAGGCAGCAACATTACACAAGACATCATCTGCCAGTTCATTGTCAACTGCAATATCAAGACAAATCGCCATATCGGCGAATCAATGGTTTTGGCCAGCAGGTTCTCGACGGAGGTTATGCAGCTACTCAACACTCACCTCAAGATCAATTACAGTGAATGCATAATGAAAGTCATCAAGAGTAGAAGTCTCGAGACCATTGCGTTCATCTTTGAACACACAAAACAGAAGGATCTTAAGAGTTGCAAAGGAGGTATCACGAGGACAACATTCAAGTTTGTGTCCAAGGCATCATTGTCCGAGGTCACATTCTTGTTGGGTCACGTCGGCTTTCTCACCAATGGTGATGTTGAGCTGTGTGAGTGGGCCGCTCTCAATCCTCACGTGGATGTGTTCGAACATGTGATCAATCAGTACACTCTGGAGCACCTCACTAACAAAGTGATCGACAAAATCATTGACCAAGCGCTCTTGAGCGACAGAGTGGACAATGTTCGCATGCTCCAACAACGTTTTGAGCTCGACCCAGCCAAGCCACTGGTCAAGCCAACACTGGACATGTTGGATTCAATGGTCAAGGCAAATTGTTATCTCACTCTTGATCACTACTTCAACTCGACAACATTCACCAGGATACCCAGGACACACCAATTGCGAATACTCCACATCATACACGATAAGAGCTACCAAAATGCCACACACCGAGTGATCAAGGTGTGCATTGATCATATCAAGTCACTCACTCACGAACAATCACAATCACAACCGTATGTTACCTCTCACTGATATATATTTTGCGAACCTCATTGATCTCAATCACTAACATCTATCATTTTCAATCAATCAATCAATTAATCAACAAAGGGTCGAGTCCAAGGCAACACATGTTGTTGAAGGTCAAGTACAACAGGCCCATCAGGCAACATCGTCATTGATGGAGACAGCATTCCACTCAGTGTTCAATGACACCAAACTTGGAATGATGGTCATGGAACAGATTGGACGTGTTCACAAGTCACTTGGCATCGATGACAAACATCTGATCAAAGGATCACAGTTGATTGACAATCATTGTTTGTTTGATTACATCAAATATAGTGCCACTGAATGGTTCCTCAAGTTCTACTCCACACCCAATATGGACACATCGATTAGCACCAACTACAACTCACGATTGTTGCTGGAGGCATTGGTCAGGTGTGACACTCGTGCGGTCGATGTACTTCTGGCCAACCCCAAGATGAGGCTCCTATGTGACCAGTTCACCCAATACTATGTTTGGAATATAGAATGCACTCATCCACATTGGGAGAGGATGTTTGATCAGTTCGTCGAGATCATAAGTCAGACGTCACCCACAATCGAGCTCGAAGAAGAAGAAATGTCCAAAGTCAGACATCATTACTTCGCAAACTCATTCAATCTGGAGCCAAACTCCCCACCATCAAGAATGATTTAGACTACATCACCTGTGCTGATGGATGGCTCAACAAACCTTGGGCCTTGGAAATGCTCAAGTTGATGAGCTCTCATCTCTCATTAGATTGCCACAACAAGTTGCTACTTGAATCAATCAAGCTCAACCTGACATCAATCGTTCAATACTATGTTGACTCGGATCTTCTTCAAAAGATGTTGGCCAAGTCAACGCGGTTCATAGAAGATATGTTCAAAAGTTGTTGCGAACATGGACGCAATGATCATTTGGACATCTTGTTACCTTTGATGTCGTCAGATGTATTGAAGTACAGTAAAAATCATTATGCAAAGGCAGCTGAGAATGGACATCTGGTCATCGTTCAAAGATTACATCAACTCATCGAGTCATCAGATGACAAACAATCATTCGATTATTCCAGTCCTGTGCCAAAGGTGTTGGCCAATGGACACATGGACGTGGCCAACTTCATCTTCAACGTCTTGGCATCAGACCCTGAGCGCCACACACATAGGTGCAATGTCGACCACATCCATCACTCAATCATATCGGTGGAGTTGATCGAACAATTGCTTGGACACCCAACCATCTATGTCAGTTATGAGAAGATGTTGGCCGATGCTGTTGTTGCTGGACACAAAGAGGCCATCGATATGCTGCTGGTCAATCTCCCCGAGAACAAAGAGAACTATTCATACACTGATACTGTCTTTGCAAGTGCGGCCAAGGTTGGCGATATTGAGACAATCAAGAGGATCGTGGCCAGTCGACCAAACACCAACCTCAAATTACAACACATTGTATCGTTGATTGGTCAATCAAGATTGCCCAACAGCTTGGTGACCGAGGATGTGATCATTGAGTTGGTTAACAACTCATTATATCTCGAAGGAAAGATCCTGAAAGCAGAATGTTTGGGCAATTTGCTCATTGAGGCTGCGTCCAATTCACTCGCACTGATCAAGATGGTCATTGAGAAGCTGTCCAACTATGGCATCAAACTAGAGAGTGAGATTCACAAGATCAGTACCGAGCACTTCAACTATGCCGTTGCTGCCTGTGTCAATCGTGGCGACAACGAATCATTGGAGTATCTGGTACAAATCATTAAACAGATACTCTTGGACAATAAGAGGGGCAAGAGCAACGGTCTGTTTTATGAGGTGAGAAATATCCATGAACTCATCGGATTGGAGTTAATCAGCACATCAGCACTCAATCATCTGTTGGATCATGGACATTTCAGTGTGGACGATATCGATGTCAAGTCTGAAGCACTGGCAGAGTTGGTGGACTGGGCGTGTGAGCATGGAAAGCTGGACATCATGCGAGTGATCCATCAACGATGCACCACACCAACACAACTCCAAAGACTTCTTCCATCAATGTATTCCATCCATTGTGCGTCGGATAAGAATTTTCACAAGTTACTCAGTTACCTGTTTGAAGGCGATGTTGATCATGTAGGTCCAACTCATCCACTTCAACAGTCATTATTCAAACGAGCACAGACCAAGATCAACGAGGCCTTGTTGCTTAAAGTAGTTCGTATTCATTCATGTGTGAAAGGACATGTCCGCATCATCGACATGTGTGATCGACTGTTGGCACAACAACCAATCAGTCAATAAACATAGACACCGTTACGAATCTCCAGAGTCTCCATAATTGATCACTTTTTGGTGATAACCTTGCCACACTCTCATTCAATCATTCAAACAAATATAGATATTCAAACAAACAATTAGTAAGTGATGATGGTGAGTGATAGGGATACAGGTTGCATCAGCCAAGTGTTCCACAATCACCTGTTGGTCAACATCATCATTGGACATGTGATCGATATACACAAGAGATGGATGAGTTTGCCAAAGCCATCGATCAGATCTTCAATGCCAGATGACAACAACAATAACAACAACAACAATATACCTCTGATCAGATCAACAATCAAAGGTCGACAACTCCACAACATGAGTCTCGTTGATATGTTGCGATTCAACGCCACTGACATGTTCATCAAGACATTCGACAGCATCGCCTCTGACTACCCCATCGAGTGCAACACTCTGTTGTCTTCCGCAGCCACCTATAACAACACTATGGTATACAATCATTTGATCAATTCCAACAGCAGAATGAAGATTAGGATTGGCTTCATTGAATGGGACATGATCTTCCTTCATAGCAACATGGACCCTCTGCGGACCCTCCTCCCTATGTCCACAAAGTTCAGCTCGTTCCATATACTGCGCAATCTTCTCTATGCTGTTGACTCTGGCAACGTGGAGTTTGTACGACTTCTTCTCCAACATACATATGATGCCAATCAGAAGCAGAGCATTGCTGAAACCACTGGTATCAAACTGCGCAGACCTGGCGTCCGAGTTGACATGCTACGAATGCTGCACAAGGAGTTCAAATGTCTTTATGCATTCAGCTACCTCTGGGAAGGTGCGCTCATGCACTCGGCCAAGTACAGCATGTTGGACAGTGTTCAATACATCATTAACAACATGCCACCCCATCTGGAAGTGACCACTGGCATGCTCATCAAGTGTCTCAAACAATGTGCCAAGTCTGGCAACATCGACATGTTCCAAACATTCATCAAGTTACCCGTTGGCACCAGGTACCTCTTCTACCAAAGCAATAGAGATATCAAGAGGATCATTGAGAAGGCGGTTGATCATGGCCAGGAATCATTCATCAATCATCTCCACCAACAGTATGTCGGCAGATACTACATCAACAAGAGTTGTGAGAGTTTGATTCGCAATCTCTTGGTGATGCCGCCACCTGGTGAACCAACGCACACCGCCAGACTTCGAATCAAATCATTGTCTTCAGTCATTCTCAACGATGACCTCACATCAATCGACTTGTGCATTGATCAGACCATCAATCTCAAACTCAAGATGTGTCGAACGATGTCCAAATCAATTGCCAGGTTCATCTCAGGTCCTCGGACTCGCGTCAATCGGTTGTGCTTTGGTGGCAAATCAATACTCTTCATGTGTGAGGCCGTTGGAAGAAGAGGCAGCAGTATAACAACGGACATGGTATTCCAGTTCATTGTCAATGGCGATCATCAATCACCAGAGGATCTCGAGACAGCCATGGAGTTGGCCAGCGGCTACTCTACTGCCGTGATGAAACAACTCCACACTCACTTCAACATTGAGTACAACAATTCAAAGTGTCTAAAGAAGGCCATGTCGTTCAGATGTTTCGAGACCATTTCATTGATCCTCAATCACCCTGGAGACAAGAGTTATCTTGAGAAGGATAGAAACGTCATAAGGGATGAAGCATTCATGTTTGTTTCCAAAGCACCATTGTCCGAGGTGACATTCATCTTGGATCACATCGACTTTGTTCGAGGTGATGTTGAACTGTGTCAGTGGGCCGCACGTAGCCCTCACGTGGATATGTTTGAACATGTGATCAATCTGTTCACTCTCGAGCAACTAAATGATCAAGTGATCAACAGTATCATTAATCAAGCACTCCTGAACGATAGAGTGGACAATGTTTGCATGCTCCAGCAACGCTTTGAGAACGACCAGACCATCTCACTGATCAGGCCAACGTTGGACACGCTTCATATAATGGCTCAAATGAACTGCTACCTCACATTGGAGCACTACTTCAACTCAACATCATTCATCGACCAGTTCAAACTACCATTACAAAGAGAGCGAATACTCCACTTTGTACTCAAATTTGGTTACAAATATTCCACTCATCGAGTGATCAACTTGTGCACTGATCAGATAAAGTCATCAACCACAACATAACTCTCTCCTTGCTGATCAATCTATCAGACAATGAATGGAACAATCCCAAAAAACTAATATGTCCCAATCACTTGACTAGGTTTGACCAATAAATCGAACTTTCAGGTCAGATCCCAAAAAGATCAGATGACCATTTAAGCCAAACTTCTTTCAATCATTGATCATACTTACACCAACCAATCAAACAAACAGATAATAAGTTAGGATGACGATGAGGGATAGGGACACCAGGTGCATCAACAAGGTGTTCCACAATCACTTGTTGGTCAACATCATCTTTGGACATGTGACTGATATACACAAGAGATGGATGAGTCTGCCAAAGCCATCAATTGACAGCAACAACAACAACAGAACACATCTGATCAAGTCAACAATCAAAGGTCGTCAACTTCAAAACATGAGTCTCGTTGATATGTTGCGCTTCAACGCCACCCAGATGTTCATCACAGCATTCGACAGCGTTGCCAACGACTACCCCATCGACAACAATCTGTTGACATCCGCAGTCAACTTCAACAACATAACAGTATTCAATCATCTAGTTGACAGAATGAAGATGGACATCGAATGTTGGGACAAATTGTTATATCATGGAAACCTCGACATACTGCGCCGCTACCTCGAAGCCACCGGCCACCGCAGACTCCCCACCAATATGGAGTCAAACTTGCCTTCTGCTGTTGACTCGGGCAATGTGGAGTTTGTTCGTCTTCTGCTCCAACACCTCGATAATGATTACCACATCACAAGTTTCAATATGTTTCGCAGACATGGCGTCAGAGTTGACATGCTACGAATGCTGCACGAGGAGTTTAACTTACTCTTTCTCACCATCCTCTGGGAAGCGGTACTTCGTCACTCTGCCAAGTGCGATATGATGGACAGTGTTCAATACGTCCTCGAAAACATGCCGCCTGCCCATAGTATACCGAGCCAGTTGCTCTTCAGGTGTCTCAACGAATGTGCCAAGTCTGGCAACGTCGACATGTTCCAAGCATTCATTAAGACACCTGATGGCACCATCTACCTCAGCAACAGTCGTGATATCAAACGAATCATTGAGAAGGCAGCTGATCGAAGTCATCTATCAATCATCAAACATCTCTTCCAACATCATGTTGGCAATGGCCACATCAACAATGAGAGTGAGACACTGATCCTCAACCTTTTGGTGATGCCCCCATCAGATGGATTGATCGACATGGACCAGGTCAAGCTACGCAGCACAATATTTGCTTCGATTCGCAACGATGACATTGTATCATTGGAATCAGACCAATCAAGACATATTGATTTGACTCTAAAGATGTGTCTAATGATGTCCAAGCCAATGACAACATTCATTTCGAGTCATGGAAAGTCCGTTGGGTTGTCCTTTGGTGGAGATTCGTTACCAAACTTGGTGAATGCCATGTGCCAACCTGGCAGCAGCATCACCGCCGACATCGTCTGTCAGTTCATCGTCAACAGTACATACAAATGGTATTCAGACACCCTCCAGACAGCGATGAAGTATGCATGCAGCCACTCTGTTGTGGTGGCGCAACTACTACATTCTCGCTTCAACATTGATTACTGCCTTGCGACGGCATTGGAGAATAGATGTCATGAGACAATATCATTTATCTTCAATCACACCAACCCAATCGACAGGTATCGTCGCAACTCTGATGTCAAGGCAAGAGCATCCGATATTGTTTCCAACGCACCATTGTCCGAGGTGACATTTATCCTGGATCACATGGACTACATCAGACACAATGTTGAAGTGTGTGAATGGGCCGCGCGCAGTCCTCACTTGGATGTGTTTGAACATGTGATCAATTTATTCACACTCGAGCAACTTTGTGATGGCCAAGTGATCGACCGTATCATCGAGCGAGCACTCTTGAGAGACAGGATCGACAATGTCCTCATGCTTCAACGACACTTTGGTCAACCCGATCAAATCCAGCAATTGCTTCAACCAATGTTTATCACTCAATTGGCCAAACAGAATTGCTATCTAACATTGGAGCACCACTTCAACTCAACAACATTCTCCAACTGGCCGATGCTACACCGTCTCCGAGTACTCCACTCAATACTCAATGTTGCCTATCAACATACCACCCACCGAGTGATCAAGATGTGCAATGATCAGATCCAGTTACTCACTCTCTATCAATCAGAATCGTAAGTATAGCCAACAATGTTTCATTGATTCGCACTCACTCACACAATCAACAGGGGCGAGCCAACATTGACGAATCAAGACCATGATGTCCATCAGGCATCATCACCATCATCAACATCAATGGAGACAGCATTCCACTCAGTGTTCAATGACACAAAGCTTGGAATGATGGTCATGGAGCAGATTGGACGTGTTCACAAGTCACTTGGAATCAATGACAAACATTTGATCAAAGGATCACAGTTGATTGACAGACATTGTTTGATTGATTACATCAAGTATGGTGCCACTGAATGGTTCCTCAAGTCATACTCTCCATCCAATGTTGTCCACAACTCTCCATTGCTTGATGAAGCATTGGCCAGGTGTGATACACGCGCAGTCGATGTACTTCTGGCCAATCCCAAATGTCAGCTCGTCAAAGACCTGGAATATTTTGTCAAGAATGTTTCTTGCACCCATCCGCACTTGGAGAGGATGATTGAAGAATACATCATGATCTCAAATCAGACATCATCCTCTCTCATATTCAACCAAGAGATCATGTCCAAGGTTAGACATCCATCACTCCTTCGCAAACTCATTCAGACTGACATCCAACTAGCAGTCATCAGTCAGTTGGTGTATATTGACAACTTAGTTGATCCTGAGGATGGTTGGTTCACCAGGACATGGGCGGTAGAGATGCTGGAGCTGATGACACAATATGAACTGCTCTCGCAAGGTATCCATACTGAACTACTTTACAGGTCGGTCAAGCTCAAACAGGAGCCGATCCTCCAATTCTATCTCCAATGCGAACTATGGCCACTGTCCAAGTTGTTGCCATTGGAGAACGGCCATAACCTGTTTCAAATGTGTTGTCAACATGGAGTCAGGATTGTTCAATTGGAGGTTTGCCTCCCTTTCATTTCGACAGGTATAGATTACCTGGATAATTACATTTCACTGGCAGCGGATAATGGACATCTGGAAATATTTGAACGATTACTCTCATTGATGTACTTCAAGTCCAAAACATGCATTCACGCGAGTGATATACCAAACAATATGATTGATCCACTACTTCGAAAGGTATTGTTAAATGGACATTTGGACGTTGCCAACTTCATTCTTGCGTCATCTATTCCACAACCCAACAAAAAGAAATCACAACTAGAAGAAATCAATGATATCAATCCCTCAATCATGTCCATTGACTTGATTGATCGACTCTTGGCACATCCCAACTTCAGATGTAGATTCAATCATGTGTTGGGCAGTGCCATTGTGGCTGGCAACAAGGAGGTCATCGATATGATGTTGGGGCCACTCCCCAAGGACACACCAATCAGAACGTTCTATCGATATGCTCTGAGGCAGGCGGCATTGGTCGGTGATCTGGACAACATCAAGAAGATAATGATTATTAGTCGAGAGGAGTTAACAGTCTATGACATTGGCTCATTGATCGATAGAGTTGGAGTATATGGCAGCTTGGTGACAGATGACGTGGTCATGGAGTTGGCCAAATCCAAATCAATCGAGTCTCAAATATACACTTTGTTTACAAAGGCCGCATCCAAATCAACCGCACTGTTCAGGTTTGTTATGGAGCGAATATCCAGTAACGACTTGCTTCACAAGATCAACATCGTTGACATAAACACTGCCTTTGAGGCATGTGTCAATCGTGGTGACAACGAATCATTGGAACAAGTTGTCCAACTGGCTCGCACCGTATGCTTTACGAGTGATAGCCCTGACCAAAGCATACTGGAGAGTAAAAGGTACCATAAATACCTCAATTTGAAGGCATGCAGCACATCAGCACTCAATCATCTGTTTGACTATGGTCATTACAGTGTGGATGACAATAAGTCTCTACAGTTGATGGACTGGGCCTGTGAGAATGGAAAGCTGGACATCATGCGAATGATCCATCAACGATGCACCACACCAACACAACTCCAAAGACTTCTTCCATCAATGAAGGCCATACATTGTGCATCTGACAACAATCATCACAAGTTACTCAGTTATCTGTTTGAAGGTGATGTTGATGTTGATGGTCCAACAAATCCAAGATCACAGACAGTATTCCAACGAGCAGAGTCCATGATCAACATAACCATGTTGATCAGAGTAGTTCGACTTCATTCATGTGCGAATGGACATCTCCGCATCATCGACATGTGTGATCGACTGTTGGCACAACAACCAATCAATCAATAAACATAGACACGTTACAAAAGTTACGAATCTCCAGAGTTTCCATGATTGATCACTTTTTAGTGATGAATTTGCAGATGCAAGTTGATACCCACCCATTCAATCATTCACACAATCAAACAGATAATAAGTGATGATGAGTGATAGGGATACTGGTTGCATCAACCAAGTGTTCCACAATCACTTGTTGGTCAACATCATCTTTGAACATGTGATCGATATACACAAGAGATGGATGAGTCTGCCAAAGTCATCAAACAGATCATCAGAGTCTGACAACAACAACAACAACAACGACAACAACGACAACAATGACAACAACGACATACCTCTGATCAAATCAACAATCAAAGGTCGACAACTTCACAATATGAGTCTTGATGATATGTTGCGATACAACGCCACTCAGATGTTCATCAAGACATTCGACAGCATCGCCGCTATCTACCCAATAGAGTGCAGCACTCTGTTGTCCTCCGCAACCACCTATAACAACACAACAGTATACAATTATTTGGTCAATCGCTATAGTAGAAAGAATAATATTAATATTGGTTTAGTTGATTGGCGCATGATCTTCCAAAAAAGCAACATGTATCTGGTGCGGACCCTCTTCCCTGACGCAACAAAGTTCGGTTCTTATCATGTATTGAGCAAAATTACCCATGCTGTTGACTCTGGCAACGTGGAGTTTGTTCGATTTCTACTCAAACATACATATGATCAAGGCAATAGGAAGCAGATCTATGGCAACAAACTGCGCAGACCTGGAGTCCGAGTTGACATGCTACGAATGCTGCACAAGGAGTTCAATTGTCTTTATAAATTTAGCTCCCTCTGGGAGACTGCGCTCATACACTCAGCCAAGTGCAACATGTTCGAAAGTGTTCAATACATCATTAACAACATGCCACTCCATCTGGAAGTGACCACTGGCATGCTCGTCAAGTGTCTTAAACAATGTGCCAAGTCTGGCAACATCGACATGTTCGAAACATTCATCAAGTTACCCGATGTCACCATGTTCCTTCTCAACCAGATCAGTAGTGATATCAAGAGGATCATTGAGGGGGCGGTTGATCATGGCCAGGAATCATTCATCAATCATCTCCACCAACATTATGTTGGCAACAACCGAATCAACCAGAGTTGCGAGAGTATGATCCGCAACCTCTTGGTGATGCCACCACCTGGCGAACCAACGCACACCGCCAGACTTCGAATCAAATCATTGTCTTCGGTCATTCTCAAAGATGACCTCGCATCAATCGACTTGTGCATTGATCAGACGATAAATCTCAAACTCAAGATGTGTCGAACGATGTCCAAATCAATTGCCAGGTACATCTCAAGTCCTCGGACTCGAATTAATGGGTTGTGCTTTGGTGGCAAATCAATACTCTTCATGTGTCAGGCCGTTGGAGAACGTGGCAGCAATATAACAGCGGACATGGTATTCCAGTTCATTGTCAATGGCGATCATCAATCACCAGAGGATCTCGAGACAGCCATGGAGTTGGCCAGCGGCTACTCTGCTGCCGTGATGAAACAACTCCACACTCACTTCAACATTGAGTACAACAATTCAAAGTGTCTAAAGAAGGCCATGTCGTTCAGATGTTTCGAGACCATTTCATTGATCCTCAATCACCCTGGAGACAAGAGTTATCTTGCGAAGCATAGAAATGCCATCAAGGTTGAGGCATTCATGTTTGTTTCCAAAGCACAATTGTTCGAGGTGATATTCATCTTGGATCGCCTCGACTTTGTTCGAGGTGATGTTGAACTGTGCGAGTGGGCCGCATACAGTCCTCACGTGGATGTGTTTGAACATGTGATCAATCTGTTCACTCGTGAGCAACTCAATGACAAGGTGTTCGTCGGTATCATTAACCAAGCACTCCTGAATGACAGAGTGGACAATGTTCTCATGCTTCAACAACGCTTTGATCACGACCCAACCAAGCCACTGATCAGGCCATCACTGGACATGCTGAATAAGATGGCTGAGAGGAATTGCTATCTTACGTTGGAGCACTACTTCAACTCAACGACATTCATCGATCAGTTCAAACTACTAATACAACGACTGCGAATACTCTACTCAGTACTCAAAGTTGGTTACAAATATTCCACTCATCGAGTGATCAACTTGTGCAATGATCAGATAAAGGCAAACACCATCCATCAAGAACAACAACCATCACAAATGTAAGTTATCACATAATGCCAAACTCAGTAGTACCCTCCACATCCTTACTCACTCAATTCAATCAATCATCTCCCCCATCACACTCTGGAACTATTCCAATCAATCAAGATATGAATGGAACTATCCCAAAATGAACTAACATGGTCCAGACCAACATTAATGTTTACTAATGACATTAAGTTGATTGACATAACTGAACTTCAATCTATCAATAAAATCAGATATTTAGGTCTTGGATTCCAAAGGTCGCGAGCTCATTCAATCATTCGTTCGCTTACTCAGAGACAGATTTATTCTTACATTCACTATAACTTGTACATGTACTTATAAACAAACAGATAATAATGAGGGAGAGGGATATGGACACAAGATGCATCAACATGGTGTTCCACAATCACTTGTTGGTCAGCAACATCATTGGACATGTTAGTGACATTCACAAGAGATGGATGAGTCTGCCAAAGCCATCAATCAGATCATCAGAGTTTGACAACAGCAACAACAACAGAACACATCTGATCAAGTCAACAATCAAAGGTCAACAACTTCAAAACATGAGTCTCGTTGATATGTTGCGCTTCAACGCCACTCAGATGTTCATCGCTGCATTTGACAGCGTTGCTGACGACTTCCCCATCGACTACAACAACCTCCTGATATCCGCAGTCAACTTCAACAACACAACAGTATTCAATCATCTAATTGACAGAATGAATATAGACATCGAATGTGACAACATAATCTACAGGGGCAACTTTGACATACTGCGCTCATACCTCGCAGCCACCGGCCACCGCGCACTTCCCAACAACAGAGTGTCCATCCTTCCCTATGCAGTAGAAACTGGCAACGTGGAGTTTGTTCGTTTGCTGCTCCAACTCCTCACAATCGACGTTGATGCCAACAAGTATGTCAGGTCCATTGAGTTTCATAGACGAGGTGTCCGAGTTGACATGCTCCGAATGCTGCACGGGGAGTTCAACTGTCTGTTTGAGTTACCCAACCTCTGGGAAGAGGTACTTCGGCACTCTGTCAAGTGCAACATGATGGACAGTGTTCAATACATCCTCGACAACATGTCGCATGCCCAGAGTATACCAACCGATTTGCTCACCAAGTGTCTTCGACAATGTGCCAAGACTGGCAACGTTGACATGTTCCAAGCATTCATTAAGACACCCGTTGGCACCAAGTACCTCATCAACAGCAATCGTGATATGAAGGAGATCATTGAAAAGGTAGTCGACAATGGTCATCTATCAATCATCAAACATCTCTTCCAACATCATGTCGGCAACGGCCACATCAGCGAGGAACGTGAGACTCAGATCCGCGACGCATTGGTGATGCCCCCATCCAGTGTACCAGGCGAGCCAATCGACATGGACCTGGTCAGGCTTCGCAGCACCCCATTGGCAGATATCCTCAACGACAACATTGTCTCCTTTGCATCACATTCTGGTCATACCATGTACCTGACTTTCAAGATGTGTACTATGATGTCCAAGTCGATGGCCACATTCATCTCGAGTCCTCGAATGGACAGCAACCAGTTCCGATTTTGTAAAGGCTCGTTGTACAACATGGTTAGAGCAGTGGTCCATCCAGGCAGCAACATCACCGCCGACATCGTTTGCCAGTTCATTGTCAACTGCGATCTTCAAACACCATCCTTCCTCCAAAAGTCCATGAAGGATGCTTGCGGCTACTCTGCTGCCTTGATGCAACTCCTCAAATCTCACTTCAACATTGATTACATTTATGGCAATTGCTTGGCGACGGCATTGGAGAATAGATGTCATGAGACCATGTCGTTGATCTTCAATCACACCGACCCAAACAAGGACTATTATAACAATCGCGATGTCAAGGCAAAAGCATTCGATATTGTTTCCAAAGCAACATTGCCAGAGGTGACATTCATCCTGGACCACATGGACAACATCAGACACAATGCTGAAGTGTGCGAGTGGGCCGCATGCAGTCCTCACATGGATGTGTTTGAACATGTGATCAATCTGTTCACTCGCGAGCAACTCTGTGGGGCACTCGACAGAATCACTGAACGAGCACTCTCTAGCAACAGGGTCGACAATGTCCGCATGCTTCAACGATTCTTCGAACGATGCGAATTGGCTACAGCCAGGCCTCTGGAAAGACCATTGATGCTGGGTACTCTTCACTCAATGGCCAAACAGAATTGCTATCTCACATTGGAGCACTACTTCAACTCGACTGCATACACCAACCAGCCAATACAACACCGTCTTCGAACACTCCACTCAATACTCAATGTTGCCTATCAACATTCTACCCACCGAGTGATCAAGCTGTGCACAGATCATATCCAGTCACTCACACTCAATCAATCACAACAAATATTGTGAGTTATTCTAAGTCAAACATTCCTTTGAATCACATACTCACCCAATCAATCAATCATAACAGGGTCGAGTCCACATTGCATGGCCAAGGACATGTTGTCCATCAGGCAACATCATCAATGGAGACAGCATTCCACTCAGTGTTCAAAGAGACCAAGCTTGGAATGATGGTCATGGAACAGATTGGACAAGTCCACAAGTCACTTGGAATCAATGGTAAACATCTTATCAAAGGATCACAGTTGATTGACAGACATTGTTTGATGGACTACATCAAGTATGGTGCCACGGAATGGTTCCTCAAGTCGTACTCTCCATCCAATGTTGTCCACAACTCTCCATTGCTTGACGAAGCATTGACCAGGTGTGACACACGCGCAGTCGATGTACTTATGGCCAACCCCAAGTGTCAACTCATCAGGGAATTGAGTTGCTTTATCAATGATCTATCATGCTCTCATTCAGACTTTGATCGGATATTTGATCAATATGTCATGATCAACGCTCAGACATCATCCGCACTCATATACGATCAATTGGTGACCTCAAGGATCAATCATCCAACATTACTTCGCAAACTCATTCAGTCTGGCATCAATCTACCAACCATTGGACTCAACAACATCGACAACGCCGTTAATCCTAATGATGGCTGGATTACCAAGCCATGGGCGGTGGAGATGCTCGAGCTGATGACCCAGCATAAGCTCCTCGAACGTCTGGCCCATGTCGAATTAATTGGCAAGTCAATCGAGCTTAATCTGACTCATATCGTCCATTTCAATCTCCACAATGTTCAGGCACTATCATTCATATCATCATATGACCGTACTGATTTTATTGGAAGATGCTGTATATATGGTGTTAGGATTGAGCACTTGGACCTGTTGCTCACTGGTGTGACGACAAGTGAGCTGCATATATTCAAGGATCTAGCAGCTGAGAATGGACATCTGGCAATATTTGAACGAATACACTCAATTCTCATCTCCAAACTTAAAGCAAGATCAATCAATGTACTACTCCCAAGGGTGTTGCAAAATGGTCATTTGGAGGTGGCCAACTTCATTATCAACTTTACAATGTCCAATCCAAAGATAAAGGAGCAGCCAGTCAATGTGGATGACATCCATCACTCAATCATATCCATTGACTTGTTTAATCGACTGGTGGCACTCCCCAACATCAAGTGTAGATTCAATCAGGTGTTGGGAAGAGCTATCAAGGCAGGCAACAAGGAGATCATCGACAAGTTGTTGGGGCCACGTCCAGAGGGCACACCCATAATCCAAACTAACCATATATATGCTCTTGAGCAGGCAGCATTGGTCGGTGATCTGGACAGCATCAGGAGGATCATGAACAAGCCACGAATCAAACTAACAATAGATGACCTTGGTGCATTGATCGATCGAGTTGGATTGCTCGACAGCCTTGTGACAGAGGATGTGATCATTGAGTTGGCCAAAAACTCACTGGAGGATAACACTATGCAACAAATAGACAAGTTGGCCATGTTGATGATCAAGGCAGCATCCAAGTCTCTCACACTGATCAAATTGGTCGTTGACACTATGTCACAAAGCGACAAGAACATTCACAAGATAACCACCAAAGACTTCAACACTGCAGTTGATGCATGTATCAATCGTGGTGACAACGAATCATTGGAGTTTATGGTCAAACTGGCTCGCACCCTATGCTTCAAGGGGAAGCACAACCGGAGTGAAAGGGTAGTGGAGAGTAGAAGATTCCATGACTACATCAATTTGAGGTCATGCAACACATCAGCACTCAATCATCTGTTTGACAATGGACATGTCAGTGTGGATGATGTCAAGTCTGAAGCACTGACAGGATTGGTGGACTGGGCCTGTCAAGAAGGAAAGCTGGACATCATGCGAGTGATCCATCAACGATGCACCACACCAACACAACTCCAACGACATCTCCCATCAATGAAGGCAATACATAGTGCATCGGACAACAATCATCACAATTTACTCAGTTACTTGTTTGAAGGCGATGTTGATAATGATGGAGTAGGATGTCAAGGATTACAATCACCATTCCAACGATCAGAGATCAAGTTGGACATGACCAACTTACTCAAAGTGGTTCGACATCGATCTTGTGTGAATGGACATATCCACATCATCAACATGTGTGATCGATTGGGACAGCACCATCAAATGGTAAGATTGATAAAGATGACTAATCTTTATTAGGATCAATTGATATTAATCTCGTTGTAACCAGCACGACGTAACTTCCATCTTCTGAAGATGAAGACACCACCAATAGCTAGCAAGATGAATCCAAAGATACTTCCAATCAGTACACCTACAAATCCTCCAACCGAAAGGCCGTACACTCTGATGTTAATAGTCTTATAAAGAACATTGTTTTTGCTCTCCTCAAACTTGTATCTGGCGGGGAATGCTAGTTGAGAACATTCATAACTTATGAAGCACTGGCTGGGCTCCGCATCGACTTGCAGATCCTAAAGGATAACAATAACATCATGGAGACCGATGGCGTATACTACAGAGTCACTGTCCTTTACGGATTCGACCTGGTCTGTGCGAGCACAGTCACTGGAATGTGTGGCATGCATCTATCTCATTCAACCTACCGCTGCATTCTTTGTCACTGCACCAATGACACCATCAACCATGTGTCTCGACTGGACCAGTTCACACTCAGAACACTGGAGTCAATCAAACATGATGCTGATATGATCAAGGCGAAGTTGGACAAGGGCACAAAGACAATCGTTGCAAAGAACTTCCATGGGATGTGCACAATACCTCCATTGATCATCGACCCATTGCAGTTCATATTGGATTCACTGCACTCTATCATGGGCGTCGTCAAGTTCTACAAGAAAAGGGTGCTTGACTTACCAGAAGACCCTAGATTGTCTCCTGAGGTCAGAGCCACACTTGCCAGTAGTTTCATTCAAGGACTATGCCAAGCTTCACCTGGTCACTGGTGATACCGATAAGAATGGAGAGCACGTGACTCTGAAGGATCGCTTCACAAAGAGTGCTGTGAACTATGAAGAGTTCAAGAGAATACTCAAGCATAGGGTTCCATTGCTCAACATCTTGGAGACGGCAATAGGCACAGAAAGAACTAAACCTGTATGTGTATCATCCTTTCATTCATTCATTCATTCATTCATTCATTCATTCATTCATTCATTCATTCATTCATTCATTCATTCATTCATGTGACAACTATTGACTAACAAATGGCAATACAGATTCGATCAATGTGGGAGCAGCTTGCCTTTCTCGTCAACCTTATGATCACAGACCGACCTGCGGGTCAGCCAAAYGTCAAGGAGTTTCAATGGCGTTTCATGGCTGAGAAGCTTGGAACGCAAACACTCATCCACTGTGGCAACAAGCTCTCATCCTACATGCACATGTTTATAATGCATGTAGGATACTTTCTCGAGCGATATGGAAACTTGGAAAGATACTCTTTGTTCTGTGGAGAGTTTAAACACAAGAATAACAGAGCGACCAAGAAGGCCAGGTCAAATTCATACAGATACGCAACCTCAAAGGTTGACAATCAATCATCAGAACTTGATGGACACCTGACAGGAGACATCAATCATCAGCTCATGTACGCTGAGGCGCAACATCAGTTCTTCAACAATCAGCCATCCCTGACATACATGCTTAGTAATGGCATTTCTCATCTCAGGCAGGAGCTGAAGAGAAAGAGAGAAGAGATACCTCAGCTTTCACCGCCAGATATGGAGTCTCTCTTTGGAGTGAGTTCGTTGAACGACATTCCAGAACCCCCAGCATCCACTCAGCTCTATCCTCTAAACACTGATGTAACAGTCCTTTGTTCAACTCCCAATCACAAAGGTAAAGAGTACTTTGGATCGTGGTGGGACGCCACTGTCACTGACTACAACCATGACACCAAGCTCTACACCGTGAAGTACAAGTATGTGTTCCTACTCCATCATCAATAATGATTCCAATAACTAWCGACAAGTACAACAACATCATTAATTCTACAGAGATAAAACAACCTTGGGCATCAAGTCTACCAGCACCAGCACAACAAGCACTACAAGCACTACAAGCACTACCAGCACTACCGGCACTACCAGGTCCTCGAGAGGCAAGAACAACAACACCACTAGCAATGCTGGAAGCACCAAAAGGGCCAAGGTAAAGACAGAACACCTCTTTGAAGTGATTGAGGAGAGATACTTGACTCCTGGCAACCATCTCACCTTGGACATCAGTCAAGCCGAGGCCGGTCAATATACTATATACAAGCCATACACAGGCGGACATTGGAGAGCAKCAACTATATTGTCAGTCGGCCAAAAGGACTTAACCATCAAGCTTCTTCCTTTCKCTGACAATCCAGCTCCAAAAACAATGCCCAATATCAATCCAGATAGGTGTGTCCAACTCCACACAACTTTAGCCAAACTAAAGGAAATGGGTTACTATATTCTTTAATAAACAAACTGTACATATATATATTAAATAAAAATATTTATATAAATAATCTTTGTTTATTAATAATAATTTTTTTTGTTTTTTCCTGTATAAATTTCGAAATTTCTGTCCACCACCTCTGCCGCCAATGTCTCTTGTTGATCTACTCATTCTATATATTAACACTGAGATGTTAATTTATATCACTTTGAACCTATTTGTTTGCCATCAACTGCTTGTGGATGTAGCCTTGCTTGTGTCGATTGAGATTTGTGCGACCTACTTCGAAGCCGCATTCGCATCTTACCTTTTGTTTGATGTATGCTTTGTGACGCTCTCTGAACTCCGAGTTCTCGTCCCAATAGTACTCTTTGAATAATGACATGTTATATCTGTTAGATGAATTTCCAAAAAGGACAATAGGCAAATCATCTTCACCACTAACAAACAAGGCTCAACTTTGGTACTCACTCTTTCATTATTCATTCACAACAACATCAACAACAAATAATACAATATTCACCTTGCAACTCATTGTACAACAACATTCACTCACTGTCACATACACACTTAAATTGAACTACAGCAACACTTGTTTACCACCGTCTCATTATATATTCTCAATCCTTGTTCAAATGAACGATCCCATCACCAAAGCACAACTGTTCGACGTATTGAACTCGAACAAACGCGACAAAGCCTTTCCAAAGCTCGGCGCTGGTCATGAGGCCAAACTCAAACGTCTCATCACCCCTCAACAACAAGCCCAAGCTCGTAAGTACAAACAACATCAGCGCAATGTCTTCATTCAATACTAACATACACACTCAAGCCCCTGCTGCCCCTATAGGATCACAAGGTGGCCAAGCTCGTAAGTACAAGGTATACACAAACATATCAATGAAGTTACCAACTCACCACAAAAATGTAGTACAAGACCCCATCATTATGAAGATCAATGCCACCAAGTATTCGAATCCAGACTTCCTCGATATCAAGCCCATGGTCTTTGTTGACAGAGTTCGGGAATGTACCGAGCTTGCCATTGATGCCGTCAAGGCCATCCTGTCACCTTATCTCAGAAGTAATATGCTTAACAACTCACCAACTCCAACAACGATATCCGCACAGATGTGGGGGTCAGGGAAGTCTTTCATGGGCTATAACTTCATCAGAGCGCTGAGCCAAGGCCATTTCGACGAGCGCTTGTTTGAAGAGAAGGTATCAAAGGATGACTATTTCAAGGGTATCAGCATGGAGGATATCAAAAGAGCCCTCACATCACTCAAGATGAAACACTCCATCAATCTGGATCTGTGCCCATATCGTGGTACCTCTGCGTCTTCTACATCTCAATGGATCTCCATCATCTGTACTTCACTCTACCGTCTCATTCTCACTCAGCTCAAGCAAACCTTTGAGGCAACTCTCGTCGTCCACTCCWTTGAGGAACTCATAACGTTCGCACCCCAGATCAAGCAATGCTTTGTTCACCTTGACGAGATTGACATTGTGATCAAAGACCAAAAGGACAATGTGGAGGCAGCCAGAGCTCTGTATCAAGTCTGGATCAATCTCACGCTGCCCCTTATCTCGAATGGCATTCCTGTCTACTTGACTGGCAGATCACCGATACTTTTCTCGATCAACCACGGAAACTACCGACAGCACCAAATCATCTCCCCGTACAAATCATCGATCAATCTGCTCCTTCTGGATATGTTCAGCCCAAACGACATCGAGAAGTATCTCACATCAAAGTACACCCTGCCAAACAACGCTCATATAGTTGCAAAGGGCATACACAGAGTATGTAACTAGCAGAATCCAACAACGATACAACCTAACATTGGACAAATCATTATAGTTGACCCTTGGAGTTCCCCGCCTTGTCAACGGTGTCGTCGAATACCTTTCCACCACCAGTCAACAACAGAATGAGGAAGGGCTCAGGGCTTTCTTGCGAGGCTCAGCCACTTACTCCTCTGAGCTCAATCCAACGCTCATTTGGAGGGACTCCGATGAACTTCCAAAGCTAAAGCTCTACATGGAGCTGTGCAGAGCATCGATATTCCAGGTAAGATCTCCGTTGTCAGGACCAGCAACAGTTTTTATTAACCACGATTTTGTAGATCCCTTTTGATCTYAACATGGACATTGATTTGAAGGATTGGGGCATACCTTCAATGTATGACACCAACAAAGGTGTACCACTGAGGTATGCGGATTTCTTTCAAATGCTCAACGTCTACCTGGATAGATTTCCTCCCAACCCCAAACTGGTTATCGTTGTCATCCCATCATTGACAATCTCAGAGATCATTGAGGTCTCAAGACGAAACAACTCAGAGCACATCTTCAGAGTTGGCGTACAACTGCAGCACTATCTGAACATCAGGTCCAACACGCTACGCCCCACTGGCATTCCATTAGAAGACTGTGTCGAATCCATTATCGAGATTCGAACAAACAATGGACTTGAGAGCCATTCAGAGGAATGGTTCTGGAATCAGCTTGCCAACCAAAACATGGACTCGGAACTTGATGGAACCAACATGCACAACACCCAAGGTTTACCGCCTCTCACTCCAGCTCTCCAGAACAAACAAGTCATCAATCAGTCAATCTCCCAGATGTTCTTATTCTTTTTGGTATGTTGAGCGACACACCTGTACCCTTCTGACCGAGCACTGACATATTGTGTTTAGGGATCATGGGTCAGCGATATTCTCTGGAGAGGCAACAACATCACCCACATCAAGGCTTTCCCAAAGATTGTCAGAGACTCGGAGAATCAGATCGATTGGAACAGTGTTGCCATGCAACAAACGTTGTCCACCAACAGGGTGGACTTGGCATCATACCCCCATTGCCCCATGCGACACTTCAAAGATCTTTGGAGGATGGCGCATCCATTCGCCACCTATCGATCGGCGCCAAAGTCTGGAAGCTCAGACTTCTATACGAAGATTGATGACTCACTTGGCATCGCTTGGGTCGTCAAGGATGTCAAGGGTCCGTTGTCAACAGCCCAGGTTGAGAGCGAGATGCAAAAGATTGGCGACTCGACCATTCGTTTTGTGATGGTCATCATATCGATGACCCCACCTGCTCCTTTGAGGTAAGAGGTCTAATTTGTCATCAAAAATAGGCGACGTACTAATATTCCTCCAGCTACCCATCATCAAGCATCACTTTGGTGGACCAGATTATTGGAACGTTGTACACACCCAACCAGAGACTTCAAATTGTCACGCTCACTTATGATGGCCTCAAATACTTCCTCTCTCCTGAGCTCTACAAGATGCTTCTTCGTATCTAAAAGTCTATCATGCATCATCCACAAATGAGTACATGTATTCATTTGCACCAATGTTATTATTATTTTTTTCCTCAAAGCTATTTTA